GCGTGAAAGACTATAAATTAAAATTCATAAAATTATGCAAACTCAGTTAAACAATGTTTCTATTAAATATAAACTGGGTAGACTTTAGATAATGGACTAAGTTTTTCAACCAACGATTTAGGATAAATGGCAATAAATTAAGAAGTGCTTGTATTAACAAATCATAAATATACGTATAAATATTTTTTAATTTTATATTAACCTTGTTATATATGTAAAACGCCGTGTGGTCCCGGCATAGAATAGACCATCCCTTCCTTGCCCTTGGATGTTGTTAAAAGTCGACTAAGGGAGGGCGAAGTACGGGCCGCAGCGTCCCTCTTAAAACATCTCCAAAGGCTAACTACGGTTGCCAATCCGCCTGCTAAGCATGGCAACTACTGGCAAAACCCCCTCATGGGGAGGCTAATGTTCAGCAGTGAACAGTTAAAGTCTGATATAATGATGATGATATATGAAAAACACCAAAAATAGACACCAGCAACCATTGGAAGGCGAGACAGTGTGTTAAACTAGTACACCACCAGAATTGCTAATAAATTTCATAGTATGACTATATAGCCATATTATGATATAATGGTAACCGCTACCTTCGTGTGAACTTATGTTTTTTTTTATACCACTGAGGTGGCAAACAAGCATACGGCCCACCTGATGATAAGTGGTTACCGTAGCCTATGGACACCTGCAATACCAGAGGAATTACACGCGCGTTGCCGACCCTGAAGAAACCTCTTTACCCTCCTTTTGAAGAACTCCATGCTGTAGTCTCTTGAAAAAACCTCGGCAGGGAGCTCATTCCACAACCCGAGTGTTCGTGGGAGGAAACATCTTTGAAACCGCGCAGTATGCGATCATTGAGGCTGTAGGACATGAGAATGAACTCTCTGTCGATGGCAAGCCGTATGATGATAGAAAGTAGCTGTGGGCATCATATTGAACAATTCCTCTAAGCACAATTCATTGTACAGGCGGTAGAACACGCAGAGTGAGGCAACATTTCTCCTAAGACTTAAGGGTTTAATATATATTATAACATTAAAACTCTACCACAAAAGCCATTACATTGTAGTCCTAGAGATTGGTATGTATATATTCTATACTAAATCTATTATTCTATTGTTAACCCATGACGTCGCAGTGCTGGGCAAAGATGTTCCCATCTCCTCAAATTTCCTGTTAACGCCACCTCAAACCAGTTACTTTTAAATGCGTCTAGGTCGTCACGGTATTGCTTCCAAAGCCAGCCTCGTCAGCGCTGTCCATCAGTAGGCACCCACTGAGGCTGGAGATCTTTGTCCAACTATGGGGACACATACCGTTAATGTAATCCGTCCAATCCCACTTAAGTTTGACCAACTTCTGACCTACGTCTTTAAAACCAGTTTGAGAGCGAAATGTGATGTTTAGATACGCGTTTCTACATATACCTATTATATTATTTATATATATATTACTCCTATTGTATTTAACGGTAAATTGTTTTCACATACCATATAAACATTAGGTCATCAGCTTGTTTACTATTCCTGATAGTAGAATAAATCTTTCATAAACGATATGGTTTCACTTATGTTAATATTTTTTATTTTTACGTTGCGTGATTTATGGTACCGAGGGATAACGGTCTGATTGTTAGCAATATATCCTGTGAGGTTTATCTCCACGCGGTTCACCTGAAGACCATTATAGTTAATCCTGGGACATTCATCACAATGGGTCTATTGACCGGACATAATTCTACCTAACAATATCTCTTAATAGTACCTCGCCTGTAAAACAACTTTCAACAAGATCTTATAAAGATATTTAAAAACTTTAATATATCAAGATAAATTGGTACCTATTTTAAATGTACAAGTAACTTCAGGAGAGAAAGACAGTCGAAATGATGTGCTATTAGGATTAAATCTTGTAGCCGACATCAATCTCTGTGAGCAACATTGCCCGAAAAGGATATTTGTATTGCGAAAACGCTAAATAAGCAAGATAAAGTTTTTTAGAAAGGGTGAAGCCTTAACTGTAAACTTTCAGCAGTTATTATGCAATTGTTCGTTTAATTTATTACAAACAAAGAAAATTTAACAGTTACCCAATGCGCTCTTTTAAACAAAATTTTACAACTTTTTTTTATACAACATTTTATTTATAACTTAGAATGGTAAACAAGCTGACAGCCCACCTGATGGAAAGTGGTAACCGTCGCCTATAGATATGAGCAGTAACATGGACATAACAGAGTATATTGTTTCGCCCATGACACCTCCCATGCGTTGCCATTCCTGAGGACTCATGTGTTATTCCTCTGTACCCAGTATTTATGTTTTGTCATGTTTTAATGTGCAAATTATTATAGTAGGTATATTATTTAAATATGAAAAGCATATTACAATAATAATGATAAAAAAAATTCGGGATGGGCTTGAATAATATAAGTATAATATTTTTAATTATTCTTTGTCGAATTATGACGGCTCTACGACGAATAGACACGAGTACACAAGAGAATATTGTATTCATATCAAATTAATACGATCATTGTATTATATTTTATACTATAATATATATTATAAAATACTAATTAACATAAAGATCAATATATTACCCCAGAAGTTGTCCAACAAACCTAATAATTAAACTTCCCTTATAATAATTATATACTAAATAGTTTTACAAAGTCATATACAACCCAATATCTGAGTATTGATTAGATACACGAAAGACGTACACAAAGTAAGTATTAATAAATTATTTTAAAACGGAGAAATTCACCTGTATTTTTATTAGCTTTTTGTCCGTCATTTTGTACGCGTGGATTTCAGAAATAAGAAAACAAATGAAAAAAAGTCCACTTCTAGATGGAGTATCAAGATAAAACATATACCAGTTTTTAAATTAAACCTTTAGAAATAACTACAACTGTGAATACTGCATCCAATTTAATGTGGTCTTTGCCAGAACAAATATACAGACAGACAAAATTTCTAAAAAATATTATTTTGGCATCTATTACTTTTATAAGGTACCTTTATATTATTTTTTATTAAATATCTTCCATGTACAGACAATATCTATTCACAATTTTATTATATTAATAAGATTCAGACGTAATTTTCAACTAAGTACAAAAAAAGGGTGACGTTTGTATTTTTTTATGTTTGTTACCTCAAAACTCTATTATTTATAAACCGATTTGGAATTTTCTTATCTATATATATACTTTCAGATTAGAAATTTTATCAAAATTTGTTCTGTAATTTAGTTTTTATATAAATCAAAACAATGAGTTTTGCCATAATTGAAGATTGTACTTTTTTTGTAAAACAAAATAAATATTACAATAGGATTTACTCCTATGACGATTCCATATTAATTTGACTCCGATTAAACTCGCTTTTTATAATAATCTCTAAATTATCAATTTTAATTTCCTATAGTACAAATAAAAATTTGGAAAATGATAACCGACGTCTGTAGTTTATTTTATAAACAATACTATGGCCATTACAAAAGAATGTAAGGTCATTTGGTTTGGATCCTTTCTTATTGCTACTTTTAAATAATTTTGAAGAGTGATAAAACAATAATACTTAAGATGTCATGCCTCTTGATTTATTGCATCAAAGATTATATTAGGCTCGATTCCGAGGTGCCATTTCTCTGAACTTATCTCTTAACCCAATATTTTAAATTGATAACAGCGCAAAATTACTGTTTTATAGACCTTTATAAAGTTCGTTTATATAAATTTTGATTTAAATCTATTAGAAATTTAGTTTCTTTTGGTCTTAAGCATAAAGATTTTAATGTGATATAAAACTGAAATTTTATTTTAAAGTAACATTTAGAAAAATGGCACCTTAGAATCGACCCTACTGACTAACTTGTTCTTAATATTTTTATAAATATTTATATTTATAAAAATATTATATTTATTTATTTTTATATTTAATGAAAGAAGTATTTAGTGTAGAAAAATCTACTCCATTCGCCTTTATTTTTATTTGTATGATCCGCGATTCAATGTACCTGATCAAGCAAATCTCTACAACTGAAGAAAATTATAAGCAGGTAACTTAGCAGAAATATTACATTAGTATGGTATTTTAATACATCTAGTCCTATATCATTATTAGTTATAACCCATAGCTTTGTCTGCGTTCGTTAAAATAAAATTCGTTCTGTATGCTAATTTAAGATATGGTTCGTCTATGTACATGGAGTTTTATTAAATTAAATGAAACATCATACCATGAAGATAAGTATAAATTATTCAAATGATTTCATTAAAGATATAAAATTTTTATGCGACGTCAAAACGAAACTATGCTCAATTCAATTGTATTCTTTATATGTATATGTAACGCGACATCTTTTCCTATTCTGATTTATTCTTCTATTTTTTATTATCTGATCTTATTGACTAATTTTGATAATTATTTGTGCAAGCGATTTTAAATTCTTAACTCCTATATTGATAGGACCCTTTAAGTAACTTTATTAAAAATAATATCGCACAATTATTGTGGAGCATCGTCGTAAATATTCAGATGACTCAACTGAATATATACACAGACAAACATTCAATTACCTAAATTAGTAATTTTTAAATTTGTCCCACAAGTAATGAATATGGGGTCAAGACAAAAGTAAACCCTTTCTATTTAAGAAAAAAAAATCAAAATTGGTTTAGAATAAGCCAATAATTATATCGTGCATCGTGTAATATAAATACAAAAAATACAGATAAATTCAAAACATCCTTCTTTTTGAAGTTGGTTGAAAACAAGATTGCAAACATCACTCACATGTTCGATTCGCCCACTCCTGTTGTTATCGGCAACGTCAAAATGTAACATTACAATACAAGCACGTCCTAAAAACCCGGCCTTTAGTATTATCAACATATTTAGATACAACATAGTCAGTATCCGTACTACTTAAAATAAAATATCTATACGTAATTAGAAAATTAATAAAAATCTGCTAACCAAACATACCTTTATTTTGGGCGGCCATGATTTTCTGCCCACGGGGAGTGGCGCATTATTTTAGCGGGAAATAATCACATTTCTCACTTTAATGTTTATAGCACTTCAATATATGCCACTAGTGTTATTTGAAACGTGTTTGTAATATTACTGATGGTTGAAAATGGGTTGTTTGGTGGAAAAATCGATGTCGCGCCGCGCGCACTCGTTCGCTTTACGCAAGTGATAAGCTCCGAGTCGCTTGCCGGCGTCGTTCGCGTAGATTGTAGCTTGTAGCTATGCCGTAGATACCTAGTAAGTATACCTAACCGCGGAGTCCCAACTTAAATGGCTGGTCCTACAAACCACGATTGATTGTCACTCGTCGGTTGGCACTAACAAAAACAAATTGGTAATACGTATCTATATAGATAAGCAGAGACTAAATTACCAGCCTATCCGAATGAAACTTTTGATATAAAAGATATTTGTTTTAAAAACTTTTTTTTTTTAATGCAACTTAAAGGCAAACAAGCTGATGATCAGAATCACGTGGACACCTGATAAAAATTGGTAACCGTCGTATAGACGTGACCAGCACCATGATTAAGACACAATATACTGTAAGATTCAAGGTTGTCTCTCATGTTTCCTCTCATTCTTTAAGACTATGATGTTATGCATTCGTACCCTGTAATTTCACTACCATGCCATGCCCACCCTTCAAACCGAAATACAGCGATGCACAATTGCTAACGATAGTATGAGACATGCCGATATTATTATATGAATAATTTAATGGATGGAAATGCAATGATGCCGGACTGCTGATGGTAGTATCCAAGTATCTGTACTTTACATGCTACACAGGCTACAATTGCCGGCATCACGCTAAAACTGTTACACTAAATTTCATTGTAGCTTTCACGGTTCCTGAAAATCAAACCTAAAAACTGGTGTATGTAATATCTTAATACGCCATCTAGAAACGATTTGTTTAATTGATTCAAAATCAACGCTTCCGAAATCGCGGTTAAAACTGGTCCTAAATAAATATGAAAGTGAATTTCGTTTATTACTTTCGGCTTAATTAATCGTCGTGAAATTTCGCATACATTGTAGAGAGTATTGCCAATTGAAAAGGTCATAAACAAATTTTTATTCTGATCAATATATGTTGACAATACGAAATTACAAGTACCTATAGTTTTTATTAGCTTTTAGTCCCTACGTACACGTAGATATCAGAAGTAGGAAAACTAATGAAATCAGATCACCACATGAAGTATCAAGATGAAACATACTTATTTGAAGTTAACTTAAACGGCTTTACCGATTTTTATGAAATTTTGTGTGCATATTGGGTAGGTCTGAGAATCGGCCAACATCTATTTTTCATACCCGTCAATGATAAGGGTGACCCACCACTAAATATATTTTTTTTATTTTTTTGACATTTTTTTTTTATTTATTTTTTTTATTATTATGACTAAGCATCGAAAAATACATACAGCTTCAAATTTTTACCCTTTTACGATCAACCCTTGTTTTTTAATAGCGTATGTATATATAAATATAATTTTAATAACATAATAACAATTTTATTATGCTAATAAAATTATATTTATATATGAAAGTTATATCAATTGTTTGTTTGTTTATAGGTACTTCAAGGTGCCTTAAAAGCTATACCAATAGTTTTTAAATTTAGCATATACGTAGTACATTAAACTTATTAGCTCAATCAAATGATATCTTATCAATACGTCCTGATCACGCAACACATTCGAGAATACAATATTAGAGATTATTACGTAGTAATCTATAATAATTTGTACGTGAATGAGTACTTATGAATTGGCAATGTTGAGAACGTACCTTTACCTATTATAGCCATAATATCTTTAGCAAATGCTGCTAATATCACATACTTTGACATCAGAAATCCAATTTATAAAATTATTATTAAGCGAAACAATTATTAAACCAACCAGTCAATTTAAATAAGTAATATAAAAATATTACTTAATTATTTGGTATTATAAATTAACTCCCACTTGATATCGTTAACGCTTATCGTTCTACCTCGCTACTGACTTCATCCATCGATATTAAAATAAAAATCTATGTAACTCATTTTATTTTTTGTTTAGCCATAAATTATCTATCTGTACAAAATACAAACTGGTATGTATATATATATATATATATATATATATATATATATATATATATATATATATATATATATATATTCGGTCTTCCCAAAAAGACTGAAATTATAATATAATATAGCACCAAAAATCAATTGATATGAAATATATTTAAAAATATTTATATTTTATTCAAGATAGCATATATAATTTTTATCTAGATCTATTAGAAACCAAATAAATTCTCCACAACTTTTAAATTAAATTAATTTTAAAGCACGAGTCGATTTCCTCGAAGTAAACCCTTGTACCGTTATTAAAATCCCTGAGCTTTGTTAAATAATAAAAAAGATAGCGACATTTTCGCAGTTTTAGACGCAAAATTCTAATTCTTGATCTTAAATTGTACATTGGCATTTCCTTGGTACATTTTACGTTTGTGATTCGTAAAACATAATTAAAAAAAAAAAAGTTTGTGTAGGCATATATCTACTTGTAATGTAGAACTTGATAAAAGTGGAAAAAAACAATCTCTTATCCTACTTGCGCTTTCGTGCCTTACCTATAATAATGTCACGCTCTAACCACTATTGTCATTGATTGTATCTAATAAATTAAATTGTACTAATACTGTGGGTACTACTATCAGGCTATAGAGTGACTTTGTAAATAGCTAAGATATTGTGTATCCATAATTATATAGTTTGTGACATACTATTTTATTCTAAAAACATTTGTAAAAAAAATCTGTTATTCAAAATGGTATCTGCCATAACTGGTACATTTTTCTTCTTATATATATATAACTAGCGGCCCGTCCCGGCGTCGCACGGGTGAATATTTTTACATTTTAAAAAGTGGCCATTAAGGCTGCACACGCGACGGAAGCTTAAAAATGGAGTAACTACTCCCGTTTTCCCAATATTTCCCTTCACTGCTCTGCTCCTATTGATCGTAGCGTGATGAAAAGTGTACTATAACCTGCCCAGGAGTATGAAGAATAATTGTACCAAGTTTCGTTAAAATCCATCGAGTAGTTTTTGTTTTCTATAAAGAACATACAGACAGACAGACAAAAATTTTACTGATTGCATTTTTGGCATCAGTATCGATCACTAATCATCCCCTAATAGTTATTTTGGAAATATATTTCATGTACAAAATTGACCTCTCTACACATTTATTATAAGTATAGATTATGCGTTTTAATGTTTGAGTTCTTGGTGGATTAACAAATAAAAATAAATCTATATTTTCGTCCACTTGATAAAATTACAGATTTATAGATAAAAATGATTGAATGAGAAAAGAGTGGCCTTGAATGTTCTTTTAAATATCCAAAAATTAACATTCTTTAATTTTTAATAAATTTATTCTAATTATCATAATATACTTGAACCTCTAAGTTACGTTGTCATGTCGTCATTATTCTAATGCTTTTACTTAGCAAGAATGTAGTCTAAATTCCTTCGGTACGCCATAAAGCACCAGAACAGAACAAACATTTAGAATATTTAGATACCTACCTATGATGTTTTGAGTCTTAGAATATCTCTGAAATAAATGTGACCTAGAAAACACTGTAAGTATCTCACTTCTATACCTATATATTTACTTAGATACGACTAAATATCTTAGGCATACTTAAATTCCTCATTTACTCCTCTCATATCTACTTTTCAGTTACCTCTCTAAAAGTTATTTCAAATGATAAATATATCTACCTAGGTAACTACTCGTATGTACAGCGTGGTTAAGTTAGTTCATTAATTATAATTAATTGGAATAATTATTACATTTTCCAAACGTTCTAAATACAATCAAAATTTCAAAATTGTGTGCACGTAGAGGTCGACATGTGAATGGTATATTGCAAGTAATGGGTCCCTTAGTTTCTATTGTTAACAATTCCCTCCTCCCTCCACCCACCGCATTTCTTTTTTATGACTGAAGATGGAATGGTGCACCCACCTGACACTAACGATATACAATGGTGAGTGACCATTGAGGGATGAAGGCATTTGGTTTCATGAATGAATAAAATGATAACCCTACCTGCGCTATCGGTATACACTTATGTGGCATCAGTGAGAAATAATAGGTGAGAATAAAATCAGCTCAATTGGTCCATCGTGACGAATTCACTAGAAATTAACCATAATAGTTTTCAAAGGGGAGCGTATGGAGATTTTTTTTTAATGGGTGATAATGGAATGGTAACCCAGCCCGCGCTATCGGTATACACCAGCGGGCACCAGTGAAAAATGATAGGTGAGGATGAAGCAGGTCAGTTAGCCCGTCGTGACGAATTCAACAAGTATTGTTCACGAAGTTTCTAGGGGAAATCACCTGAAGGTCGACCTAATAGGGCATATTGCTAGCAATGGGGTTGGCACACTCCATTGCTAACAATCCCCCCCCCCCCCCCAACCGTATGGAGGTTAACCTGGTATGATAATGATAAGTGATAATAAAAAGCAAGTCAATTAACCCATCGTGATGGACCGGCACGATGGCTTCTAGGGGACCGCGAGGAAGTCAACCTTACACGATATATGTTACTATCTACTAATTCCCATTACTAACAATCTCCCTTCTCCCCTCGCCACCGCCAACGAAACATATCTTGACCAGCTGCGTAGGTCAAACAACAAAAAACTTTAGTCAATGATTACCAGCAAATGGACAACGATTGGGGGAAAGAGATTGTTAGTAATGGAGACTGAGAATTCCATTACTAGCAATAAATCCAACCAGGTCGACTTCCTCGTGGTTCCCCTGGAAACTACATGGTTAATTCCTGATAAATTCGTCATGATGCGCTAACTGGCCTGTTTTCATTCTCATCTATCACCCTTCACTGGTGCTCCGCCAGCGTATCCCGTTAACGCAGGCGAGGTTACCATACCATTTTTATTCATAAAAAAAATGGACAACGATAAATGAAGCGATGACATATTGACTTGATATATTTAAAAAGAAGTTATTTGACGTCATTCACAACAGAAACTCTTGAAAGGAAATAGATATGGAAGACATTTCTCTAGATGTGAGACAATAGTTTTTTACTCTATAATACTTATTTTTTACTAAAAACGGGATAAAGAATTAACTACATATGTATTATTTGTTTTAAACATTAAGTTTACCTATATATACTTAATTACTTTTAAATCACCTATCTTCATTATCCAAAAGAGATAGACGTGACAGATATGTATGTGTTTATGTATTATTTTCCAAACATGTTTTTCCAAAGAAAGGCCTACCTAGAATTGATTTCTGCCTAGAATGAAAATATGTCAGATAGAAAAATGTCAAATAGCTGTCACTACAAAGAAGACATTCAATATTGTATGACAATGACAAATCGCTGTCAAAGTTAAATGTTTATGTTATCTATTCTATTTATTTGTTCTTCCTCGATTTAATAATATATTGTATATCAACAGAATTTACTTAAAATAAATTTTCCTTGTATTTAAATACCTACTTAGGATACTAAAATAATTATGAAGGAAACCAAAATGAGTACACACCTTTCTGGAGGACGCTTAAATGTTGCCCTGGTGCAAGAGACTATGAGAAAAGAGTTATTAAATCTCTTGCAGCTTTGTGAAGGACCAAAAGTAAGTAAATTATTGAAATAATCGCATTTCCCTAAATATATTACAAAAATAAACCTTTACTGATTATCTAAAACAAAAGTATTATATTTTATTGTATTTTATTTACTAGGAGTGCTTATTCTTAGACTGCCATTTTAAAAACTATTTACATTAATTCTACAATAGCACCAACGATAAAAAAATATGAACTAAATTAATCTTAGTAAAAAATGAATAATGTTAAGATTAGACACTATAATACTGCTACTTAATTTATTATTATTATAGTTTTAAATAAAAACTATGTTTGTGAACCATCATTCATCTCGAAGAATAGTAGAGAATGCTATTGGCATTCTCGTTAAAATACTTATACTATATTTTTATTTGGTCAATAAAGTTATTTAAATAAATAAAAGTGTTTGCTAGGTCACAATTTGGGATGAATGGCTGGCAGGGCCAATTGGTTTGGTTGCTCAATACTCACTGCTGCAAGAACATGAAGTAGTAGATATGTTTCCACTACGACCAGGCAGCCTGCCTACAATATCAGTCAAACATATTGTTTTTATTGCTCGCCCAAAACTGGCGCTTATGGACTTGGTTGCTGATTATATACAATCACTCAGGTAAACATGGTTTTTTCATATTTATTTGTTGTACTATTATTGTACATTTACATTTGAACCAAAAGAATTGGTTATAAAAAGAGAAAATGTTAAAGTTGTCAAAACTATCATAACTTGTCAATTTAACCGAATTATAAATTTAGAGACAAAATAAACTTATAATTATTATTATAAATATTTAATATAATAACCCAAACAAATTTACCAAAACTTACCTTACCAGGTCTAAGCAGACTACCCCCGTGGTGTTCCATCTCTTTTTTGTACCCCGAAAGAGTGAACTTTGCGAGAAACACCTCAGCAATCGTGGAGTACTCATCAACCTATCTATTCAGGAATTCAAGTGTGATATCTATCCATTTGAAAGTGATGTTATGTCATTGGAACTACAGAATGACTTCAAGTACAGTATTTGATGTTTTATGTATTTTCTGATTAAATTAAAACAATATGTGATATTAAAAAAATCACATATTGTTGGAACTTTGTTACTATTAATTTAATGACTAAGATACTTAAAATGTTACTTAAGATAAAAGTACTTTATGTGTTAAAACAAAATATGATTCATGTGTTTATAAAAGTACAAAATTTAAAATCCATATACATTATTAAGATCTTTACAAACTTGCTCATTTATTAGTAGGATTAGGATAGAATAAGTAGTATTTTTAAAAACAAAAGGGGCATGCTACAAATGCAAAGGTGAGTTTCTTTGTTTCTCTTTCACACCTAGACTGTTGAATCGATTATGATTAATTTTGGTATAAAAATAGGTGAGACCCTGTAGATGGTTATAGGCTACTTTTTCTTCCGAAAAACTTATAGGTGATGGGGTGAGAGGGGGGTTATTTTTGTATGAAACTATTGTGTCGTCTAATTTGCTGCAAACTTTGCAAAATTATTATTTATATTTTATTTATTTATTTAATACTTTATTGTACGCACTAATTATACACAAAAATATGATAGAGGTATTCAAATGTACAAATTATAATTCAAAATATAGTTTTTTCAAACTACTCCTTCAAAGGAGTGGGTTTTTTGTCATTGTTTTATCTGTAACTATACCAACAACCAGTTGTAGTTGCTGGTATAATTACAAAAAAACAACCACCACGGGTGAAAGCTATTAAACAATAATTATCATTAAAAAAATTAAAGACTGTTCATTCAATAATTTAGGTATTTTATTATATTATTGCATACTTATTACAGAGAAAACTACTTAGAGGGTGACCCAACATGTATTTATAACGCGGCACAGGCCTTGCGTACTATACAGCAGCTATATGGCATAATACCGCGTGTTTTTGGCAAAGGTGTCGCAGCTAAACAGGTATTATTTGATATTAATTATTATGAGAAAATGATTACTTGCTCATGACTATAATTTTCCTAAAACACTCGACAATCGCAACACAATTACCAAATCCCTCCTCACCACCATCCCTAACTCTACACTTCGACTGCAACTGAACCCCAGTTCTATAACGAGAGTTAGATTATCCTACATACATTCGAACCACTAGTACGGCTATTGTACCTCCTACCGCCACCACCTACTTTAAATCTGTTTATAACCTTTCCATAATTTAGAAATCCGCTTGTTTGCTAAATCTGTAAAGGTCATCTTCTCTCAACAATATTAAAGTTCGATAAAAAAGCTGTACAAATTTGAACTCTATGATATATTAACTCCAGGTTTGGGACCTGTTATGTCGTCTCAACAAAGAAGACCACGGGATGGCGCCGAAGGGCTCGCCTACATCTTGCATAGACAACTTACTACTTCTAGATCGCGCCATTGACTTTGCTAGTGTTATGACAACTCAACTTACATATGAAGGTCTTATAGGTGAGTATCTATGATTCTTTTTTTTTTATTACTCATTGTTATTTTATTACGTAATAGACCCACACATACCTATATATAAATACGGTACACATATTGACCATATGCTAGATTTAAACATAGAATGCTTTTCATCCTAATTTGTGGAGAAAAAGTGAGTAATGAATTAAATCAACCAAAGCCAAATACATAATTCTACGTTTTACTATGACTTTAATAGAATTGTATGAAATTACATAGTGTTTTAATTCAATTTATGAATTCATCAGATGAGTTATTCGGTATAAAAAGTTCAACAGCAACATTCCCGGGGCACAAGTTTGTGAGCGCAGATGACGCGAGCCCCGAGGTGACCGCGCGAGAAAAGAAACGCATTATACTCAACTCTGGTGAAGAATTGTACGCAGAATTACGCGACTGTAGCTTCACCGAGGTATGTAACTGCCACTAAAATTATTTCCTTTCTTTTCTATTGTCTATTTCAATAGAATTTAATGAAAATGTTAACAAACTAATAAACAAATTAACCCAATCATAAGACAAACTGCTGTAGTATAAATTGAAAGTCAAGTAATTGCTTTAATGTTTCAATTTGTACCTATTTCAAATAGAGTAGTTTGTTTACAAAAAACAACACTCGAGTTCTTGCCTATTCTTTCCAATTAAAAAATTCAAAGACGCTAATAATTGAATTTGCTTAAATAAAATTTATTTTTATTTGTTTATAGTTATTTAACTGTATTTCTGGGGTTATTCCAACAAAATTTAGTTAGCTTTTTGTTAAGTTCCATTGTAACAGATTATTATTAATGCCGACTACAAAAACATACTGAATGCCAGTCATAAAAGTAAATGAATAATCGACTATCTCTATTAATGAGAGATTGTGCCCTACAAAAAAAAACCGACTTCAATTGTGACAAAACCAGTTATTTTGATCTAAAAAGTAAATAACTGAACTGATTTTGATAAAATTTCTATGGAACCAATCTGTAAGTATATCCTTTCAGATAAAAAAGAAATTTCCAAATCAGTTTAGAACTGACAGAGTTATGCGGTAGCAATCATAAAAAAAAATAAACCGAATTGAAACCCTTCTTGGTTTTTGAAGTCGGTTGAAAATCAACTAAATGTAAACAATGCACCTTAGCTGTATATAATAAACATATTAATAGCATAATCTAAAAAATAATAGAAAATACAAAATATAGAAATACAAATGTGGATAAATAGGTAGATATTTTTTATTCTTTTTACTCTTTTTTCGTGATATATAATTGTTTCTTCGGACTCCAACGATGCAGGTTTTTTTTTAATAAATGATAATAGAATGGTAACCCCGCCTGTGCTATTGTTATACACTGGCGGGGCACCAGTGAGGGATGATAGGTAAGGATGAAGCAGGTCAGTTAACCCACTGTGACGAATCTAACAATAAATCAGTCACGATGGTTTCCAGTGGGAACCACGAGGAGGTCGACCTGATATAGTATATTGCCATTCTCCATTACTAACAATCCCTTCTTTTCCCAACGATGCAAATTTGCTTAATACCTATAATAAACACTCGGCGTGCTCGTATTTTTATATGCTTTTTGACTTAATAAATAAATAATTACTTAATGGCGAAAGAATCCCATTATTGTTTAAAGTCTGACTTATACAGAAATGCTTGCAGTAAGTATATCGTAAATTATACCAAAAAAGTCGAGTAATTTTCTATATTACGCCTCCAATAATCTAAGATATGTATACATCTGCAAAATTGTTATTCCATAAACATTGAACTTGTACAGGTAGGCGCAGCTCTATCGAAGAGAGCCCGAATAATAAAAACACAACTAGGCGAGCGACACAACGATAAGTCAGTGCAAGAGATCAAACAGTTCGTGTCGCGGTTACCACAGATGTTGGCCAACAAACAGTCACTAGCCACCCATACTGCCATCGCTGAATATATCAAAGAGGTAAGTACCCTATCCTTGAAGTAATAATTTGCAAAACATACATTCACAAACTTAAATGGATAAAATTAGAATGTTAACCCGCCTGCGCTGTTGGTTTACTGGTGAAGTATAATAAATGAGGATGAAACTATATCAGTTGGCACATCATGATATATTCACTAAATATAATATAGGTATTCCATGATTGCCAGTCGACTTTAATGCAGTTCCTTTGGACACCAAAGGAACTGCATTAAAGTCGACTGCCAAAGTATATTACAAATAACTCCCCATTACAAACCTTCACCTCACTCCAGTACAGTAGGTCTATTTTTTTTTTTTTAATTAAATGATAACCCACTTGCACAATCGGTATAAGCTAGTAGAGCACCAGTTAGCAATAATAGGTGAGGATGAAATCAGATCAACAAGGAATATTATGAGTTTGGATAATTTTACAACCACTTTCTCTACTTGTACAAAAGTCGATTGCTTGGGTACCTCTGTCCCATTCTTGTTTTGAACCGTGAAGCAGCTATGTTTGCATGGCTGTGTTTCGGTTTTAAGGGTGGGATATGGCGTGAATTTACTGGGTACAGAGGAATAACACCTAAGTCCTCAGGAATGGCAACGCATGGGGGTTATCATGAGCGAAACAGTATACTCTGTTATGTCCATGGTATTGCTCATGTCTATAGGCGACGGTTACCACTTTCTATCAGGTGGGCCGTCAGCTTGTTTGCCATTCTGAGTTGGATAAAAAAAAATGCAAAAATATATTTTTAGAAAACTTTTACAAAATTTAAAATTACAAGGCAATTAACATGTTTCCACTAAGAATAAATAAGTAAAGCATTTTGTTGTTTCAGACAACAGATAGTTTCGAGTTCCATGACACAATACAATGTGAAGAGGAGTTTCTCAATTGTATTGACAACGATAAAGTATGCCCATTCATTGAAGATCTCATTGCACAGAAAGAACCTATTACGAAGGTAAAACAATATAAATTTTTATACTAATAGGAACTTAATACATATAGAGACTATAGCAGAGTATGGTAAGCATTTAAAGCAGCAATAATTAACAAATAAACGAAAATCACTTTAACATGTTTATAATATTAATAGTAGATAGTTTGGGTACACTAGTAACCTACCCTGGTTTTGCACGGTTATTTGTGAAAATAAAATACAGCCCGTCTTACTTACTTCTCTGTCTTTCTATAGGCAAAAGATTTTTTTTTTAATTGTTTATTATTTTCTGAGTTTATCTATTACAGACAAAAAATCAAATCCTGTTTATTCACTTCACATGTAAATGTTTTGTACGTATTTTTGTAAACAGTGTAATATCTATTTAAATAATATATTCATTTAATAGTGAGACATTAACATACTGTCGTTTTTCATCAGGTGTTGCGACTAATATGCCTGCAATGTGTCACTGGTTCTGGACTAAAGCCGAAAGTACTAGAGTATTATAAACGCGAACTAGTACAAGTTTACGGAATGAAGACATGGCTCACATTGTGCAACTTAGAAAAATGTGGCTTACTTAGACCGCAAACTGGTACGCGGCAGTATGTGGTTTTGAGGAAGGTTTGTTTTTTATACATTTCATTTCAAATGCCAGAACTTAATGCACAGTTCAGTTGAAAATATCGAACGTACTTCAGGTATGCTTTTTGTTTCCTTTAAACATAACAACTAGTATCGTATCTTTACGTTTTGCCAGTAGACTTGCCAACCATACTACGCTGGCTTTTAACCGTGACTCCTTTTAATTTTAATACGAGAAATCTATGTCCTTGTTCTATCATCAGATCAAATTAACAGACAAATATATGAAAAACTAATTATGTTACCTGCAAAATTGTCTCATTTAAAAAAAAATACCTATATTCAATTATATACACATTTTTTTATACACATGCCTTTATATACACATTTTTTTAAATACTTTTATTTCTAGCATATTGTATTGTATCAACCGTCTTCCAAAAGACGGAGGCTTTCAATTCAGATTTTTTTTTATTATTATTATTTTAGTTACCTCTATAACTTCCTCAATTATAAACCGACAGATTGCTCATGGGAGCAATTTTTATGGAGAACTTATTACGAAATCGGTTCAGTTCAGTTTTTAAATCGAAATAACTGATTTTTCTACAATTGAAAGCGATATTTTTTTTTGTGGAACACAGCCTTATATATGTAATATTATTTTCTAATTTATTTAGTCCTAAAATATATTTTGACAAAAAAATTATTGTAGTTACGAGATCAAATAATATTCCGTACTTACAGGCGCTGCACCTGACAATGGACGAGTCAGAGATGGATGCGAAAGACAAAAGTTATTTGTCATGCAAATACACGCCGCTGACTGTACGGCTCAGCGAACACATAGCCAAGAACAAGGGCTGGACTGGTGAGTGTTTAGCATTACTGTTATCTAGTTTAAAAAGTTATAGAGGTGTATTGGACAGCGAAATTACCGGCTACTGTGACACAATATCTTCTCTCGTCAAAATATATGGTGTTAAGTACACCTTTTACGCTGTCTAGGTGTATTAAAGTTAGTTAAAATGTATTAAGTAAATAAATATCAATATTTAGAAGTAATAGGATCTTAATCTTTCCTCCAAACTGTTTATAATTACTCCTCTCCATCCAAAGGTTGCCTGGAAGAGATCGCTTTTAGCGATGAGGTCGCCCATTGTTTTCTCATTGTGGTTATTTCTTGTAATTGTTTATATCTAGAATAACAAGTATCTATCTATATAAATAGATATATTTCGGCAACACGAGAATCCTTGTTATGGTGATGGACTGGTGTTACAAGTGATACGATTAACCATATGGACGGACGGACCATATGACTGTCACATTAGGTCTATGAAAAAAAATATAAATACCGTTTTACTTTGTACTTAAATTTGGTGTTGTCTTTTGTGGTTTCAGAACAAAAAGCTAACTTTTAGATATCTTTAAATATCTATCTATAATATTTATATTCGAATCTATCGATAAAAATCTTTTGGCTGTTATGCGACAGCTCAAACCATGGGATAGAATTAAATTCTAGCGTCTGGCGTCTTTATTTACGTACTCGGGGTAACAATAACTTATCAATCAATAAATTTGTTTACTACTCGTCAAGGATATCTCAATCTCTATCTCAATTTGGAGTTTAGTAATGCGGACTACCAGTCCCATTGCTAGCAATAAATCCTGTAAGGTCGACCTCCAAGTGTTCATTCCTAGAACCATCGTGCTAAATTCCATCACGATGAACTAAGTAACCTATCATTTCATTCTTACTGCAGCCAGTTATCGTTAGCGCAGGCGAGGTTACCAGTCCATTATCATCCATTAAAAAAACTATCTCAAATAATATATATAATTTATAAATAAACTAATATTGTCATAATATGCAAAAATGTTGTTTCCTCTCCGTATCATTACACCTACATATATTTTTACACAGCATTAATCATATTTCGTTGATAATTCATATTAAACAAATACACATTGTTATCGAAACATTCCTCCATCATAACGCGATAATAAATAGCATCAAACGTAACGTATACCAAGTTCGCTCATAAATTCATTCGGCATATTAATGTACCTACACTCCAGGTTAATTAGCATGCATCTCATTTAGATGTGACCCAAATACCTTCCGCGCAAAGTACAATTTCCAACCTGCATATTTTATACGCACCATGAAACCGTTTTATAGGTAAATGTAAATATTATCATGAATTAAAAAGATCATTTTGAAAACACGACTATGTTTTTAACAAATCCACACGTTACATTATAAGATTTTTATTTGTGTTTTGCATCTCGTTATAATATTTACAAAATAGATGCTGAATTTATTTTAGTTATACCTAAATCCCACCAGTGACAGCAAATAAAGGAAAATTCATTTGGTATTTTTTTCTGTTGCTAAATTGATTCGTTTCATGGTCACTGTTTTACTATAGAAATGACGTCAAATAGCCTAATTCAACTAATAAGGAAACTTCCTATCCTATTAATATTATAAATGCAAAACTTTGTAACGATGGGTGGATGGATGTATGTTACTTTTTCACGCAAAAACTACTAAACGGATTTGAATAAAATTTGTTACACGGGTAGGTGTCCTAACAGCATATAGGACTTTATATTTTGATACACGCTGCTGAAGCCGCGAGATATACTCGTAGCTAGTAAGAAATAAGTAACAAATCGAAGAATCTAATTTTCATGTTTGACTCATTCATTACCTATAACAAGTTATTTGTTTATTTCTCTCACAAAAACATAATCTTAACTGAATAGATTACAAATAAATGTTAGGTGGTAACAAAGTGATTGTGAGTATCCCGGATTAGGCTATATCTATTTATTTACAATTTTTATTATTTTTTTACACATAGAAAAACCATCTGTTTACGTACTTACTTTTGTAAGAGACTGGAATCCGTACTAGGATACCCCGACTTATAGATCATTAGACTCCCAACTCACGCTCATTTATTGTACTTAGTACTGAAATCTAAAATTTTAATCTCATTTAAATAACTGATTCTAAAGAAATTTGACCCATAAATAGACTTCGTTTTAAAAACACACAAATGATAGCCCCATTTTTATCCCCTTATACTTTTGTGTAGTCGACAGACTTGTACGCAGAGAATAAAATATTTCATCGTATTTGTTGGAGCTTGCTATGGACTCGTATGCAAACAATGCAATTAATTGTAAATAATTTTAATTTGCCGGATAAAAAGTATGCTAAGAATTGTCCTTCGGTATGTGCAGCTTTTATACTTTCCTCGGTTTTTATAACATAATGAAAGTCGCCACATTAACTTGTTTTAATAAAGTACATCAAATACAGCTCAATGAACGCCCGGCAATCCATTTTTTTTTAATTTGACCTCTATCAATAAATTCAATCACGAGTACTTACGTACTTATAATTGGATGTCTGCAGCAATGAACATGAATACTTGAGAGTTGAAATCTATTTTATTTATGACCCTTAATGGAATCGATTTTATAACTTCATTAAACCATACAATGGTAACTGATTCTCCAACCACTAGAATAAAAGGATAAAATTATAGAGAGTGACTATTAGTAATATTTGTTGGTAACTTTGTCCAACTAGTGTTTATGTTTACAAGCAGCTTTGCTTACTTGACTATAGCTGCTTTTAATTTGAAGAATAATATATGAGAGTGAAATGCGTAGCATCTAAGTCCTCAGAAATGGCAAAGAATAAGCGTGTATATAACGGACATGCCAGTATGTTTGTAATGTCAATGGTGTTAATCATATCTATAAACGACGGTTACCACTTTCCATCAGGAGGACCAGTCGTTTATTTGCCAATTCATGGTGTATAAATAATAGAAGAATGCCTTCTTTTCTGATATAATTAAATAATAATTTCAGGTATTCAAGAAATACTGGGCTTGCTCCCAGGACCTACGTTGGACGAGCTGCAAACGTTACAGCCGCGCATGATACGACGCAACTCTGTGTCAAGCGAAAACTCATCCATTGAAAATTCTCGCGTGATACTAGTTTTCTTCATAGGTGGATGTACATACCAAGAAATCTCAGCTCTAAGAACAATTAGCCAACAAGAGGACTCTAATGTAGAATTTGTTATACTAACAACAAAGTTGCTCAATGGAATAACATTTATTGAATCATTATCAGAAACAGAATAGACTAGAAAAATATTGTAATAAAATAAAAGGTACTCGTAATATATAATAGTGTACATAAGATTAATAGTATTATCACAATTTAAAGCAGTTTCTATTTTAAATGTATTATATTTAATCTCATATGAATTGTACAACTTATATAACCATGTTAATTTTGTATATTAAAAACTTTATTCATTCCGAATTTCCATATTATTTGTCATTACTTTCCCCAAAATAAAATTAGACAGTGAACCATAAATCTTGGTTTATTAAAATTTCATATTTATAACTTGCATATAATATAAATTTCAATTTGATCAGTTTTTAAATAAATTTTCAAAATTCCTGCATGCTTACTATCTATATATTACAACTTTAAAGCTTCAGCATAATAAAAATAATTTTATACACCAACCACATCATACAATATTATGACTAATCTCATAAATATTCGTTACTAGTGTATTTTGTGATGTTGGATTTCTTTGGAGGTGCAATGTTGACGCCAAACTTCTTTGCAAGGGTCACAAGTTTCTCATTATCATAGCCTACCTCCTCCTTGTAACACCTAAGCATGAGGGGCATCACAGTATCTAAAATGAACTTAAAATTTTTCTGTGCATAGCTGGAATCGTTACCTATAGAGAGCATAAGGCGAGACTTGAATATAGCATGGATGCTTTCATCTAAGACATCCATCATATCTTTTGTAACCAATTTCAGTCCAATTTTCTGTACAGTTATAACAGATTGTGCGAACCATACTGTACTACTTGATAAGTCTACCCATGTTTCATTTATAATGTACTTAGCTAATATAAGGCCCAAATTTTCCATCTGCAACAAAAATTTATTCACTCCAGCTTTTGTATGCATATTGATTGGAGTCCATTTATCGTCAGACACTTTTGTTTTCATACAATCGAGTACTTTTTCTTTATATTCTTTCAATGCCTTAATTATTGGAGATCTGAGACAGCTGTCCATCTGAAACCTCAAATCGAGTCCAAATTCACAAAACAGCAAACACTGTTCTCTCAAACTACTAACACATTCTAACACTGATTCCAAAGCACACTGGGGAGTAAATATTTGCTTTATAAGTTGACTCATTAGAATCCTAAGTTGCATACTAGCCCAAACTATGAATGCACTAATTTTATTCTTAGGAAATAATGTAATGAACTCTGTTAAGGCATCACTCAATGAACAGAAGAATACTTCACCCACTTGCTTCACATAACTGTTTATGGATCCTTCTAGTTGCACTCCTTTGACATGCACCTTAACAGTATGGCTGCATATTGCTAGAAATAGCTCACATGCTTGACTGGTCATGTTAAACTTATTGAGTATTATTACAGGGTGACGAGATGACCTAAGACCACCCCTGGGACTCCAATTGTGTGTAACATCTAACTCCTTCAATAGAATCTCAATCAACACCTTCTGCTTTTGTTCAATTCTTTTCAAAATGTCTGCCCTCTGTGGATGGTTTTTAAACTCTTCAGTGTTTAATGACTTTTGAGCTGATACCATTAAATCATAAGTTTTTTGAAAATGTCTCTCAACTATCAACACATCTAACTCTTCTGTGACATCAGCCAACCATTCAGGCAGAACAGGTATTTGAGGAGATGGAAGTTTCTCAACTGATAGACTGGGAGAATCTAGAGACTCTGACTTGGGTTTGTCTAGACTTTCCTTCTTTTTCTGTTTAGAATTCTCCTTTTCAATATGCATCTTTTTAGCTAATTCAAACTTATCAAGCCAGTCTTTCTTTATTGTTAGACTATTACATTGAAAAACTCTGGTATCAGGGAAAACTAATACTTTAAAAGCTTGTTTTACATTGCCCAAATCGTGTACATTAACTGCAGCTAAGCTGCTAATGGGATAGCTACACTGAAATTGATATCTTGTGGCACCCCGTCTGTTAGATATCCAGGAAGTCAACATAAGACAGTCATTGAATAAATAGACATGCATTCTCTGTAGTGCAGTGTTCTCGTCCGCGTCTATTTCTAATAAATCACCTTCGTGAAGCAAAACTCTATCTGGAACGTCTAACAAATTCATACATCCTTCAACCTTCTCTGATATAATAATCAACTTATTTCTTCGTTGCTCCTCGGCCTTTTCGGCTTCTACATCGTGATTATCAAGTGATTCACGTGATATAGTATTCTCGTTACCTAGAATTGACGCATGGGATAACGTAGTAAGCACCGTTCGTTGTTCACTTAACAAATGGGAAAGTTTGTACATTTCAGCTTCCAGGTGGGATATCTCGGTTGCAGTCTCGATAAATTGCATGTAATTTTCGTAAACATTTTTCTTGAGGGCACTTGCGGTTTCTTCGGCTAAAGTTTGAATCTTCTCCTTCTGCTGATGAAGCTCCTCCCCTCCGACACAAGACTTCGCCAATTCCTTCACGAAGCGTTCAGGATTGAATTCCGGAACAGCGAATTTTTCCATATTAATATCTGACATCGTTTCGGTTATATATTTACAATATCAATGGGTAATTAATTGTAAAAAACCTTATTTTACTCATCATTCGTTAATCGAACGACAGCAAATAACAACCCACCGAACTCAAAACCTCAAACTCAAATGTCAATCTTGTCAATAAAAATTGTCAAAAATTTGTTGCGTTTAGTTTCTAGTTCTTTTTGTGTAGTTGATTCTTAGGTGATATGTACTTCGTTTACATACATGCATTATAAAATCAGTACGGTTATATTTTGGCGAATAATTAATTGGCACTCTATGTGCTATATTCTCACTCTATGTGCTACAAATAAGAACTTACAAATTTTATGCAGGTATATGTCTAAATTAAAATATTTATATAGGTACCTCAAAATAATAACGAAACAGTAAATGTTTATATTAAATTTGTACATTTTTGCTACATAATAATACAGTATACTGGATATAAGTTGTTAAATAACTTACCACAGATTAAAAATATATAACAATAATATGTTAGTATGAGCGAACGAATAAATCGGCATGGAAATATGCATGGACATATTGTTTTCCTGTGGACACCACTGGACACTGAAGACAGGTAAAGGTAATCACCTATTTTGCCAGTCAGATATCTATATTAATTTCGATCGGGTTCTTCATTTTGATATCATATATTGGACAACCGATATTCAATATACCTTTACTGAACCAATATATAAATGTTGTGTATGTGTATACATAGACATTGGTATATATTACCATAGTATAAATAATAGTACAAAAATACAGCATAAATAGTCCTTGCCACCCGCCGCGATCTAACTTCCCCTCTCAAATACACATCAGTCTCCTAACTTTTTTCCGCGCTGATCATAACTATAGACATAAACATTGTCACATGTACATACGTTAATTGTTTCTATGATTGTGACAAGCGATGAGAGCCTTTCGTAAAATGTTTTCCAAAAATTCGGGACATTAATTTGATGTTAAAAGTATATGATTTACATATACCGTTTACAAATATTAAATGTTAAAATATTCCTTTGGACTTTTATGTTATAATTTATGACCAACGAAATGTTAAACTCCATTTACTGGATCGATTTCGGTATGAATAAAAACACAATATTGAGTCCGAAAATTCGAAATTTACCTTATGGTAGACCCTCGGATCACGGCGTTTTACATGAAGTTTTGGAATGTAATATCACATTTTGAGGTGAGTAATATCACTCACCTCTACAAAGAAGTTCATTTACACAGTTATGGCCACAAAAGAAAGTAGTGAGTTTTGCGGGAATTATGATCACAACAAATTCTAATTAGATATTAATTATATTCTGATTACTTTTAGGTTATAAAGTGTAATTTAATTTAAATGAACGTACTTATTAGAGCTAAGTATATAATACCTACCTAAATAATTAGGAAAAAATGCACAAAATTATACATTTTACACATAAATACGCTCTAAACACAATATTATGGAATAATTCAGGGCCGTTCTTAGTTCATTCTGAATTCACAGGTAAGATTTTGACTTCTCCCCCACTCCTCTTCTGCCTGTCCAGCCGACCAAAAAAAGGTCACCACCTTTTACTGAAGTACCCTTTTGGACCTCGACGCCCCTCTTAGGTAGTGGCGCCCGAGTACCCCCTCTTACAGTCTTACAAAATAGTAATCGCACTTGTGATGAATCCGGATTTAAGATGTGTAGGTTCAATGGATATTTCTTATAAACTTTAGAGCCTAAATTAAATACACTGCTGTATACATGATCGTGAAGTTGTTTTCTACCTCTTGACGCCTTAATGAAGCAACCTATTATCATAATTTTGCCATAAAAAAGGCATAAATCCAAATATTTGACTTAATTAATCATCGTCATAAGTACAATCATCATCATCATATCAGCTTTTAACTGCCCACTGCTGAACGTAAGTCTCCCCCTAGGGGAGTTTTGCCACTAGTTGCCACGCTTGGCAGACGGATTGGCAACCGCAGTTAGGCTTTGGAGATGTTTTAAGAGGGTCAATAATAACGAAAAATTAAAAAAAAGAAACTAAAATCTTATGGCCATAACCACACATTTATAAAACTTTAGGGATAGAGACTGCTAGAATTCAAAAGAAATAAAACTCTTCTGTAAGTATTAACATGTTTTTATTTTATATGTTTATTAAATATTATTTTCATAAAATTAACATTCATACTCGTGACTTTAAATTATTAGCTGTACTTTACATAATGTATAACACAACTTTTATTCCTACTATAATAATGAGTATAATCTCTTAATATAAATATGGCAGTAATTTATAAATATCACTGAATCGAGAACAATTTATTTGTTAATATTTTTTTTTTTTTTTATAAATTTCAAACACCCATAAATAATGTGAGGTTTAATTAATATTTTAGATGTATTTAGGAATTATAAACCGATTATTGTTCTCCATATTCGTCATATAATTAACAAATACGTCATTATTTATTATAATTAACAAAAAAAATGGGTATGGACAGCAAAAAACTAAACCATAATAATGACTAAGATGTTTTCTGTGCCGACCTTTATTATAGGTTTAAAGTTCTCATCATTAGCTCGCATTAAAACATATTTTCACTTAATCTGATAAAAATATTTCGAAAATTACTCATTCTTTTCGGTGACTTTGAATTTATCGCTTTCATCCTTAGCAGCGACAGCTGGAATCGCCTCGTTAACAATCGACTCGCTGTCACCGTTCGATTCACTGTCTCCATTCGATTCACTGTCACCGCTGGACTCGATTTCGGTCGACTTGGACTCACCAGCGCCGTTCCTCTTATAACGGTAATAACGAGTAGACGCTGCTACAGATCGAGACTCATAGCAGTTCACCAAAGCGTCTCCATTGTAACCTGTTCGTAATATTTTAATACATTATTACTATTATTTTATTCAACGTATATATAATATAGTATAGACGCATTCTATTTTAGCCCGGCCCCATTTTTTTTATGCAAGTTATAATAGCAAACAAGCTGACGGCCCACCTGATGGCAAGTAGTAACCGTCGCCTATAGACATGAGCAGTACCATAGACATAACAGAGTATACTGTTTCGTCCATGATACCCTCATGCGTTGCTATTCTTGAAGACTCAGGTGTTATTCCTTTGTACCCTGTAAATTCACTGCCATATCCCACTCTTCAAACCGAAACACAGTCATACAATCAACTGATTCACAATAGAAACACGAATGAAACAGAGGTACCCAAGCAAACGACTTTTGTACAAAGTCACCCTCTGGTAAATTGGTAATTTAATATGAAACATTAAACACAGTGAAAATTGTTTACAGTAGGTATATTGTGTATTATCTGACCTCTTTTTGCTATTATTAATGTCTTTCAGGTATTATTTTACAAGTAAACCGTAAAGTATATTCAATAATGTAAATATAAAAATTGTAAATGAAGCTATAATTAACTTCTGCGACTCCTTTATGAGAATATCACGATACCGTTCATGGCTAAAACGTGTTCTGTAATATCCAATGTTTTTATGTTACCCCTGTATTGACAAACATTTCAGGTTATTTACATATAGGCCATGCTATACGGAAGGGTATAACAAATTAACAAATTTACTGGGTACAGAGGAATAACACCTGAGTCCTCAGGAATGGCAACGCATGGGGGGTATCATGGGCGAAACATTATACTCTGTTACGTCCATGGTACTGCTCATGTCTATAGGCGACGGTTACCACTTTACATTAGGTGGGCCGTCAGCTTGTATGCCATTCTAAGTTGTATAAAAAAAAACAAGCAAGACAAAAGTAAAACAGTAGCAAAAAATAATAGTCGAATATACGAACTGTAAAATAAGATGTTAATTTACCTGAGGGACATGTGCAAACGGCAAGATGTCTTCGGGCCATACAGACGGCACCGGATCCACACTGCGTATTACCGAGGCACGGATCTACACAGCGGTAGCCCACACACGCCAATTGATCCCCGCACTGAGAGTCCAACTCGCATTCACCCTGCACGCATCATAAGGAGGTAATTAAACATACTTACACTTATAAATACATCACTCAAAAATATATAAAGCATACGTCAGCTTAAGTTTGGACTTTTGCTGTAGGCAGTCATTTTGTAGAATAATGATTGATCTGCCAAACATTAACTGGCTACCCTTAACTGCCATTAAGGTCATATTTCAATCTTTAAAGCATCAACGCAAAAATAGGAAACAATGTGTGTGGATACATGAAAGAACCTAGGACCTAACATCGAACTGGACATCAATGACTGTAATTGACAACAAAACCTAGATCTCTCCATTTTGATTATTCTCTGAGTACTCGCAGTCTTTTGTAGGTCTTATTATCACTATTGCCGTCTAAATAATATTATTTATTGTAAAGCTGTTATGACATAAAATATTAAGCCTTTCGTCATAACTTTTTCAGCAGCTGAAAGCTGGACGTTCAGGTAAGATCATGCTTCAAACTACTTACAGGCATAATGAAACAATTATGATCCTCTAAATTACTAAATATGTACATTATTATGATGAAAAACTGTTATCAAATGTAATTATACTACAAGCGTGAATCGTCTATATCAATACTACACTTTTGAATTTTGTTCTCAGTGAATATTGTGGCAAATAATCATAGAGTCGATCAGAGCAAAAATATGATTCACTATACTTTGGTATCTAATTATCACAATGTTAATAGTATAACGGCCTTGGCGTAATACGAATAGTAATGGTATTCCTAACTTAATACCATAGGAGCATCATAGACTTTAAGTTTGTTTATATACTCATGTTATTTCGACAATAAGATTTAGGAATACGCGAAGAAGTTTTATGAGTCCTTCATCCTGTTATCTATACAAATATTAAAATGTGGAAATAACTCTGTCTGTTACTTTTTGCATGCCTAAGCTACTAAACCAATTTTTATACTGATATAGATTGGACCATGAAAAAGAACATAGACTACTTTGTATCGTGAAAATAAAACTTATAGAGCCTCAAAAAGGAAATGAAATTTTATATAGGAAATCTATTATTTCTCAGTTAAGGTTATTAAAAACCAGAGAAAATCGCGAGCATCAGCTAGTAACGTATTTTAACCTGTTAACTGTCCACAACTGATCTTAGCCCTCCCCTTTGGGGATTTTACCAATAGATACCACGCTTCGCAGATGGGTTGGCAACCGCAGTTAGTCTTTGATGATGTTTTAAGAGGAACGCTGCAGCCCATCCCTTAACCATAAGTTCTCTTAGTCGCCTCTTACGATACCCACAGGAAAGGAAGGAGTGATCTATTCTAATGCCGGGATCACACGGCTATCTCTCTTTAGTATACATATATAGACACTTTATTATAGACTACGGATTTTTTTAGTAAAGGTAGATATTATTAGTTTTTATTTTACCTTCTCGCAAGAAACAAGCGCGTTTCCGATATAACCAGTGGGACAAGTGCACACCGGTCGCTCGGCTCCGGTACGATCATGGCCAGGAGTGCACTTCGCATTAGCACCGCAAGGGTTTGGTTCACACAGGTCACCTGAAAACCCCAAATAGTATTCCTACATATTGTATATGAATAGGACAGAAACAAAATAGTTATCATCGTTTTAAGAAGTGTCCAAATGTAACTAAATATATTTCTCAAAGAAATATAAATCCAAAACTTCTTAAAAATTTTGAGCCTCCATCATTAATACGGCGCGTTCGACTGTTAAGTTAGAATTAAATTTACTTAGAGGAAATCATAATGTTCTCAAGTACTTACGAGCTTCGAAAGGCCTGCAGAATGTGAACGGATCACCGGTCATGTTTCTAGGGCAGGAACAGACGGGCGTGAGTCCACGAAGGTTGCAATCTGCGTTAACACCACACGCGTTCAAACAAGGATTGATGCAAGCGTTGTACACACAGGCAGGCTTGTAGCTCGGACACTCTCCGTCCGATGTACATTCGGGCGTACAGATGCGGTATGGGTCACCGTGGTAGCCCTGTGCCATGAGAAATAATTATAAAATAAAAGGATTCACCGAAACCTCGATTTAAGCTACCTTCAAGGTAAAAAAGCTTTTTTTAAATATTTTCACATCCTATCTTATGAAGAAGTTTTTATTAACATCGACAATGACATTAGGATATTAAATAAGCCTTGCGTTTCTATATATGTTACGAGTGTGCTGACCCTTTTAAAATTCCCAACAATAACACGACCATCTGTAAATATCGAATCTCTGTCGATCGATGGAATACAAATTCAAAAATCATATTTTAAAACATTGTTCTGTTTATGGGAACCTATACGAAATATATGCTCATGATAATTTTGAGTGTTCAGAGGCATTTGTTAATTGTTATCATTCTGGTGAACGAACACTTAGTATATCCACATTTTGCTTATTAAAAACCACCATACTAAGGGCCAAGCCTACACATCGTCACTCGGATTAATTTGATTTCTTATCAGTGCTCTCCATCATTGAAATCAAGAAATTTAAAATTGGTATAGTAATTAAATATATATATAAAATTCGCACCCTTGGACACTTGCAAATAGCACGATGGGCGGCAACAGTCTCGCAGTCCGCATTGACGCCGCAGTCGCTACACGGACTCACACACTTGAAGTCCCGACAAGACTGGGATCCACCGCACTCGCCGTCCGACTCACACTCATGACGGCACCCACTCAGTGGACTACCCTATGAATAATCATAATTTATTTGTAAAAATAACTTTGTATAAACTATAACTCCATAATAAATCGCCTCAACATTAGATATGAAACTATTAAGTTCTTGTGCAAAAATAATGATACTATCAGTTATGAGACTCATGGGGGATAAAGTTGCTGTACACTTTCAAGATCACTATTTAGTTGATTAGAATTACCTCCATACCTACTGTTAGTAGCGAAATTAAACAAAATAATTCTAATAATCTCATCAGTGATTTAAACTTCAGTATCATATAGACTACAAGGGTTATAATATTAATTGTAACAGCGTTATAGTACTTCTTTAAAAACAATGAATCCTTTTTGTGATATATGTCTTGAAGACCATGAGAGAAAATTCTAGTCTACTACAGGTACTTACTCTATAACCTGGCAAGCAGGTACATATAGCCTGGTTGTTGGCGACGTGACACTTAGTGTTGGGACCGCACGGCGATGGGTGACAAGCCTCCTCTGGAAACAAAGATGTAATTTATAGATGATCCATCGATATTATTTTTTTAGGAACCCTAAATGTGATTTCCTGGTATTATTATTATCAATCCTAGATTATAGATGTAAACAACAAAATATCGTAATTTACATAAAATATAAACAAGTCCATTCCACTTTCATTCTCGATAGATCAAATATAGGTTGACTTAACCAGGATATACGTATCACAAGCAATGGGACCCTCAAGTGAGCTTTACATCTTAACCTTATACTTGTACTTTGTAAAATTAATTTTTGAAAAATCCTATAAGACTCACCAGGATCGGCAATTCGGCAAGCTGAGAAAGGATTTCCAGTATATCCAGCAGGGCACGAACACACAGGCACGTGGTTCCGAACCTGTAAACAATAAACATATTTGAGAAAATTGATTCATTTCGTTCATTGATCCCTTAATAAATATAATACTTTATATAACGTTTTTATACACGATTGCACCTACGTTATATGTCAAAAATATCCAAAATTTTTTTTGCTTTTTTATTCAATTTTAAAATTAATATATAGCTGTTTATTAAAAATTATTATACATCAATATTACTTTTAGTCACTTATATGATGAGTGGCACGAATTCCACCAAAAAAACGCATCATCAATCAATCATTCGCGCAGTTGTCAAGTTTATATAATTTATCTTGTGCTGTATTTTTTATGCAACTTAGAATGATAAGCAAGCTGATGGTCCACCTGATGGAAAGTGGTAATCGTCGCCTATATACATGAGCCATACCATGGGCATAACAGACTATACTGTGTCGTTCATAATATCTTTCGTGTTTTGCCATTCCTGAGGGCTAAGGTGTTATGCCTCTGAGAACTGTAATTCAAACACAACTGCTTCATGTTAGAAACAAGAATGTAATAGAGGTATCTAAGCAAACGACTTTTGTACACAGTCTCCCTTTGGTTGTATGAAAACATTTGCACACGATGGTACGTCCGTACATTGAACCCTTTCCCTTTCCCCTGGTTATATATTCTTTGGCCATACCAATGACTTACCACTTACGACTTTGCATCAAGCAGGCCGTAAGCTTGTTTGTCATTGAGTTTCATAAAAAAATTATTGAAGAATTTGTGAATAGACATTATTTGAATTTGCATAACGTACACCTTAGACCACATCGTTACTTAAGATCAGATGTTATTGTAGTCCAACGCGCTCAAATTTAATATAATAAAAAATGTAATAAATATATTTGTAAGTAACTTTTTCTTAAATATAATTAAGAAAAAGGTACTTTACCTTCATTGCCTTACCTCGCAATTTGCGTTAATACCACAAGTTCCTTCGCAAGGGTTTATACAGTGCTGATTGACGCAAGTCTGGAAGTCGCGGCATTCGCTGCTATCTAAAAATAAATAACAATAACATAATAATCTATTTCTAATGTTTATAAATTATATCATAACTAATTTGCAATTATAAAAGATAATTATAGGAAAGGCAATACAATTGGCCACTAATTTCCAAGGAGAACAGTATGGATATCTAATTTACATTAATTACTAGTAATAGAGATTAAATTACTAACAACTCCTCCCGTCCATTGACTCTAGTTATTTTATATAGGATGAAAATATATAGAAAAGCATCACCTGCGGTATACGTTCACGTTAACGGGGGATACCAGTGAGGAATCATAGATAATATATAGGTATATATATATATATATTCACCATTTAATATACTGACTAAATATACCATATCTTGCTAGCATTGGGGGACGGAATTATTATTAATCAAGAATCTAGTCTCTATGACTAGAGTCTTGATTAATAATAATTCCGTCCCCCAATCAGCAAGTGCTGAAAATGGATCGACCATGTTCATATAGATTGTGACTATAATAAATTATTGTCCAGCTCAAAGCTATATCCCTTAGCTTTGTAATACAAATACTGTCATAATAATTCGATTAAACTGAAATGTTTAGCAGTGCATAAAACTAAAATCTACCTATATCTATATACATATCAAAAATAAAAAATGCAAAAGAAAAATTAATCTACCGTGCCTACTAACTACAGGTAAACACGACATGTTAATGGGAGGATCAAAATTATTTGTCATTTTTCAACCCATGTTACCTCGGTGAAAATAATCTTTTACTCTGATTTATTTATTTATTTATTTATTTATTTGAAAAATTACTCACCACACTTACAGTTTCCCAAAACGTGTAGTGAGCCATAGTTTTATTTTACAAACTTACAAATTTTGTACAACATATTAAAAATATATTTATTTTGTCATTAAATATGTCAATATCTGGCTGCTGAGCAATCAGAGAATTGAACAGAGAAATAGCCTGATACGTGGGAGCAAACTGATAGATGCTCCCTTCAACTGAAGCTTCAACAGTTTCAATTTCACCCTATACATACTCACCAAGACATTCGATTTTGATACACTGCGACAACGGATCGCCTGAGTATCCTGCTAGACAGGCACACACGGGTCTCACGCTGCCGTGTATGCAGTGAGCACCTACACCGCACGTGTGTGGGCCGCACGTCACCAGGTTGTCAGAGATGGACCGACCATGTTCGTACAGATTGCGACCGTAATAACTTCGCGGGTAATAATTGACATAGCGATTGGCTGTAACAAATGGGAAATACATGAATTAATTAAACAATGAACGTTTTTTACACTAAAATAGTTGATTGGATTTAAATTAATCAAACATAGGTAGTAGATCCATATCGTAGATTTTTTTAATTTCGTTAATTTCGTATTATAGAAAATGGAATGGAAAGCCCGCCCACGCTATCGGTATACGCTGGCGGGGCACCAGTGAGAGATGATAGGTAAAAATGAAGACAAGTCTTTTTCTTTTTTTAATGGATTATAATGGAATGGTAGCCCCACCTGCGCTAACGGTATACGCTGGCGGAGCACCAGTGAGGAATGATAGATGAGAATGAAAAAGGCAGGTCAGTTAGCCCATCGTGATGAATATACTTGGAATTCAGCACGATGGTTTCCATGGGAAACTACAGGGAAATCAACCTGGTTGGGTAGATTACTAGCAATGGGACTGATAATCCGCATTACTAAGAATCCCCCCCTCCATATCGTAGGATAACACAGCTTAGTTTTCGATGCGGCTTATGATTTATATTCAGAAGGTAACTATAAATGCGTAAAATGATAAACACGGTAGGTAAAGTAATGAATGATAAATTGCGACTACATATATGATTGGTTAATTAATTCTTGATTAAAATAAATACCTATACTTTACACAATAATAATAAAAACTTGCTACAATACATGCCCTCGTGCAAATCCATAAAAGGCATACTAAATAAAAGATACTAAATATCATCATGTTTACATTATATCAAAGATGACTGCAAAAAACATTAGCTTATTAATTAAACTTAAACACACATATATAGCAAAATTGAAAAACTAATAATGAACAAAAACATTGCTAATAAAATAAAATAAACATCGCAATATTTCGCCCACATATTATCCATTATAAAACAAATAATTAACTATTTACACCTACATTAATTTATGCATAATCTAAATACATAATGACATCTCCGCAGCAACAACATGGTAGATATACATATATATGAAGAACAGTGATGATGACCGAAAACAATATGGTTATAGACCTTGGGCAATACCTACTGCGCTACCATAGCCATGGCCGCTGTGGTGTGTGGTGACGTGAGCGATGACGCAAAACAATGCACATGGCTGATACACAATTGTCCATATAACATTTCCGAAGATGTATCATTTACGATTTCTTATCGTACAAAGATACCTAATTATATTTCGTTTTATTCTTAATTATCGATTACCTTTTCACATTATACAACCTCCAATTCTGTACATACAACCTACAAGTCTGCCTAAAATTTAAATTATATATAATTGCCATAGAAATTACTTTTTTAACGAAATTGCTCGCTAAGTATTGAACTGCTTAATTTTTTTTTTTTTTTTTTTTTTACAACACAGGGGGCAAACGAGCATGCGGCTCACCTGATGGTAAGTGACTACCGCCGCCCATGATCACCCACAACACCAGCGGCATTGCAGGTGTGCTGCCGGCCTTTTAAAAAGGAATATACTCTTTTCTTGAAGGTTATGTTGTCGTATCGGTTCGGAAATACTGCTGCTGGAAGTTGATTCCAAAGAATGGTTGTGCGTGGAAGAAAGTGCCTTGAAAAACGCACGGTGGAAGACCGCCACTCGTCCAGATGATTGGGATGAAACTTTAGTTTGTGGCGGGTTGTACGGTGGTGAAAATCAGCAGCAGGTATCAATCCGAACAATTCCTCAGAACACTCCCCATGATAAATTCGGTAGAAGATGCACAGAGACGCAACATCTCTGCGCAGTTTCAATGGGTCAAGTCGGACAGTAAGGCGTTGACTATCGATAATTCGAGCCGCCCGACTTTGAATGCGGTCTAACGGAAGGAGTTGGTACTGTGGCGCTCCTGCCCACAGGTGAGAACAGTATTCCATATGCGGCCTGACTTGGGCTTTATATAATTTCAGGCGGTGTTCTGGCATGAAATATCGTCTCACCCTATTGAGCACTCCTAACTTTTTGGAAGCTATCTTAGCCTTCTCCTCCAGATGACCGCAAAACTGGACGTCGCAAGATATATCAACGCCCAGAATTCCTAGACTTGACTTTTTATCAAGGGAAGTGCCCTGAAAGTGAGGAGATACGACAAACGGCGTCTTTTTCAAACTTGTCTTTGTTATTTTCTCATTTCTCTTTCTTTCCTCTTTGTTCTATTCTTTCTTCATTTCATAATAGAATGTAGAACTTATAGAGTTACTATTATAAAACATGTACTTAATCCCGATTAGTATAAAATGATTTGATTGTAATAATGATTTTATGTAGTAAGACGATTTGAATCAAATCATGCTAGACGTCTCACTGCAATAACAGGGTCTGACTTACATAGCCTTTTTTAAGGTGCTAATTTTTTTTTTGTACCACGTATTTGCCAAACAAGCATACAGCCCGACTGATGGTAAACGGTCACTGTACTGTACCGCTATAGTGACTAGCTAATATCTAGACTCTACCACTATCGATCCCTCCCTCTCCCCCTTATAATAGCTAGATTAGAACAAAAGCTACACAAAAGAATGTAAACAACACCTCGCCCACATTATATCATATCCTACCATGTCCTTCTGTTCATTAATGGACGGAACTAAAGCTCAACTTTAAATACATAATCGTTTTGTTATACATAATATATGCGAGCGTAGGATGTTAGATGATTCCGCGTGGTTAACTTATAGTGGCAACCTTGGGTAACAAACATTGTGAATTATACAGTTTTACGTAAATAAAAGTAGAACAATAGTGTAATAAAATGTATGTATTTATTTATTTTAACGAATAGTTTCATAACGAAGTATGTATATAATATATATACCTATTATACTAACCTACAAGTATTCTATAAAAAAGTTAGAAATATTAGTATTATATCCATAATATTAATATTAGTATAATTACCATCACTGAGCTGAACAATATATATTTATTCTTTTTGTATAGGAAAAACGAAGTTTGAGAAAAAAAAAATGATATCTACCCCTAAATGAGTAAGTAGGTAAAAAAAGTTAAAAATTAAAAATGGAATTCTATTGATTTTTTAAAATTCATAGGTCAACGTAGATTAAAAAGTCATTTTCTAAATAACCTTTATTAAAAGACTATTTTTTCATCAGTTACTCAGAAGATATTTGTATCCTGACGATAATAACGTCGTTCTGTCTTCCATAGTTTAGTATTAATATAAGGAACCTTTAAAATATTTATATGCTTATATGTATCTCTATACGATACGAAAACAATACATCATTGAAAACAGCGAATGCCGAATATCTCTGTTTAAATTAAACAAGACTGGAACTACTTGAGAAATGTCTGAAGGTGAAGAGTGCAATCGCGCAATATTTATCCAAGAGGTTACCTTCTGATTTCGTTAATGCAAAAAAAATAATATTATATATACAATAATCCAGACAATTTACTATCTTCATCGAAAATGAAAAGATACAATTATTAATGTATATTATAATATTTTTATGATTAAACTTATTTAAAATCGGTTTTGAATAGTCATTGTAATAAGCAATAATTACAAAATTGTAAAGAATTATTGATGAGTAGTTATTGTTAAAAATATGAAAATAATTAATAAAAATATATTTCAAATTTGCGAACATTATACCTTATTATAGAAAAAAAAAAACAATATCATTATTCTTACCTTCAACTTCAATATGTAAGAAGCTGAGAAGCGCAACTTGTGCTATAAACAGTAACCTGTCTCCCATCTGTAATAAATCATAAAGTCTCTATTTATTGCAAACAATATTTTTTTATATATATGTATGCATTATAATTATAGAAAATACTTTTTATATAATTATAATGCATACTTTTTATAATCTTAATAAAAAATATTATTATTAAATTTGTATTGATTTTATTATAATAAAATGCATCGACCCAATGAAGCGAACAAAATAATTTGATCCTTCCAGCCAGATATAACTAATTCGTAAACATAAAGGTAAATAAAAACTAAAAATTGTAAATAATCCTAGTTTTTTATGTAAATATATGGTTTCAAAACTTAAATTTTATTTAAGTTTTGTAAATAAGTTTTCATCTCTGTCGAAGTCTATGTAAAGTTACGACAACCAATCAAATTAGTTTTAATTGCCTCTTGCAAAGTTATAATAACTGGTGGTAAGAAAGTAGTTATAAGAAAATTTTGGTTACAAAGTTCACTATTATTTATACATACTAAAAGAATTCATTTAATAATTTTTTTTTAGTTGTTAACGTAATTGTCTATTTACAAGTCTAATATATTTGGTGTTTAAGTTCTTTAAAGTATTACAGAACATCTTTTTGTAAAACAAACTCAAATATAAGCAACCTATTTTACTAATGTCGATAATAACCAATTGAGATTTCATAACAAAACTTCAAAAGAAAAAGCAATAGGGCTAGATGCCCCATTTTGGGATACTCATAGAGATTATGTAATAAACAAGTTATAGATTGACCTTGCATTAAATATCTCATGAGTGGACCATTGTATGTCAGAATACACAATAATTTAACAAGTTGATTCCACAGTCTACCCTAGGCTCAAAAGCTAGGACGTGACTTGTATTTCCAAATTATGAAATTCTGGCCATTTCATAATTTGCACCCGTTTCTTGACCACGTTCGAAATTCCGAGATAAAGATATATATAAAAAAATATATATAGAATAAATCTATACACGCTTACTGTACTTATACAATTGTATCGTTATGTTTGTAAATTGTCTTGTTTATTTCGTATATTGTATAATGCAAATAAAGTATACTCATTCATTCATTCATTCATTCATTAAATAATTCAAAGTAGTTAATTTTGAGGTATGCCAATCAAATAAACTCTAACAGTAGTATTATTGTTATTTTAAATTAAATTAACTGTCTGTCACTCAACATTGGTTGAGATAAATTTATTTATATTTTTTATTATTAGCACCTGTGGAATTTTGAATAATATAACTAAAAAGGACGAAATGTGCGTGTATAAATATCACCTGATTTGAATTCTTTCCAACTGCACAATAATTAATAATACACATACTTCTGTAACAATTTGCAACTTTCTAATAAAATTACCAACCAAATGTCTAAATATGAAGTAAATGTTTAATAATAACAATATAAAAAAAAAACAAGTATTTTTTATGCATAATTCATCAAAAATCCGTCTAGAATAATGTATGTATGTATGAATGTATGCAGTTTTTTTTAATTACAATAATATATAGGTAACTAACTTAGATCTTTCGTAATATATTCGTATATACTACGAGTATATTAACATCTTAGAAAGTAAATATTTTATCTAAGAAATTGCTAAGTACTTATTTTTAATAAGTGATAAACAATCTCATTGAATAAAAATAACTACTTGTACCTTACTTCAATACTTTTTTAGTTAAGTATGCGAGAGCACACGTTAACTTAGACAATTAATTTTAATTTGCCGCCAAAATTTCACTTCACAAAGTAATATCACCGCACAAAAGACACTTACGCTGATTACTCGTCTGTGTTACAAAGAGGAAAACAAACTTGTGATTATAGCACAGCGTCCTTATACCACCTTTGGCGCCTACGCTTCTACCTACCAATGTTACCTTTGCATATTTTTTTAATTTATTTTTACAAAGACTGCTTTATTGAAACGATTTTTAACATGGATACCTACTTCTGGCTCTAAGGGTAGACATTTATTTCATTCAAATTAATTACCTATCTATGTACATATAAAATTCACTAGAATATATTTATTTATTTAAGTAAAATAATATTACTTAAAATATGAAATATGTTCATGGATGTAGGGTTAATTTACATAATATAGGTTAATTTAAAGATATTGAGTCTACAGATATTTAACTACAGTATTTACTATAATGAATAATCAGGTGCTTACTTTTTAATTGCTGATTCATAAAGTATATTTACCTCTCCCACCATATTTGGTATATTACGTACGTTGCATTACAACTTAGTAGGCAAGTACGAAAAATGACGTCATATTATATTCGCGATAACACCTACCGGATATATAGTTACTATTATGGATATTTTCTTAGAATTAAGGAAAATACGAATAATTTACTTGATTAATTTTCAACCGACTTGAAAGGAAAAGATTCAAAATTTGACTGTGTTTTGCTTAACTGATTTTGTTGATTTTTTTATTATAGTTATCTACATACTGGGAATTGAGCCAGAAACCTCATTTAAGTACCACTATGCTAAAGCGTTAAAACTATCACATTGGGATTTTTTTTATGGGTGCAAATGGAATAGTAACCCCACCCGCGCTATTGGTATACACCGGCGGGGCACCAGTGAAGGATGATAGGTGAGGATGAAATAGGTTAGCCCATCGTGACGAATTCAACAAGAATTGTTCACGATGATTTCCAAGGGGAACCACGTGGAGGTCGACCTAATAAGGCATATTACTAGCAATGGGACTGTGAAACTCCATTGCTAAGAATCCCTTTCCCCCTTATCACATTGGGTTATATCTTTAATATTAGCTTATACTGGTCATTTTCCAATAGCTGGTTTGCAATTACAAATCATATTAAAAACTAGCTGATGCCCGCGATTTTGTCCGCGTGGTATATTTTATTCCTGTTTAGTATGTATCGATGTATGTACCTACCTATATATTTATTATGTCTGAGAATACTGGACCAAAATTAATAATAAATGACGTGTAGTTCTCACTCTTTGCCTTAGATCAAAATGACTTTAAGTACTTAAGTAGTTACTATAGTTTTTAACTATTCCACGAAAACTCTTTAATTTACTATGATTAAAAATATCTAGAATGTTGACCGGGTAAGGTACCACCATGCAAAATTTCATTTAAATCGATCCAACAGTTTCAGAGATTAACCCATACAAACATGGGGGATGTTAGAAGTGAAGTGTGTTTTACTTCACTTCTAACATCCCCCTGAGTCGGTTTTTAGCGTTTTTTTTTTTCTATATACAGAGATCTTTATATAATTGTATTGGATACTATAATAACCCCTTTAATTCAATTATATTAAATTTATGAATCAGCCAGTTATTTAATCCCAATTTACACTTCTCTCTAAATACTTAATTGTCTATGCAGGTAATAAATCATCATCATCATCATCTCAACCATTATCTGTCTACTGCTGAACATAGGTCTTCCCCATATAATGTTATAAGGATTGGTCCTGAGCCACCTGTATTCTTTTTTTTTTACAACACAGGGGGCAAACGAGCATGCGGCTCACCTGATGGTAAGTGACTACCGCTGCCCATGGTCACCCACAACACCAACGACATTGCAGGTGTGCTGCCGACCTTTTAAAAGGGAATATGCTCTTTTCTTGAAGGTTATGTTGTCGTACCGGTTCGGAAATACTGCTGCTGAAAGTTGATTCAAAAGAGTAGTTGGGCGTGGGAAAAAATGCCTTGAAAAACGCATGGTGGAGGACCGCCACTCGTCCAGATGGTTGGGATGAAATTTTAGTTTATGGCGGGTTGTACGATGGTGAAAATCAGTAGCAGGTATCAATCCGAACAATTTTTTAGAGCACTCCCCATGATAAATTCGGTAGAAGATGCACAGTGATGCAACATCTCTACGCAGTTTTAGTGGGTCGAGCCGGACAGTAAGGCACCGATCGTCAACAATTCGAGCTACCCGACTTTGAATGCGGTCTAACGGAAGGAGTTGGTACTGTGGCGCTCCTGCCCCACAGGTGAGAACAGTATTCACTGTATTCACTGAGTCCTTGCAATTTGGATGAGAAGACGTGGTGTGATTTTCCGAATGCTGTCCAGCCGAGTTGGATTCATCAGTTGACCTCTTGATCGAAAATGGATTTACCTAGTCAAACAAGTTGTCCCAGGTATACATACCCGTCGACAATTTCGTGCGTAGTGTTCTCAATCGTAACTAGTATAGGTGTGACATGGACATTAGACATGATTTTAGTTTGTCCATGTTCATCTTAAAACCTACCTGTTGAGAAGCACTATTAAGGTCAATTGAACATAGTAGTCCCAAAGAGGGTTGACGTCAGGCAGGCGGCCGGTCGTAAAACTATAAGCTAAATCCTTTTGTAATATGGATAAAACCATATTACGCCGACCCCAAATAATAATTGGGATAAGGGTAGGAAGATTATGATGATGAACATAGTATTCAAGTCCTCCAAGTGTATAGGTAGATAATAAATATTATATAACAAAGAACTGATCACTACTTTTATGCTATTTATATCGATTATGTGAGATGTAGGTGGCGAGATGACCAATTAATATGTAATAAATGGCATAGCAACAATCTTAATATTGGCACTTTTAAAATATTATGAGAGATGCCTATCTAAATTTTAATTTATCTTATTCTAGCTATTTGATAGTTACTTTGTACGCGTGGATAGAAGAAATAAGAAAAATCAATGAAGTAGACGTCTTCTAGATATCGTCGATACGTATCGAGATAAAAAATACAATGGTTTTCAAGTTCTACTATGTTACTTTAGAAACTCATTTATGAAAACAACGCATCCAATTTGGTGCAGTAATTTTTGCGAAATGTAAATTAACATACAAAAATTTAAAAAAAAAATCTTTTGTTTATTATTATTATTTATTTATTTATTACTTATATTAAAAACACTCATATTTTTTTAAATATCTCCCATGTACTGTATATATGCAGACATCATTTAGTTACAATTTTATTATATTAAGTAAAATAAGCATTTCCTTGTTTTCAATTTAGGTGATATTTTATTAAACAAATAATCGAATTACATTCTAATTAAAATATTATTCAATTTTGGCAATTAGCTTTGCTCACGATTTCATTTATATGTACCTAGTCCAAATTACTTAGATGAAATGGATTTGTTAGTAATAGAATAGACACTAGTCGCTCCCATTGCTATTAACGTATACTGACAAATCAGCCTCCGCGCGGCTCCCCTGGATGCCATTGTAGTTTATTCTTGTCAAATTCATTGAATGGGGTTACTGAACATCTTACTACCTTCTCACCTGCCTCATCAATGTTTCGCTGTCATATCCAATAAAGGCCTCCGTCTATTATCATTCCATTACCATACACAAAAAAAAAATCAATTTACGTACCTTACTTCCTGAAACCATAATGTGTTTTTTTTTTTCTTATTACAAGAAAACACATGTGCCTACATACAACTTAACCTGCGTTAAGTTTATTAAAATGAATATTATATAAATAGTATAGTATATTAAACAGGTATAGTTTCATACATAAAAGTGCCCGATGATAAAGCTCCGGAGAAATAATGATCTTAAATACCAAGTTTAGCATAAGTTTTTGGTAATGAACATCGGACGGAACATTCTAATTTTTTCAGCTACCTACTGACTCACTGTAGCTACGACCCGGCCCACATATCGATTACGTAAGATACCAAATGTTACAATTCTAACTCGATAAGGATGTCCATGGATAAAATTGCCAAATACTCTATCCGTTTTGTCTTCGTGGGCTTTTTTATGCTACTTAGAATGAGAAACAAACTCACTGACGGTTTACATATTGAACTCATATTTTTTTTTTGTTGGTGGTTAGTTCGGGACACCAGTGAGGGATGATGAGTGAGATGAAAAGGTAAGTCAATTAGCCCATCGTGAAGAACACACCTGGATTCATGACGATGGTTTACAGCGGGGACCACGTGGAGGTTGACCTAACAGGGTATATTACTAGCAATGGGTCTAGTACGCATTACTAATAATCCCTCCCACCGCCCTCCCATATAAATCACTAAAATGTTATGCCTTTGAAGTCTGTAATTTAGCCGCCCGATTGCTTACAAGCATAGCTGCTTTTAGGCAACAGAAACAATAGTGAAACAGAGATATTCATCAAGACAATTTTTATACTAAATCTCCCTTTGAAAATAATGTAGTAGCAGTAATATATAATATATTGATATATTAGCAAAGATGGATAAAAAAAATCAAACACATATATATATATATATATATATATATATATATATATATATATATATATAGAGAGAGAGAGAGAGAGAGAGAGAGAGTAGTAACAAGTGGAAATATAGGTAACCAAGTTAAAAGGAGACGCAAATTTATACTAATATCCAGTATAAGTTTGCTGGTTGCGTATCCACAATAATAGTCATAAATATAGAAAGGCGAAAGAAATCAGTGTAAATTAGAGAATTTGGTGATCTAATATTTCCGTCTACCTCAATGAAACACAGGTCTGAAGTTATATGTATTTTTTATATTCTTCATCTTACTTGCGGAACTACTATAAAATAAATATGCATTACTTGCTGCCAGTCAGATAAACCTCCACGCATTCCCCCTAGAAGCGATTGTGATTAATTCCTGATAAGTTCGTCACAATACAACTTAAAAAATAAAAAAAAAAAAATATTTAGGGGTGGGTCTCCCTTATCATTTACGGGTATGAAAAATAGATGTTGGTCGATTCTCAGATGTACTCGATATGCATACAAAATTTCATAAACACCGCGACACGAGAATTTTATATATTAGATATTAAAATCTAGATTCTACAAAAAAGTCTAAAATACTGTATAGTAAATAACACCTACACAGAATTGAAGGGAATGTTAGTAATGGGGTCTAACTTCCCTTATTGCTAGCAATAATCCTATCAGATCGACTTTCACGCGGTTCCCCCTGGAAACCATAATGGTTAATTCTAGTGGAATTCGTCACGATGGGCTAACTGACCTGCTTCCATTATTTCCTTTCCTATCATTCCTCACTGGTACACTACTACGTATACCGATAGTGCAGGCGGGGTTACTATTTCATTATCTCCCCGTTCAAAGAAAAAAAGATAGAATAGAAATAATAAAATCATGGCAGAAAAATAAGCTGCACTCAATTGTTCCTTTGTTATTCTCGTTGTGTAATAAACAATTATTACTACTTAATACAAATCTAACACGAAATCTTTGTATCTGATAACGACAAGAAAAAAAAAATTGTGATTCCAGACAAATTATCATATTGAAGACTAGGCAGCATGGTCCTGTTAACCTGTTACACAACGGAACAAACGTACTAAAAAAATTATAACATATTTGGCAATGACATATTGATGTAAGGACATACTTTTCCAGACAAATTATCATATTGAAAACTAGGCACCATCGTCTCCGACCTTAGCCTGTTCCACAACGGAACAATCCTACTAAAAAAAAAGTAAGGACATGCGGATGACATTTATCAATGCAGTGTTGCCAAAAAGTTATACTTCCTACATTTTATGTAACTGTTAAGGATCTACTTAAAATTTGTAATTCTTTTCGAGTACATTTTTGATTATTCAAAGATTTACTTAATATTTACTAGCTGTACCCCACAGCTATCCATGTGCATTAGTGTATAAAGTATCCTATATACTAAGTTAGAATATAGATATAACCTACCCATTTAACAAATTTCATTCAAATTCGATGAATTGTTTTTGCATAATAGAGTAACAAACATCCATAAATCCATCCTTACAAACCTTATATTAATTAATAGGATACATTACAAAAATTAATTTATCCAGCTTGACAGTTTTTGTACATAATAAAAAAACAAATTATAATTATTAAAAAGTACCCTCCATACACAATTGCCGCTTGAACTTACCCTTTTTTTATTATCTGCAGTACAATGTCCAATGTAACTTTGACCAAAGTGTTCTGGCGACACTGCATGAAAATGACATCTTTCATCCTTCACCTTCAGTCATCAGGTTTAGTTCAATTTCTTCAATATGTATTGATAATAACAGATTGAAGTACTATACTAGATGAACTAAATTTAATTCAGCATTTAATAGTAAATAATAGTTTTATAACTTTATTAAAAGATGTCCGCAAGCAAACTAGATGCAGTATACAGAAGTATTCTTATCACAAAATTTTTTACAAAAGGCTGGGGCAAACCGGAAAATTTACGCAGGTTACAAGAGAATAAATTCTTTAATTCACATGTAATTAATATAAATACAACAAATTTATTGTTAGATTATTATTACATAACTAAATTTTTAATTTCTAGGTTGTTTGAATTCAGAAAAGTAGTATCAGATCGCGAGGAATGCCTCAAATTGATTGATAGAGATTACCCTGTTACTATTACAAAAGTAAGTATTTTAGATCATGAATAAATATTTATAACTCATCTGAATATAAAGTATTATTCTTATAAATAAAAAAGAATACAAATGTGTTAAAATATGAGACAGTTTCTGAAATGTTCTATTCCAGAATGTAATTGCTTATGTAACATTTATTTACACTTTTTTCTGGTCAATAATAAGAAAATATGATCTGACATAGTAATAAACAGAAGTATTTTTTATCATATAAATAAATTTTCAATATTTTCTTACTACTCTAGAGGAAATCTTGACATTTTCTTCATTTTGGATAAGGCAGTCTATATTTTTCATGTCAAAGAATAAATTGCACATAAACATTTATGTATTCAAATAAAATCTTTACAGGAACAAAACTTATCAGATTGCAAACTATTAGAAGGTTATTTTTTGTCACCTTTAGAAAAATTTTTACCTGGAATAGTGCCTGAAGTAGCACAAAAGGCCCATTTTCAAGCATTGTTGCCAATGCACTGGCAGGAGAAAGGATATAACCCTGTATGCCTACACCTTGCAGGCACAGGAGATCATGTAAGTAACTCTAAATCACTTATTCCTGAACTTGAGTGTAGTAAACATAGGAAATTAATATAAACTAAAAGTAATAATAATGTATCTTTTGTTTATCTTTCACAAAACTATTACACTAAAGTTAACTAAATAAAAGTAGTCTTATTCACATATTGTTAACTTAGATTTTTTTAAACAAATTGTTCCAATGTAAGTTCAAATTTTTAATTTATTAAAACTGGTATTAATTGGTAGAGCCCAATAGATTACTAAAATTTTCTATCTAAAAAAAATGTGTAAAATAGATCCATTAACACTTTCCTTTACTTTTCAAAGTTTAGAACTTCACCGAAAAAATTAAATGAAAATTCCTTAATAAATTTTATTGTTATTCTTCTTCTTAGTAGTTTATCTGAAAAATCTAGAATGCTAGTCTATTCTAGACTTTTAATGTAGATATGATTATTACTCCTATTATTATGATTATATTAATATTGTCGTCACTGTGTTATCACTTATTTCAATATGTATATATATATATATATATATATATATATATATATATATATATATATATATATATATATATATATATATATATATTCATATACATGTTACTTGTTGTTCATTTATCTCAGAACACTGTCATATAACCAATTAGGAAAAAAATTATCTGAAAGGATATACCTTCTGATTGGTCTTATAAAAAATTCGTCAAAATCAGTTTAGTAGTTCGGTTTATAAATCTAATTTATTTTTGCCAGAATTGTGTAAAGGATTTTTTTTAATAGAACACAATCTACCTGTTGGTATTACACATTACACATTTAAAAATATAAATCAATATATTTTTCATCTGTATTTTGTACTGAGCTGAAAATCGTATAAATAAAATAACGTGTAGGTAAACAGGTCTAATTTCGGCACCGGAACATCATGAATGTAAACAACTAATATCTAATAATTAATTATACCAATCAAATTGGCTCTAACGACACTTATCTTACGATTCATTCTTGTTGCACTATATCTTGACACTATCTGATTTATCGTGTGTGGTATGTATCTATAGTATATGAACATAACAACAACAGCTAATGACCTCAGAGAAAATTGGCAAAGCTCCATAATTTTTATACGCATGCGTCATTATTATCTGTGGTAATGATTATAAACAAACAAATTTATTTATTTTGGTCATGTTTATCAATTTTGAAAAATACAATTTTAATTTATGAATAAATTTCCTTATTATAATGACCCATTTGCGAGTATTACTACTATTTACTACTTACAGGGTACTAGAAAATTTTTACTCTTCCGACAACTTCAACATGAAGTTTCCATATTAACTATATTTTTTGTGATATTTTTGCTAATTCTGAATAGATTTTGATAACACATTTTTTTATTTAAAAAAGATATGTATTGATAAAATAAATACATCTAATGAAATTGAAATATAAAATATTTTTTAAAGGCATAAATACTTATTTTTACATTTATATAATAATAGTCGCCCGAATCCACCACATCAAGCCAGCTCGAGCCAGTGTACCCAAGATGCTTGGATTGCTAAACTTATTCTTCGTTTATCATATTAATTATGATAAAATAAAAACGCAGAAAATAAATTACGATTATCTGATCAAGAATTAAATTATTTATTACAAAGTTCTCTACCAAAGCCAATGATTTAATAACACCTATATTTTTTAATTCGTATAAATTATTTGGACGATTCTCTCGTATTTGACGGTCAAAATGTTTAATCTACAATTTAGAGAGAAGGAGAGATTATTAGTAGTGGGGACGTTATTCTTTGCTAACAATATTTTCTGATAAGTCGACCTTTAAGCGGACCCCAGTGAAACTCATCGTGATTAATCTGTATTGAATTCGCCATGAAATACCCGTGCGGTCCCGGCATAGAATAGACCACCCCTTCCTTTCCCGTAGGTGTCGTAAGAATCGACTAAGGGAGGGCGAGGGATGGGCAACAGCATCCCTCTTAAACATCTCTTAAGCTTAACTGCGGTTGCCAATCCATCTGCCAAGCGTGGCAACTACTGGCAGAACCCCCTAAGGGGGAGGCTTATGTTCAGTAGTAGACGATTAAAGGCTGATATGATGATGATGAATTCGCCATGATGGGCCAACTGACTACATCATCCTTGTTGTTTTATCTTTCACTATACTCCATTGGGTCATTTAAAAAATAATAGTCAACTTCAAATATCTACAAAACGTATTTCCTTCCAGTTTTTTTGGCGACGGCGGAACCTGATGGTCAAACCATTATTGAAAGAGGCAGGAATAGGTGGAATAATATTGGAAAATCCATTCTATGGACTTCGGAAACCCACGGATCAAGTGTGAGTGCAAAATAATATATTATCTCATAAGTGTATAAAATATATACATTTTTAGGCAGTTTGGAATAGAAGACAAGGAGTTTAAATATTTATTACGAATTTTTAAAGCTAAGTAACCTACTTAAGTAAGAACTTAATTAAAAGAGAGATGGAAAGGTGCACTTCCACAATACCTGCATCGATGTACTTTCGTGTTGTATTATCTGTAATATTGTTTATTTTCACATGCTCACATGACCATATTTTCGGTCATGATTAGAAATAAAATACTTATAGCGATAAAATCATAAGTATCGAAAAACTTATTCAATTCTATATAATGCTGAGTCCTTTTTTTTACCAAAACTAGCTGAGGGTAAAAATCAATAATTTAATATGACATATTAAATTATTGATTCACGAGAAAAATCACTAAATGTATATCAATAAAATTTTATAATTGAGTACGTATTAGCCCAACTAAAAATCTAGTATTTTTTATCAGAATCGATCGAGGGTATAATGAAATATAGACCGCTCAACCGCTTTTTAAAAAACCCGCTAATTTCTTTTTTTTTTATTAAAAGTTTTTAATAAAAGCCCCCGAGTAGTTTACGAATAAATACTTACATCGTCCAATATTTGACGTCAATATTAATCACATAGATATAGGAATTAACAATTAATTGCGACAACCGCACAGATTTCCCCGGCATGACTATTCTTATATAAATAAAACAATAATATTCTTTACTTACACTATATTTGTTAAATACATGCATTGATGTATTTAATGACAAATTAAATACATTTTTTAAATGTTGTTTAAAATTTTTAAGTTTCGAAAATAAACCTATGGCTCACTACACGATTTGGAATACTGTAAGTGTGGTGAATAATTTATAAATAAATAATTATTGTGTGATTGCAGACGTTCGTCACTTCATAATGTATCAGACATTTTCGTAATGGGCGGCTGTCTTATCTTGGAGTCGCTGGTGCTATTCCACTGGTGCGAGCGCAACGGTCTCGGCCCACTGGGTGTCACAGGACTATCAATGGGTGGGCATGTTAGTATAAATATTCTGAATTTATCTCAATAGATATAACAAGTGTCACTGTTAAGAACCTAAGTAAAAAAATTACAATGTTCGATGCCGCGTTATTGCTGTGATTTAAAGATTAAAGAAGTTGGTTGTTAGATAGATGTGATTAAAGAAATTATTAGATAATTGTATTTATCTTAAATGTCTACATTTATATTTTATTTCAATGTATTAAATGAGGTTACATCAATAGTTTAATCAAATGTTCTTAGTAAAAATTACAAGTTTTCTTCTTTGCAATCAACAGTCCAGTTCTGAACTACTAATACTAGTAAAATATTAAATAGAGTAGTGAAAGCAATGTAAACATTAAAAACATAACCTATGATAATATTTACACTGCTCACATAGACACCCTTTTTGCCTCGTTTATATCATCTAACGATATCTTCACGACCTTAGTATTGTAGAAATTTAATATATGACCTTATATAACAATATTCGTAGATTCGATCCCTATAAAATACTACCATTTCATTCATGACAATATCTTGTATTGGTCGAGGTATTTCCTATCTATTACATGTATTACCAAAGGGAGACTTTCTACAAAAGTCGTTTCCTTGGGCACCTCTGTCCCATTCGTGTTTCTACCGTGAAGTAGCTGTGTTTGCATGGCTGTGTTTCGGTTTAAAGGGTGACATATGGCAGTAAATTTACAGGGTATAGAGGAATAACACATGAGTCCTCATGGCAACGCATGGGGAGTATCATGGGCGAAACAGTATACTCTGTTATGTCCATAGTATCGCTCATCTCTATAGGTGACGGTCACCACTTTCCATCAGGTTGTTGGCCATTCTAAGTTGAATAAAAAAATGTATGTATTTATAAAACAAGTTATATCAATGGCTTAATATCCATCATAGAAGCTCTACTTAGTTTGGGACTAGATAACGCTGTTATATGTCCAGAGCTATTTATTTGTTTGAATATAAACATAATACATAGGATAATATTAATCACTTCATATTACATAATAGTTAATAGATATTGTTGTACATTTTATTTTCTTGTACACTAATATTTGTAACAAAAAATAATGTAGGCTTCTATATTTATATATTAACATTTTTAGATGGCATCACTGGCAGCGACGAATTGGCCCAAGCCCTTAGTACTTGTTCCTTGCCTGTCCTGGTCTACAGCATCTGCAGTATTTTTACAGGTAACATTAAATTCTTATTAAAAACTTTATCATCGGAGTACTTCCTTTAGTCCAATACAAGTTTTTTTACGTAAAAAAATTGTATTATTTCTCTATATTTTACACCACGTCTTTATGGAAGCTTACTTGCTTCAAATTCTCTAATTATATCATAAAATCTAACGACTCGCTAATTACAAAATCTCCAACAACCTTTTCCAAACTTCGGATACTTCCGCTTCTATTCCTATAACACATATCAAATAACAAGAATGGAACACCTAACAAATAAATTAATAATTTTATGAATAATTTCTTTTCCTTTCTTTCTTTCTTTCAGTGACTTCAACTCTTAATCAAAATCTCTAGTACCATAAAGCTTACAACTTACAGTTTTATAGGATGTTCCTCACGTAGATGTAGAACTAAAAGTTTTTAGAAAGTCCTATGACATTAGGAGTAAATGAAACAAAATCTTGCAGGAAAAGCCACGTCGTTACCTTCTGACAGTATCAGGTTTATGATTAAAGGTTATGTTACTAATCACCAAAATCGGTTTAAATTAAAAATATATCTATCATCATACACAAATATCCTCATACACACGTGAATAAATTCGAGAGCCTTCTCCAGTGTTTTGAAAAATAATGGCTAATTATTATTTCAGGGTGTAATGTCACACTCAATAAACTGGGACTTGTTGGAGGACCAATACCTATCAGATGGCGCCTACAGGGAGAAACTATCCAAGATGGTCACAATAATCGACGAGGCATTCCTGGCCGGCAAAAAGTTCGCACAAACATACTCTAAGAGTATGGATAAAAACACACAAACAACCGCACAAGAAAATAAAACATCAGTGAACAGTGTTAAGTGTAATATGACAGAAAAAGAACTAGATATTACGTACAAAGAATCTAGTCATACAAAATTAGACGCACCAAATGGTATAGATGTTAGTAAAAATTTAGTATTAAATAACGAAGTGCCTAAAAATGCTATACGAACAGACTTGTTTCAGCAAATAGAAAAATTAAATGAAGAACTAAAGAGATTACTGGAAGAGGGTAAAATTAGTAGGGTTTTATATGAAAAATTGGTATCAAATGACAAATTCGAATTGAATCCGGAAGAAATAGAAAACATTAATAGATTAAATGAAGAGAACATCAAAGAAATAATAATGAAATGCAAAATCGGTAAGTATTTACTTACAACAATTGTAAATAAATAAATATAATTTAAAATTTATTTTATGTAATCAATCAAAATTTTGTTAAACTTTTACAGATACTCTTAAAATTGATTCCAGTAAAGCACAACTGCAAACAGCAGAAACAAATACATCATCGAATGGAACAATACAAAAAAACATATCTACAGATGTTATATTACAAAAAAATCCATCCATAGAAGATAAAGCAACTACTGTACATATACAAAAAACAGTCAACACTCCTTCGGATAAAGAAGTCAAAAGTAAACCAGAGAAGAAATCATGGAATGTCTCTGACTTGACTTCCGATTTTTGGGTACATTTGCCATTTTTAAGATCAAGTGGGAAGAAGATAGATATAAGCAAAATCCATTGGAGAGACAGAGAAGCGTTACAGTTTATGAGAGGCATCATGGACGAGTGTACGCACTTGAGTAACTTCTCTGTACCATACGACACATCGTTGATTATAGGTAAATTATTTATTTTACCACTTGAAGTTCTAACCTCATTGAACTTATAATAAATTATTCTTTTTTACCACGTAAATTTGTTGAAATATCTCAGTTGACTATAAACAGCGTGATACCATGCACGCTCAGTAAATGTTATGTATATAAATATTTTCTAAATAATGTCTTGACAAATATAGTTAGTTATATTCATTAGATAATTGATTTCCAAACCGAATTAGAACATAAAAATCCACGTTATGAACATCAATGTGTGTAATAGTAATTAAATTTTGTTCGCAGTTTTAAAAGACTAGATTTCATTTCATAAAATAATTATTATATTATAGCCTTGAAGTTTCAATACTACAGTACTGATTACAATACATTTTAATACAAGACAAATTAAAATACATTTTAATTTCTGACTATAGGTTTCATGTACAATTTTTTGTTTTGACCTATGGTTAATTGGCAGAGAATGCCACTTACTATTTATGCTAACCAATAAAATATTAACTAAATAAATATTGTCGGCAGCGGTATGCGCGAAGCACGACGCGTACGTACCGCGCGAGGACGTGGGCCGGCTCGAGGAGATCTGGCCCGGCGCCGAGGTGCGCTACGTCGACGCTGGACACGTTTCCGCCTACATACTGCACCAGTCGCTCTTCAGGTATATACCGATCGTATCTTTTATATTTTACATACTGCCATACCAACTTTTACCTTCATAAGGAGGTAATTTTACCAAGTACCAACAACACCAGCAATACAATCTTTTCTAATATAGTAAATGTGAGTTTGTTTGTTACCTCAGTCGTCTAGAAAATTAGAGGCATACACTTTTTTTTTTTTATAGAGAAGGATTTTCTTTTTACCATGGTCGAGGAATCAAGTCACAAACAAAAACTAATAAAATAAAATAATTATATTTTAATTACAAAATATATAGTCAGTCATCATCGCCATATATAGTCATTTAATTTACAAAATGTTTATAAAATTATGATTCAATCTTTTTACACAGATCCTGTATAAAGGAAGCTTTTGAGCGATCGAAAAAGAAATGGAAGGACGGCAAACACATTAACTGACAAATATTTTCAAGAAGCCTAACGGCATCCACGTAGCTAATGTGAAGTTCCTAAGCCGCTTAGTTGCTCAATGTTAACAAGTGAATAGTCGCAAGTCCCAAAACTAATCGTTGGTTAAATTATTGTAAATTACATATAATTTTATAGTATATATTAGATAGAATTTATTGTATTCTCTATTTATACAACTCAATTTTTTATACCACAAAACTAGCTCATTATCTAGTCTATACATTTAGTAAAATCTACCTTCTATGTATTATTAAATTGTATTTTCATGCATTCTATAAATTTTGGAATCAATAACATTTATATAGTAAGTAGATTGGGTTTTGTTTCACAATAATATTACTATAAATAAGGACGTTATAAAGGGAACTTTTCCTTTAATATGAAGTACAAAAATTAGTTTTAAAACTTGAGAGTGATAATATTTACAGTCGCGCAATATCTTTTCGGTAGAATTTATTACCAACTCTCGTGTAAATAAGACGTTATTCTCTATTGAGAATATTATAAAGTGTAACTATATTTTTATAAATAAATATTGTTTTTATTTTCAATCCTGTTTTATTTTTATTAAAGCTATTTGGGTACATAAATGTGTAACGAGCATAGCACCCAAAATTACAATAACCTCTGGCCAATAACTTTTGGGAGATACGTTATATGCTCAAAAAATGACTGAAAATATGTTTCGAACATAGCATCAGTATACGGGGCTTTTCATCGCATTGTCAAATAATTTGAAAGAAATGGTATAAAATAGAATAGTAATAAAAATAAGATAGATGGATACCTCATTTGCCCAGAACTGTATGTAAATCTTACTAGAAATGTAATGCCCGGGTTACATAAAAATAAGATAGATGGATACATCATTTGCCCAAGAATGTCCGTAGATGTTATAATAGCGTAATATTCGAGGCACTTGTAACTATTTTTCTAAATATCTTACAAGAAAATGCCTGATCTTTGATACTTACATCGCAAAATATGGATGGACTTTGTGAATGATATGGCCAGAATGGAGTGAATATAGAATTGGCTGCGAATAGAGAAGAATAGAAGAGAAAAACATTACGCCAACCCCAAATAATAATTGGGATAAAGATTGAGAGTTTTTTTATTATTATTATTTTTAAGGGCTATTACCTTCTTCAGGTATATCAGCCCTATCGTACACTGAACTGATTTATCAAATAAAACTATCTACTTTCCCTAGACATGGAAAGAGTGGAATTAATGAGTATCAATAATTTACAGAGATGTTCAAAAATTTCTGGTTTAGGTTCAGCTAATATAGATTGAATAAAACCAACATTAAAATTATTTAAAGTGGCGCATGAATTGTTCTCTTTCCTTCATATTTATATGACACTAATAGTTGCACATCATCGATGGTATCACAAGTTTGACAATGGGGTGACCAGGACTTTCCCATCATATGTGCAAATTTTTTTGATAGATCGAAGACGAACAGCTAATTTAATATTATATCTATTGATTTTAATTCCACAAAACCAAGGAAAATGTGGAGGTTCAGCCTGAATAGTTTTATACCAAATACCTTTTTTTTTAAATTTCGTTAAAATATTTTTTCCAATATTTTTGACATTATTTTTTTTAATTTAGATATATAATCGGTAAAATATGGTAATGACTGATGTACCTTTCTCTATGCCTAGTTTAGCTAAACGATCTGATTGTTTATTGCCCCGTAAGCCAGTGTGTGATGGAATCCATTGCAGTATTTAATTAATTTTACTTTGGTTTAATTTAGAATGAGTTCTAAAATTTTGTAATAAATAGAAATTCCTCTGATGACGAAGTTTAACTTCGACTACTTTCTTGTACATCAATAACTCGTAACATGTTTGTGCTTAACACAATAAAGAATGGCGTATTTGCATTTATTGCAGGTAAATGAAACACACTTATAGAGAAACAAAATACTTTTTATTCGGAATTATCAAACTTTATCGCATTGTAACAAAATTCCGACTGACTTAAATAGTACCTACCTATGCATAAGTATAAAATTGACTCCAATGATACAATCTGTTCATAAATACAGCAAACTACATAGCACTTTTATTTAATAATGGTGTTAAGATTCTGAAATAGAAATATGGAAATTAATCAACCATTTTGAAAACATAATTTTGAGCTAAACAGGTATAGAACAATACATAATCAACGGGTTTTGAATTGAACGTTTACGAATAGTACTTATAACTACTCAACATTTGGCTTTCACAATCTTTCAATAATATAAGTCACCTAAGGCCTGCTCTGGGGATACATAGTAATCACATATATAGGGTCAAAATATGTATATTTTAAAATATAATATATATTGGCGTTTAGATTATTAAAAGGCCCATATGAACTTATAAGCATGCCTTTGCTCATAGCTGGAAGCACCGCCTGCATCAAAGGATGACCATCAGACTATTTTGGAGTGGGTATAGCTGATCCCTCTTTAAATAGGCCTGTCTACATCCCCCCTATTTACTTCCCTTGTGAAGTGACAAATTATAACGTATCATTTGACACGTACACATACATACATATAATAACAAAAATGTATCTAGCAAAACAAACGAAAAGTGATCTCACTAAGTTAATCGTAATAACTTTATAAGATATTCTAAAGCTTGTTACTTATATTTCTTTATACTTTATTGTAGATACTAATATACATAAAAAATATGATAGAGGCAAGCAAATGTATAAAGGCGAGATTAACTCTAAAAGAATTAATCTCGCCAATAAACCAAAGTGGAAAGGATCATCAATGTCAGCAGTGTACAATATTGTGACAATTTTCAAGCAACAAAATAAATAGACAAACTTAAGTGTTGTTAACTGATTGTTAGGAGTGTTCAAGGCTTTTATTTACCAAAATATTGTAACGACGCATTTATCTGTCAATTTTCAAAAACGATTAAAAAACTTTTTAATATTTCTGATATATGAAAAAGTCCTCTGCTACCGTACTAAAACACTTGTCATAGAATACATTGCATATAAATGTATAACTAAAAACTTTGTACCTATTTAATATTTTGCTTCGGAAATTTCCAAATACATTCTTACAATCAAAATCAAAATTTTCAGTGACCTTTTATAAAGAATATTATTGCATAATTAACGTTTTAGTTTACTAGCAGAGTACTTTTTAAATATAACATATAAAATTTTTAAATGTTTAATTGTTTTTGAAAACTGATACAGAATTGAGACGTTACCATATTTCGTTATGAACACGTAAATGTGCCTTAGTAGCTTTATAAATTTATATTTAATGTAATTACGATGTCTTATATTTGTTATTTTATATACTATAATAATATACCCCATAACTATATTCAAGTATTAGACTTAGAATGAATGAGGTTTTTATAATGTGCAGGCAGACATGTTACAATTTATTATTTAAAATATCTAAAAATAAATAATGCCACAGTTATTTACACATTTTTGTTAGCTAAAAATGTAAAAATAATTGTACAAAAGAACATTCAGCAACATAGCATTTCCAAATATCTTACGAGTCTATCTTGAACTTATATTGTAAAAACTTAGAGCAAAATAGACAAAATACAAGTATAGTTTAAACATCTTTTTAGAACGATTGAAGAAGAGACTTACTCATTGGGAATATTTAGAAACTTTAACTTTCTGTCACTTTATAATAAACAGTAAATAATAGGTACAGTATAGATTTGTTGCTTCTTCCATAATAAGTTTTTCTGAATGTTTTTATACATATAACTTGTGATGTGATTCAGGCTCCATGATCAGATCCGTATTAACGCTAGCCAATGAGCACTTTTATATCTATAGTATCACGACAAAATCGGTACGATAAAACAAGAGAAACAATGATTTCTTTAAAACAATATGCGTTCAGAATACAACTGATAAATGTTCTAAAAACAGCGACAACACGTATAGGCATTTATTTATAATGCTTTTATATGTATGTATTAATTTTTTTCAATAATTAATAAGTTGTTAATTTCTTCACTTAGTAAAATAATTCTTGATTGATTCGAATATACAAGAATCAACCTTCAACTCAGCTCAATAACAGCATGAGATAGTTATCTGACTACAAATGTAAACTCCACATAGTATCAAATTTAATTTGTACAAACGCCAGGGATAGGTTTAAATATAACTTGTTAAAATGACATCCCATCATGTTTATACATTCATAATCGTCGTGTTTGTGCAAAATGGAGGAAAGGTGGGAGGGGGAACGATAATATCTTAAAAAATATGAGTGAAAATGCAAAAGTGAGTGTTGCGTTTAATTTATTTGACCAAGTATCGTCAGGGGAATCTGCAAAAATGTCGGTAAAAATATTTTTTATTTCCCAAGTTTGTTACATGTCTACAATGCTCTAAATAAAAATATTTTAACATTCCTTACGAGTTAGTGAGTTGCCTTACTACTATTCATTTGTTCAACAGCATGTTTCTAAAGTCGCTGTTGTTGAGCGGCCGCTTCTCCCCGTTGGTGTGGTCGCCGTTGGTCGCTGCTTTGCTGGTTGATGGTCTCTGTAGAACGCTCGGTATGAAACTGCTCAATTGTGTTCGCCGCCTGCCAATAATTGAAAACAACAATAAGGATTGTTAAAAATGTTTGCAAAATTATTTCCTGTAATATTTTTATTCCGAAGTACCTAAATGACGGATCAAACAATATAAATACCTATTAATGATACGACTGTAGCAATTGTATAGGAGTACATCTTAAACTTGACCAGTTACTGTAAAGTTTATCAATAAACGACAACAAAGTTAAAAATAAACGTCAATTAACTTATTCATATATTGACGACTATAATTTCAAGGAATTGTTAGCAATATACCCAACCAGGTCGACCTCCTCGCGGTTCTCCCTGGAAACTATCATGGTTAATTCCTGATGAATTAATCATGATAGGCTAACTGGCCTGTTTTCATTCTCATCTATCACCCTTCACTGGTGCTCCGCCAGCGTATCCCAATAGCGCAGGCGTTAGGGGTTACCATACCATTTTCACCAATAAAAAAAAATTTCAAGGAATAGTATTGTGCCTTATAAGTAAAACGAGAAAGTCTTTTTAGTATTTTTAATATCATATAAATATTAAAGATTTATTTTTATGTATTTTACGTTTACGCTAGCAGGAGACCAGGGAAGGGTAAAAAAATAGGATAAAATCCGGCTAGTTATCAAGTCCACAGTGGTGTAGATTCACTAAGAATTAAGCACGATGATTTCCAGATGGTCTGCATGGAATTCGACCTGACAGAGTATATTGCTAGCAATGGGAGCGTTAAATCCCATCACTAACAATCTTTTTTCCTATATAGGAAGAAATGTATACTGACATGCCGCCCCCCGCGTCCCTCTTGGGTTGTCCGAGCGCGGCTGGGGGCGCGGGCGGGTGTGCGGCGGCGCGGGGAGGGGGCGCGCTGAGCGCCACGTCGACCGTGCGGCCCGCCACCACCAGCGACCTGGTACCAGCCAACGCTGCCTGCGCACTAGCCTCCTCTTCATATTCTACGTATGCTAGTCCTTTAGGCTTGCCGTCCCTGAAAAATGAATAATACAGTTATCATCTTATCGTTAAACCAAACGGATGGGCATCATAAAATTATTTGTAATTACCACTAAAAAAAGCGACAATCTAAAAATCTACGCTCATTTACATTCGATGTTTCCGTGACAACGGAATGGATTTTGAAAAGTCATTTTTCTAAACCGATTTTCGATTTCATATTATAACAAAAATCTTTATTCAAAGAACCAATTTACACCAAATTTCAAATATGTACGTGAAAATTATTATAAAATCCATAAAATAGTATTTTTGCGAAACTATGAAATTAGGTTAAGAGATAGATAATTAAAATAGGTTAAGAGATAGGTTTACTGAAATGGCGGTTCAGAATTGACCCCAACATCGACGACGTTCTGGACGAAATGTCACCCTAAGTCATCTCCTGTCCTAATGTCACAATACACCTGTATTCATCACTGCAAGACAAAAGTGTGTTTCTATACTATAAAATATTACATAATTCTTTTTTTTTTTTTTATTTATAGTATAAAATAATTAAAACTTACTTGTGTGTTACTACCCGTATGTCTTTAAGTTTGCCATACTTTTCAAATATATCTGTGAGTGCTTCTTTCGTGCAATGTCCGAAAGGTAGATTCTTTACAAACAGTTTATTCTTCTCCGCTGTAGTAGGGTATTTGAAGCTGGACTTCGTCTTGTCCGCTGAGTATCGTGATAGAAACATTGGCCGACCGTTTAGTGGTGTCCTATCGTGTTTCAAGGCTTTTTCCACAGCTCCCTACAATAAAATACTTCGTTATTAGTAATTTAATTTAATAAATTAAATACATCAAAATAGAAAAAATACATAACGACATTTTATGAAAATGTGTCATTTAATAAAACAAAAGCTAAATATTTATGGTGAAGTTAAGACTTTGCTTCGCAAAAAAAAAGACAGCGAATCAATCGCAATAGATTTTATATGAGGACGACACTGAAATAATTTATGTACACTTTAAATTTTTGTAAACACATTTTGATTTAAACGCCTTATCCCTAAGCAATCTCTTCCAGACAACCTTTGTAGAGATTGAGAAAACAAAGAAAAATAAAGGATTTATTATTACTATTATATATAAACAAATATATACAAAGATATATTATACATACATAAACATATTTATACAACAGGAGAGAGGACACTGGAAGATGAAGATAGAACATGGGAAAAAATAGTTACTTAAAGGGAGAGATAAGCTTTGACAATCGAAAATCGCAATAGATGAGTTTATATGAAGTACAGTAAAAGAATTGAATAAAAAATAATAATCTCTTATCGATTACAAAAAGAATTATCAAAATCAGTTCATAATCGGAAGATATTACTAAAATAAATATGGAACATTGAAAACCTTCTCCTTTTAAAGCTTTTTTTTTTTTATGATACTTAAAATAGCAAACAAGCTGGAGGCCTACCTAATGGAAAATGGTAATCGTCGCATATAAACATTAACAGAATATAAAAAAAATTAATTAATATAATAGTAACAAATTTAGCATTACTTCTTTTATATTTTAATATTTTTAATCAATAATACTGACCGGTGTTTTGTACTGGCAATAACATATTGAACCTCCGAACGCCTTCACGCCGGCCTTCACCCGTAGCGACACGATCTCACCATAGTCTGATAATTTATTTCTTAAACTCTCTTCATCCACTCTGTAATAATGTAATAAATTAAGATTTTCCTCCACACAAATACTTTTATATCAATCGTGACAAAACGTGACCAATATAGAATAAGTAATTGCAAGAAACTATTAAAACTAGTTCACAATTTGTAAACATTATTATAGACACAACAAAATTCAAATTGAGAACCCTTTGACATAAATCATAGACAATAAAATTAGCTTTTTTTTTTAAATAGTCACACCGCACGTAATACAATGGAATTGAATCTAAAACACCATTCTCTAAATTAAAGTTTCAATCTGATATTACAGCAAAATGAATATTCCAAAGACTACTATAAACACAATTTTTAGTAGAATTACGTCAGAACAGTGGCGGTTTTACCAGCCAGCTTACGCGACTGGAGCCTAGGGCACCAGATTTTAGAAGCGACAAATCCGATATCAATAGTTGCAGTTTCATTGACAAAATAAATTATAATTAACATGTTTGTGAACTATGGTACCGAATTGTAGAAGTCGGTATGGACAATACTATAATAGTTTTACTAAACTATCAAATTAAAATTATTATTTTAGAGACAATTTTCGGCGAGCGTGTATGACAAGATTGATGAATGTGGAAGAAGCGAAAGAGGTTTGTTTGAATCGAAGCATTTGGCGTTCCATTGTTTCTGCCTACCCTAACGGGAGACAGGCGTGACAGATATGTATATATATATATATATACAATTTTCGGGAACGATCCGTTAATATTGTGCATGCCGATATGGTAGAATATGGAATAATGGACATGTAATTATTATTTTCATCTAATGTATGTACCCATATTCGTGCAATAAATGATTTGATTTGATAAATTCGACCCCAATATCAACATTAGTAATTTGTCGATATCTGCTATAGACGCGGCATTATCTGCAAGAATTAATAAACCTTTGCCTTAATCAAAAATACAGTCGACCTTATACTAAATATCAAATCTGTCTAATATTTAAACAAGATTGTAATAAATACTAAATTTCCTCTGTACACTTTTAACATTTATTATTAAGTGAAATTCAACATACTTGAATTCTAAATTACTGACAAACAGGGTGCATGCATCTCTTGAGCTGACTCGATTGCTTGACTCGTCTGTCTCATCTGTCCTTTGACGTTTACTGTCTGTTACTGTAAGAGAAATTACAGCTACATTATTGTCTTACAGTATAAATTAACTAACTAACTATTATTATTATATATTTTATAATTTCAGCCGTTAACTGTCCACTGCTAAACATAAGCCTTCCCCATAAGGGGAGCTTTGCCAGTAGTCGCCACGCTTAGCACGCGGGTTGGTAACAGCAGTTAGGCTTTTAGAGATGTTTTATGTATTTGATTCTGCTGCCCTTCTCACGTCAAAATAAATCAGATGAATTCAGTATCTCTTTCTTTTGGAAGTTACGCAATACTATATATATATATATATAATTTAAGATTGTATGTTGTGTGAAGATTTCAATGATGGCATAAATACTTTTTATTTGAAAACTAAACTACTAAACCGATTTTAATAAAATTTCTCTAGGAAAAATCTGAAAATACATCTTTTTTGATAAATAAAAAATAATTTCCAAGTCAGTTTATAAATGTGTGTAAAAAAATGTGTAAAAATATACTTAAATATATCATTTGTAGTACCCATAGAACAAGCTGTGTTTAGTTTGAGATTAGATAATGTTATATACATATCTAATCTTATCATTCATATTCATATCATTTTTATATTTACATAAATAATTATTACAAAACATATACAAATATAATAGTATATACAAAACCAATAATTATTATTGTTAATCACCATTGTCATCATCCTGTTCATGAGATCTCTTCACTCCACTGCTTTCACCATCGTGTGCTTTCTCTTCAACATCCATACTATCATCTTTTTTCTTCTTAGCTTCACTTTCTTTATTATCTTCCCCAGATTTCCTTTTTCTATTTGGTTTATCATCTTCTCTTCTTTTCTTTTTGTTTTCAAATTTAGATTTTTTATTGTCTTGTTTTGGTTTCTGCTTCTTGCCTGTCATTTTCTCTTTCATCGCCTGATAGTTTTCACGCCATTCTTTCAGTTTTGCCTGTAATAAGATTAATAAATGTCATTAATTGATTGTTATAAAATCTAAAAGATTTACTTCTCTGTTGTAATATAAAAAAAATAAAAAAACAAAAAAAAACAAAATTCCTTTCTTTAATTTGTTAAAATGGCTGACTTAACCATATTTCTATAAGCAATTTTTATGATTATTGAATATTATTGACAGCCTTTATTTTTTATGAGAGCTTTTACAATTTATTGAAGCAGAACATGATTTGTCGATTGCAGTTTTATCATCACTACATAAATGGAAATGTAACTGGATGAAAATATTATTTATTCTAATGACGACAATAGTTTTTTATGAATAATAAACCAATAGCCCACCTGCGCTATCGGTTTACACTGGCGGAGCACCAATAAAGGATGGTAAATAAGAATGAGATTCGGTCAGTTAGCCGACTGTGATGAATTCACCAGGACCTACCCACGATCGTTTCCAGGGAGAACCGCGTAAAGGTGTGATCTTTGTGTAGAATGATCTGATATTCCTCCCCAGTATGATATGATAGTCATACCTATACCGTTATCGTTCCTTGGCGACGCAACGCAGTTAAGAGATTTGCGGCCAGCCTGACAGCGGGGTGCGGGGTGCGGCCGTCACTCACCTCGCATTGCTCGGCGCAGTCGGCGCGGGCGGGCAGCGCGCCGTGGTCGCGCTCGTAGTCGGTCCAGAGGCGCGCGGGCGCGGGCGGGTAGTCGGCGACGCAGCGCAGCGCACGCCGCAGCAGCCCGCGCAGCTTGTGCGGCGCGGCGGCCGGCACCCGCCACAGCTCCAGCTGCAGCAGCGCCTCCCAGTACTTCGACATGCTCTTGTTCTCGCCATACTCTGAACGAGTGGAGAAAAAAATTATAAATGTACTCACATACAGTATCGCCGTGTGGTTCCGGCATAAAATAGGCCATCCCTTCCTTTCCCGTGGGTGTCGTAAGAGGCGACGAAGAGAACTTAATGGTCAAGGGATGGCCAGCAGTGTCCCTCTTAAAACGTCACCAAATCCTAACTGCGGTTGCCAACCCGCCTGCCAAGCGTGGCAACTACTGGCCTGTTACTCATGACAGTATGGGGAAGGCCTATGTTTAGCAGTGGACAGATACCAAAATTATGACAGGGGCAGAATGCTGGCCTAAATCTAGCTACTTTACTGCTTTAATGGCAAAAATGAATATTTTCTGCTGTCTTATCCGTCTCTTAGTGGACCTTATAACTAATTATATAAGAATTATTAATTATAAATTCCCATAAATACCCTTACATTATTGTTACAAATATAATTGATTCCCTCTAAATGATAAGACTACAAAACATATAATACTCTTACTATTTGCAATACTTACTAAATATTTCTTCAAATATCTCTTTGCCTTGTTTGGGATCATTCATTCGCTTGTATTCCAGGCGGGCCCAGTACAGGGGTACTTCACAGTCATTAGCTTCTTCTCCCCATGCCTATAATGCAATGGAACTATTAAAACAAGAGTATATTTTTCATAAACATATCATAAGAAATAATAGTAACAAAAGCCCTATATATATATATCAAGTGGTAACTGTCACGGACTTGACAACAGAAGTAAATAAAACATAGTGTTACCCATAAAAGGCACACAAGTTTGTATCTCACCAAATAAACTTGTAATTCGTTCATAAATTATCTGTCATCTTATAATAATTGGAAATTGTGTTTTACAAAAAAGATCGACTTCAATTTTGGCAAACATTTTTATTTAAAAATCCATTTATTCCGATTTAAAAACAGAAGCATTCAACCGATTTTGATAAAATTTCTAGAGAACCAATCCTTCAGATAAATAAAGAATTTTCAGAATTAGTCAGGCGAGTAATTATAAAATAATATATATAAAAAAAATTAAGATTCTAACGAATTGTGAACCCTGTTCTTTTTTCAAAGTTATTAAAAATTTGCAATTTTGCATACGTGAATTTTAGTAAAATTACCACATACATTAATCTACCAAATTTTATTCAAATCCTGTTGCACCACAATTGATTAATAAACATACAAAAAGTAAAAAACTCAAATTTTATAATATTAGAAGGATAATCGACATAGGAAAAACAGTTGATATTAAATATTAAAGACCAAATACCTCAGCTAGCGAATCCCAAGCGAGTCGGAAAGTCCTACGTAGTGTATCAACGTCGGTCTCGTTGTCAAACGCGGTGCGACGGCGAATAAACTCTAAGTAACTCAACCACAGGGCTTCGGCTTCCTTGTACGACTCCATACCTTTAGACAGGGCTGTCTCGAATATTCCTTTTACCTGTTAAATATATATTAATGCTATTTAAATTAGGAGATACGAGATCTATCTATATGCACGGAGTGTTACAATACAAATGGAAAACTCAATATTTCCTTTTTTTTTTTTAATTTGTTTACGTTGCATCTACACTTGTCTGTATATATTTTATATTTTTAGTATTTTATGGCATATACCAAAAGTCGAACAACTGTTCGAATTAACGCATAAATGCGCGTGCTTGTACATAAGACCTACCATTTTTTTATGTAATTAGTAAAATTAATTAAGATAAATTGTATAAAATGATCAAATACAGAATCATACCCTGTCAAAGATATTCAGCTTATGCTAAGTCTGTTGCATCTTTAGCGCCTATACGCATAAGCGTGAACAACGTGTCCATGCTCCCTTCATTTTTCATTATCATAATAGTATTCTCAATCGTAAATTACAGTACCTCATCGAAGGTCTTCTCCTCGTGTTCAGCTTGCTGCATCTTGAGGGCCCAGAAGGTATGTAGGCGCGGACATCGTCGTATACAGGCATCCAGTACACGTGCGACGGTCGTACGCGAACTGCCACGCGTCGCCCGCGCCCACCCCGCTAGCAGTCCTGACACTACCGCTGTCCCTGCTGCCGAAGATTCAGTCGATGCCCGGTCGTACACCACCTAAGTATCCGAGCACAACCATACCAGTATTACTGCTATGAAATTTGTAATGTAAAGAAATTATATTTCTTAAGTTCTTGGAGCATGCCTGCCAAACACGTTAGAGGGAGCCACAAGTAGTAAGACGTCTAATTGACGTTTCAAGAAGTGCTCAATAAACTTTACATGTCGTTTCTTTATTTACAGGTAAGATATAGGTGTAATAAAGTGTTTTAATATAATTATTGTTGTTATAAAATAATAAATAAAACTTTCTTTGTTAACAGAGAAATAATTTCTAATTTTGAAAACTTTGAATAATAAAATATTTCCTTACATTCATATAGGAAGTATTTTTACTTTTTAAACATTTCCTCGATCACGTGGACGAAGTGATGTATAAAGTTAAGTAGATTAATTTTTATTTAGATCAATTTATAAAGCTATTAATTTATTTATTAATAACTTATTACACCATATATTATCAATTAAAATACACAAGTAATTAGAAGTAATGTTGTGAAACCTCTTTATATTTTGTATTTTATTTGTCAATGACAAATAATTTGAATATTTTCTTGATGTTCTTTCTTAAGGAATTAAATTGACTTATTAAAAATTTTCTGAACTCATCATCTACTATTTTTCTTTACCTGCTTTCTTCGAAACCTAATTTTATTTAATTTATATTGTTCAGATTACTCACAAGTACAAAAGCTGTCAAAGCTTCGAGATAATATTTGTTTCCAATATCAATATGTTTAAACTACCATATGAATATACTTAGTAACAATAAGTTACATATAATATAATTACATTATAAATTAATATAGTTAATCTATTGTATATGGTTAAACTTGTACCTGCAAAAATATTGATAACTACCTTGAGTATTCCATTACTATCACACTCAGCATACTCGTCGCGATGCGACAGATCTTTCACTGTTTCTATATAATCTTGATAAATTTTAAGCTTCTCCTCGACATTTCTGAAACAAAACCACAAATTAAATTAACATGGAATTGATATAAAAAATTATGTAAGTTTGTGATGACTTACAGTTGAGTTTTTTAACAATGCATAGTTCTATCATGTTTTTCAATGACAATACTTGTAGATGTTCCAGAACAGTAGATTATAAATAAATTATAACATTCTTACATTATAATAATTAATTATTAGTTTACATGTTAAAATTTATATACTTTAAGTAAACGTCTGAATATAATTGAACGCAGGAAGGACAACTAACATGATACACAATGACAAAATTATATATATATATACACATATATAATAACAGAGAAAGATTATACCAAAATAAGAAGATGGAATATAGCATATTCTTAGTTCTACTATAATCAATAATGACGCAACACATCTCTAATAATCAATTCCAAAACAGTTCATCCCCCCTCCCCCCCCCCCCACTGCAGTACGCAGGTTTCCTTTCTAACATATGACCATAACTATTTATTATAACTTACTCTGTGGTAAGAAGTTTATCTTCAAACGTTGTTACTTTGTGCAAATAATCTACAGCTGCCTCATGTTGCTTCTTTACCTGCAATAAATTCAAAATTATTTTTTTTAGACAAAAATAGCTTACTATTCTGATACAGATAAAGACAGAAAAGTGAACACAAAAATTTATTAACTATATATTATTAATGATGTCCAAATTCAAAATGAATTTTATGTAAAGTATGGCGCTTATAAATAAACGTTTATTACTAATTGCACTTCTACAAAAGCTATATTAAACGTAATTTTTTATGAGTACACTCATAAGGCAGTACACACAGAGTAAGCAATATAAAACACAGAATAAGCAAAATAAAAACCTTATCAATATATGTCTGGTCATGTAACATAGCTGCCAACTCCTGTAGTTGTGGCCACGCTTCTTCTCCACGCAAGAGGGGTCTGGAGACTGTCTCCTCTAAACACCACAGAACGCGTTCTTGCTGCGTCTTATACTCAGAATCTTCTTCACTGAAAAAGTTAATAATTTAAGATATAATGATTTCAGATAAGTAATAGGGTCTAACTGTCCCATTGCTAGCAATTGACACAATCAGATATTTTTTTTAATTCATAACAATACACCAACTATCTTCATCCTCACCTATCATCCCTCACTAGTATCCATCTAGTGTATACCAATAGCGCAGGTGGAATCACAATGTTATTTTCACCCATTAAAAAAAGAATATTACAAACCTCATAGTGTCCAACTGCGATTTCTCTAGTTCAAGCTTGGCATCCCAAAACAACTTCCCGGAGAATGGATCTGCGCCTGCACGTCGCAACACTTCGTCGAGTTGCTCACGCGCCGCGGGCACGTCACCTACTCCCATTGCCCATGTGCACCACTCAGTCAAGATTGGGATAGCTAGGTAAAAGTATAATAAACGGAAATAAATTTTTAGAATGCAATAAATGAAGTTATTTTAATAATCATTCATCACAGTATTAAGTATTTACGGTAAGTAATGTTATTCTATATCGTCTGTATCCCGTGGTTCACTTAAAAAAGAGACTAAACTCTATAAAAAACGTCCCTCTATACATCCTCTTAAACTTTCATATTTCTTTCAGACTAGATATATCTAGCGGCTCTGCCCGCATGAATCAGTATATTATTAGAAAGTAATATATGTTCTATGTTAAGATGTAATCTATTCGTGTGCCAATTGTCACTAAAATCCGATTAATATTTTTTTCGTGAAAGAGTAACAAAAACCCATCGATCCGAATAAACTTTCGCATTTATAATAATAGTAGAAAATTATTTCACAAAAAAAAAAAAAAAAAACATGGATTATGACTAGCATAACAATGAAACCAAGAGGGTGTGCATGTTACGCCAGTAACAAACTCACAAAAAGAAATACAAGCCAATCAAAAACATCCTCCTTTTATACAAGACACGCCTTTCTACAATATTTTAGGTCACGAGAAATGAAACAGTATTATAGATAACAGTAGCAAGATAAGAAAGATACTATGTTAACCTTGCTATTTGCTCAAGTAAAATAGTATATTTCTATTGTGAATAGAAGTTTATTAGTGTTTATGAACATTACTCAAGACTCACAGTAGCAGTCAAGTGTGGCCTGCTTAAACAACTCGGCGATACGTTCACGCGACTGCCATGAGTGAGCTATTGATGCCTCTGTCTGCAACCAAAGCAGCCAATGTTCGGCTCTCAGTGCCGTCATCTGTTGCAGCCTCTCGAACGCGTTGCGCCATCTATCTAGTTCTGTTAGAGCCCTAATGAAATTAACAATTCATAAGTAAGTTATCCTTATTAATATTTTATAATAATAAAGTTAGTAGTTTTATATAAAAAGTCACAAAAATGTACCAACATGTACAACAATATAGTGGTGGTCTATACTTTTTATAAAAATGCTTTCATAAAATGTGGTGAATAAATAAATTCATTTTCATTTACATCTATACTAATATTATAAAAAAAAAGATTTAATTATAATGTATTAACTCAAAAACTACCCAACGAATTTACAAATTCTTTCACCTGTAGCATGGTATTCTGTAATTGAAGTAGGAATACCTACTACAGTATGGACAATTCCTGCCGCCCACTGCTATCTGACCTCACCCTTTCTCAAATACGCGTTAGCACCCGAATTCTAATGAATATCTCTAGTTTTTTAGATGTTTCAGTTACCACCAATGTTAGAAAAGGATAAATGATAGAATATTTATGAGGTATCTTTATACCTCATAAATATTCTATCGTACCTCATAAATAGTACAACTAGCCAGTTTCAACTAGTATTAATTTCTCATAATGTAGAGTTATTTAAAATTCGAATTTCTTTTATTTTGTTACTTGTCTAAATAGTAGAAGTAGAAGTAATAAAGTAATAATATGTTATCCCACCTGATGAAAAATTATAACTTGCTCTTATAGACATAAGACACAGTTATCATTTTTCAAGACACATTAAAATACACAGAAAAATTACTATGAATCTACCAATATATACTGACACCCATGGCACCACTCATTCATTGCTATTACTGAGAACCAAGGTATTATCAATGGGTACCTAACAATTTAAAGTATTATTTAATATAAAAAAAATTGGTACTAGTGAATAGTAACCGTAATACACTAAGAGAAAGTAAAATATTGGTAGAAATATATTATTATGATATATAATTATTTTACTGTTGCAGTAGATTAACAAAAATATTTATACATACATCTGTATTAATATCTTTATTGTAACTAAATAATTGTAAAATAAATTAATTTCAATATTGATATGATAATAATAATTAGTATTCATGTATGTTAACTAAAGTACATCTTTGTTATTTTCAATGACCTAATTAATTATTTTCAATAAATGCTGTGCAGCTTTTTCAAAGTCATATCTTAAACCCATATTCTACAATATAACCAAGCTGCACTTTTTCCCACACCAACGCTAACTATATACACACACATTGTGACATGTATAGATGTTACATATTTCTGTAGTTATGACAATCATAGATCACTGTTTTTGTATGAAGTGTCTGAGGTGTGCCAATAAAAAGTTACATTATCAGTGAGTAACATAAGCTATAATATATTACTTTCAAAAATTCTATCTACTTGTAAGAGACTGGGCCTGATTACTAGTATATCATATATGCATTCTCTTAAAAGTTTAGTTTCCTAAAAATATAAAGCTTTTATTTTAGCTTTTACCATTCAGCCCAAATTACAACCTTCTTATACTATTTTAAAACTTACATAAAAAGCAAAACTTGTGAATAAATATATACTACCATAACGACTGTATTAGTTCAATGTGTTCATTGTAGTTGTACGGATCTTCTGCAATGCGGCGCTCTAATTCAGCCACTTTCCTTTCAAGTGCTCCTTCATCATCGTCATCCTACAATGAAGTGTATTACATAAGTATTTCTTTTTATATTGAATGGTAAGCAAGCTGAAGCGGCAATGAAACTGGTCACATAACTTAAAGAACTGACAACCAATGAGGAAGAAAAGTTCATGAGTAGCAACCCCCATACATTCAGTGCAGTGCAGTACACCTCCCACTAAGTAGAGTGACAACCTCAAATGCATTACAGGGAGTCAGTAGATGCAAATAGCTTAGGACCATTCCTTAAGGCAGTTTTTGGGAAAGGCCTATGTTCAGCAGGGACAGTTAACAGCTGATATGGGTGATGATAATAAGAATGTTAAATGAAATAATAACAAAGAAGAGACTTTGAGATAGTGTTCTGTAAATAAACAGTAACTTCAAACAACTGTTAGTTATCAGGAGACAAAATGAGACCAACAGATAAATAAATATACAATATTTATTTCAATAACTTTATTATAATTTTGTGTTAGTATGCTAGGTTCATAACATTGATTTGGTTTTTGCTGTCAATATGTTATAATTATATTAATAAATAAATAAATAAAAATAAATATTGGTTTCCATACAATACATATAGATTGAAATACAATATTAGTTTAAAATTGTATTGCTTATTATTTTTTATTAATTAATATATATACATATAAAAATCATACATATAAAAATCAATATTGAGAACTTTCTCATTTTTTGGAGACAGACAGAAAGACAAAATCTGACTTTTTGACATATTTAACCTAATGTTAAAAATCTAGAAGTTTGTAGATGTTTAGATGATTCATTTGAATGTTGGATTTATAAAACTTCAGATTTTACACATTTGAATAAAATATGACACACAGATAAATTATGTCCTGATTAACACATAGAATACTCTTTTACCCAGGCAAAACAGCTAATAATTATACACCAAAAAGACTAAATTAAACAATTTTTGTGAGCTTAGCTCAAATCTACCAGACAGCAAAGCAATTATTAATAATGGAATCCAACAGCCACCTTATTAGCATAATATTCTATAGGTGGACCATACTATGGTCCCTTCTAGATACTTTTGTAGTCAATTTCTGGTAAGTTAATCAGGATGGGTTAACGAACCTAACTTCATCCTCACTTATTAACACTGATACCCAGACAGCGAACACCAATAGCACAGGCGAGGCTACCATTTCTTTTATAAATTAAACCATAAGACATAAGATACGTAATCTTTAATAATACAATGACAATGCACGTCATAAAAACATACATTTAGAAAACAGTAGCAAAGAGTTTATAACATTCGTCCACCCCTAACAAGACTAGGACATCTCTGCGATAAGACGTCGGGGTGGTTTGACAACTCGCCTACTACGTCTTACGTCAATTGCGGATGTATCACTACTACGTGTTAACCCTTCGACTGTAGGTGGTAAACTACTCCTTTCAAGAACGTTAGGTTTAAATGCCATCTTAGTTGAGTACTTCGGCGTTTTGTCGTTGCTCCTCATGGGTATTATTTCAAATTGATCTTGAACAACTGGCTGTGTTGAAACTAAGGGTAAATTTCTTTCTTTTGAACATGTTGGTATATTTTGTTGCATATCTTGGCTATCTTGAGTATTATTAGGTGGAGATAAATGTTCTTCAATGATTCGCTTCCTTATCTGATCAGCATGGAACTTTTTCATTCCAACAGGGGTATTAATTAAGTAAGAATAACGGTGTGTGCGTCGGGCTACTGTGGCAGGTTTCCAATACTTATCATCTCGAGAACGTACATAGACATTTTCTCCAGGATTATAAAAAATTTCCTTGTCGTGTTCTATGTTAGCTTGAAATTGTCTGTAGCGAAGGGATCTTCTAGGATTAGGTTTAATGTTGTCTAAAAGACAACGTAGTTGCCGCCCTAATAGAATTTCTGCTGGTGATTTACCGGTATCAGTTCTAGGCGTAATTCTATAGGTAAATAGAAAGTTTTCCAAACGTTTTTTTGAACTTAACTCATCACATGTACTAGCTGACATTCTGGTTTTAAAAGTTCGAACTAGTCTTTCTGCTAAACCATTCGTCCTAGGATGATAAGGCGATGACTTAACGTGTCTAATACCGTTGCATTTGCAGTATTCCTGAAATTGTTGAGATGTAAATTGAGGGCCATTGTCCGAGACTATAATTTGTGGGAGACCAAAAGAAGTGAAAATTGTATCTAGTTCATTGCATAGCTTAGTTGTAGTAATCGTAGACATTGGTTTAATTTCAATCCATTTAGATAGTGCGTCACAGAGCACTAACCAAAATTTGCCTTCAAAAGGACCCGCAAAATCTACGTGAACCCTCTCCCATGGATCATCAGGAATAGACCACGAGTAAACCGGTAATTCTGTTATGTTAGGGCGGTTTTCTTGACAATTGCTGCATCTTTTAACCCACATGTCAATATCCTCATCGATTGAAGGCCACCAAACATAATAACGAGCCAGAGCTCTCATGGCAGATATTCCTGGATGCCCTTTGTGAAGAAATTTCATTACAGAGTTCCTCAATGAATAGGGAACAACAATACGACCATGCCACATCAGAATTTTGTCTTCTAATGATAACTCACAACGTTTTCGTAAATATGGTCTCAATTCTTCTGACAAATTATCTAGGCGCCAACCAGTTTTTAAAAATTCATTGACTTTTTTAAGAATAGGATCTTTCTTAACTTCGTTTCTCAGGATGTCTTCAGATATAGGTAGATCATGTAGCTTACCCATTTGGTGACGTGTGTCTATTTTATGAATCAAAACTTCTGATAATGAGGGTTTTTCGTGAGGGTTGGGCATTCGTGAGAGATAGTCGGCCATGACGTTAAGTTTGCCTTTTGTAAATACAACATCGTAGTTATAGCTGCCAATCAGAAGGGCCCAACGTACTAGACGGTTGTTACATAACTTAGGCAGATTCCGTCGAGTCCCTAATAAATGCATTAAAGGCTTATGATCAGTCACCAAGGTAAATTTTCCACCACGTAAATATTGGTCAAATTTCTTAATTCCGAAGAAAATGGCAAGCGCCTCACGATCGATAACGGAATATTTAGCCTCTGCTGGTTTTAATTTCCGCGAAGCAAAAGGAATTGGGTGCACAATATCATTATTTTTATGGTAGAGGACAGCACCAACACCTTTTTCAGACGCATCACAAGTTAAAAAAAGTGGTTGACTTTCGTTAAAAGCAATTAGAGGTTTAGAACGCAAAATTATTTTTTTTGCTTTATTAAATATTTTATCTTCTGTTTCCGACCATTGCCATTTACGACGATTTCCCGTTAAGGTATGTAGATCTGCGCATAAACTATGTAAATGTGGAATAAAACGTTCATAAAAATTAACTAAGCCAAGAAATGACCTGAGCTCTTGGGCGTTGCTAGGTGGGGCTGCTTTCTGAATGGCTTCCAGTTTTGACTTTGTTGGACGAACGCCATCTTTATTAATAGTGTGCCCAAGATATTCAATTTCTTCTTGAAAGAAAGAACATTTCTTTAAATTTACCTTAAGACCAGCTTTTTCCAGTTTTTCAAGTACTATGGATAGAGTTCTAAGATGATCTAAGTCATTTTTACCAGTTATGGCAATATCATCAAAATATACTGCGACATTTGGAATATCTTCAAGTAGTTTGTCTAGAAAATGTTGGAAAATAGATGGAGCTGTGGAGATTCCAAAAGGCATTCTATTATATTGAAAATAACCTTTATGTGTAGTAATAGTAAGATATTTTTTTGAGTCAGCAGCAATTGGAAACTGTAAGTAGGCGTCTTTCAAATCTATTTTGGTAAATTTCTCACCCTCTGCTAATTTTTGACGTAATTGATCAAACAAAGGAACTGGATGTGCATGCGTAATGAGAACAGGATTTAAAGTGCTGCGATAGTCTCCACAAATCCTCACTTGGCCATTAGTCTTTATCACATTGACAGTAGGCGTTGCCCATTCGACAGGAGTTATATTAGGATCTACTTCAGTTACTATACCAGTATCCACGAGCCGCTTCAATTCTATTTCGATATTCTTTTTCAAAGAGAACTTGACAGGTCTAGGAGGAAGGTGTTTAGGTTGTGTACCAGGTTTAATATGAATATTCACTTCGTAGTTCTTGACTTTACCCAGTTGATCATCAAAAAGAGATTTGTATGTATTTAAAACCTGCTTAAGCGTTGTAGGTTGTTGTAAAGTACGAATAGTGTAGACTGGTTTAGGAAATTCCATATCGAATACTTCGCTCCATTGTAGACCAAATAGCATTGGATCTGCATTTTTCATAACTATTACTGGTACAATTCGTTCCTGATCTTGTACTTGTACCGTCACGTCCGTCAAACCTAATGACTTAAGTTTTGAATTTCCATAAGCACGTAGACGTGGTGCGTCAGTCAACTGGGGAGCTCCTATTTGTTTCCAAAGACGGACATCTATGATAGAATAAAGAGATCCTGAGTCCCAATCCATAGTACATGGTTTGCCATTGATAATGACGTCAATTTTCTTGCTGTCCTTGCTTTTTTTATTGTTGATCTTGTGGACAGTAGTTAATTCATCTTCAGTATCGTCTTCACTAGGGCTTGAGCTCCTCGCCGTATAATCGCTGCTTCCGGAAGAGTAGTATCTATTAACTTTATGTAATTTTTTACTACCTTTATGTATTTGTTTGTTTTCGAAGGATAAATATGCTCTGCCAGTTTTCAAACAACAGTTATCAAAATGTCCTTTATTATTGCATTCTTTGCAAACATTGTCTTTAGCTGGACATAAATCTAATCCATGCTTCCCTCGTTTTCCACAACGGCGGCATTGATCAGGGGTTATACGTCTTTGTTTCTGATTACGATGACCAGATTTATTTTGTTTAACCTTATAAACACCACTTGCTATGTTTGCTGTATTTTCATCACCTTCCGCCAGCTCACGTGATTGAGCAACTGCAAAAATTTGGGAAAAGGTTACCTCAGTAGTGCCGTCATGACAACTTTCTACTAGGTCCGGCCATTTTTGTTTAAGGTCAATTAAAAGTTGCGTGTGGTTAAGACCCGTTGCAAAGCGGTCTCGAAGTTGTCGTTCTAATAACATGTCATTATAGCCACAGTCTTTACTCAATTCTTTTAATCTATTCGCGTAGTGCTCCATTGTTTCTCCATCCTGTCTAATACAATTCCAGAATTCAGAAAGTGCACGATACCTGGTTTTCTTTGTACGGTACAAATCCATTAATTTTGATTTTATAGTATCATAAGTACTCGATTCAAAGTTAGGTACAAGTCCAATTTTAATCTCATGAAAAACTTCTGGTGATAAACAATTGATGAGCAAATCTTTTTTAATGTCTATGTTTATGTTATTATCCAAAATTTGGCACTTGATTTCAAAATAGTCAAAAAAATTTTCTACTGTTGTCGTTGTAGGGTTAAATTTTTCACATTTGAAATTGTTCATTATGGATAATTTGTTGATACCTGATGTGCTAGAAACGGGTGTGCAGGGTGTATCCTGATTATTCCCGGCCATCACGGGCGTCTCCGCGGGGCCACGTTCATGTTGTGTTGATGTTGCAAGTAATTGAATTACTTGTGTTAATTGTTCATGTTGCATGCGCTGCAACTGCAGGAACTGTTGAAATTGTTCTGCGTCCATTTTTTTTTACTCTCGTCGCCACATTTTATAAATTAAACCATTAGACATAAGATACGTAATCTTTAATAATACAATGACAATGCACGTCATAAAAACATACATTTAGAAAACAGTAGCAAAGAGTTTATAACAATTTCATTTTCATCTCATTAAAAAACTAGACGGCTATAAAAATATTGGAGCAACACGAGAGTTCATTAATAGTTTCTTAACATTTTTTGGACAAATAAATATTTCTTAGGGCCCTTTATCTTAAGTGGAATTATAGCAACAACATATAGAAAATTAGGAACTTTTTTGTGAAATACGGAAATTGCTTACATCTGAATCATCAGAATCTTGCTCCGCATCATCTTCCTCAACAACGACTTCTATTTCATTTTCATCTTCAGATTCATTCCGCACTTCATCTTCTACGATTGCCATTATTTACAGCGAATGTAAAAACACTGAAAAGCAAATTTGTAATCCGTGTTTGATAACAAATTGAACACAGCGAACGACTATGGCGGATACGTCAAATATTTGATTTTGACGTAATCAATCGATGTTGCTCTATAAAAAAAATGTGTTGCCCTAAAATATATTAAGCTATTTATATTATTAACTGTTAACCGATATCTAAAAATAATTTTACTATCTTGTGTCAAACTTTATCTTGTGTAGAGAACGATTGTAGTTAAAAATTAAAGGATATTTAATGGTCATCTTTATTTTTAATCTTTTGTATTATTTAAAAATAGTTAACTAAACATAACATATGATCGTTTGTGCAGCCTCTATCTGCAGAGTAGGACTAAAAAAATTTATTCTTTTTTACTAATGGCAATGCTGTTTGTCAAAAGCAGTCATACATTCCAAACAAATTATCATATTGAAGATTAGGCAGCATGGTCTCCGATCTTAGCCTGTTCCACAACGAAACAAACGTACTAAAAAAAAAGCAGTAATACTACCTACTTAAAGACATTTATTAGCAGTTAACAAATCCATATATTATTTTTCCTTACTCATTAAATCTTTCTTTTATTAAAAATTATTTTCTTACATCCATTTTATGCTTGTTAGCTCATTCTGATCATTTACTCTATAAGTACTTAAATAACATTAAACTATAACTACCATTAATACCAAATGCTGGGGGGAAAGGAATTGTTAGTAATGCAGACTAAGAATCCCATTGCTAGCAATATATCCAACCAGGTCGACCTCCTCGCGGTTCTCCCTGGAGACTATCATGGTTAATTCCTGATGAATTCATCATGATGGGCTAACTGGCCTGTTTTCATTCTCATCTATCACCCTTCACTGGTGCTCCGCCAGCGTATCCCGTTAGCGCTGGCGGGGTTACCATACCATTTTCACTCATCAAAAAAAAAAATACCAAATGCTCACTGTTCCCTTTTTATATCTCGTCTCGTTTCCCGTTTATTGGTGGCATAATGGGCAAATTTGTTTGTTTGTTCGTTACCTTATCGTGCCTTTACGGGCCCAATCACTACGACAATATACATTTTAGATTATAAAATATAAGTACGTTATACTAAGTCTATGGTATACATATACTATAAAGAATACCGAACAATATACGTTATTTTTATCCCAGTTACGCAAACAAGTGCGTAAAATCTAATAATTCCTATAGTTACAATAAATAAAAAATAAATGTTTTACGTATAAGTTTATTTATAAAAAAATATAATAGTGATTACATTACGTCTCTATTGCATACTAGGGTATCTAATTCGCAGATATGCCTGAAAATTACTAAGTTTGTCTTAAAATGTTTAGAACCAGATTTTCTTATGATTTAAATGCTTTGGCACCAATTAATATCTATAATAATTTAAATAGTTCAACTACCCAATTCAATAATATTTTTTGATAATACAAAAATAAATGCACCAATATGGAATTATACTCAATTCAATAAGATCTTTAAGTACCTAACATAGTTTAGAAATACTCTAAGCACATACCCATAGAAAAAACATGCAATATCAGCCTTGAATTTTCATCACTAGACTCGAGATAATACAAAAACGAATACATGCGGTTAAATAAGATTAAAATAATATAATTAATTAAAATTGTTATAAAAATTATAAGTAACTGAAATATATAATAATAAAAATTAAATTGACATTTTCTTGTTTCCATACAAACTAAATGAAATAATAAAAACATGAATATATTTCTAACTTATTTTTTGTCAAGATTATTCAATAAGGTTAACTACATGCATTGTTAACTCAAAAAACTCAAAATATAATTCGCTACAAAAAGAAATTGTGTGCCCACATCGTTGTAGAATATATGAAATCAAATTTCTTAAAAAACATTTTGAGAGTCTAACATTCGAGTTCGTCATTAATCTCACATGAACATGGTCCATGAATGTACGTGTTAAATATCAATATTTCAATACAATTCGTATTATAGGCATACATCATTTAACATACTCATATTTACGAGACTACAAATCTTATTTTCGTTAGCTATTCGTATTTTAATGATACTAATTTGACTATTATTTTCTTCTTAAAGACTTGATATCAATGGCACAAGAAATTATTAAATCTACAATTGTTCAGTTGGTGTTGTCAATTATTTTTTGTACAGACAGCGACAAATATACAGATTGAAATCGAAGTCATTATCATCTTTCAACATCATTGTTATATAAAAATTATTTCGATTTCACTCTGTAGATCAAATAATTAATTTTTAATCACAAAATAGTTATTAGAATATGATTTTCATATATTATTATTATTTCTATAGACCAAATATTTTTCTAATTATTTTGCCGACTGTACCAGACAACAGCAAGCAAAAACATCTGTAGTCTTGGAAGATACATTTTGTTGTATGAGTAATTCTTATAAACTTTATATCATCTATTGAGTGTCAAAATTCCTACTTAGCTACATAAGTGCAGGATTAATGTGATAAAAAAAAAGATTCTGACTTAAGTTTTCTAACACTACTAATTATAGGGAATATTTACTCTAAGACTTATTAATATGCTACTAACACGTAGCTAGACAACGACCAATGGACCAAAAGGATCTATTTCTACAAATGTTAACCTTTGTTGAACGCATTAACTTTCTTAAATATGTGACAAATCATCGAGTAGAAAGCCCATGTCCAAAAGAGCAAGACATTGAGCATCCACTGTCACGGTCCTGCTATTATTATGATAGGACGCTACATCTGTAGATACAGAGCATTTGACACTTGTCATTCGATTTTTTTTTTGAGATTTAGAATAGAAATTTTGACCTCTCCATACTAGAACCATAGCAACATTTTCTAAAATCTGATTTATTTCATATTATATAGTGTTGAAGTAAATAAACATTAATAAACATAGACAAGAGAGTACAAAAATGTATACTAAGATTTTTTTATTTATTATGACAGAGTCTTGAAATTTGCTAAATTATGAATTATTTTAATTTATATAATTTATATATATATATATATATATATATATATATATATATATATATATACATAAAATGTTCGTTGTCATACACAAAACAGTTTACAGAAATATCGCTGTTGTATATTTAGAACACAGATGACATTTTGTGATATCGTAGTAATGTGGCCGATAGCTGAATTTATCAACACCCGAACAGGAACATTTCAAATAATTAATAAAGTTAAATGTATTGCGAATTCTTATAGTTATAAATATAAATATTTTCATAATTAGGTATTACTAACGAGTGATTATCAACAATATAATGAAGCTAAATTATGAAGAAATAAACATATTGCTTTTTTTTTCATATTTAGTGACTGGTCACACAGATTATAAATGCTAAATATACTTTAAAATATACTAAAATAAAATCTTACAAATTTCTCGTAATAATGGTGTAAAAAAAATACTTAGCAGTAATAGTTTTCTAGATTCTTTAAGCGTGACTTTTCATCATCCTAGCCATGACAAACACTTTCAGTCTAAACTCTATTCATTAGGCCAATCCATGAATATAATACTTTCAACAAAATATTATAATGGCTAATCCACATCCTATATCATTCTTCTTACAACGCAAACATTACAAAGTATAAGTAAACCACAAATGTCAGGTCACACATAGAATGAGTAGAAGTGAAAGAGTAGCAATTCTTAGTAGTCATGCACAGTGTAATATCAAATCAAAATGAAAATAGGACGTACTTTTAGTCATATATTGTTGTCTTAACTGACAAAACAATTAACATAAGCAAACAGTCTCCCTAGACAAGTGGAAAACAAATCTATAAATGAAATTGACATCGCTAGAGACTCCATGATTTGGAACGTGAGACATCGGACATTGCCTTTTCATTCTATCTCATGGAGTCGCTAGCGATGTCAATTTCATCAATAGGCCTGATATTATAAAAAAAAAAATTAAATTATCAATTATTATTACAGCAAGTTCAATTTTCCATGCAAACTGTACTTTTCAAGTAACCATATGCAAGTCATTATCATACTCCTATTCTCATTTTGATTAGTTATAATTATAATAGTAAAATGCTAATATTGATACCGAATTAACCTTCTATGTAACAGTTTATTTAATAGTTTAATGTCAGAAATAAAATCAGCATTTCAATTTGTGCCTTATTGCAACAGAATAGGGTTTACATAATAGTTTGTAGTTGTTTGCATGGTCATAAAATTTTATTTTCATAATCTCTATTATATTATATTAGTATAGATAATATAGATCTAAATCCAGATACTTCGTTAGAGGTGACTACTAACTTGTCGCCCATACATGTTCATATAACAAGTTTTCAGAATCTGGCGTGTATGGTTAGTAACCTTATATAATTAATATACGAGTTAATTGGAAGTAACACAGTACGGTATGACGCGCAGTATTGAGTTGACGACGTCGCAAGCGTCCGCGAGCTGCACCGCCGTACTAGCATCCAACTGGAACAATAAAGGTGTTATGTCTATTACATATATAATATTAGAATAACAAGTATATCATATTCCTATTTGTTATTACTATCAGAAACATGAATTTGAAAAATCAGAATTTTTTTTAATAATTTAAAAATTATTGTCACTTGCTTTGTTTGTTCTACTTTAGAGCAAATTATCGTCTGGTAAACCACATCAGACTTTCATCTACAAATAAGGAGACTTAGAATCTCTTGACACTAGAGGACAACAACCTCACACAAGTAGTAGTAGAAAGATAAAGAAGTAGATTGGTTCTGCAAAATAGCAACTTTAATCGTGAACATGAATAAACTACAAGGTGTTTCACATACACATTAGATAATAAATATAATTTACTGAAAAGATGTACATAGTTTTACATAATAAAGTATGACACCTATATATGGTTGTACGTTGCATATGAACAATACAGTGAAGCCTTAATACAAAAAATTGAAGGGAATTAGAAAATATTCATTACGATAAGATTTAATATATAGAGGTTAATTTGATCTATGATTTGTTTTAACAATCTGTATAGAATTAAATTTTAGCCTAACTAGCCTAAGAATAAGGAATTGCATAGAAGTAATGATAACATAAAAACTGTAAAACATATGGTTATATATAATGCAAATATAATTAGAATTTTGTCCTCTTTTAATATAAATATAAAAAAAGGACAAAATATACACCATCAGTTGCTATTTCTCTAAATTCATAGCAGGCTAGTTTATAGAAACTGTGTATGTAAAATTTTTGTTTATTTTGATATGTCAATAACAAATTTTACATTACTAGATTATATATTCAACACAGTTTATATAGAAATTATGCAAGCAGAGTTATATGGCTAATGAAATTACTCAAAATAAAATTACTTATTAATCAAAATATTAAATCAATTAACCTATATTTAATTTATACTATTATTGGACATCAGCAGACTGTCTGTCTCATAGTGGAGTCATTAATTAATTTGTTTACATTTTCATCAAGTTGTATTGAAACAGATCATATATATTAATATTACCTGAGCGTCTGTTGTGCACTATGCGGTGGTAGTGCTCGCGGCCTGCAGTTGCATCTGGCGCTGCATCTGCTCCAGCATCTCCTGCATGCGCCGCAGCTCCGCTTCCTTTACATCAATGTACAATGTTTAAATGTCACAAATAAGATTGAGATAATTCTACAAATGTAATTTAAGACTTAGCTCTGTAAAAAATATGAATAACTTTATACAGAGTTAATAAAAATAAAAAAAAATCTAATTAGTAGTGTGGTCTAGATTACAATATATTTAGAAATCCACAAGTACCAACAATAAAGGAGAAAGTAAAAGGATGGGCACAGAATTATAAAACTAGATTGGAAAATCAACCTAATAAGCTAGTTTTCCTGTTGCATATACCAAAAGCGAAGAACTTTTCATGGTAGAATGGTATTGCAGACATCCATAGGCTAAGGTATCTTTTGACATTAAGCAGGCTGTATGCTTGTTTACCACCACAGTAGAATAAAAATAACAGTTCTATTGATATGGATGATATCGATGTGTGTGATATTTTTTTTTCACCATAAATTTTCAAAGGAACTCTATATAATGATACCGGAACAGTACCAATATTACCCATGCCTAATAAGGTGTAAAATCACTACAAGTTCCCTACCTTCTCGCGCAACACTCGCTCACGTTCAGCGGCATCCTCACTTGATCCGTTGGTCAGTCCATTGGAATCCGCCTCGCTCAATCCGCTTTCAGTAGACCTGTTACCAGAGGAAGTATTTGTACAATACTCAATAAAGGATAGTTCTTCGACTTTTGTTTGCTGCTATATTATTGTTTCATTTGATATGTGAAACATGGTAGAGAAATTACTAAAAAAAACTGTACTTACGTGTGTCGTTTGGGAACTTGCCCGTTGCGTGCGAGCCGCTCGGAGCGATAGTTCTCGTAATGCACCTCCTGAGTCACTTCTTGTAAATCTTGCATATGGGTTCTGCAAATTAATTTGATTTCAAATTATGATATAAATATTAAACATTGGGTGAAATCGGAACCATTAGTAGTTCTTAAAGAAAAATTTACATTGTGCTGAAGAGATCGAGTCGACGTAATATGCGCGAATTGCATCTGCGCGGTAGTTTACTCACATAAGCATAGTGCGCAGCTTGATGAAGTCGCAGTGGTCGGGGTTCTCGACCTCCACCACGCCCCACGGGTACAATCGGCCTCGCACACGCCGCCCGCGCACCTCCAGCTGCTGGCCCGCGCCGCACACCGCGAACGGCACCGCCGCCTTCAGCTGCCGCACCTGAACATGTCGCAACATGTTTAGTCTGAGGGGAAAAGGATTGTGAATAACTAGGTCTAATAGCCCTATTGCTAGCAAAATATTCTATCAGGCGACCTCCACGTAGTTCTCCCTGGAAACCATCATAGTGAATTCTTGTTGAATTCGTAACGATAAACAACTGACCTGTCTTTTCATCCTTACTAGTAGCCGCTAGCTTATGCCATTAGCGTGAAGTTAGCATTTTATTACCACCCATTAAAAAAATACATTAAGTCTCATTTACAAAGAGAGAAAGAAGAATTGTTGAGGACTATTATTGTAATGTATGTACCCTATCACCTCGACTTCCGCACAGTCCCCCAAATTTATACTGATAGTGTCAGCTATAGGCGTACCTAAAGGGTCCAGGTGGGCCGTGTCCAGCCCAGAATTGTCTGATAATGTCCTTAACTATAAATAAAAACATGTTTGAGAGCATAAGAAGCATTATTTAATGTGCCAAGCTCCTCCTGAAAAGTAATTTAACATGTGCCAATGGCACAGGCGGTACACTGGCACATACCATTCTATTTTTATCCATTAAAAAAAAATTAAGCAAAAATAACCTGTTCTTTATAGTCTTCATCTTCATCACTGTCACAATCTGGTAAAGGATAAATCTTAATACCTTCTCTCTCAATTTCTTCCATAACCTGAGAACAGAGATTTTTTTTTTATTTTTTGAAGAGGAAAACTTAAGAAGTTCTGAATGAAGTCAAAACAATTGTCGGAAACGACAAATATATTAGTTTCAATAAATTCCCGCTATACTCTCTCAAATAAGAGAGAATCCTTGTGTATCAGATAGAAAATACTATTTGTACTTATCTAATCTGTGCACACAAGTTAATTACTCCAACATAAAGTAATATATTTTAAAAGATACAACTTGGTTGAGATTGGAAGCAAAACTCTTTTAATTGTCATAACAATTATACAGGTACCCATATCAATTGAATTAATCAAATTACCCATTATTTTCACACATAACATATCTCACCCCTATAATCTTGAAGTACAATCAACATCTATAATAGCTACATCTACAGAAATCAGCACATAAGATTAAAATACTGTTTACATTAATCACAACACATGAACACTACACAAATTCCCTAGGTACACCAATTATAGGAGGCCACGAATCAGGGTCTGGTATTTCAATCTCAGACGAAGCCTCAGGTAGTCGGTGTGATTGTAAGGTTTATTATTTTAAATTCATCTTATCTCAAAAAAAATCATACAATGAAGCCTCAGGTGAAGTATCATCTGGTTGATCCCATCCTCGTCGCCATTAAAAGATACAACTTGGTTGAGATTGGAAGCAAAACTATTTTAATTGTCATAACAATTATACAGGTACCCATATCAATTGACTTAATCAAATTACCCATTATTATTTTCATACATAACATTTAAAATATGAGAAACTTATGGTAAACAATAAATTCATAACAAAATTATCTCTACAGTTAGAGGTGAGTCTTGACTCCGCCACCGATAACGCAATGTTCTTATTTTCCTTTTATAATTCTATAATTATTTCCTGGAGGTATTGCCGAGTACAATAATTAAAGAGTACTTACTCTTGTCTTCAAACGCTGCACCTCTTTCTTAGTGAGGCAGTCGGCCTTCGCGATCACTGGGACGATGTTTACTTTATTGTGGAGTTGCTTCATAAATTCAATGTCCAGAGGTTTCAAGCTATAGAGTATTAGAATTTGATAATTAACGATTTTAACCAGACATATAATCTTATTTTTAAATTCTATACATTTTAATAGAATTTCATGAAGACATAATCAAGTTTCTAATTATCACATAAATCTGCACTAAATTAAATTTTTTTTTTTTTTATACAACTTAGAATGGCAAACAAGCTGACGGCCCACCTGATGGAAAGTGGTAACCGTCGCCTATAGACGTGAGCAGTGCCATGGACACAACAGAGTATACTGTTTCGCCCATGATACCCCCATGCGTTGCCATTCCTGAGGACTCAGGTGTTATTCCTCTGTATCCTGTAAATTCACGCCATATGCCACCCTTCAAACCGAAACACAGCCATGCAAACACAATTGCTTCACGGTAGAAACACGAATGGGACAGAGGTGCTCAAGCAATCGACTTTTGTACAAAGTCTCCCTCTGGTAAGTTGTAACAAGTCTAAACATTCAATTAACTTATCGATTTTTATTTGTACCACTATTGGATATCAGCAGCAGGCTAATCTTATGAAGGACTCAATTACTTGTTTGTTTACATTTTCATTAAGTTGTATTGAAACATAAGTATAATATAAAAAAAAAATTAATATTACAAATTTATAATATACAGTTATAAAACAATATACATTCACTATATTGTTGTATAACTGTATTAATTTAATATAATGAAATCTAAGCAGACAAAACTAAGATTGATGGTCTGACCGAAAGTCGTTTTCTAAAAAAATTATAATTCACTGCCAAAGAATATAAAATGAAGGATGATAATACATATAAAAATTGCTAATAAAAATCCTATGTGGGACATTAGCAAATGGTTTTAACTCGCTAAAGGGCTAATGGCCTGTAAGAGCTTGAAAAGGAAATTGTTTATTAAATAACATAATGAACACCAAACATCCCATGGATTGTAGTTGTGTGCCCACAATGTGTTGTAGGGCCCACTTTATATCCTAATTTCCTCGTGGCAACCCGCGAGTTACTACTTTATATTTAAAGTATTTCTTAATAGTAATTAAATATTACAAATGACAGTACCCATGTCCAAACGGCGATATGAAATAGAAGCAGCAGTGTATGCGGTTATCGACAATGTTGCGCCGGTTGAGGCCGCTCTCATCCCGCAGGAACCGTTCGAATTGCTCGTCGATATATTGTATGATAGACTAAACATAAAGAAAATATTTTTTTTAATATATACTAAAACTATATAATAATATAATAGATAAACTAGCCACTTTGACAGAAAATTGATATTGGAACTATTTCATTTCAAACTTGAAATGACTAATAGTAATATACCTCGAATACTACGTTGGGCTTATCTGTTAGTACTGTATGTGTAGATTATTTTTTAATGGGTAATAATAGAATAGTAACCCTGCCTGCGCTATCGGTATACGCTGGCAGAGCAGCAGTAAATTGTGATAGGTGAAAATGAAACCATGGTCAATAAGCCCATTGTGACAGATTGAACATGAATAAATCACTATGGTTTTCAGAAGACACCATTGAGATTGACCTGACAGGGTATATTTAATGTTTAGTGTATGAAATCATACATGAATTTAATTTTCAAACTTAGTACTCTGAGTACTTAATTATATAATTAAAGTGATTTAATCAATGAGGCTTATTTGCAATTCCAAAGTGAGACAATATGTTTACTACTTTCACAGGTTTTATACTTAATATTTCCACAAAACCTGTGGATACTTTTACACTTTACTACTGTAAAGTCTTCTCTCACTTATAATGATTATAATACAATAATTTAAATTACTGTTTATTTATGTACTTAGGATCACCAACATAAAATACAGCGAAACATTTCGATACATGACACTAGTGGATTACGGCTAACTGTTTTTACATATAGAGGCAACTACAGCATGCTTCGTGTTTGAAAAATATTAAAATAGAATCAAATTATTAAACTATTAAATGGCATCAAATTTATAATATAACATTGCTGTTCTATAATGTTGCCTATTATGTACTATTTGACTGTATGGTCCCAGCATAGAATAGGCCACCTCTTTTTTCCCGTGGGTGTCGTAAGAGGCAACTAAGGGAAAGGTGAGGAATGGACAGCAGTGTTCCTCTTAAAACATCTTCAAAGGTTAATTGCGGTTGCCAAACCGCCTGCCAAGCGTGGCAACTTCTGGCAAAACCCTCCAAGGGGGAAACTTATGTTTAGCAGTGGACAGTTAAAGGCTGATATGACGATAATGAATGTTACCTATTGGGTACGCACATTTGGGCCAAACAAGAATTCCTACTGACCATCAGATTTGTATTGACAAATTTCGTTTAATTCAGTGTTCTCAATAACACTTTTACTTACTTCCTACATAGTAAAAAAATAATAATAAGCTAATACATACGCGGAAAGAATCAGTATTATCAATGGCGTCTCCATAACCTGGAGTATCTACGACCGTTAACCGTAATTTCACCCCTCGTTCTTCTATCTCCACTGTTGATGCATCCAACTTAACGGTTTGGTTAGTCTTCTCTGAAAGTAATAAAACACATTATCACAGGACATCCTGGTTAACTAAAATTGTCTGATGCAAATAATCACACCAATATTTAAAATATGTTCAGATGTTTGATAGTTCCTTAAAAATCAAATTTAAAGAAGTATGAAGGATTGTCAGTAAAGGGACTAATGGACTATTGGCAATATACCCTGTGGAGTCAACCTCCGCAAAGGAAACAATTGTGGTTAATTCCTAGTGAATATGTCACAAAGGATCACCTGATTTCACTAAATCTTCACATATCATCCCTTACTTGGGTATCAGTAGCCAATGTAAATTGATAAACTATTTACTATTATTTCATTTTAATCTTTAAAAAATAACTATTAAATAGTACACATTTGGTCAAATCTGACAACTTCCGTGGCATAGTGGTGGACACGTTACTTTGCTTAAATAAGGTCCCAGGTGTAATTCCCAGTTGGGCTTATTTAGGAAATAAACTTTCCTAAATTAGCTTAGATCAGGCTGTGCTCCTAAACATTCATTGTCATTGGCTGGTTCCTCATAATACAGAGTATCCACGCTTAGGGACCAGACTTTTAATATAATTGTGTAGCACTTATTATAATCTAGTTCTATGTTTTGGATATACTAACCAATAGCATCAGGAATAACTCGTTCAGGGTATAGATCCGTCAAAAAGAGAGAATTAACAAGTGTAGACTTGCCAAGACCACTCTCTCCAACGACCATGAGTGTAAATTCAAAGCCCTTCTTCACTGACTTACGATGTACTTGATTTGGTAAGTTGGCAAAACCAACATACCCAGGAGTTTCGAGATTAGAAAACTGTGAATAAAAATATTCAGTATAATTACTAGCTATTCTAGTAATATACTATAAAAGAAGAAAAAAATATTATTAATCTATATTATGCGGAATGTGTTATATAATTATTATATAATTATTCCAGAAAAGAAAAAATTGAACCATATCAAATTAGGTGTGTGACCTGTGTACTTTAAGCACAGGATACTGTAAACTCTGTTAGTTATATGTATTTATAAATAAACATAGCATGTAATTATTTTATTAATATCATATATGCACATACAATAAATAAATATACTAATATATCTCAATATATAGATTAGTATCATTTATAACTACTGGCTATTTACAGTGTTTCATCTGCCTTTTATTTTTTTATTTTTAATCCAACTTCCAAGAGAAATGATGTGATACTGAATAGCCTATACACTTTCTTCTTTAACCACATAAGCATCTCAAACCGACAAGACTCTCTCGTGCATCAAATGTGTTCCGATTTGCACTATTATAATATTTATAGTGATGAGAAGTTCTCAGAAATACTTCTGGCCACTTATAAATATTATGTTTATATTTTTATCTGGAGGGATACCTTCTCGCCCGTTTGTATTTCATAGAGCTTAGTGTATATTTATTGCATGCTCGTTAGAATTTAGTGCGTCTACCAGTGCGCCAGTTAACTTCATTTCACAGAAAAACTTGCATGCATTAACTAGCATTAAATGATTAAGAAATGAACTATAAAATACATAATGAATTTTTCAACAAATATTACTAAAAATTACGAGAAAAAAGAGATTAGCACATTCAAAGAAACTCTTCTGCTTTATATATTAGTATTTATGTACTAGCTGTTATGTTGAAACAATTTCAATATAAAGAAATAGTAGTTTTACCCTTAATCACAGACTGGGCTAAAATTGCCTAAAATCCTTAATATTTTTGGACTTAAGTATATAAAGGTTGGTGATTCTTGTACATTTTCTTTATATATTTTAGTGCTCTATTGCTCATCCAGGTGTGATGTGCAAACATTTATCTTTAGTAAGTAAAGAATTTTCAACATGCATCTCTAAGACATATTTTCAACTGACTTCAAAAAGGAGGTTCTCAATTTTGTGTGTTTCCTTTTGTTTCCTCATAACTCTCTGAGTTTTAATCCAATTTGGAAAATTCTTTTTATTTATCCAAATGCAAATTATGTTTATTGAAATAGATTTATTTACAGACACTTTTAAATCAACATTTTATTTTTAATCTACTAAAAGGTTCGGAAGGTTGTTATTTGTTGAAAGGAGCCTGCAAGAAACTAAACAGTTGCTCTTTTAAATCTCTGTTAATACATATATAAGTTCACATATATTTATTTAAATGTACCATATTTATCATTCAATCTAAAAGGATACACTTACAGATCAGTAGTTTAGCTTTTAAATCAAAATAACCAATTTTGTCACAGATGAAGTCTGTTTTTTTGTGGGACACAATTTTTATTTATTTATACTTTATTGTACACACTAACTAATAATACATAAAAAATATGACAGAGGTAAGCAAATGTAAAAAAGCGAGCTTAATTATCATTGCATTAGTCCAATTTTAAGAATACTACTAATAATCAGTGGCTCAAATAAGATCAAATAATTGAATACACAAAGGAATGAAGGTGATATGTAAAATTTTTGGATTTTTGCCATTCTATGAATGGATGGAGGTGTTAGGACTTTAATTACTATAACTTATAACTGTTAGTATGCACATACCATCTCCATCCATGCATAACCTTACCGCCTTAAACCATTCATGCTTTCAATTATTGTTGGACTAATTTCAAATTTAAACTGCTACATTATGAGGTGACTCTGGATTTGCACTATTTTTGCAAAAAATTAACTACTTGAAAATATTTTATATGCATAACCCTATATTTAAGAATCCTAAATTAAAAAGCTCAGGCAAAATAGCACAGAAATGTGGGTGCAAATCCCATCTAAGGAAATTATTAGAATGTTATTTTTTTAACTGATTAATAATTTATATTTAATGTGACTCCTATACCATCCAATTTAGGTTCTACATCATACAAACTCACCCACCTTAAATTTATTTTAATGGATAATAATGTAATAGTAACACTGCTTATGCTACCAGTATATGTTAGCAGGAAACCAACAAATAATGACAGGTAAAGATGAAACAAGATCAGTCAGAACAATTAGCACATTGTGATGAATTCATCAAAAATTAATAATGATGGGTTCCAGAGGAAACCACATAGTGATCGACTTGACAAGGTACATTGCCAGTAATGGGAATAAACATAACCCGTTACTAACAATCCCTTTCCCACCTCCAACTTTAAGTATATATATATATATATATATATATATATATATATATATATATATATATATATATATATATATATTTATATATATATATATATATATATATTATTTATATATATATATATATATATATATATATATATATTTATATATATATAATATATATATATATTATATATATATTTCAATATATTGTATATATATATATATATATATCGAGACTAATTACCCAGTGATAAGCAGTAATGTTATGCTCGACATCAAACAAATGAAGGAAACAAATAGATAAAAGTCAGTTTTAAAAGTTGATAACTGTACCTAATTGTTATGCATTATAGTAAGTACCTACCGCAAGAATTCTGTAAACATTCGACACGCATCCGTTGCTAACTGTACCATGATCTATTTCACCGACTACTGATTAGTGACGACATGTATAATTACATGAAGACGAATATGACATGGTATCAAAAAACAACAAATATCCAAGTATTGGAACATTTAATATTATACAAACTAACAATTTTTATTGGATATGTATAATTTATTATAAATAAAATATGACTTACATTTTTTCCAGTATCGCTGGACATTTTTATTCGATTTCTATAATATAATTAATATCTTGCAATAGATATATAAAGTAATGGTTTTAATGAGAGAGAAAATATAAAGATGAAATTTATCGCCTTTGACTAATAAACTAAGTACTAGTCATAGACACAGACACAGCACAGACTACTTAAAGAATTTACGTCATAGATTAAGTAATTACTACGTTATAAGAACTGGCACTGGCTCTATGTTAACGGAAACTGGATAAAAACAAAATTGTAATAAATGTTACCTTTCCGAAGTAACAATACAATAAAAATTATAAAAAAAAATGAATATCCATAGTATTGTACCACGATTTATATATGCCTTCATCCAACATATCGATATCGACAGTTGCATTAAAAAACCTAGCTAGTTCATAATACAAAATTTTCAATTTTTACGAAAAACATTACAATATGTCAAATTCCTATACGTTACTACTTTTTTTATCTATTTTTTTTTTTGACAAGCAAGAAATGCAAAATTTCTTTGGCGTTTTAAACAATAATGTGTTTAACTTTATTGTGCCAAAGACGAAAAAATAAACATGTATTCAATTCTAGATAATATATACGTATATTATGCATATAAGAGAAATAGCTCTATTTGTAATTATTACATAGTATTATTTAAATATAACTATGAATAATATTATTTTTAATTTAAAAGGTGGCATTTTAATGAGACAGCATACTACAAATATAATTAATGAGTTTGAGTGTCAATTTTAAGTACTTTTGTAATATATCAATATTTATAAATCAATTTCAGTACATATCGATAAATAATAGAAACTATGATAGAAACTAATAGATTAGATTATAATAGAACAACACAAAATTTTAATTAGGTACTTTTACAAGTTCAGTAAAATTTGTTTAATTACATAGAAATCAGCTCCGCTTTAGCTTCGTTTATATAGTAGAACGAACATGTTAATCAATTAGGTAATACATGCAAACTTTAATTATACTCAACTATATTAATTATAATTATTATTTACTCATCGGATCAAATCTATTAACAATGAAGTTGAAAACGTCGTTTATACATTGCATTATATCACACTGAATTATGTAATTTATCAAAACACTTAAAAGTTATTTTAATATTAAAAAAGAAAACTATGTTTAAGTGAAGCACTATTTTTTAAATGCTTTTTAAAATCTGTGGTACCATAATATTATAAAAAAGTCATTCCAACAACGATATTCTAACTGTCGCAGTCCTGGAGCAAATAATCACAGAATTACTACATATTTAAAAGTGATCTATCCATGAAACCTGGGAAATAAATTATATAACAACAGAATCAAAATATTCATAGTGTTATATAAATATTTATATACCTAAGCCTCTATCCAAAATGTTGATATCGTTAGGTGTCATAAAAGACCAAACTATTTCATAGTGTGAATTTTTCAAATGTAATGCAATAAAAATATAATAAAACAAGTACTTATGTTTAGTATAATTCATTAGACATTTATTTGTCTCCTTTAAAAAAATTAAATTATTAGGCACATTAAACAATAGTCGGAAGTTTTGCGATAAATAGCATCTGAAAAAGAACACGTATTGATATTTAAAGAATATATTTTATCAGAGGGAGACTTTGTACAAAGTTGTTTTCTTGGGCGCCTCCGTTTCATTGAAATACTTCTACCGTGAAATAGTTGTGTTTGCATGGCTGTGTTTCGGTTTGAAGGGTGGGTTATATGGTAGTATATTTACAGGGTACAGAGGAATAATACCTAAGTCCTCAGGAATGGCAACGCATGAGGGGTATCATGGGCGACTGTATACTCGTTATGTACATGGTACTGTTAATGACTATAGGCGACGGTTACCACTTTCCATCAGGTGGGCTGTCGGCTTTTTTACCATTCTAAGTTGCATAGAAAAAAAATAACGTTAGCGCAAGCGAGATACCATTTCATTGTTATGTAGAAAAAAACTAATTTCAATTATAACAAAACCAGTTAATTAGATATAAAACTATTGGACCGACGTTGATTACATTTCTATGAGACCAAACTGTATTTCCTTACAGTTAAAAAAATGTTCCAAATCGGTTTAGAATTGACTAAATTGTAAGATAATAATAAATATTAAAAAAAAAGTATTGAGAACCTTCTTTTTTTCGTATAGTACTACAGGTGAATTGCCTACTGATTAGTGTTTTACTTTTTAAGTAAGAACTATTTATTTTCAAAATACTTCATTATTTATACATTGTGATTAAATTTGAATTCACAATGATAAATAATATGAAATGTGGTAAGAACATCATTAGCAAATTTTGGTTCATTTTACAAATTTGCCATTTTTAACGTATTTTAACATTTTACGAATTGGGAAAATAGAAAAAAAGAAAATAAAAATTGATGACAGGGACAAGGCGGTGCGACGGTACTGGCCCGGCCGGCGCGACGGCGCGTGCCAATGTAATAGCGCGCGAAGGCTGCACTTCGACCTTTAGCACTTTATCATATTTGTATTGTCTAATGACAAAAAGCTGTAAACGTTATTTATAAAGACATTCTGTAGTAGGTAGTAAATATACCTAATATTTAGTATCAGGGTGGAAAAGGGATTGTTAGCAATGAAGTTTATATTTGCATAAGAAGAAAGGATAGATAGATAGACAGATAATTTATTTGCATTACTTACTAACAGCACACAAATTACAACATACATATACAAAAAAAAAGCGTGATAACATTAATGATAAAAAAAAATACATAAAACTAAATACAGTTTTCGTATGTGAGTGTGCCATAGCAATACAAAATGGCCACAACTCAGTTTATTGCTTCGCCTTCAAAAGAGCAAAGCACTGATATTCTGTTGCGGCAAAAGGGAATAGGGTAACAATAAAACAATACTACCATATTATCCATACAATAAATAGATAGATATACAGTAAACAGACAGATATGATCTACAGTTTATCTAGCAGACATATATGATATACAGTTATTTTATCATTCTTTCTTTGTAATTCTTTGTTCTTAGCTTTTAGATATGAGTCAGTACTCGTGTTAGTCCGATTTAGCGATGGGCCAACTCGTATAGTTTTGAACTCGAATCAACCGAATTGAAATGGTGACAGATTCGAATCGCAGCTCGAATCAGGTCGCATTCACTTCGTATGGGATCAGTATTACAGTTGAATATGAACTCAGCACCTCGGTTACTTGACTCGTTTCAGATTTAAATCGTTGATAGCGCGAACTCGCAGGTTTCAATCAATTTATAGACACCTACAATATTTTTCATGTACTTTCTAAAGCTATTCAGATATTTGCGTCTGGTAGTCATCATCTCACGTTGCTTAGCTGATGATGGAAGTAACGATTAGAAGTTAAAAGATAATTCCCGAAATATTAGGCACGTTTAGACCGTTAGTAGTATTCTTTCAAGTGATATTCAGATGAGCTGATAATGGAGTACAACTCCTTAACGGTTAGAAGTTAAGGGATAATTCTTTAAATATTATAGGTACGTTTACACCGTTAGTTGAATTCTTACAAGTCACATGAGCTGACGATGAAATAGCACTCCTTAACTCTCAGGAGTTAGGAGATAATACTGCAATATGACGACAGAAACTACTTAGCACTTCTTGGATAGATATGGACGTGTAGGACTATCGTCTTCATTTCTTAACCGACATCAAAAAAGGAGGAGCTTCTATGTTTGACTGTATATTTTTTATGTATGTTCACCGTATGTATACTCCGTCAATTGTGGATGAATTATGAAAATTATTTTTTTGTCATCAAGTCAGAATCTCATGAGGGTAAATATACAAAAGGTGTAAATATACTAAAAATGGAAAAATAAATAAACTTTAAAAAAAACCGACTTCAAAAACCACAAAACGTCATTACACTAAAATGTAGTAAATATCAAAATACAGATTAAACCAATTCAAATAAATTTAATTTTATTTTATAAAAATATAAAAAGTTATGTAATCACCTAAGAAAATACATAAAAGTTTAATACTTATATTTTTACTATTTATTTTAACATTAATTAATTAATTAGCTAAGTATTAAAAACGGAACAGTAACATTTCTAAAAAAAGAGCTCGTCGTCAGCTAATCATGAACCAATCGCCTTCTCTTCCTTTAACTTGCGCCTCATGTGATGGTACTATCTTGTTCTGCTTCGCAGCTTGTTCGATTGGTGTAGTTATGTCGAGTATTATACACCACACGCTATGGCATGGTGCAGTGCAGATAATAGGTACATACACATACCAGTATATAATTCAAAATACTTGTACAACGCAAACAGTAAAGCATAGATAATTTACGAAAATTCATTGTATGCGACAAATCTATGGATCGGTAACAGTAACTTACATTTCCAGTCATATAAAGATAATAAATATATTATTAGATTGACTTTGACTTCATAAATCTCACTCAACACTATTCTGTTACATTTATAACAAAAAGTGCCAAAATCTCACCTATGACCGCACCATGCTATAGCGCGCGGAGTGTAACTGTAAAACACGCTGCAGAAATATCACGCACACGAGAATCTTGCTCATATGATGTTTCTGTTGCGTCGCACGTCACAGCCACACAGAATTCACAGCAATCAAATCTAGTTGACGTTATGACGAACACAGTCGGCCGAGTTGCGTGCGACAGTGATCCGAGCGAGGATCGCATTCATATCACGGTTGTGACGTAGGTAGCGCCGTATTGGCTTTATACGAGTTGATTCGAATTGATAGAAAAGCCAGTTCGAATTGAGCCGACGGCAATACAGCTTGAGTAACTCGAGTTTTTTTGATTCGAATCGCCCATCACTAGCTTTAATATAACTCGTCACATCATACTTACATATTCAATTGACAGATGTGCGTACTAATTTTATACTCACTACGTCTTGTGTTTGCGGATAGCTTTTTTTATTATGTTAGACCGCATTATTATTGGCTTAATAAACTAATAAAAAATTAGTGTAGAACTGTAAGCTAATGCTAAAATTATGGTCCATAGTATGTACTATTATGGTCCATAGTATGTACTTTTAATTTCCCTATAGTTTTTTAGGTCTGTGAAAAATAACTGGTGAGTAATACATAATTGTTTACATATAGGATTTTTTTTATTAATATGTTTTACGGCTCTGAATACCGACTCGGTGTTGCCAATTTTCCATAATTAAAAGTTACGCGAGACTGCTCGTCCATTTATTGCACACAAAGACACATTAATCAATGCAAATTATTAATTTGAATGTCTTTTGCGATTGTTATGGTTTTTAATATATTTAAAACCGGTTACCGGATAGTTGCCAGATATCTGTTTCATTATAACGAAATCCCGAACAAAGATATTGAAGCAAAGTATATTCAACGTAAAAGCCCCTATATGTTTAATTCTATAATGTTTACAAAGCTTTAAATGTTAGAAAATTGGAAAGTCTAAAAATAAAAAAAAAAAACGAGTTAGTTCTGTTTGCCAACATAACAGACATAACCAGTTTCGATCAACCAATTTTAGGGTTTTATAGTTGTTATGAACCTTTTGCGGGGCGGCAATAACGCAATAGAGTCAAAAGTAACAGATGATGTAACAAAAATAACGTACTGGCAATGGTGCCCCGCCTACTACCGGTCATATAGTTGTGTAGTAGATGTATGTTGGGTATGGGTTGGGTTACCAATGAGGAATAATAAATGAGGCGAAATCATATCGACAACCATAATGAAACTCACCACCTAATTTGTATTTGTATTGGTTGTTTTCTATATAAAAGTATTACACATAGGCTATAAATATGTTGATTTGCTAATCACCGCTAGTTCTCGGACTAAAATCGTAAAAAAAAAAGACAAAGGTTATATTTTTAAAACATAATGTTCATTTTTAACGATATATATACATCTATACGTGTAACGCAAATTTCATTAACATACCATGTTTGTTGTTTCCGACAATTGTTTTGATTTAATCCTATCCTAATAATTAATAACATGTTCAACAATAACAGAGGTTATTGTTAGTATGATTACTAATAAGATTTATACGGTCCAATGCGTACTTAGAGCATTAAGTTATAATTGAATTTTACTATAAACAAGTATTTCATTAATTCGGTATTTTTTCGGACCAACTGGTCGCAGTCTGGTGGCATTTGACCACAAGTATTTTTGTCCCTCTCTTTAGTCATGGCTTTTTAATGCTAAACTTTCAAGAAAAGAACATATTTATTCCTTTTTAAAAGACCGGTTGTGTTGGTGAAGTTGGTGTTTTGGGTGATCATGGGCGGCAGTAGTCGTTTACAGCCGCATTCTCGTTTGCCCCCTGTGTTGTAAAAATAAAAGGATGACAATGGAATGGCATACACTGGCGGGGCACCAGTGAGGGATGATAGGTGAGGATGAAGCAGGTCAGGTAGCCCACCGTGACGAAACTAACAATAAATCAATCACGATAATTTCCAGGGGGAACCACGAGGAGGTCGACCTGAAAGAGTATATTGCTAGCAATGGGGCTACTATTTGGTGCAATAAGTATATACTCGTAGCTATATTTATAATTGCTATAAAGAGCTATACTTGTAAAATATTTCTAATAAAAGTTTTTAATCTTATTCAATTTACAGTGTTTTTGATTGGTAGTCATTTGATTTGGGGTTTCATAAAATAAATGATATTTGTTGGTAGTTTCGATATTTTAAAAGTCTAGGAACCCCTGCTTTAGACGCCCAAACTCTGACCCTTGACCCTTGAACCTTCAATCTTCGATCTTTCAGATGGCAAAAATGTATTTGAAACATTCCGAAGCAGAATATGATGTAGATGCAGTCTTTAATTGTAGATTTATATGTATTCTATATTCTTAGAATAAACAGATTTTTTAAATTGGCAAATAATTGCGATACTTCGATAAGCACAAGTATGAATGCTCTTATGCGGATTTATTAATATAACAAAAGCGCACTTGAGTTTAATTTAGATAGCAATTTTTAATACTCGACTTTTTATCTTTTCAGTACAATGAAGAAATCTATTGTAATAGCGGTTGGCATATTATGCTTGAGTTTATTCATATTGGGAATAGTTTTAGTGGCAACATATAAAGAGGTAATTAAGTTATTTAATTAATAATATTTTAATTTAGTGAAAAGTTTGATAAAAGTATAATATTATTATAATTATAATTAATATATAAATATAGAGTTTTAACATTGTAATATAAACTATTATCGACCTGGATAACATTGAACTGTTATCTATAGGTAGTGTTCATTTCCAACGGCTAGTGTAGGTACATTATCTTGTATGGGTTTATTATTATATATAATAAAGTTATAAATACAATTTAGTATGTTTGTGTATATTTTATAAACTCTTGGGGGGACATTAGCTATCGAATTACATTTTTATGTATTGAGACATATTTTAATACAAAAATTGGACAGTATACTATGGCTATATGCATTCTATTGTTTTTAGCTTAGGGTTTTCCTCACGCTATAATAATATGTCGGTACAATACTAAAATTAATAAATAACGCAACAATACATTTAAATTAATTAACCAGTTTTAATAATAAACTATGGTTACGTACATGTGTTTAAATTTTCCTTGTTTGTTATATGAATTACACATTACAAATGGAAATAGTCAAAATCAAAGAATTTTGTTCTACAATTTACAAAATTATGTTTTACTAATTTGTTTTTTTTTTAAATAATTTTACAAAAATTTATAAAATTGTTTTTAAAAAGCACATACTATGTACTCTTGGACCTGTCTTTGCATATAGCTGAAGGCTCCGTTCCTTATTCTAGAGTGGGTACTAAAAGATTTTGGAATGGGCACCGCCAACCCGGACCCCTGTATATATTATTTTCATTGTAAATTTTTCATATTCATTTACCTAACTCATACAATTCCAGAAGAACGAGAGCAAGTTTGAGTATGATTATACAAAATGTTTAAAGTACGACACAAGGAGCGACACGTTTCAAAACTTAACCTGTGCAGAATTCAGGAATAATTCTAGCGGTTATTGCATATGTTTCATTAACTTGACGATTACCGAAGACTTATATGGAGATGTACCGTTAACGCTATACTATGATTTGAGTTCATACGAGCAGCCAAATTACAGTCAGTCAAAGTGAGTTCTCCTTTTTTTTATTATTAAATTTTTGTTACGCAACTTCCATAGAAAGGCGTTTTTCAATTCACATTAATTATTCAGTAATAATTCATGTGAATTGAAATATGTGTTCCTAAAAATAAAATAAAAATAAAATTGTAAACAGATTTTGACGATTATTTTTATTGGTTTACTTAACGGGTCGGTAGTTATTTATAAAATGAAAATAAGATTTTTTTTTGTTCTGTTTATCACAAAGAGAAAAGCAATGGGCTCTTTTTATGACATTTCATATGTGTGATGACAGATTTCGGCATTCTACTGTAACATTCTTGTAAAAGTCTTCGAAATAAACCAGTTTTTAAATACAGGTGCCGTGGAGGTTCCTTTATTTATTTTTTTGAACATTATGACTTTTGAACTCAGTTGTCGCAATCCATCGCTTTTGTCTACTAAGACATTAAACGACATGAAGTCTTTTTTACAGAGATGAAAATCAATTATTAGGTAAAATATCAGAAACTCCTGCGGCTCAATGTGAGCCTTACAGTTATTTAAATGGCATCCCCATATACCCATGTGGAGCTTTGGCCAACTTTATGTTTAACGGTAAGTGTATAGGATTTTGATGTGTATTCTCAAATTCTTCTTTTCAATTCTCTTTATAAGATTGTACTGAAGAAGCTCTGGCGCAAGCAAATTGTATACTTACTTATATTAGCCAGTGTTTATTATTTATTTATCTATTGAAGTAATTATAATATCATAACAATAAAGACCAAATGAATAGTGTTCATATATAATAATAAGTCATAAGTTCTGTTAAAAGTGAAAATGCATTTTTTTTTGACGTTATGTAATATTACTAAAATTTAATACCTACATATTTATTAAAGTCTTAGCAAAAAATATTCTATTCGAAATGACCACCTTTGTCTTTTATACAGGCCTTTAATCTGTCTGGCCACGTAGCTATGGATTTACGCACTGTTTCCAACGGGAAATTTCGCTACTGACCGCTCCAAAGATTTTTTAAGAGACTCAATGTCGCCGTGTCGTTTAGAGCAGGCCATGCTCTCTAAAACTGGCTATAATTTGAAGTCTAAAGGGTTGAGGTCTGGGATAGAAAAGGGCCAGTCTTCAGCTCTTATAAAGTCCAGAACGTTGGTTTCAAGCTAGGCTTGAGTAGTTCGTAGTTTGTAACCAGGTGCAGAGTCCTGCTGGAAAGTCCAGGGTATATTTTTAAAAAGTGTATTGCTGAGAAGTTTCACAATACGATCCAAGACTGACACTTTGGCCGAAGTTTTTACTCCTTTTTCACAAAAATGTAGTTTTGTGATTCCTTGATAAGACACGTCTCATCAAACCATCACTGACGCAGGATGATGCCCACGTTGTACCTTTCCAACCACTTGAGCAGCTTCTTTAGAACTGTGAGTGTACACTTTATCATTTTGCTTATTGTAGTGTTCTTCAATCATGAAAATGTTTTCATCAGTAAAGAGGATATTTCTGTGCTTTTCACCTGCGTATCGCGACAGAAGACGTTTTGATCGATCCATTCTCTTTTTTATTGTAAAGATTGATTTAGGGCATGTCCTGTATATCGACGATAAGCACCCAGCTTCAGGTTTTGTTTTATAATACGCGACAAAGTTCTAGCGGAAATGTTCATTTCTCGCGATAAGATTTTTTGCTTCCTAATGGGGTTTCGACGAATTCTGGCTTTAATAGCATTAACAGCCTTTGTAGTTCTAACAGCACGCGGCCGCCCAGATCTTTTTGGTCTTCGACAGAGGAAGAGTTGATGTATCTGTTGATAGTACGATATACAAACATACGGCTGATACCAAGCTAAAATAATTAAAAAGTTAAAAAAAAAAACAGTTTTTATGTTACAGTATTTATGGCCAGACTAGTTACAGTGTGTAGGAGGATATATTATCCCATACGATTAATCTGTTTTTAAGAACATAAAATAGTAACCCTGCCTGGGCTATCGGTATACACTGGCAGGGTGTTGGTGATAGGAAAGGATAATAGCAGATCAATTGATCCATCATAACGTGGCATCATCTAAGTTTATTCATTAAAAATTAACCACGGTGGTTATATCATGAGGGGCAACCTTTATTATTTTTTTTATACCAGTGAGGTGGCAAATAACCATACGGCCCACCTGATGGTAAGTCGTTACAGTAGCCCATGAACGCCTGCAATACCAAGGTTATTGCGCGCGCTTTACCAACCCTGAAGTAACCTCTTTACCCCTCTTGTGATAAACTCCATGCTGTAGTCTCTTGGAAGAACCTCGGCAGTGAGTTCATTCCATAACCCGAGTGATTGTGAGAGAAAACATATCTGAACATGCTAGCAATAATCCCACTAGTCCTCATTACTAACTGTCCCTTCAACCTGTTTAATAAACAGTCTTTTAATCGAAAAGATAAAGGTATAATCTTAGATTAGGTAATATTATATTAAAATAAGTATTATATTAAAAATACTTTTAGTTTATGTAACATACTGTTATTTCGCCACCATGATTTTTTGTTTTATTGTTCGTTGTTTAAAAGCATTACTTTATACTCGTATAATAGCGACGGTATTTAATTTTGTTGTTGCGGTTGTGGTGTGCTGTGGAGGATGTGTGTACATTATAAATATATTCCTACGCTCACATAAATAATGTATAATTATTTTTTTAGACACGTTTATCCTTAAAAAATATGGTTTCCGGGATCCTTGGCCAACAGTGAGTCATGGAATGATAAAAGAAGAAGATAAAATCGGTTATCGCAACCCACCAGGAGACCTAGGTAACTTTTGAAAAATAGTAGATGTAATTTATTTTTGTGTATTATGCCATTCATATCTAATCTATGACTAATAAGCATTATATTAAGTAGTTTGGATACATTATGTGTATAGTACACAGCACAAATAAACCGCGTACTTAGTCATAACACCTAATGTAGTCACTAAAATGGTCTGGGCGTTTTTGGAGCAAAATTGTCAAGAGAGAGTAAGTCATAGATTGAACATAATATTCGTTGTTTTAATTTATATATATATATATATATATATATATATATATATATATATATATATATATATATATATATATATATATATATATATATATATATATATATATATATATATATATATATATATATATATATATATATATATATATATACACACACATATCTGCCCTTCATACGCTTTCTGTTTTTACCCAATGGTTAGCTGGTAGAGAATGCCATATGCCATTAAGCTCGCCATTAGTACAAAATTTTATTGTGCAATAAAGAATAAATAAATAATAGGTACCTGCGGTTCTAAGTGTTTGTGGACTTGATACAGCGGTAATTATTAAGCTAAGATTTTTTTATTCTACAAAACAGTGACGTTAACACGGATTACAAATTAAATTCTATTGATTTGTAAAAAGAATATTAATATTTAAGAAAATTTATATAATATTGATTATTATTTATTTCAATTTTTATTAAATTGTAATTAATTAATATAAATGATACTTTTTCTCTGCAATTACAGAAAAAGCGCTACAAAACTTTACCAAGCCACCGAATTGGATGAAAAATGTATGGGAATTGGATACAACTTATCCAGATAATAATGGTATTCAGGTACTTGATGGTTGTCTATATTTTGCTCTCTCTTTCTCTAAGTTATATATTACCCTGCTCTAAGATATTACCAAATGGAATGACGAATTCAGATGTTGGGATGGATAATATGTATATAATAATATCTATATATCGAAATGAACGATCGAAACCCGACTAGCATGGGAAATATCGAAATTAATAATGATCTTTTTTTTCTATCATTAATAGCCAGAGATACCAATAAGCAAACCAATTACTAATGCCTAGTCTGATGTGCTGCAGAAAGTTTAGTAGAGTTGGTGGTTAAGGAACGTTTATTATGGGAAGACTATTGTCTAAGTAAGTCTAATATTTTACCGGAGTTTATGTATTATAATTGTTACAGAATGAAAGGTTTATTGGTTGGATGAAAACGAATTGGAGACGAAAGCCATTTTGGCAACTCAATGATACTATACTTCCAAGTGGACGTTATTTTTTCCGCGTAGACTACAGTGAGTATAGAACATTATATTTGGATTTTTCCTATCCCTGTTTTCTTTGGAATCGTATAAAGAGGATGCCAAAGAATTACTACGAGTATATACATTATGAAATAACAATAGAACGACGTCTTTGAGCAAACGAACATATAAAAAACGTATCTTTTTGTTTGCGATACACGTATAATGGTGATAAAGCTATTTAACTTGAAAGAGTATTGTAAATATAATGCTTTATTATAAGTATAGAAGCAATCGATTTTTATTAATCCATAGTCAACATTTATAAAAATACTAGCCAACACGGCAAACTTTGTTCTACCATATAAATATTTGTTTTTAGATAAGGACACCAATAAGGGTGTCACACCCAGTGGTGTGAAATGTACTTTACGACCTATTATCATATCTATCAAATATACATAATTTTTTTTAGAAATCGGTCGAGCCGTTTCAGATGATTTCGACCACAAACATCATGTACGAGATTTTTATGTATAAGACTTGTGAAATGTTAGGTTTTCTTGTAGATTATATCAGGAACAAATCAATTTTCAAGTAAAAGATAACTCAGTGCTCCGTAGACGAAGTCACAGGCATTACTTAGTACCTATATAATATTTACTAGCTGTTTCTCACGCTGAACAGTTTCTGTTACTTTAATAATTTTAGAAAATGCTTCTTTGGTTGTTATAAGTTTCGTGTATTTATGGCTTAAAAATTCTTAACATTAGAAGGCGAAAGCTTCACATGAGTAATACTGGTAGTTATGCTATCAGTCTAATATTCAAATATATTTAATGAAAATCGAATCACGTGATAATGGATCACGTGATGACCTAACAAACAAAAATTACGGTATTTTTTTATAGATGATAATGGAATGGCAACCCCGTCTGCGCTAAAGGTATACGCTGGCGGGTTCCAGTGAGAAATGATAGGTGAGAATTAAAAGGCAAGTCAGTTAGCCTATCGTAATGAATGCACCTAAAATTCAGCACGATGGTTTCTAGAGGAGGCCACGTGAAGGTCGTCTTAACTGTTATCAATAGCACTCTATATTGTTAGCAATAGCACTGGTATTCCGCATTACTAACAATTCCTTTCCTTCCTCTAAAATGCGGTATTAATAAGTAAAGTTATTGCACAGTTTTTTATAGTTTATGATGTTTTCTTATTTGCAGACTATCCGCAAACTCTTTATAATGGGCCGAGGAAAATCATATTGTCTACATATCGCATCGAAAGCAATCTTTTTAAACTTGTAATGGGTACAATACTACTAATTATCGGGCTTATAGTACTTTTACTAAGTACTATGGTTTATTTTAAAACCATAAAAAAATTAAGAGAAAAATATTAATACTGTATTTATACACAAGGATCATTTGTTGACGTGGCTATTATATTACGCTTTTGCAAATTAGGTAGGTGCATGCATGCGCATAAGATTTTATTAATTAGAAGCCTAAGTTGCAAGACCAGATATGAGTGCATGCACCAATATTGAAATTTTTTTCTAAATATAGCTTTAAAATTGTAATCGTAGATAATGTTCTGAATAACTGATTATTATTAGGTAAGTAATCGTTTATTGTCACCTCTGTACCATTATTTTGATCTTTCTATAAATATAATAAAAGAAATTAAGTAAGATTTTTGAGCTGAAATTTACGATTAACTATAACATAATAGTTCTGACCATCTAAACCATAAAAATATGGTTATTTGGTCAGAACAATACATATTAAGGGGAAAAATCATCATATATATATTCCCTATTAACCACCATGGTTTTAAGGGAAACCCTGTGAAGCAATAGCGGCTACTAGTCCCAATTATTAAGTATTTATGACCCTTTATAATGGTCCTTTTTTCGCGATTAATACTTTATAGCCTGTAGAAGCTTTTTAATATGATTGTACACAGGAAATCTGATCTCTATTAAAATATGTTGCTCAAACAGATTTGCCTAAACATAGTTCAATTACCTATATTCCATAAATATCATAATATGGTTATTGGGTGTTTATTTTAGGCGCTTAAAACTTGACAGTTATACGAGCTGCTCTGCAAATTGATATCAAAAACGTAAACTATATATGGTCAGTTTGTAATTAGTAGGTCCTTTACTACATACCAGCGAAATTTATATTTGCTGCGATTTTATTGCTTTATCATCAATGACTGTGCTAAATCGGTCTTTTTTGTATTGAACTATTTTGCTCCTCATTAAAAAAATAATCGAACCCTGATTCGATTCTATATAAGTACTCAAACAAGTACTTGAATACCTATAGAAGATATTCGAGTACTTCATCAAACTTTCGATTGATTGATTTCTAAAGCTTATTTTAATGAAAATTTTCAGTCATTTAATGGCAGTATATTTTCAGTCATTTTATGCTTTTGGCATTTAAGCAAAAACATAATGAAACAATGAAATAGAAACATTAACATTACAATAAACATACAACTAAAATTTGAAAATTCTAAGTACTCGAAACCTGTATTTGAATGTAGCGTATCCGTGTTTATCTAAGTTCATAATTGTTTTAAGATTAATTAAAAAAAACACACACACATACAATTAAAATACAAAACCTTAATGGAGAGATAAATCGGATTGAGATTTAAAATTCTATGTACGTATGTAATTAATGAAAGTATTTCCATTTAGTATTACATTTGACTTGCGTAGAATCTGTCATGTATTTAAAATTTTGCAATAAGTCCTCGGATTGGTCCACTCTATCGCCATGTTTAATTAACTTTCATAACATTATGAAATTAACATCTGTCATGGCGTAGTAGCTTAATATAGTGCCTCGACTTTGGTACTTTGTCAGCTTAAAATTTTCGATTTTTTTTTACCAGAGGGGGTAAACGAGCATGCGGCTCAGCTGATGGTAAGTGACTACCAGCGCCCACGATCACCCACAATAACAAAGGCATTGCAGGTATACTGCCGGCATTTTAAAAAGGAATATGCTCTTTCTTGAAGACTATAATGTCGTATCGGTTGGAAAATACTGCTGTTGGAAGTTGATTCCAAAGAGTGGTTATGCGTGGAATAAAGTGCCTTGAAAAACGCATGATGGAAGACCGCCACTCATCCAGATGGTTGGGATGAAACTTTAGTTTGTGGCGGGTTGTAAGGTGGTGAAAATCAGCTGCAGATATCGACCCGAAAAAATCCTCAGAGCACTCCCCTGATAAATTCGGTTCTACCGAATGCACAGAGACGCAACATCTCTACGCAGTTTCAGTGGGTCGAGTCGGACAGTAAAACGCTGATCATGATTATGATCAGCAGCCAATTCGAGTGACCCGACTTTGAATGCGGTCTAAGGGAAGGAGTTGGTGCTGTGGCGCTCCTGCCCATAGATGAGAACAGTATTCCATATGTGGCCTGACTTGAGCTTTATACAATTTCAAGCGGTGTTTCGGCGTAAAATACCGTCTTACTCTATTGAACATTCCTAACTTTTTGGAAACCATCTTAGCCTTTTCCTCCAGATGACAAAACTGAACGTTGCTAGATATATCAACGTCAAGTACCCCTAGACTCGACTTATTATCAAGGGAAGTGCTCTAAAAGTAAAAAGTAACGACAAGCGGCGACTTTTTTGCAGTGAACGCGCAGACTTGTGTCTTCTTCGGGTTAAATTCGATAAATAGATATTATGATAATCTTGACGATTACTAACGATCTCTTTTGATATAACACTAGATGTGCCAGCGATATCATCATAGATATTAGATATATGTAAATTTCACTGTTGCTAACAACTTGACTAGTCGACCTTTTTTATTGTTATATAGGTATTTATTGATATTTACTATTATTATATAATGCTGTATTATTTATATCAGTTTTTCGTGACGGATTTTTTGCAATTAAATACTGTCAAATTTTTAAACGGTGCTGGTTGTGTTTGGAGGGAATAACGTTGCTTAGAGAAACCTCGCAACCACTATAATCACAAAATATTAAACTGGTATTATCTACACTTCGATTTTAAAATTCGAAACTATATAATTTGAAACGATCTTCAATAATTATTCATAACATGTGGGGCCTCGTAGGTATAATAAGAAATATATAATATCCCTTATTTCATTAGATACTTATAATACACTTTATATACAACATATATATAGATACTTATGTAATAGACGAAACCAAAAATCTAGAAATTATTAATTTCTTGTTTTATATTTATAGTCCTATAGACTGAGTAACTACTTAAAATTGTTAATTTAAATCTTATATTTTTATACCTTACTTTTCATATTATATTTATAGTCCTATAGACTAAGTAACTACTTAAAGTTTTTAATTTAAGTCTTGTATTTTTATACCTAAGTTTTCATATTGACTCTATTTTGCAATTTTTTCAATCGTATACCTAATTAGTTATCGTATATTATTAAGTTGGCTTAAGAGAATTTTTAGGTGTTTAATAGTATGTTATTATACCAAAGTTTTCATATTGACTCTATTTTGCAATTTTTATAATCGTATACTTAATAATAATAAGCAGATGCAGTCACTAAGAAAATATTTTCATAATAAATCTGAACAGTCATCACTATATGCATATGCAATAAAAATAGACAAACGATTTATACCTCTTAATTTACATGACAACAGTACCCAATATAATGAACAAATAACGACTAAACAACAAAAAATAGATATCTGGAGCAAAAAGTATCTTCACGGAAGACACAGAGCATACCTTTGCCAACCATATGTCGACAAGAATGCGTCGAACAAATGGCTGAAACGCGGCGAACTCTTCCCAGAGACAGAAGCATCTATGGTAGCAATACAAGACCAGACAATAGCTACCAGAAACTATACAAAACACATAATAAAAGACCGCAATTTGCCTAATGACTCATGTCGACACTGTAATACTGCTTCCGAAACTATCCAACATATTACAGGTGCTTGCAAGACACTAGTACAAACAGATTACAAACATCGTCACGATCAAGTCGCTTCAATTGTACATCAATATATAGCACATAAATATAAATTCATAGAAAACAAAGTTACATATTATAAATACAATCCAACCAACGTACTTGAGAATGCATACTGTAAACTATACTGGGATAGAACCATCATTACCGATGAAACCATTCATTTCAATAAGACCCGATAAAACTATACATGATAAAGACAATAATGTAGTATACATAGTTGACATAGCTATTCCGAATACACACAATATACAAAGCACTATTAATGAAAAACTATCAAAATATACAGACTTAGCAATGGAAAGCGCACACCATCCACATAATACCCATAGTACTAACGTCTACAGGAATCGTACCCAAAAATCTTTACAAATTCCTACCTATACAATAGATTTGCTACAGAAAGCGGTCATCCTCAATACCTGCCGCATAGTCAGAAAATTTCTTTCCTCATCATTGTCATCGTCCTCATATATAATTTAAAGTCAACGATGCTTGGCTAAGGCCCGCATGGTTGAACAATTACCCCCATAAAAAGGGAGATGTTAAATACAATATATATTTAAATACTAATAATAATAAATCTTTATTTTCAGGTATATACTCATAGTTTAATATCGTATATTATTAAGTTAGCTTAAGAGACCATTTAGATGTTTAATTTTATGTTATTATAATATTTGTGACTCTCAACTATATTAAATAAAACATTGTCGTATTGGAAATAAGAGTAAATAAATTGCCGGGCGTTGTTATTTTATTGATATGTGGAGCTGCTTTCAAAAGTGATGTCTTTGTGTAGGTTACGTACGTACGTACTTACGTACTAGATTTGTTTTTTATTATGAACCAATTTCCAAGTAAATGGGTAAAAATTGTCTATGTGTAAAAACCTAAAAGGTTTATATAAAATTGAAAATCATTGTTAAATATCAATAGTTACATACTACCATGGAAAATTTTTATTACTACATACAGAAGTGGAAAAATAAACATATTTTTTAGATAGTGTTCATGAGAATGATACTGAATAGTGTGAGTGATCCTCTTATAACTCGATAGCCTGACGTGCCGTGTTCGTATTTAAAATTTGTATTAGTTTTTTCCCGTATTCTTTATGAACAGTGATCAGTTTCACTGATAGAACACTCATTAGCTTCGGTACAGTAAATACTGTTATACCAAATACCCATTTGTTACCTATTGCGCCTTTTACCCATTGTATCTGCGCCTTCATTGACCTTGAAAAGGCTTATGATAGAGTGGACAAGAATGAACTGTGGTCAACACTGGCAATGTGGGTGAGCAGCCACTTGATACGGGTATTCAAATCCTTATATAAGGATTCAAATGCCTGTGTCAGAATAAATGGCGTCTATACGGACTGGTTTGGCATTAAACGTGGTGTTAGACAGGGCTGTGTAGCGTCTCCTTAGCTGTTCCTATTTATGGACAGTTGCTTAACCGATTTGAAAGGATCTGATTGTGGATTCAGGATGAATAAGTTAGTATTTAAGACTTTTATACGCCGACGACCAAGTACCACTTGCATCGTCAGAGTATGAATTACAACAAAAGATGACTGTAATGAATAAAGAGTATGCAAGAAAAATTATGAAAATAAATGTGAAAAAGACGAAGGTAATGGTTTTTGAGAGGAATGAAAGTATAACATGCCAGATTATGATAGAAGATGAAAAAGTGGACCAAGTGAGTGAGTATCTATATTTGGGTTCATTATTTTGAAGGGATGGAAAGTGTGGCAGATATATTCAAAGGAGAGTAAAAGCGGGAAACAGTGTTAACGGTGCACTGCTCTCGATTATGTCATAAAAATGTATCGAGCAAAGCTCGCCATGCCATCATTCAAGGAGTACTGACATCAACACTCATGTATAGTAGCGAATCATGTGTCGTAAAAAGCCGTACCTCTACCAGGCAATAACGAGAAAATGACAGTAGGGATTGACTAAGTAGCTTTAGGTCAGATTTCGATTGCGCAGCTGAACAGGATTAGATTCTAAAACGGTCGTCACCCTGAGCTATATGATAGGCAGTTGAGAACAGAGACACTACACATAGGTTCGTGGCTGGACTCCACGACCCTAGACAGTGGCATACTCAACCTATGATTTCCGAGTAGTCTGAGCAGCCTAAGCGGTCTGAATCGTCTGAGCAGTAACCTTCAACCACCCCTTACAGCGACCCCTGTCCTCACAACTGAGCGGCGAGCTCATTGGCAATACTACACTGAGATCCTAAACATCCGCAACGAGGTTCAGGTTCCTTTTGACGTGATATGGCTGAGTCAGTAGGCTGATACTACGTGGAGTTTCATTAAACTCCTTTTAGCAAACTTAGATTACATTGGAGGGCTCAATGATGAATGTATTTATCGTATTAGAAATCAGACGGAACTTACAGTGATAATTCCAGAAAAAAAAATATGCAGTTAACTATCGTGGATGGCCTTCCATGTGCTCCCCCAGAGCCATCGGGAAAAAACATGGAAATAATACTCCGTCATTCCATAGACAACAACCTCTTTGTGTTATCTGTTAAACCCACAGATGCACTGTCTACTATACCTCTTGAGTCTGTGGCAAAACCTAATGCATATATTACACGAGTAGGAATTGTTGAAGGAAGGAAAAGGAATCGCGATGATTCGCCACATCATGGGTATGGCAGATGAAGCATGAAAGTAAAATACATGCTGTAGATATGAGAGCTTTGAGAAGTATGTATTACATTAAAAGATAGAGTAAGAAACAGTGTGATTAGAGAGAAGTCTGGATTGAAAGACGATGTAGTAACAAAAATCGAAAAAGGAATGTTGTGTTGGTTTGGCCATTTGGAGAGGATGGATGAAATAAGAATTACGAAAGAAATTTATCGAGCAAGAATGAATGGTGATGTCGGTAGGGGCCGCCCTAGATGAACGTATGTCGACCAAATAGGCAACGTACTGAAGAAGGGTCAAATTTAAAGTACCCGTAACCGGCGACCGTATATCAAAAGATTGATGAATATGAATGAAGCGAAAGAGATTTGTTTGAATCGAAGCATTTGGCATTACATTCTACCTACTCTAATGGAGACAGGCGTGCCACATGACAGATATGTATGTATATGTATGTTACCTATTATTTCTCTCTGGTATCACACACACAGCATAGAAAATTCCATACCCTAAAACCCTGTGTTTGTTTTAATCTGTTTTAAATTTTAATTTAAAACAGATTATAGAGACAAAGTACAGTTTTGCATTTATGGAAACCTACTTTATAACTGTCAAATAGAACATCCTCAATCCCAACTAGTCCCATTCTTGATCGAATTTATTTAATGAAATATCTGAGTGTGCCAGTAAAAAAAAAAAAAAATTATCCATATTGATTAAAAAAAAATATTAAAAACTGTTCAAAATTGACGATATAATAGCAAAAAGTTTCTTTACTCTGCCATTTCAAATATTGAAAACATTTTTACTTGAGAGACAAATAAGTAAATTAACAATTTTTATTTCTTACCTAAATATACCATAAGAATAAACAAAATTATGCTTATTATAATTTTTATGTTAATTCAGCAAGCGAACGAGCGCCTACCTCATACCGCGATTAGTAAATTCTCTACCTACCGACTTGCGAAACAATATCACTGTTAAAAACATAAAGTTTAAACTGAAAGCTTATTTACTGTCCAACCTTGCTAAAACAGCAAAATATTAATGTAAATATTAACATTTGAGAACGAAATGTAAAGTATCACACACAAGTCCAAGAGGTTTAAGTGGTACTAAAAATCCAGTTTTTTTAAATGTATTTATGCATGCTAATTAAACAAAAAATAAAAAAAACTTTTTGTTATGTTGAATAAGGTGATCAATTCCTAAACTGATTTGATGAAAAACGGGTTGTATGATCGCTATATAAGAAGTCCATGATAAATTCGGTAGAAGATGCCAGAGATGCAACATCTCTACGCAGTTTCAGTGGGTCGAGCCGGACAGTAAGACACCGATCTCAATAAAGAATTGGCGCTTACAGGTGAAACTAGGCTTTAACAGTTTGAATTTCTAAATGGCACCCCCACTACTACGTTTTCAGATGATTACAGAGATTATATTTAAAGAATGAAAACAATACTTTATTATAGGTGCATAATAACAAATAAGCGTAGACTAAAGATCGCAGATTAGAGATGCTATATGTCTCTGTAGGCAACACTTTTCTTACCCTCTTTCGCAAAATGTCAACTAACTCTATGATGTCAATGTCAATTAATAGTCATTGATTATGTGTCAAGGCCAAAGGCACTTTAAATAAAAATAGATTAATACAGCTGTATGCAACCAGTTCAATGAATTTCGAAATATTATAATATAGAGTAACTAGATCTTTTATGATAACTATGGATTTGAGTGTTTTAAATAGAGGTTATTATAGTAAATACTTGTACTACGCTATAAGTACTCATTTATTTTATTATGTTGGTACTTCCAGGTGGTTGTACACATTTTTCAGTTTCGTCAATATAAGAATAGTTCTGAGTCGTGTTACCTTATTGACTGTTTCCACTGTTGACGTATCTAAATGTTAAAAATAAAAATGTAATTTTTTGTTTGTGATTCAATTAATGTTTTGAAGTGGATTTGTGAAATTCTACTCCAGTACAATACAAATTAAAAGCGATTGATACTTTTATCCATGGCTACTTCAAGTGATACTTCAGACCAAAATGTTAAATCCAAAAGACCTGCTGGTAAGACTTGATAGTTTTATGAGACACACCCAACGACCTTGCAATATATTGATTGTCTTTAATTTTAACATCTTTATTATATTTACCCGTAGATTCTGCGTTCAAACAACAACGACTTCCCGCGTGGCAACCTATATTAACTGCGGGCACGGTCTTGCCAACTTTTTTTGTAATTGGAATTGCTTTCATCCCTGTTGGTGTTGGACTCCTCTACTTTTCAGATGAGGTAATCGGTTTTATTATGAACATACTTTACGTTATTAAACACTTGGTTTATTATTTTAGATATTTAAAAGATTTTTTATATGAAATTGAATTAGCTGTAACTCAGACTGCTATTGATATGCAGCGAGGTACCAGTTAGGGATGATATGTAAGGATGAAGTCAAGTCAGCTGGCCCTTCATGGCTGATCTGCGAGCAATTAACCACAATGGTTCCCAGAGGAGATGGTGTGGATATTGACCTTTTTGTAGCAATGGGGCTGCTAGCATCTGTGACTAATAGTTTTTTCCTTCTTAAATATTTAAAACTATGAGACAGTTTGATCTACAATAATAATAGAAATAACAAAATTGAATCATTGATTGAATGTCTCAATTTGTTACTATTTTAACATAGTGCTTCTGTGGTAATATTGATAAAAGATGGTTACTTTCACTTTACAAGTATCTCAATATTTATCTGTCTAATACCAGGATACATCAGTTGTGGCCACAAGTTAGTTACATATGAAAAGGTGAAATGGAAGTTTATTTTGAATATTTCTACATTATATCTTTTACCAGAGTAAAGATACCATACATAACATATGTAACTTGCAGACCTAATTTATTTAAATTTTATATTAAACCATTAGACAATATATTTTCAAATTTACATTTGTAGCAAAGAGTGGTCTGGGCATCAGAATAAGAAACTAGGTAACATGAATTTTCCTACTACTCCAGAGATTATATTTGTGGGCATAATAACAAATGCGTAGACTAAAGATCGCAGATTAGAGATGCTATATGTCTCTGTAGGCAACACTTTTCTTACCCTCTTTCGCAAAATGTCAACTAACTCTATGATGTCAATGTCAATTAATAGTCATTGAATATGTGTCAAGGCCAAAGGCACTTTAAATAAAAATAGATTAATACAGCTGTATGCAACCAGTTCAATGAATTTCGAAATATTATAATATAGAGTAACTAGATCTTTTATGATAACTATGGATTTGAGTGTTTTAAATAGAGGTTATTATAGTAAATACTTGTACTACGCTATAAGTACTCATTTATTTTATTATGTTGGTACTTCCAGGTGGTTGTACACATTTTTCAGTTTCGTCAATATAAGAATAGTTCTGAGTCGTGTTACCTTATTGACTGTTTCCACTGTTGACGTATCTAAATGTTAAAAATAAAAATGTAATTTTTTGTTTGTGATTCAATTAATGTTTTGAAGTGGATTTGTGAAATTCTACTCCAGTACAATACAAATTAAAAGCGATTGATACTTTTATCCATGGCTACTTCAAGTGATACTTCAGACCAAAATGTTAAATCCAAAAGACCTGCTGGTAAGACTTGATAGTTTTATGAGACACACCCAACGACCTTGCAATATATTGATTGTCTTTAATTTTAACATCTTTATTATATTTACCCGTAGATTCTGCGTTCAAACAACAACGACTTCCCGCGTGGCAACCTATATTAACTGCGGGCACGGTCTTGCCCACTTTTTTTGTAATTGGAATTGCTTTCATCCCTGTTGGTGTTGGACTCCTCTACTTTTCAGATGAGGTAATCGGTTTTATTATGAACATACTTTACGTTATTAAACACTTGGTTTATTATTTTAGATATTTAAAAGATTTTTTATATGAAATTGAATTAGCTGTAACTCAGACTGCTATTGATATGCAGCGAGGTACCAGTTAGGGATGATATATAAGGATGAAATCAAGTCAGCTGGCCCTTCATGGCTGATCTGCGAGCAATTAACCACAATGGTTCCCAGAGGAGATGGTGTGGATATTGACCTTTTTGTAGCAATGGGGCTGCTAGCATCTGTGACTAATAGTTTTTCCTTCTTAAATATTTAAAACTATGAGACAGTTTGATCTACAATAATAATAGAAATAACAAAATTGAATCATTGATTGAATGTCTCAATTTGTTACTATTTTAACATAGTGCCTCTGTGGTAATATTGATAAAAGATGGTTACTTTCACTTTACAAGTATCTCAATATTTATCTGTCTAATACCAGGATACATCAGTTGTGGCCACAAGTTAGTTACATATGAAAAGGTGAAATGGAAGTTTATTTTGAATATTTCTACATTATATCTTTTACCAGAGTAAAGATACCATACATAACATATGTAACTTGCAGACCTAATTTATTTAAATTATTACTCAATATATTTTCAATTTGTTGTGTGGTCTGGGCATAGAATGGGCTACCCTTTCCTCTCCTGTGGGTGTTGTAAGAAGTAACTAAAGGAACTTAATGGTTGAGCGATAGACAGCAGCCTCACTCTTAAAACATCACCAAAAGCTAACTGCATTTGTCAACTTGCCTGCCATGCATGGCAATTACTGGCAAAACTAAAGGGAGATGGAAAAGGTTAAGCAGTGGACAGTTAATAATTGATATAATAATAATATTTTCAATGTTTACAGGTGAAAGAACATGTCATTGACTATACAAACTGTTTAAAAGATGATGAGAACATAACTTGTGCAGAATACATAAAGCAGAACTTTATGGAACCTTGCAGATGTAGCATTCCCTTCAATCTTACTGAAGATTTCAAAGGAGATGTCTACTTTTACTATGGCTTGAGTAATTATTATCAGAATCATCGCCGATATGTCAAATCAAGGTGAAATTAATTTTCTTTAAGTAATTATAATATTACTAGTTTTTATCCACAAATTAATTTATGTAATAAAAATATGTTCACAGCAATATTTAAAGAAAATAGATTTTAAGAATTACTACATTCAAAAATATTTATTTAATCTTAGGTCAGGTTAGGTTATGTTATTGTTGAATAATAAATCCCATAATGATCCCAGTCTTCAACATCTGAATCAGAACATATGTAGCTTAATAGGCAAATCTCCAAATGTATATGGCATAACATATGCCAGTTCAGTACTATATGCATTGAACAGAAAATAGAGTGGAAACAAGGCTCCAAAGTGTTCACTAGAGATTTGGCTATTGGGCGAAGCCAAATGACAAAGTTGAAGTCTGACACCAGTGATTAATTTCCGCCATGTCTGTGATTTTAAATGAGATTGAGAAGTTCTATGTACAGCTGTACACAACGTCGTTAACACCGCATATCAATGCTAATAACGACCAAAGAGCTAAAGTTACACAACACTATATTGATGATATCCCGGACGTCAGTTTGCAGGAGATTTAAATAACTCTCAAACAGCTTAAAAATAGCAAGGCACTTGGGGAGGACGGATTTATAGCAGAGTTTCTGAGAGCGGGTGGAAAACCGGTTCTTATAGTTCTTCAGAAACTATTTAATTTCGTCATCTATAACAGTATTACGCGCAAAGCAGAAGTGTGGTAGTTCTGTTCTTCAAGAAGGGTGATAATACCTTATTGAAGAACTATAGACCGATATCCCTTCTGAACCGCTTCTACATACTGTTTTCGAGTCCTGACCAATAATTCGTCTTACGCGCAAACTCGACGACTTCCAGCTACTCGAACAAGCTGACTTCCAAAAAGGCTTTAGCACCATAAACCACATACATACGCTACGGCAGATTAAACAGAAGATCGAATCTGCCACCTATGTCTGACGTTTGTGAACTATGAAAAAGCGGTGTCAGATGGACTATAGGTATATCAAAGTGTTGAAGTGTATGTACAGTAAAGCTACGATGTCTACCAGAGTACGAAACACATCCCAGTGCAGAAAGGTGTAAGACAGGATGATGTCATATCCCAGAAACTCTTTAAAGTTTTATTGGAAGAAGTTTTTAAACTCTTGGACTGGAAAAGATATAGTATAAACATCAATGGCGAATACATCACTCACCTTCGGTTTGCCGATGACATAGTAATTATGGCGGAATCTCTGGAGGATCTGAATACTATGCTCAATGACCTCAATGGTGCTTCTCAACAGGTAGGACTTAAGATGAATATGGACGAGATTAAAATCATGTCTAACGTCCATGTCATACCTATACCGGTTACGATTGAGAACACTATGCTCGAAGTTGTCAATGAGTATGTATACCTGGAACAAGTTGTCCGAATGGGTAAGTCCAACTTCGACCGAGAAGTCGACTGACGAATCCAACTCGGCTGGGCAGCGTTCGGGAAACTAGGCCACATCTTTTCATCCAAAATAACTCAGAATTTGAAGATGAAGGCTTTTATCTTAAAGCTCAATGTATTAGGAGAAATTTTGGAAAAAATTGTTCATCATCACATGTACATCTTAATAACTTCCTCTGTGCCAACTCAACAACATGGTTTTGTGAAGGGACGTTCCACAAATACTAATTTAGGAGTCTTTACATATGACGTCATACGAGACATTGATAATGGGGGACCAGTTGATTTATACAGATTGTAAGAAAATTTTTGACGGGATGGACCATCTAATTTTACTATGTAAGCACCAGGAGCTTGAAATACATGGTTGCTTGTTGAGATGGGTTAAATCTTACTTGCGCAATAGATCACAAGCCGTTACAATCGGAGGTCATCGCTCAGGTTACATATCTATCCCATCTGGGTTCCCTCAGGGTTCAATTCTTGCCCCTTTATTGTACCTAGGCTACCTCTACGACATAGCTGATCATTTACATAACGCAAAGTTTTTGATGAATGCCGATGATACGAAGGTTTATATGAAAATTAATAGTAGTCATGATTGTAAATTACTACAAGATGATCTTAACCGCTTGAACTACAGAACAAACAGGATCAATATCAACGTGGCTAAATGTCAGCATATTAGTTTTACACGAAAAACAAAACCTGTGAACTATTCATTCTCAATTAATGGTATACAAATAAAAAAAGCTGTAATTGTTGGTGACCTGGGCGTATTGCTCGATTCAAAACTTAGTTTTACGGAACATATTCATCCGATTTCTAATAAGGCATACAAAAATTTAGGCTTCATTCTTTGCGTATCCAGACCATTTTCGGATATTGAATGTATAAAAACTCTTTATTTATCTTATGTAAGAAGCGTTTTAGAGTACTGCAGCACAATATGGAACCCAAACTATGTAATTTATAAGCAGACTTTAGAAAAAATTACGCTAAAACTGTGTATCCACTTGTCAAGTTTATGGCAGACTCAAACACTTATGTTGTTTATATGTTGCAAAAAATGTTGATATCACTAGTAGAAAATCGCCTTTATTAATAGGATGCTAATGTAACTTGAATTTTATATTACATATTTATAGTGGAATATTTTATTTCTAGAGATGACAATCAGTTGCTGGGGCGTCTGTCGGCAGACCCATCATCAGACTGTGAACCATTCGCTTATGATAGCAAGAAGAAAATACCTATTGCTCCATGTGGTGCAATTGCAAACTCCCTTTTCAATGGTACTGCATAACATTTTTTTTTTTTACAATTCATAAACTAATAAATCCACTGTATTTCTTACAAAGTTGTTCAATTTCATGAATACTATAACAGGTTTTCGGCTTTGTATACATCTTGTGACTAACACTGTTTACTTATATAAAGAAGTGTTAAATAAAATTGATGCATTTATTTATGATGGTGGTTTACATTGATATATAGAAACTATGAAATCCCAATATCAATTACATATATATTATGATAAAACCGTTAGGGTCGAAAATTCTGTACATAAAGTTGCATTTGTGAAAATTCGTTACTCATTTTTAGAATTAATGTGGATTTGTTACGTCTCACGAGAAAGTAGCTGAACTGATTTAAACATTTTAAATAAAGATTAAATAAATAAATAAGTAAAGATTTAATTGAATATATACTTATGTATAATTTACTAATTTATTTGTCATCGTTATTATAGTCAGCATGCCCATACTTATTAAAATTCATTGCTACTCGTATTTTTGGCGTACAGTTTGAACCTCAGAATGATAGTTGTTAAATTTTACAGATACACTAACAGTGTACTCCCAAGTTCTGTCAAAGGATATACCAGTGATTAGGACAGGCATTGCATGGGACTCTGACAAACGAATCAAATTTCAAAATCCTCCAGGCGATCTTAAAACCGGTAAGGCTAATTTATATTATGTCATTTGTTTAATTTACTAACGATAATTTATACATACTTTTTTGCATTTGTATAAAATTTTTTTTATAATAGACTAATCTTTTACTAAGTCTAATCTTTAATCGTTACCCTGTGAAGATGAACATTTTTACCAAAATAACAAACAGAGATAGTTATTTATTAAGATTTTTAATTATTTATTTCAGATAATTAAATATTCATGATTTAACTGTGAGCGTCATTCTGTATGTCTAAACTGAAAAATTCATTTTAATATTACAGTGTAGATAATTTCCATAAAATATTTTACAGCATTTGCAAACTACACAAAACCTGAAAACTGGCATGTCAATATATGGGAGTTGGATCTTGAAGATCCTAACAACAATGGTTTCCAAGTGAGTGTCTGCGTTATTAATATTCTTATTAATTTCAAAATAAAGCTGTAATATTCTATAGTAGCGGGATAAATCACAGGCGAGCGTTCAACAGACAACACACTTTATTTCATACCCTCCGATTATTAATAACAATGTTACCCACTACAAAAACATGACAAATATATAAGTAATAATAAGTAAAAATAATTTTTTAATGAAGTACTTAATTATAAGCATTTTTGAATTGTAATTTTTTTATAAATCCTATCGCTCAGTTTGGAAAGCAATTTCGACTAAGAAAAACGGGCAAGAAATTCAGCTGTTCAGCTCAGCCAATCTATGTTAAATCTATATATAGTTCAATATATGTGAGAAGATTGCCTTATTCTATCTTCTTGATTAAATTTGACTATATGAAGCAACAAATTTTTATTGATACTGAAACTGTGAAACATTTGCTTTTTCGTTCATGTTTTACTTCATAGCACAGTACTCCATCTATTGTCTCTATTTTTTATACTTAAGGCTCTAAAATATTAATTACGTTTATCCTTTAGCTTCTTAGCAACTTTAATATTAACTTCATCCTATAACTTCGGATTCTTCAAACGTAGCTTGGAAAAGCGTTTAGTGAGAAGCCATAGTTCGACCAATCATTTTGCCCCTTTTTTTTTGGTTGATTGCATTCATGAACCATATTCTCTTTGATTTCACTCAAAACGGTGTAGTCACATGTCGTCATATAATACAAATAATCGTATTATATACTCTTGTTTCATATAGAACGAGGACCTGATCGTTTGGATGCGTACTGCGGCGCTGCCGACATTCCGCAAGTTATACCGGCGCGTTGACCACACCAAAGTCGGCTTCGGCGACGGACTCATGAAGGGCGCCTATATACTTAATGTTGCTTACAGTAAGTACCGATTTATACTATCGATGTACAAAAATTTTACATAAATTATTTTCCATACAAAAGTTACACTTAAAAGTGACACTAATAAATAAAGCAGTTTTTCTTTTATTATTTGCCAATTCGTCTAACATTACTGTCAGATTCGTGGGACAGAGGTACCCAAGCAATTGACTTTTGTATAGTCTCCCTCTGGTAAGGGATTTTCTTTTTCTTTTATTTTACATTTCTTTTTCTTTTATTATTTCTTCATTATTATTTAATTATTTGGCGCCGTAGACTTTTTAGGACGCTATCATTATAAACGAACGAACATATGTTTAGACACTAGTTGTATGATTTTGTAATTATATTATTACCAGTTTTATATGACCACTCTACGTTCAACCGTTTTGTCTATTTCATCTTTTTTTTTTAAATATCGAATATGTTTGATTAATTTGCTGTAATTGTCCATACAGACTACTCCGTGATCGATTTCGATGGTCGCAAGTCTTTTATAATATCGACAACGTCGCTACTCGGTGGCAAGAACCCGTTTTTGGGCGTCGCGTACGTGGTGGTGGGCACGCTGTGTCTCCTGCTCGGTATTGTGCTCCTGGTCATACACGTGCGCTGTTCCAAGAGGTGAGCCCACTTTTAACCATTTTGAAAACGTTCAATATGTTATTGTGTAATAGTCTTTACCCGCGACTTCGTCTGTTAGACTGGGATTTATTGATTGAACATGATAAAAAGTAGCCTATGTTCTTCTCCATTCCAATCACTACATGCATGCCCAATTTTGTGATGTTGGCAAGGCATGAAAAAAAAAGAAATTTACATAACAATACTAATGTTATAATTAAATGTTATTTTGTATAACAAAATTATAATACTTAATTTATATTGAATGTTATGTAAGTGTGTTTATAGCAAATGTTTTAAGACAAAATCAAACATTATTTTTTTAATGAAAAGAAAATGGATCGGTAATTTCGCCTACGCTATTAGTATATACTGGTGGGTTTCCATTGAATGATGATAAGTGTGGATGAAATCAGGTCAGTTGGCTCATTAATTAACGTAGTTTTCAAAAGAGTCTTCTCTGCAACACACAAGTCGACCTAATAAGTATAATGTAATATAAATGTGTGTTAGCAATTGGGCTATTACCCTCCATTGCTAACAGTCCCTTTCTCTCTCTTCCAACATTATCAAGGCAAGCAACAATGTGACAAATTATACATATATATATAAATACATGGTACATATTTTTTATTCCGTATAATGTTTTTTTTTGTTATCTAATATCATTGTACGGTAGATATTCACTGCCTATCGCCTCTTCCTGTTTCCTCGATGAAGATCCTAATTCCCAAAACGCTACTGTGAGCTCGTAAGTTAAATATAAGTTAATGTAAAATTGTAATGTAGATCTTCTAATAATAGTTAGAAGATAATAAACAATCTCTTTCCCTCACGTAATATTAGGTATACATACCTGCTGGTTAATAATATTTATATATTATGTTATTAAAAATAAATCTTTTGGACGTATTATATATATATATATATATATATATATATATATATATATATATATATATATATATATATATGTGTATACGTACATAGTAGTAGTATATATATATATATCAAGTAAATTATAACACGATGATTTATATATTTTTACATGAATTATTCATTCTCATTTTATTGAGCGAAAGACACGACGTGACGTAACAATTGTACAAAATTAACGAAAATATTCTGTGCTAATAAAATAAAAAAAGTCTTTTAATTTTCCAATAATCCTCGAATTTTTGAGATACTTTATATTGGTGATCCAATTTCATAGTCGTATTATACATATATATAGTACTAGTTTATCCGGCAAACGTCGGTTTGCCCCCTACCGCTACTTAATGGATTTTTTATTACCAGGATAAAAACTAGTTTTATGTTGGAGCAAAAAATTTACAAAATTTAATTAAAATCGCCTAAACGGTTTCGGAGATAGCGTGAACAAACATAGTGACACTTTTATTTTATAATATTTTAAATTTTTGTGAATATTTAATAAATCGTTTATCTATTCTAATGTTATAATTCTTGTTTCAGCACAACCGAAATGATCAACGTGAACCCTCGGACGCCATATTCTTAAATCGCAGCAGCAACATGGATGCGTAAAACTAATCGTAACACTCGTAAATATGTGCTTAAATAAATGTAGTTGAAAATAATTACAGTAATATTTAAATGTTTATTATTGAGAATTGTTAACCGACTTCAAAACAGGAGGAGGTATATGTTTCACTGTTTATTTTTTTATGTATGTCCACCAACTTCTCCGTCAATTGTGGACCAATTTTAAAATTCTTTTTGTATTCGAACCAGGTGGTCTCATTGTCACCGAGTCAGGATTTGAAAATGGGCTCCCAAGGAAATCGAGGGCAAATGTCAAATTTTATAGGCACATGTGTGATGTTTGATATTTAATCAAAAGTTATTTAGATATTTACATCTGGTAGTCATCATCTTATGTTGCTTAGATGATGATGGTGATTTAAACACTATAGCCTCATATAGTCAGTTAGTTGTTATCCTTACTTAAGTTATTCAGATGAGCTGATTATGGAAGGTTTGACTCCTTAACGGTTAGGATTTAGGGGATAATGCCTAGGATATTATAAGCACGTATAGACCTTTCTTAGGCTCTTTCGTTAGTTATTTGGGTGATTGCATCTGGGAGTGATCATTTCATGTTGCTGAGATGATGATGGAAGCCACAGGACTGTATCGGTAAACAAATCATCCTATTTGGCGAGTGGGTTATCCTGTCAGCGAGAGTTAAAGTTGTTGTTATATACAGTTTTGTTATTACTAAAAATAAAAAGTTAAAAGCAGTAAATCAAATTTATTTATTTATTTATTATTAATTAATTTTTAAACTAACATACAGTTCTGCAATGGTATAATGACAATTGGATTGTATTATAAGATGTAGTTTTTAATTCACTTCTTACATATTATTTTCACTAAAACAATAAAAATAAACAAAGTTTAAAAAAATTAAACTGACTTCAAAATTAATGTTGCAAAGCAAAGCAGTAAATAAACAGATACTGACTTTTAATTTGAAGGACAATATCTATTTAAAGTCGGTGCTAGGCGCAAAGAGAAACAACAACAATAATTATGATGTATAAAGCATAGATTAATAACGAAATATAAATATAATGAAATACTTAAATATTATTGTTAATAGTTAAAGACCAACTTTTAAGCAACTGTATCTATCAACATAAATAACATAACGCATCAATTGGCACCAACTTCAAATGGATTTTGTTCTTTAAATTAAAAGTCAGTATCAGTTTTTATTTTTTTTTTTTTATAAAAGTTTTTTTTTATTAGATTAAAAAGTCACTCAAGGAATGTTCTGCCATAAAAAAAATTTATCCCATACCTTAAAATCTTGATTTTGAAAATTTTCGCGCACACAGTTCTTATCGAGGTCATTATCTAAGAGGCGGGAAATGGATGTTTAAAGTTGGCGACGCTTACGGCTCATACTTCTGGTCTTAATCGTATTTCAGGGGTGGCCAAGTGCGCTGTGCCATTTAGAAATGTCTAATAACCCTCCAGGATGACGAACAAAGCTTTTAACTATGTGCAGATGTGTCTGAGTGTACATAAGTTACCTTTTTAAAAGGGCAAAATATGTACTCTCGGACACGTCTCCCGACTCCCCCTGGAATCTTTAATACGCTAATTTCTAGTATAGCAGACATCTTTATCACCTAGTATTGCAGATATCTTTACGCTACGGTAAGTGATTGTCACCATGCAGATAACTTGTTTGTCATATCAGTGGTATAAAAAAAAAAAAACTTTAAATACAAATATGCACCAACATTTTTGTAGTTGAAATGTTTAAGTACATTTTTTTTGTCAAATACTAGCTGACCCCGTAAACGTTGTTTTTACCACTTATTGCGAAATATAAAAATCGCGATTAAAAGACAGGGGTTGATCGTAAAACGATGAAAATTTAAAGTTGTGTATATTTTTCAATGCTAAATCATAATAAAAAAAAATGGAATTTTTTTTTTAAAAAATAAAATAAAATTTTTTTGGGGAGGGTCACCCTTATTATTGAGGGGTATGAAAAATAGATGTTGGCCGATTCTCAGACCTACCCAATATGCACACAAAATTTCATGAAAATCGATAAAGCCGTTTCGGAGGAGTTTGGTAACGAACACCGTGACACGAGAATTTTATATATAAGATTTGCCACTGTTTAATTTCGCGACATATTTTACTTTAGATTTTGTTTCCCACGACGGGTCGCAGGTCCGTTCGCTGTATTTACTTTTTTTTAAATAAGATATTTATCATATAATATAAATATTGATAAAGATAGGTGCAAAGATTAAAGCCTAATAAAAACACTAGTAAAAGAAGCACGCTATTATACAAAATAAAGAAAATTATTATAATTTGGTAATCACTTATTGCGAATCATGTTTTATCAATACATATTATGATAACGTGTTTTTTTTTGTGATTTTTAATTTCCAATAATCTTCAAAAACATGATATATATTTAAAATAGTGATAATAATGAGTTACTAAGCGCAGTAATTATTCTTTACAGATTTTATTATTATGAATAAGATTTAGACTAATACTGAATGGAAACTTAAACCATCTTTGTCATTTAATAAAGATTACAACTGTATTTAAAGGATTAGAGAATTGCCATTATATCACTCTTATTATTAATGTGTTGGCTGGTTTAATATTAATTAATTTTTAATTAAAAAGTTCTACTTGTTTCCAAATTTAAAATGTTATTTCAACATTCAAGTAACAGTGTATAGAGATTTACTAATATTGGATATTGTTTTTAGGTGTTAAAAAGCCATATTATATTGCTATAGTATAATATGGTATCGAGTAAGTAAAACTTTCTTTTTTCTACAGATTGTAGATTAGTTATTGTCTATATATTATTTAAAAATGCTTAAATCACAGATAATATAATGATGTACTAGTACCTAAATATGTGTGATAATTTTTTAAAATCGTATTACAGTATTTTGTTGATTTTTAATTTGAATTTGTTTCGCTGTATGTAATACGATCGATTGGGAAATTCATACTGAGACTTTATTGGATGATCATGATTCTTGTTTACAGAACTACTAGAGGAGTTCTATTAATTGTTGGTTTTATTTATTTTAGGGCATTTATTATTGTCATAGCCGTTATTCACTCATTCACCTATCTCACTAACTTTATTATACCACAATAGAATGTACTTATTTGTATAGTTTAAGTGTACTTTAATTGTAATTGTAAGGGTCAACGCAGACTAACTGACTTGTGGTAAAGGAAGTAAATCGGTCACAAGTCTTTTAACGTCTATCTTTGAGTCACAACACTCAAACAGTCGCAATTTCGAGAGTCGCCTTTGTATATCAATTCAGCTGTAAGCTAATAGTAAATAAAAAGTTGATAAAAGCCAGTTTTCCAATGCTGACATATTCTTTCTCCGCTACTTGTTGGTTTGTGGTGGCCCTAATACGAGCATACTTATTACGTATATATCTTGCTTGTAGGTATTCTATAAATATTTCTCATTATTGTATGCTATTCTTAAAAAGTGCCTTCTAGACATAAAATGCTTTTACACATAATTTTAATAAATTATAATAACATATATGTAATAATAATTTAATTATCTATTAATAATAGTATCTGTTTAATTTTCGATCAATCATATCATGGGTTATTGCCCAATATTATTTCTAATTCTGTTCATTCCTCTACGAGTACTTTACAGTATTTAAGAAATTGTTAAAACAAGCCATCAATTATGTTTTTAAAATTGAAAATAAAAATACTGAATATTTATTAAATATTAATATGTAGTATTTTAGTACTTTCTAATTTAATAATTTCACTAATTAGTCATTCGAATATCAAAATTTTAGACGATGTTACATATAATAAATTTTTTTTAAATAACCACATGTTTTATTTGTTATTATATTTACGGAGGACGCGGAGAAATATTTTTGGATGTTTTGCGTGTTTCTGCATGCATGCATTGCATAAGTCCTTGACCACTTGCCAGCGAAATCGTCGGTTTAGATTTGCAACGATATTTGTATCCTTTATCACTAGCGACTTTAGATCGCTGTTATTTTACTTGTCTTCAAAATTTCCAACGAGTAAACGATTAATAAAATATAATCGTTTGTGGTACAGTTTCACCTTGTAATTACCTATAAAGGTCGAACAGAGTACCGCGCAGATTCGTGTCTCGTAAACGCTTCGCACTATGATTATACCAAGGAAAGTATTATTGACGTATTATTGTTTTATCTGTGCTATTGTATTGATAAGATTTATTTTACAATTCTAAGTTGACATTTTAGCTATTTATCATACAAGTCAATGTATGTTTGTTTTAGGAATATTGTATGGTAATTAAAATATTTGATTAAGGACAAAGGACAGTATAAATAATATCTACTTATTTAATTAATTAAATACACTAGTTTCTACCTATGTGAATTATGGGAACCCACGAGTATGACAACTACTTCATTGTTACCATCAACTCCATTCTATAAAATTAGCTACCTTTTTATTACAAAAGCCAGACATGTGCGAGTGATAACTGTCAGCGTTCTTAGCATTTTTACTTATATACCTACAACATTAATATCTATTTATTTACAGAATCTTAATCTTAGTAGTATTTTATTAAATTGAAAAGCTTTCCCTGGCGCTTTTTTCTTGAGATACGTCGGAACAAAGTATCCATGGACAAATAAATGTAGGTACCTGTTATTTATTTATGTTAGTCGCGTGTTGATTTAGGTAGCAATACCTCGCAAAAACATCCAAATTATACCTACTTTACTATTCAAAAGGAAGTAGGTAATCGTTTGCGACCTTTACCTTCATATCCAAAGCTGTTAAATCATTGTTATGGAGTCTCGTTTCCGGGCAACCAAGAGTTTATTCAAAACACAAATATATCTTGTATACACACACTATAATGTAGGTACATCAATATTCTATGACAACTAGTGACTTTTTTGTTATAAAAACTATTTATAGCTATCTAACTCCCGCCGCTGTAAATCCAGTATGTATAGGCTCCGGAGTAGATTCTGAGGCACCATTTCTAACGTATCACGTTAAAATTTCAATTTGATATTTAATTATTTTTTTTTTACAGAATTACAGTCAATACATAATCAAATTTATATCTATGTTAAGTGATGAATCGTTTTCACATTTACATATATCACAGGCGAATCATTATTATTCATCTTTATTATTTTTTATTGGTTCTGTAAGAACCAATATTAATTAATTTTTCTAGAAATTAAAGTCAAAATTATTATAATAAAATTATGAAACAGTAATATCGCAAAACTATCAAAATATTGACTTAAAAGATAAGTTTAGAACCTTAGAGTAATAGCACTTCAGAATTGAGAATACTGTCGGTATACTGTTGTTATCGATTCTCTAAATTTAATATAACTTTAATTCGAAAGTTTTTTACTTCGAATTAGAAAAATTTGAATTGAAATTTATACGTAACCAATTAAGTATTGAGCATAATTTATAGACAATAATTACAAAAAAAATATATAGTTATGACACCTATTTATAAAAATATCTGTGTTGGGAAGATTTTTTTACTATGAAGCTTTATTGAACGTACCTACTGTCCATTCATTGGCTATTGGACTGAGTTTGCGTTGCTTTGTTATTTGTCCGGCGTTCAAATTATTTAAGTAAATAGAACAAATTTTCAGATATCATTCTATAAATAGGTATATATTAAAAATGTATTTAAGAATTTAAGGTAAGTGCCTACCCTACATTTATATTTAAAAATTACATATCTATATATCGTTGGTAACAGTCGGTCGACATAAATATCTCTGACTACTCCATAAAAAATGATAGTCATGAGTATATTAATACATTTATACTGACTTTGGATTTTCTGCCTCTAAGTATCTATAATTGTAAATAAGAGCCTAAGTGTATTTTTGAAGTAAAAACGTCTTTAGGCATTTTGTGCACTTTTTGGGATGGGGAAAAAGCACTGAACTCCCGTGACCGTCACTCAGATATAATATACATTCTTTTTCGTATAAATAAGCGCTAAACATTTTATTATAATATAATTTTATTAATACGTCGATAAAAATAGTCATCCGTTCACTGCTGGACGATAAGCTAAGGACTGCCATAAAGAACTGTCCTGTGCCGCCTGCATCCACTGATTCTCTGCCTCCCTGTCGATAAAAGTAATTTTTAGTAACAAATACTTCCTAAAAATATTATTTAACAACCCAAAAATAATTCTTACAAGTTTGTGAAACTTACTTCTGACGTGTAGTCCTACGAATGAGTTTTTTTTTTAATGATAATGTATATTATCGACACTTAAACAAAATAAAAGATAATCTATTCATATTGCCACAATAGATTAAGCCGAGCGTAATCGTCAATAGTCGATACAATTTTGCCAATGGCCATCATCGATAAGTAATATCTATTATTGTCTACAAGATTTCAGGACTACAATAATTTTGCTGCATGAGTTTCCAAAATGTACAGTGCGTTATTGTGTTTATTGCTACTGGGTGGAGCCACGTCACAGAAGAACGATGGATTATTTGAATTGAACATCATACACTACAACGACTTTCATGCACAGTTTGTATAATTTAACTTCTTAGCCAATTTTTAAACGATTTTTAAGTGACTTTCAAAGAGATGCCACTCTTATGATTTACTGTTACGGTATACATAATTGTAGAGCAAAATATATTAGACATAGTTTTACGTAGGTTTTTTTTAAATGGATAATGGAATGATATCCCCGCCTGCGCTAACGGTAGACACTGGCATTACACCAGTGATGGATCACTATCAGGTGAGAGTGAAAAGACAGGTCATGATCTAGATGAAGTCACTTGGAATTGAACACGATAGTTGGTATCTAGTTAGTACTTGGGCTACTAATCCCCATTATTAATAATCCCTTCTCCTCCATTTTCAAGTTGGTATTATGTCCATTATACTGTTATATTGAGCGCGATTGTGACAACGTCGCGAAAAATTGTCCTCATACTATTAGATACAGTTTATTCTCCTATTATATCGTGACGGTAAAATCGTACGATATTGTACCGTGCTACGGTACGAATTCACTGTCATATCCCACTCTTCAAACCGAAACACAATACGATAATATCAATGATTTTGTTTTTTAGACACAATAATATTGTTGTATTTAATAAAGTAGGGATATAAGATTTTGTGAACGAATCTAATATGCTTAAATAATGGACAGTTTCGACGAGGTCAGTCCGACGGGATCAGCTTGCAATCCATCCGTGGATCCTTGTATTGGAGGATTCGCGCGTTTGTACACGGCGGTGCAACAGGTCCTGGAGGCCGAGCCCGATTCACTACTGTTCAACGGAGGCGACACTTTCCAAGGAACCATCTGGTACAATTTCCTCACGTGGAATGTAACACAGCATTTCATGAATTTGCTCCCGCACGATGCGCATGTTAGTTGCTTACTATACATCCAGCATAATATATTTTTTTATTCAGGGGTAACTGATAGTTGTTACGTTTTCCAACTAGGCTGGCAACTGCAGTACTTTGGCGGCTAATTCATACTAGACGTTTGTTTTTTATGGGTGACAATGGAATAGTAATTCAGCCTACACTATTGGTATATGCTACTAAGGTGTAAGTAAGGAATGATAAGTAAAGATGAAATTAGGTTAGTTGGCCCATCGTGACCATAATGTCTAGTATAAAATTGTCTCTGTTTTAAAAAGGCCCTGATATAGTATATTGCTAGCAATGGAGTTTATAGACTTTTCCACCCAGGGTACGCTGTTGTCCATCCTTAATTAGATCGGGGTGCAGAAAGTACATATGGCTAGAGAGAAGGACGCGGAAGAGCTATATTCAATAGGGCGATAGACGGTGAAATGATGATAATGTAATGTACACAAGTTATTAAATTGGGACAATAGGCTGGTTACTATTTGGTCATACCATTTTTTTTAATATGTGCCATTTTATCATGATGTGATAACATCGATATCAATTTTAAATATGGCTTATTTTGGATTTATTTTTAGCCTCACAAAACGTTTTTCAAAAATAAACCATCAAATTACATACGTTTTGATTTAATAAAGATATTATTTAAAATTAATTTATTACAGGTATTGGGTAACCACGAATTCGATCATGGTGTGGAGGGATTGGTACCGTATTTGAAACATTTGAAATCCCCTATGTTAGGGGCCAACGTGAACACCACTTTCGAGCCTACGATGACCCCCTACATCAAGAACCACATAGTGGTGACGCGCAGAAATCGCAAAATAGGAATCATAGGAGTTCTACTACGATCGGTGAGTTTGCTCACAATTTCTGAGTAAGTAATGTGATTTTGATATAAATTTGCGTTACTACTGCGTTAATATTTATAACGTTGATAAAGCTTTAGTGGATGATTTCTGAATTTGTACCTACAAGCTAAAGTAAACGCGTCATCGTATCATAAATAATATTTATGCAGGGGAGAAAGGGATTGTTAGTAATGGAGACTGATAATCCCATTGCCAGCAATATACCCAACCAGGTCGACTTCCTCGCGGTTCCCCCTGGAAACTATCATGTTTAATTCCTGATGAATTCATCATGATGGGCTAACTGGCCTGTTTTCATTCTCATCTATCACCCTTCACTGGTGCTCCGCCAGCGTATCCCGTTAGCGCAGGCAGGCTCACCATACCATTTTCATCCATCAAAAAAAATACATGTATTTATACAACTCACATTAGCTACTGTGATTAATATCATTAGGTATAATTGATGTAAGCATATGTACGACAAAAGGCAATAATAATCCGATAAAATGTTATATCTCGTGTAAATTGTTGATTTAAACGAGATATAACAATTAAATTTGATGAAGTATAATTACTTTTAAAGTAACCTATTTATAAAACAATAAAAACAGATTTATTTTTCTATCATGTTCAAATGTTACGTTTATATATTTGGTACAATTTCTTTTTATCCATATTTATGGCGATATAGTAAGTACGTCTCATGTAACCATTCCGTTTTTACCGCATGTTTGAATGGTGGGACCTTCAAACCGAAACACAGCCATGCAAACACAACTGTAGTACTGTCACGGTAGAAATACGAATGAGACATAGATGCCTAAGCAAACGACTTTTGTACAAACTCCCCCTCCCTATAATGTTTATCACATATTTTATTGGACTTGCCTAATATTTTCGATAACTTCAGGGCTAAATACAAACTTTTAATTCTATGCACAGATAGTTCAAGTAATCACTCTTATGTTATGCTTTGCTCTTATCCAAGTGAAGTGTACCTACACATAAAATTATAATTTGTTCCTATTTTAACAAATGGATCATTGTTAGGAATTCTGGTGCCCAGTAGCATTTTATGCATATTTCTTAAAATTATTATTATAGGTAATAATTTAAAGAAGTTTTAGTCAAATACATATTATAACAGAGATGTGAATATAAACACTTATATAAAAATAAGGTTACGTCTATAATCCCTAATGGGGTAGTGAGAGCCACATTGGCGTATTTAAGATTTTAGTTATGGGCCAGAAGTTTTTAGTTATGCGCAAAGACATGTCTGAGAGTACTTTAGTCTCAGACATGTCTTGAAATATATGCGTCTTTTTTTAGGGACCTGGAAAGCCTTTATCCCGTATTAGTGTAATTTTAAATACGCTAATGGAGAGGCATTTGCCGGCTGTTACTAATGTAGTGAACGTAACACTCGATATGCTCATATTTCGCCAAGTAAATTAGAATCCAACATGGCTTGAACGGGCATATACTGCATTTTATGCAAATCACTGCGAAATATGCTTAGCAATAGACTCGTTTTAAATAGATTCAAATAACTTTCATAACGTACGAATTTTGGTGATAGCGCTATCTGTTCTATAATAAATATAATACTAATACCTTTAGATGGATAGATGTCAAAATTGAATTATTATTAAATGTTTTTAAACAGTTTTCAGCTCCTATCGGTAATGTGATAATAGAAGACGAGGTTGAAGCTATCAATCGGGAGGCAGCGATCCTGACGGCAGCCGGAGTTGACATCATCATTGTGCTCTCACACGTCGGATACACTAGTGATTTGTGAGTATAATGTCATAAATCCTGTGCTGTGAAAATTGATGGTTTGACATTCTGAAACAGAACTAAAAGCATAATTTGGTTATAAAGGTTCATGGCGAGACGCATATCCTCAGACGTCGATATCATAGTGGGCGCACACTCCCACACTCTGCTCTACACTGGCGAAACACCAAGTGGCCAAAACCCAGTCGGTAACTATCCAACGGTCGTCACCCAGGATAATGGGCACAGGGTAAGTCGCGAGCATTTACAACCACATAATCGGTTTACACTCAGAAACTATATACAGTGTGAAAATCTTCAAAAATATTGGCAATGTGATACCTCTAGTGTTGCAAGCGTCCATACAATGTTTATCATCAGATAGGCTGTATATTTATTTGCCACCATGTATAAAAATAATTAATGGCCCTAGTACAGCAACAAATTGAGATCGAAAAACCGTTAAGTACCGTTGCATTGGAGTAAGTCATTACTTATGTTGATGAATATAAGAAATAACTTACGAATAAAAAAACTCCTGCTTTTAATAATCGGTTAAAAATAGAAAACTTACTTTTTCTATTCTTGTTTCAGTTAAGTTTTACAAAATCTGTGAATGCTTTAATTTCTAAATCTGTAGTTTTATTCTTCTCTGACTCATTATCTCAATACTAGACTACTTTCCCATCATATAAGTCAATTTTGTTTGTCATTATTTAATAGATACCAGTGGTGCAAGCATACTGTTACACACGTTATTTAGGCAATATCAAGTTGTTCATCGACGATGACGGCATTGTCCAGCGTTGGGAGGGCCAGCCCATATACCTGGGATCTACTATTGTGCAAGGTGATATAATTATAATATAATTATCGTATAGTACAAGCGTATAGTCTCTATTTACTTCATTACGTATATATCTAATTAGCAAGCGGTTAGAGAATTTTGTCGACTGTTGCCCTTGTGATAAACGACACTTGGCATTATTATCCATTTCGCCGAGAAGAAGGAATTGTTAGTTGTTAATACATTTCTTTTCCTGACTTTATTACCCTAATAGCTTAATGACTGCTACCCATATTAGGGGGGAAGGGATTGTTAGTAATGGGGAGGTTAGTCCCCATTGCTATCAATATAACCTATCAGGTTGACCTTCACGCAGTTCCCCTTGGAAACTATCGTGACTAATTCATCGTAGAATTCGTCACGATGGGCTAACTGACCTGATTTTTCATCCTCACCTATCACCACTCACTGGTACCCCGCCAGTGTATACCAATAGCGCAGGCGGAGTTACCATGCCATTTTCACCCATTACAAAAATACCCATATTGTTAGCAATATACCTTATTAGATTATCCTTCAGCGCGGTCCCCCTGAAAACAGATATGCCCACGAAGGCTAACTGACTTATCTTGGGGGAAAGGAATTGTTAATAACAGGGACTAGCACCCTCACAGCTAGCAATATACCCACTCAGGTCGATCTTCACGCAGTTCCTCCTGGAAAACACCGTAATTAATTCTTAATGAATTCGTCACAATGGGTTAACTGACTTACATTCCATCCTCTCCTATCATCGCTCACTGATGTCCCGCCAGTGTGTACCAATAGCGCAGATGGAGTTATCATTCCATTATCATTCATTAAATGAAACTGTCATTGACATCAATTAAGAGGGTTACTTCAATAGTAATATCTGCTCGTATATAAACACAAAGCAGTTTAAATTTTTTTAGACCCTGAAATCCTGAAAGAATTAGAACCATGGAGAGAAGAAGTGGATGCAGTGGGGAAAGAGGTGCTTGGATCTACATTAGCTACACTAGATCAAAGGTGCACCCAAGGAGAGTGCACTCTTGGTACATGGGCTTGCGACGGCTTTCTTGAGGAAGTGAGTTATCATATATATATATATATATATATATATATATATATATATATATATATATATATATATATATATATATATATATATATATATTTATTTATGTACAGTCAAAAATACCAATATCAAATGTAATGTGACTGGTGCGTAGCTCTTGTTACGCTAGCAGATTAGCCAAAACTATTATAACATAACTTATTAGTAAAGCTGAGAAGTTAAAGAAGATTCTTCTGGGCCCAATTCACCAAATTATCTTTTGGATTTGATCCCAAATCGACCACTTCAAAAATCAGCCGGCGGCAATGTTCATTTTAGTAGGAGAACCCTATTTTGTACTGTGAAGAGTCTTTATATTTGATATCCATATTAAGGGGATTGAAAAATATACATGTTCTGTTATCATGAAGTGACATTTTGCTATTAGTGGCTGTTTTGGAAATATTACATTTTTGAATATTGTATTATATTATCACCAGGACTAAAGATGTACCTACGCAAAATTTCAGCCCAATTGTATGTCAAGATATGGGCTCAATTTAGCTTGCAAGATTTGAACTAAACAAACTATATAATATTATATTGCAACTTAAATTGTTTATAATTACTCCTCTCCATCCAAAGGTTGCCTGGAAGAGATCGCTCTTAGCGATAAGGTCGCCCATTGTTTTCTCATTGTGATTATTTCTTGTAATTATTTATATTTATAATAAGTTTACTAATGTAATGTTTTGAAGGAAACAATAAAGAGTATCTATCTATCTATCTTAAATAAAGCTTGTAAAAAGCCGGGGTTATCATTTCATTTCCATCCAATCAAAAAATAATAATTGTGCATCCTCGATTGCAGCTAATGGACCGGGCGAAGGGTTCAGCTTGGCATGACGCACACGTGTGTTTGATCAATTCTGGCGGTTTACGTGTACAGATAGATCCTGGCAGTAAGTATAAAGTTTCAGTATTTTTTTTTTTTTTTTAATGCTTAGAATGGCAAACAAGCTGACGGCCCACCTGATGGAAAAGTAACCGTCGCTTTTTATAGACATGAGCAGTACCATGGACATAATAGAGTATACTGTTTCGCCCATGATACCCCCCATGTTGCCATTCCTGAGGACTCAGGTGTTATTCCTCTGTACCCAGTAAATTCACGCCATATCCCATCCTTCAAACCGAAACACAGTTATATATATACAACTGCTTCACGGTTGAAACACGAATGGGACAGAGGTCTCTCTCTCTCTCTCTCTCTCTCTCTCTATATATATATATATATATATATATATATATATATATATATATATATATACGATTGGGGCTTACAGCGATAGGTAATAAGTACCTAGGTTTTTAGTGCCGACTTTTCGACGTGAACAAAATTTTATGCGTTTCCTTCTGGCTGCCTGCGCAGTTTCCTTGACCAGCCTCACATTGTTGCAATTTAAATTTAAGTTTACAATTGCGTATCAAATACCAGAGGGCCTACCATGAAATATAAAAAATGTTAAAATATTGTTCCTGTCGACTTTTATGATAGAATGTATAACGAACGAAATGTTAGACTCCATTTATTGGCCCGATTTTGGTATAAACAAAAACACGAAACTGAGTCCAAAATTTCGGAATTTCATTTTATGGTAGACCCACAGATGTCTACAAGATAGACTGTGACTATGCTAGCAAACACAACGGACCATAGCCGTAAGAGTCAAAGAACACAGCGGCAGTCATAAACGGTACCTATAATAGGATGTAATTACACTATTTATAAATGCCATATGTAGAAAAAAAAAACACTAAATGCGATGACCAAAAACGTCCAAAATAATAAAATAATGAAGTAGTCAAAAATAAAATTCGGCGAATCATTTTACTATTTAAAAGTATTAACCTTTAGCAAGTACTGAACGAATGTATTTCTATAATATAAGAATAAGGCAGATCGGTATTTCCCTCTCCCGCTTTCACTGAAAAGTTACGGTATATAGGCACCTTCGTGAATCTACTGTACGAAAAGTAGTTTTTTATACTGTGGTTTTAGTTATTCTTAATAAATATTTGTTTATACTTTTTAGACGTGACGACTGAAGCTTTATTAATGGCTATGCCGTTCGAAAACCATGTGCAAGTGTATGATCTGAAAGGGAAATACTTGCTGGAGGCGCTCGAGTTCTCGGTGGGAGTAGAAGTGTCTGGCAACTTTAACAGCCGCCGTATGTTGCAGATTGGCGGTAAGTTTATAGAATCTTTGTTTTTCTCTTCAAAAACTTACGGAGTATATTTAGCAGAAAGATCACATTTCTCTATGTGATTTCATTGACAATGAGCGGTTTTATTTTACACGTGATCTCTTCCAGGCAACTTTGGTATACATAATTGCTTGAGTACCTCTGTCCCATTTTTGTTTCTACCGTGAAGCAGTTGTTTGCATGGCTGTGTTGCGGTTTGAAGGGTGGGATATGGCGTGAATTTACAGAGTACAGAGGAATAACACCTGAGTCCTCAGGAATGGCAATGCACGAGGGGTATCGTGGGCGAAACAGTATACTCTGTTATGTCCATGGTACTGCTCATGTCTATAGGCGACGGATACCACTTTACATCAGGTGGGCCGTGAGTTTGTTTGCCATTCTAAGTTGTATAAAAAAAACATAAATAAATAAAAACTTTGAAATTACTGTAGCCCATGACTGTATATTTTTATGTGCAACAAATCTTTATTATTGTTCTGTAATATCCATAGTGATGATATTTAAGTAGGTACTTATATTGGCGATGGTTTTTTTTTAATGGATGATAATGGAATGGTAACCCCACCCGCGCTGTCGGTATACACCGGCGGGGCACCAGTGAAGGATGATAGGTGAGGATGAAGTAGGTCAGTTAGCCCATCGTGACGAATTCAACAAGAATTTATCACGATGGTTTCCAGGGGGAACCACGTGGAGGTCGATCTTATAAGGCATATGCTAGTAAGGGGCGACGATCCACCGTCATTGTGAAAACCACGACCACTCTGCCAAGAGTGTACGACTGAAGAGAGAGAGAGAGTAAGGGGCTGTCAAACTCCATTACTAACAATCCCTTTCCCCCCTATTGGCGATGGTTATCCCTTTCCATCAGGTGGGCCGTCAGCTTATTTGCCATCCCTCGTTGCAACCTTCTTTAAAAGTGATATAAATATAATATAATAATATTTTTCCAGGAATGCGCAACGTGTACAACGTGTCGAAACCGATAGGGTCCCGCGTGTCGGCCACGGTGCGCTGCATAGAGTGCGACGTGCCGCGATACGAACCGCTCGATCCAGACGCCACCTACCGTGTGGTCACGCAAAACTATATCGGCGACGGCGGCGGTGGATACACGGTAATTTTTTATTGATATTATTACAAAAACATTTGTAATGTGAAGAGTACAAGTGTTTGTTTGTAACACTATTGTGCAGTAGTTTATTGTTATGTAATAAATAAAAAAGGCCATATTACACAGCGCCATCTAGTCCGAAACTAAGCAGAACTTGTGCTTTGGGTATTGAACGGCTGATAAATATAATTAATTTTGTTTTGTAAATACGTACATAGAAAAGACCTACAAACCGTCATACTCATGAATACAGTTGTTTGTATTGGACGGGGGTCGTACTCGCGGCCATCGGAAGTTGAGGCACAATGTAACCTCTTCACCACCAAGGTGGTCAAAATTTGTAATCCTATTAATATTATTAATGTTTAAAGAATAAGAAAGTTTGTAAAGATATTTGTTATTTCAACAAGCTATATCCTAAGGTTGTTAGTAATACGGATTATCAGTCCCATTGTTAACAATATACCTTAACAGCTCGACCTCCCCGTGGTCCCCTCTGGAAACCATCGTGCTGAATTTCAAGTGTATTCATCACGATGGGCTAACTGACCTGTCTTTTCATCCTCAGCTATCATCCCTCACTGGTGCCTTGCCAGCGTATACCGTTAGCGCAGGCGGGGCTACTATTCCATTATCATTCATTAAAAAAAAAAAAACTTCTATCAATGTTTTAAATAATGCCAGTTTTTTTATTAATGTTCGAATTAGACATAGATAAAATATTGAACACTAATTACTTCTTTGAATCAATGTTATGTACAGGAATAAAACATAAAAGAAATTCTGTCCCAGATGTTATCAAACAATAGGGAAAATGTGGAAACATTGCCCTATGCGGACTACGTGATGTTGCAACACTACATGCGGCGGCAGAAAACAGTTGTCCGGGACCTCGACGGAAGGATACAGATTGTATATTAGGCACAAATATAATTCACACATTTTTTATACTTAAGGCCTTCGCGGACGATGGACCTTGTTCAAAATGGATTCTCGCTGAGACTCGTAATCCTTCGCAAACCACATGCAATTGATATATATAACACATGATACAGAACACATTATTGTATAAAATATTTTATAATGGTTAATATATCTCTGTCAATAAGTTCAGGGCCTACATAGCCTTATCTGTAGTATTGTCCATTAAGAAAGTTTTTTCTATGGTTTGTCTCTGGCTCAATGTTAACGGAATTTTATCTTCTATGTCAAAACTCTAGAGAAGATGTCTCTCGTCATCATAGGCCCTAACTTACCTTAGCTTTGTGATATTTTATATGCAATCAAAAATAATATGAAAATTAAACAGTCATTTCTAATATGTATTTTCATTACATTCCTTTCCTTTTTCAATAGGCAACAAAAAAATGTAGGTTCCTTTTATAACTTACCATCATAGACGTTCTCTACTTTTGCGGTCAATAATAAAATCAGTTGTAATGTTTTAAAAGGTCGGTTTATAAAAAACGTTTTAATAAGGTCATCATCTTTGTTTATGGTCACGCTAAACCATATCGAAGCGGAAATAACTATTCGGTTTTATATTTCCTAAAAAAATACATTATTTATACCGAATGCAGATGATATAGAGATAGATGCTACAAGAACATTAATTTATATGACAAGTAATTGTGTCACTACTAAACTACTTGCCTTCTGAAAAAAGTATTTTACACTATATATATATATATATATATATATATATATATATATATATATATATATATATATATATATATATATATATATATATATATATATATATATATATATATATATATATATATATATATATATATATATATATATATATATATATTACAATTTAGAATGGCAAACAAGCTGACGGCCCACCTGATGGAAAGTGGTAACCATCGCCTATAGACATGAGCAGTAGCATGGACATAACAGAGTATACTGCTTCGCCCATGATACCCCCACGCGCTGCCATTCCTAAGGACTCAGGTGTTATTCCTCTGCACCCAGTAAATTCACGCCATATCCCACCCTTCAAACCGAAACACAGCCATGCAAACACAACTGCTTCACGGTAGAAACACGAATGGGACAGAGGTACCCAAGCAATCGACTTTTGTACAAAGTCTCCTCTGGTCTTTTTATGATATTAAGGTAAGTGTATACAGCCCGTCAGATTGTAACACAAGGATGTCTTGCAAAACTAGAGGTGTCGTTTTACCTTATATTTATTTACTTATATTACTGCTATAGTATAGTATATTATCTGTGCTTATATTAATCTGCGATTATGGAAAATACTATTTATTCATGTGGTTGGTACTCTTGCCAATTAGGAAAATGCCGTGAGTAAATAAGATTTAAATATGCTTATTATTCTTATACAAATAAATCTTTATGTCCGTAAGTAAAAATCTATTCTATTAGCTAAGAAATTTATATTTTAAATTGAAGATAAGAATATAATTTATCAACATAGAAACAAAATATAAGATAATCTATTCATATTGCCTATAAATTAAGCCAAATATAATCATCAATTGTCATCGATTGTTATTGTCGACAAGATTTGTGGACTACAGTAATTTTGCTGCATGAATTTTTAAAATGCACAGTGTGGTGTTGTGTTTATTATTACTCGGCGGAGTTATCTCACAGAAGAACGATGGATTATTTGAACTGAACATCATACACTACAACGATTTTCATGCACAGTTTGTATACATAATTTATAAGCTAATTCTCGACTAATTATTAAGTGATACTGCAGGATATTGTATGACTTTACCGGCACAATTTGAATAAAGAGCAAAGTATATGCAATTACATATATTTATTTTGCTCGAAGACGGTTTTAAATTTCCATTAATTCAAAACCGTCTCGATAAAACCGTTAAGCCGAGTACGCCCACGATATCGAGAAACGTCTCCATTCTATAATGCTATATATTAAATGCTCTTTATTATTTACAGTACCGTACAGATATATCGTAAATTAACGATAATGCCAGTGTTTAAGCGATTAAAGAAGTAAAGATGTGTTTTTAAATATGAAATCTTTTTTTTTTTAATTCAAATAGAATGGCAAACAAGCGAACAATCCATCTGATGGAAAATGGTAACCGTCACCTATAGACATGAACAGTACCATAGACATAACAGAATATACTCTTTCGCCCATGATACCCCCCATGCGTTGCCATTCATAAGGACTAAGTTGTTGTATACCTCTACCCTATAAATTCACTGTCATATCCCACCCTTCAAACAGAAACACAGTCAAAATCTGGTTAATTAATTATTTAGTTAAGTTCACCTTACAAAACATGTTACAAATGAATTTTCATTTAATAACAAGAAACAATAAGTGAAATTAGTCAAGAGCAAAAAGAAAAGATAAAAAGACAAAATTATTCAAATAAAAAAACAATGTGTGAAAAGTGCCGTATTTCATTAATGGACAGTTTCGACGAGGTGAGTCCGACGGGATCGGCTTGCAATCCATCCGTGGACCCTTGTATTGGAGGATTCGCGCGTTTGTACACGGCGGTGCAACAGGTCCTGGAGGCCGAGCCCGACTCACTACTATTCAACGGAGGTGATAGTTTCCAAGGAACCATCTGGTACAAGTTCCTCACATGGAACGTAACACAGCACTTTATGAACATGCTCCCGCACGACGCTCATGTTAGTTATTTTATGTACCTACATCTAACAGATTATTGTTTGAAATAATTTATTTTATTCCATCAATTTATGATTGTTTTTATAGTTGAAAATAGAATGGTAACTTCGCTGGCGTTATCGATATACGCTAGCGAGGTGCCAGTGAGAGATGATAGGCGAGGATGAAAGCTAGTCAACTACTAGCAAATAATTTCATTGTGCCTCCGATCAAACTGTTTATATTTACTCCTCTCCATCTAAAGGTTGCCTGGAAGAGATCGCTATTAGCGATAAGGTCGCCCATTGTTTTCTCATTGTGATTATTTCTTATAATTGTTTATATTTACAATAAGTTTACTATTGTAATCTTTTGGAGGAAACAATAAAGAGTATCTATTTATTTATCTAGTCAGATGCGCATTGTGATAAATTCAACAATAATGAACAATGATGGTACCACGGGGAGATCGACATGATAGGGTACATTGCAATGGGGTTTTTAGACCCAATTACTAAATTACTAATAATCCCCCCCCCCCCCCCCCATTTTTACAGAGTGAAGTCAAAGTCGTTATCCGTGCATTAAGCTAATAAGTCAAACCTCACATAAACCTATTTCAGCTGTACAACTGTTATATTTCTTTCTTTTAACTTCTCGATTTGAAAAAAAATGACAAAACAGTTTAATAGTTAAAAATACGTAGATTTGTAGGTTTTAGTGTTTTTATATAATATCTACCCATTTTATATAGAATATGCAATATATTATAGAAATTTCGTGACGCAAACTTAAACAACAAGTGAGCCATATTTTTTTGGTGAAACTGTTCAATTTCATGGATAGAACACGGGTGGTGCCATATAACTTGGTAGCAAGGGTGAGCTTATCTCTGGTGGACCTAATCATTATTTATTTCTTTATACTTATTACTATTATTACACACAGAAACTTACACACAGAAACTGTCTACAGGGTGGACTTAATGCCTGATGGCATTCTCTACCAGTCAACCGTTATGCTAAACAGAGAGAGTAAATGACGATGCATAGATTAAAAAAAATTGTAAATTAAATAAATATTTTGAAAAAAAAAACAATTTATGACAAATAAACATACGAACATATAGAATACATACTTATATTAATACATACATACATACTTACAAAAATATACATAAATTACATATAATACATATAATATAAATAATTATACATAGTAAATTATATATATATATATATATATATATATATATATATATATATATATATATATATACAATTTTCAAACTTTTGACTTAATTACTACATTACTTAATTAAATATAATACAATTCGCATGTATTGCTGAAATAAATCTTTCTTTCTACAGGTGTTGGGTAACCACGAGTTCAACCATGGTGTGGGGGGATTGGTACCATATTTGGAACGTTTGCATTCCCCCATGTTAGGGGCCAACGTGAACACCACTTTCGAGCCTACGATGACCCCCTACATCAAGAACCATATAGTGGTGACGCGCAGAAATCGCAAAATAGGAATCATAGGAGTTCTACTACGATCGGTGAGTTTGCCCACAATTTCTGAGTCACTAGCATCAGTTTGACATAGATTTGTTTGCTACTGTAGTGTTAGTATTTACGCAGATCATTTGTTCTAGCGGATTCTTTTGGTATTTCTATCTAAATTTATAGACAGAAACGAGAATGCGCAGTCGTAACGTATATCTTTGTACCACTAATACTAAATGCTTTGATTAATATAATTAGGTATCATTACATTTATGATTATGAGGACTCTATTGAGCGAAGAAGACTCATTGAAGATGAGATATTAGTTGCTAAAAAGCTCCAGTCTTTGATTCGATTTCGAACAACAATTACGTTTCGTTTGTAGAGGTAAGAGGTAATAAATATTGCTTACTAATACAATAAATGTGGAAGTTAGTTTGTTTGTTACCTTATAGCATCTTAAGGGCTTAACCAATATCTTTAAAATTTGATATACCTACGTGGTAGTAAGAGACATATAGAGAACATTGCATAATACCAGTATCAAAAAAGGAAATTTCAAAATACGGTAATATCAAGCCACCTAGAATAATACTAGGCTATCTTTCCCTTTTATCAGGTAATTCTTTAATTTAACCTGATTAATTTAACATAGATATGAAAGTCCAGCTGATCTCTAATAATCTTTATCAGATTTTTTATTAGACTTGGATACTTACCTACAATTTTCGATAAGTTCAGGGCTAAGAACAAAATTAATTCCATGCACCAAATAAGTACTTAATCACGCGATGCTTTGTCACAATTCCAAGTTGCATATTATATAATTATAATTGTTATTATTTTAACATATATCGTAGGAATTCTAATTTCCGGCGGTTTGTAGGTTAGTTATTTTTTTATTCTGCAACTGAACAAGCTGACGATCCACCTTATGGAAAGTGGTAACCGTTACCTATAGATATGAACAGTACCATGAACATAACAGAGTATAGATATATTAAAAAAATATATTCATATAGGATTTACAGACGTTTATGGCATACTATTTTTTTTCTACCGCCTAATTTAAAAAGGCGAAAACAGTCTTTTTATAAACATATGGTCTTTTTGTAAACATATGTTACCGGCTGTTAATTTGGCATATTATGTGGCCACAGAAATATAGTCGTCACAAAAGGTCTTACCGTAGGAATTTTAGCGATTTTTAACAGGTAGAAAATAATTTATTTAGATATATTTTAAAACAGTTTTCAGCGTCAATCGGTAAATTGATAATGGAAGACGAGGTTGAAGCTATCAATCGGGAGGCAGCGATCCTGACGGCAGCCGGAGTTGACATCATCATTGTGCTCTCACACGTCGGATACACTAGTGATTTGTGAGTATAATGTCATAAATCCTGTGCTGTGAAAATTGACAGTTTGACATTCCTAAACTGAGCTATAAGCATAATATGTTATAAAGGGTCATGGCGAGACGCATATCATCAGACGTGGATATCATAGTGGGCGCACACTCCCACACTCTGCTCTACACTGGCGAAACACCAAATGGCCAAAACCCATCCGGTGACTATCCAACGGTCGTCACCCAGGATAATGGGCATAGGGTAAGGCGAGAGCATTTACAACATGATTGGTTTTCTATAGAGCGTACACAGTATGGGATTGTAGAGTTCTTCAAAATATGGTCGACAACATGCACTTGATACCTCTGACGTAATGATAAATGTTCATAATCAGACGAGTTATGTATATTTGTTTGCCACCACCAGCGGCATCAAATTTAGATTACAAAACCTTTAAGTGCCGTAAGCACAAATAATTGCTTATTCATTATTTATATTATTATATATATTACTATTATATTTTCACTTAAAATGGACATCTCTTAGTTTTTTAAAATATGTTAAAAATTAAAATTTTTGCTATTTCTATTCTCGATTCTAAAAATCTGAATTCTAAATAAAAATTTCAATTATAACATCCTTATGTCTAATTCTATAATCTCATTGCTATAAATGTCTTTCGAAAATATTCTCCAAATTAATTGTTTAATACATCCTAAAATTTTTTGGCGTAATTTAATAGATTCCAGTGGTGCAAGCATACTGTTACACACGTTATTTAGGCAATATCAAGTTGTTCATCGACGATGACGGCATTGTCCAGCGTTGGGAGGGCCAGCCCATATACCTGGGATCATCCATTGTACAAGGTGAGGCAACTATACTTATGCTTATGACTATGCATTGATGCCTTAAGTTTATATGGACTCTCAGGGGTCGACAACAATTTACAAGGGGTCCATGAGAGCGAAAAAAGAACTGGGGGTTCCTGAAATGTAAATGGAGTATCTCTTTTAAACGGGTAGTAGTTTAATTTTGACTTTCCATGAATGAATTAACTCACATACGCAGGTAATATTGTTGTACTAGTAGTAATAGTACTTTTTAACCGTTTTCAAAAAAGGATGAGATTCTACTTTCGATTTACTTACTTTATCCTTTCCTTATAAAATTTCAAAATAGTAAAATCCGATGGAAACAGTTTAGCGTGATATAATGTTATGAAGAAAGACACAACAACATTCCATTAAAAAAATTAAAAACATTTTTTCAATTATTTCCATTTCAATATGTGTAGGTCGACAATAATTGGCAGCAAAAATTACAGTATTACAAAATTTGCCAGTATCATAAGTTGCTGAAATATAGTGCTGTAACAACTGGACAGACAAAATTGCACTATAAGTTTAAGTTTTTTTTGTACTATTGTGGTACAAAATGCTAAAAATAGTTAAACAGTGGGTACTAAGATTGTTATCTTATTGCAGTGAGTGTGTACGGTACGTAAAAACACAAAACAGTTTGAATTCTTCTAGACCCTCAAATTCTGAAAAAATTAGAACCATGGAAAGAAGAGGTGGATTCAGTGGGGAAAGAGGTGCTTGGCTCTTCATTAGCTACATTAGACCAAAGGTGCTTCCAAGGAGAGTGTGCCCTCGGTATATTGGTTGCCGACGCCATTCTTGAGGAAGTGAGTTAATTATCTAAAACGCCACCTACTGGGTGGATTCTTTTTTTTTCAAATTGGAGCAAACAAATCACATTTACAAATTTCATTAAAATCGTGTTTAATTGTTTTTTCATTAAATCTATTGTCAGAAATTAGTCTGCTGTACCGAGTTCTATATTTAAACAATTTGATATTATAATATATTATAAAAAGAAAGATTTGATTTTTTATTTGAATAACTCAAAAATATTTAACCGATTTAAATAATTCTTTCATTTGTAGAAAGCTACATTATCAGTGAATCAAATGGGCTATATTTTATAAAAAAAAAATTTTAAAGCTGGAGCTAGTCGCTAGTATTTTAATAGATATAGACACTTCAATTTAATAGCATACATTATTGTGTCTTTGGTCGTAGATAATGGTACGGGCAGAAGGTGCAAAGTGGCACGACGCACACGTGTGCCTGATCAATTCTGGTGGGTTGCGTATGCAGATAGACCCCGGCTGTAAGTCTATAACTATCTATAATGTTGTAGTAAATTACTACTAGTAATTGTATAGACAGTGTGTGTTATATCTAAAATTGAAAGGAATTTGAATTATATTGTGAAATTAGAGGGTATGAAGCCATCATACGCCGTAATCCACAGGAATGTCAACACATAAAGTGTACCTTTTTTTTTTCCAAAATTATTTGGTTCGCGGTTGGGAGATAAGTATTTAGCTTAAGTGTCTTAGTTGATTTAAGCTGCGATTTGATACAGCAAAAATGAAGTGTACCTTTGTTAATGGATGATAATGGAATGGTAACCCCGCCTGCGCTAGCGGTGTACACTAGAGGGGCACCAGTGAGGGATGATAGGTGAAGATGACAAGGCAGATCAGTTAGGCCATCGACTGAATTCACTTGGAATTCAGCACGATGGTATCCTGGGAGGACTACGTGGAGATCGACCTGACAGGGTATATTGCTAACAATGGGACTGGTAGTCCGCATTACTAACGTCCGCATTACTAACGTTCCCTTTACACACATTAATACCTTCCCCTCTATATTATAATTTAGGTTTGACCGCAATTGTCAAGTGTCTAAATATAAAATGTTCAATTGTTTATACTTTTTAGACATGACGACTGAAGCTCTATTAATGGCTATGCCGTTCGAAAACCATGTGCAAGTGTACGACCTGAAAGGGAAATACTTGTTGGAGGCGCTCGAGTTCTCGGTGGGCGTGACGATAACGCCCGGCAACTTTTTCAGCCGCCGATTATTACAGATTGGCGGTAGATATTATAATCTCTTTGTTATTCTACAAAATATCACGAGAATAAACTCAATAAAAACAAACATTACAAACAAATATATATTACACCGCAACAAAATATTTAAGACTTCCAGGTGGAGACTACAGAGCAAGTAATCATTAATCAAAAGTCGATTGCTTGGGTATCTCTGTCCCATTCGTATTTCTACCGTGAAGCAGTTGTGTTTTTTGTTTCGGTTTTGGGATTTATTTATACAGAGGTGAGTCCTCAGGAATGGCAAAATCATGGGCGAAACAGTATACTCTTTTATGTCCATGGTACTGCTCATGTATCGGTTACCACTTTCTATCAGGTGGGCCGTCGCTTGGCCATTCTAAGTTGCATAAAAAAAAAAAAAAAGTGAGGAGACTGAGTTTTTTTTTCTTTTTAATAGGCAGATCCCCGTCTGTAGATACGCCGGCGGGACATCAGTGAGATATATCAGTTATGAGAGGTGAGGATGACGATAGGTCAGTCAGCCCATCGTGACGAATTCACCTGGAATTAACCGCGATGATTTCCAAGGATTGCATGGTGATCGACCTGACAGGATATATTGTAAGCAGTGATCGCTAGTCCCCATTACTAACAATCCCTTCCCCCCACTGTACAAGAGTTGTCTACTTGGGTACCTCTGTCCTTCTCGTTTTTAAGCCGTAAAAGTTGTGCTTGCTTGGTTGTGTTTCGGTCTGAAGGGTGAAGTATGGCAGTGAAATTACAAGGTATGAAAACATAGCATCTTAATTCTCACGAATGGCAGCGCATAAACTAACGCATGATTGTTACAATAGACATATATGTATTTTCCTAAGGTATTTTCTGTAATGTCTATAGTATGATATTCATTGCCTGGTGGTAAGCTTATTTGCCATTCTAAGTTGAATAAAAAATCTTACTTTTTTAGTTGTTTTCTAACCGTAATCATTGGTAACAAATTTTATATATACAAGATTAATAATAATAAACTATTTATTGCACACAAAAGAGATTTATACATTATTTATACAGAATGTGCATATACAAAAGGCAGGCTTATCGTTAAAAGCAATCTCTTACAGACACCCTGGCATAAATAGTAAATAAGTATAGAGAGAAAGGTAGATGGCGCAAGTCAGACGCAATTAATATAAAACCAAAAAGTTACCAAAAAGACATATTATTCTAAATATTATTTACATAAAAATAAGATTACAATACATAAACATATATAAATAATAGTACATCAATATACTAAATAGATCAAAGTAAATAACACGTAGTATACATCAAGGCAAATTAGAGAGATAGGTAATGAGACTAATTTCCAGGAATGCGCAACGTGTACAACATGTCGAAGCCGATAGGGTCCCGCGTGTCGGCCACGGTGCGCTGCATAGAGTGCGACGTGCCGCGATACGAACCGCTCGATCCAGACGCCACCTACCGTGTGGTCACGCAAAACTATATCGGAAACGGCGGTGATGGATACACGGTAATTATTTTTTTTTAGGATACAATGACAAACGAGCTGACAGTGGTAAAAAGTAAGTAAAAAATAGTAGTAGTTCATCCTTATAGACATGAACATGGATAACATATGTGACGCCAATGTATGAAGAGTATCAAGTCTTCATACATCACCATACTTGATAATTTTGTAATGCTTCAATACCCTGTACGAGTGCAGGAGGGAGACTTTGTACAAAAGTCGTCAGCTTTGGGTACTCCCGTTATTGCTTCCGTCCTGTAATCCTAATTCCGCCATAAAACTGTTATTTTTGCATAACTTAGTTTTAATATATAAGGTGGGAACCCTTTAAATCGAATATGTAAAAGAAATTAAAGGTACTGAGATATAAAGAACGACACAGACGAAACGTTTTATCTAATTGTGATTGTAATTTACTTTGATAAACTAATTACATATTTAAACATAGAATGTCAAAATTCGAGAAATAGAGTCACGTGAATTTCCAATTCATGTGAACATATTTCCAGCAATTTTAGTTTTTTTTTTTTTAAATAAATAATTAAACGGACATAAAAAATTTAAAACAAGTTACTTATTTGAATCGATTATGTACAGGAATGATGGTCATAAATAAATTTTTATTCTATTCCAGATGTTGTCAAACAATAAAGAAAATGTGGAAACATTGCCTTATACAGACTTCGTAATGCTGCAGCAGTACATGCGACGCCAAAAAACAATCCTCCAGGACCTCGACGGAAGGATACAAATAGTATATTAGTCGCTGCAAAAATAATTCATACATCCTTAGGACCTAAGTGGACGACGGACTTTGTCCAAAATGGATTTCCTGTTGTCAATCCATTGTATTCTATGATAAATCATATACAATTGTAATAAAACGCAGATGTATATACATAAGTAGTTTTACACAAACGATAATTCTGTACTTCACAGACGAAAAATCCTGTAAAGTCGTCACCGTAAGCCCTTATTTACTTTGGCTTTGTGATATTTTATATGCAGTCAAAAATAATATGAAAATTAAACAGTAATTTCTAACATGTATTTTCATTATATTTCTTCCTTTTTTATAATATACTACGATATCGGGGATGCGCACGGCGAGACAATATCGTATAAGTAGCTTATGGCGTAGGTAAAATATTTACAAATTCATAAATAAGTGGAAAGAAGAAAAATACTTAGGTAGTATTTATTTATTGAAACTATTGACCAACGTAAAGTTGTATAAAAGGCGGAATGATGGCATTTTCTGTTAATGATATAAAACATTTCGTAGGTCATTTCTCAATGAAATTTCTCCAAGGAACGGTGAAATTTATTCAGCCTATAGGATGTTATTGCTCAACCTTAGATCGACCCCTGAGATGTAACAATCACTTTTATGCAAAACATGAGATACCAACTGCATCTGATAGGATCTGATCTTAAATACCAGGCGATTGGAGTGATTGTGTTGCACTAATCCATACAAGGGTAATAACAAATATAAAACTCATACAGAAATTAAGTATTGCTTATTCTGTTTTCTCCAAAATTTGCAATCCCACTTTTTTTTAGATACTTCGTTAAAAAATGTATCATCTAATAGGTCCTGATTGAGGAATAATAAGTTAATAAGAAATGAAACAGTATTGTTATTCACATATTTCATTTATTTTGTTCATATCACCAAATACTTAATTGATTTTATAATTTTACAAATAAAATTGTATATTTACAAGAGTTGAATAAAAGTAAAAACATCGCTTATATGGATATAGTTGTATTTGTAAATAAAAACATAAGTACAATAGAAAATAAAAAATATTTTGTGAACAATATTGATTTTATTATAATAATCATGTCATCAGGAGTATAAATTTTACACCTTTTTAACGGTATATTAATACTAACATCAAATCACTAGATAACAACATATATCTATATATTATATATAGTTAAAAGTAATAATTCGTCCGTAGTTGTAGCTGAAATCAAATTTATGTAAAATAAAAGTCAAAATAAATATGTCATTATGAATTTGTTCTCTATAAAGATCATTTGTTCGTTTTTATTACATTAAATCCAAACGTGAAGTACACGACACAAACATAATGTGAACTGTTTAGAAGAGTAACAATATGTAATATAAAGAACAATAAATTCAGTTTAGCAACAACGTCAATATTGAATCAAAGATGAAAACTTAAATTATATAAACTAAATAAATATATTTAAATTTAAAATTGTCAAATAGTATCTATCTATAATATTTTAGCTATTTTATCACACGATGATTTTAATTCTAACACTGGGCTAACTCTATTTCGGGGACGGCTAGTATAGGCAAATCTTTCTTAAAGCTCTGTATGTCTTTTATGAAGTCAGTGTTGTTCTCCGTGGTGTCACCGATGGGGTCATTCGCGTCCAAATACGTGAGCGCGTAGTCTTTAGGTTCATTGTCGTTAATGGTTGTGGTGCTCTCATTTGTTTTGTGGCCCATTATCTAAAATAAGAAGTAAAAAGAAACATACCTATAAAAAATATGAATCTTTTGACTGAAATTTATTTAAGGGCTGTGTAAAAGTCTCATAAAGGAAAGATTTACAGATGTATCATTAGGCTCTCTCCGTTACATATTCCCGAAATAAGTCCATATTATATCTTAATATGTAAGACTATATATTTTATTATATAAAAAATCCCATGCCACGATGTGCATTTACACTAATCTCTGAAACAGTTCAATCGATTTTAATGAAATTTTAAATTGTAAATGTGTATTGTCTGGTCTGCGTTAATTTGAGATTTTTTTAAAAAATATAATTTATTTATACTTAAACAAAGGTGTAGTAGCACTTACAATTACTACAAAGAATTGAAATAGAATATAGTACCCACATGCTTACACAACAAACAAGGTAATGTTAAATCTGACTTAATGTTACGTACCTACTTAGGGTATTTATTTATATACATATCCAAGTAGTAAACAGATCGGATAGTTTTTATTCCGATAAGAAAAAATTATAGTAGATGGCGGAAGGGGGTTCGCAAAACAACGCTTGCTAACTGACACGCAGCTATTGAATTTATAATCAAAACCAATACCTGAATTGACAATTTTCTGAACTGCGTCCGGTTGCCTGTCGAGAAATGATTATCTACCCAGCTCCTTATATCAGACAGCTTAGTTTTTTCTATCGCCTCAGCCTGTAATATTAAATGTGCTATGTCACGGGAAATTATGGGTAATTAATGTCACTACAATAAAAATGTACCAGTAGTAAATAATATGATATAATTTATAAACAGAATTGATGTTGAGTACATACCTCCATGAATAACCTTTGGAATTGATATTCTCTGCTCACAATTTCTCTCCAATTTCTTTCCACCTGAAGTAAAATAAGATATTTTTAAGATTATTAATTCTAATTTGAAATTATTTGTATTATATATTTATTCATTCTAATAAAGTAATGATCGTAATTAGTATCCTTTCTCGGAGAATCAATATTTTATATTAGTCATATTTTTATCCAAATATTTTGTTTACAATTCGTCATACGAAAAAATAACACGGCAAAATTTATATCCTTTCAGAGGGTTGGAAGACATGAGAACATAATAAGTCTGTTTAAAAACAAACTTGTATAATCGAATCCGCCATCTTGAGGTTGAGCCATTTTAGATCTAATTTATTTTATGTTTGCATACTCTTGAAAACCATTATTCTTCATTAGATAGCCGTCGGCCATTGGTAAAAAATATTGCAATATTAAGTACTTCATATTGTATAGTTAACAAAATTGGCTGAATTACAAACTAATCTTAGGCTAACACAGATTGAAAGATTTAATCTGAATAAAATAAATATATATATATATATATATATATATATATATATATATATATATATAAAAATATATATATATATATATATATATATATATATAATAAAATTACACACACACATAGTATGATGATATAATATTACCTCCTCTTTGAGCTCGTAATCGGTGGTGTGTTTGAGCTGGACGAGAGACGTCTTAGTGGTCTGCAGAGTCTTCTCGCTCAGGCGGCGCATGTCGCGCGCGAACTTCTTCAAAAACGCTTCCACTCGTGTATCCACGTGGGACACACTATCGCGCACGACAGATTTTTTTAATTAACATGATCAAGTAGCTTTTTAGGTATAATTATTGCTGTCTATTAGTCTATTGGGCAGATATAAAAAAAAATACATTTACCAATTCACTTTACTTTACCCCATATTGCCATAAGCATTTTTGACATCATTAGTAATGTGTGTCACTATGACAAAGTATCTATACTCTGTTTGGAAGTAGACCTGACTCTAGTCAGGTCTACTTTCAAACAGCTCTCTGGAATTCATCATGGTTAATTCCAAATGAATTTATCACAGTAGGCTAACTAATTTTACTTCATCCTCACCCATTATTCTTCGTTAGTACCTCGCCAGCATATACTAATTATTGTACTTCCAATTACCTGAACTTGTCAACCTGAGTGTTGACAGTGACAGAGAAGCCGAGCACGCCGAACGTGTACCGCATACGGCTGAACACAGAATAACCGAGCTGCTCTTTGGTGCGAAGTATATTGAACACCGGCTCCTCCATCATCATCTAAATATACAAATCCTAGTTAGTATTATTTATCTTTTTAAAGTCGCCTTAAACAACAAATCTCTAACTATAACTATGTACATAGTAAAATAATAATATATATTCAGTCAACTCTTTTCAATGTTATGGAAATGTTCAAAGAATGAAAGGACTCCAATATCATGAGGTAATCTATGCTTTATTATGAGAAGAATAAAGTTTATTTTGGACAGAAATCTAATTGGATATTTATACCATGAGGACTTCTAGCGTGGCGGTGTCCTTCGGAGTCGCCAACTCGGCCTGGTAGTAGTTGGTGACGATACTGTTCGCAGACTGCGGGTTCAGATTCAAAATGCGGATCTTGCGTTCACCCAGCGGCAACTGGTGTACTAACAACTGAAAAAGGTACAACCCAGTTCTTTAAGTCTTAAATCTCATAGGTTGGCAGGAACGCATGAACCATGTATGACATAGATGTAGCAAGTTAGTAAGGTTTATGGACAAAACCATTTAATTCATTCACTTCAATTCACTAATTAATTTAATTTTACCCTTTAATATTAAATAATGATATATTTTTATACAAAATGCAATTTGTATATTTATGATTGTGATCCAACAGCAATAGATTCGAAGCTTTGTTAACTAATAGTATTTAATACTGCTGTACTTATTACAATAATAAGGAAACCAGTCGCTATGTAGAACGATATATATTCAGGATCAAATAAAACACTGGCACCTAGTACATTTTTCTAAAACTAATTTCAACTTACTTTTGGTATTTCTGCTTCTGAAAGTCCATCCCATTTGATATTGTTCCACACGTTCTCTGATATCTTGATGGCTTCATACCATGGCAGGTTGCCTTGCACCAATACCTGATAATATAAACAAGTCTGCGTCGATTTCAAGCTTTCACACCCCATTACAATATAGCAACAAGAGTGGAATCCACAATGACAAGGGGTATTTTATATAAACATACAGGTCCTATTTAACTCTACCAGAGAACGAATTTTCAATAACCCTTTCTATAAAGTTTCTTATATTTTCAACGAACTTCAAAAAAGGAGGTCTTTAATTCGGGTATACTTTGTTTATGTTTGTTACCTTATATCTTTGACATTTCTAATCAGATTTGAAAAATTCTTTTTTTTTTATCTGAAAACTTACAGATTGGTCCCATAGAAATTTCATCAAAATCGGTTTAGTAGTTTAATTTTTAGATTAAAATAACTAGTTTTGTTACAATTGAAGTAGATTTTTTTGTAAGACACAAGCTTTTATACAAATTTACTTTGAGTTAGTTAAACGTGATTAATTAAACTCACTTGTAAGTACATCTTTTTGAGCAGTCTCTTACTGAAGTCTTGCAGATCGTCCAGCGTGATGTTCTGTATCTCCATAGCCTTGTCACGTGGCGATATGTACGGCTCCAATAGAATGTTCATGCGAACGTCTCTGTGTATTGTTGACAAAAAATAAAAAATAATAAAAAAATAATTCAAGAAAAGTACAAATAGTTAAATCAATAGGTCTTTGTGTTAATCAATTAGGTATTATTGTATAAAAAAATGTTATTTTGAATGATTAATTAGAATAAAAAGACTGATAGACAAGATGGTATTGACAACTTACATTTAACTTCTTTTTTTAAACAATTTATAAGTAATGACATCATCGTCATATCAGGCATTCACAGTCCATTATTGAGTATAGGTCTCCTTTACAGATCCCAATAAAGAACTGTCTTAAGTGGTACAAGTATGTATTGACTTTCTGATTGATATTTGAGGTCGTCATCCATTTACGAGTAGGTGGTCGTCGCCGATACTACGTTTGTCTGTATAGTTTTTCCCATCGGTTACCGAGACATAGCTAAGTGTCCATAATTGCCTCAGCTTATCAGTAGGAATATTTTAATAAGATAATCAAAAAAGAGGGAGGTGACAGAGTCTCGTTAGTAATGGGAATTGGCGGTCCAATTGCTAGTTGACTGCTGTCCACTAGTGGACCACTGCTGAACATAGCCTCTCCCATAAAAGGACTGTTGCCAGTAGTTGCCACGCTTGGCAGGCGGGTTGGCAACCGCAGTTTGGCTTTTGGTGATGTTTTAAGAGGGACGCTGCTGCCCATTTCACCACTATAAGCTCTCTTAGTCGCCTCTTACGACATCCACGGGAAAAGAAGGGGTAGCCTATTCTATGCCGTGACCTACACGGCTATTGCTAGTAATATACTCTATTATCATCCATCCATCCATCCAGTCCATCTTCACGTGGATAACGGGTGAATTAGTCACAACGTGACAGGCTAACTGTTCTGACGTCATTTTAATTTATTCCTTAATGGTACACCACCAATATAAACTAATAGCGCAGACGGGTTACCATTCCACTTTGATCCAATAATAATAATAATAATTCTGCCCGCATTGTACACCGGTTTCTCTCCCTGGGGCCCTGAATCCCGTCCGACTGTGCTTCTGCCGGGCGTTAGTTTGCCATCTCCTCTCCTTAAGAGAGATGTGAATTTTCTAAAAATTTAAAAATAATAATAGCGTATTCTCTCACTTGGCGAGCTTGTGCGGCTTGATGAGTGCGTTGTGGTACGAGCGCGCGCGAGCCTCCCGCACCGCGTCGAACAGCGCGACTGGTACAGTGCTGGTCGCCGCCGCGCCCAACTCGCGCGATATCAGTTCCACCAGCAGCTATTTATTTATTTATTTATTTATTTATAGCAAGGCAACAGCTATGTTCCCATATACCACACTTTATTTAATATTTTGTTTTTATTTTCAACTTTTTATTTATTACACATTTTATTTATATTTTAGTAATGGAGAACGATGATGATATAGGTCAGGGGTGGCCGACTTGACTAGACCCAAGACCTACTGTTTATTGACAAAACCCTGTGCGATCTACTAATTACATACTTCTTGAAATCTCAAATAAAACAATACAATTTAGTACACAATTATGTAGTATTGTAGTATTTTTTTTTATTTTATTAAGAGGGAAAACATAAAACTGAAAATAATTCTTAGTAACTACTTATTTACTTATATTAATGTGAGCATTGCGTCTGAGCATCTTCCGCTTTTTTTATAAGCAAAATATTTCATTTTTTACCTTACCACGATCGACTGGACAAATAGCCGCGGTCGACCCACCAATACCAAGACCAACACCAACGGTCGCCACCCCTGGTATAGGTATTACTAGCAATATAACAATGTCTCGTCGACTTCTACGCAGTTTCCTCTTGAAATCATCGTTGTTAATGTTTGAAAATTTATCATCTATCATTCTTTACTGACATCCAGTCAATGTACAACAATAGCGCTGGCGGGATTATCATTCCATTTTCTTTCCATAAAAGCGACACAGAAACCAGATAAAATAGAGAGTGTCTAATGTATATCGTCATAGTCGTAGAATACTGACTATATATGTAATATTTGTCAGATCCGTCAGTATTTTACGTGCTCATTTCAATGGACTTCAAAAAGGAAGTTCTCAATTCAGTTGGATTTTTTTATGTTTGTTACCTCACAACTGCATCAGTTGTAAACCGATTTGGAAAATTATTTTTTTTTTATCTGAAAGAATATACTTACAGATTGGTCCCATAGAAATTGTAACATAAACGGTTCAGTAGTTTAGTTTGAAAATCAAAATAACTGGTTTAGCCACTATTGAAGTTAGTTTTTTTGTGGAACACAATTATTAAATTTGAAGTTTCAAATTACATCGATGACTAATTTTATGAAAAATACATAAAGTCAAAATACATTTTTTAAACCTTCTTTGCAAGACCACCCTCCGAATAGTAGGAAAGGAGAACGGAACCAAGAATCTTGATTGACAATTTTACTGGAACAGATCTGAATGGATTATTATGTTACATATTATATATATTAATAAAGGAGAAAAAAAAATATAATAAAAAAAAATAAAAAAAAAACCAAGTAGACCTTCAATAGCAAAACTAAAATAGCAAAAAAGTTGTCGTATAAAAATTAACGACAGAAAATAAAGTTTCTTTAAAAAAAAAAAAACCTTTGCATAATGGTGGAAATTTCCATCATAATATTGAATGAGCAAAAATTATATAAAAGACCAAGTTCACTTTAAATTGATCGTGTCTAGATACCTTTTTAATGTCCATTGCAAAAAACAAAACATAGCTGTCAAATTTATTTTTTTAACCATTTTGCCTTGTATTTTGAATATGAATTATATCACCTTGATTTATTTCACCAATAAAAAAATATCTTGCAAAGAAGGGTTAAGATTTACAAATGTAAAGTTAACTTTTAAAGTAGTAGATTATTCTAACACATTTCTTTTTGTTGAAACTTCCTACAATCCCCAAGAAGTATGTATAAATAAACAAAAGATAACAACTTACGTGAAGGTTCTGATTGTACCCGCTAACTTTTAAGGTCAACCCTTTGTCGACTAGGTACAGTGAATGTGATAGGTCCGCCATACTCGCTGGATACACTTCTTCCTGTATTGTGAATAAATACAGCATTACAATACAATGCAATATAAAAGAATATCCTAGTGGTTAACTTCCCTATTTTACGCACCTCAACGATTGTGGTTCGAAACTGGTCGCGAAAATAAAATTTTGGTAAAATCTAGAATATGAACAATTACTTTAATAAAATATGTTGGTTCATCCAATTTTATTATTCATTTATTAAAAAAAAAAATATATATATATATATATATATATATATATATATATATATATATATATATATATATATATATATATATATATATATATATATATATATATATATATATATATATACCACAAAGGTGGTATCCAAGCATATAGCCCGTCTGATGGTAAACGGTTACTATAGCCTATGGATGCCTGTAACACTATTGGTGTCATGTGCGCGTTGCCGACCCTGAAGATACCCTTTTTGAAGAACCCCATACTGAAGTCTGTATGTACATAATAATAAGTATTACAGACCTTCAATCCTTGATGTAACACGTCTGTCCATAAGTCTAGAAGACATGATCTGTAAAAAATATACGACATGCTTTTAATATTCCAAAACAATATTTATTTATATTAAAAGATTTTAATGAAATTTTATAAATGTGTACTTTGTTTCAACTTTAAAACTTTAAAATACTTTGTAATTATTTATTTAATAGACTAAATGAGTTTTACAGTATTCCAATATGCTTCCCTAGGAAAGTATCAGTACAATAATAAATATTGTTATAATGATTAAAATGCTAACAATATATAATGTATATATGGCATAATAATAATTAATTCTTTATTAAGGTTACAGGAGGGTCAATTTGACAAGGGGAAATTTGACATTTCATATTATGGTAGACCCCAGGACCCTATTTGATGTATATATATATATATATATATATATATATATATATATATATATATATATATATATATATATATATATATATATATATATATTAAGCTTTATTGTATACGTACAATTATATTGAATTATATTAAGTTTAATAAATATTTAGTTCACTCACTCCCTGGGTGATTTGAGGCTCAGCGGCGTTATAAAGTAGAAGTACAGCAGCGCGGTCGGAAACCGGAACTTGAAGTCAGGTTTGTACCACAATTCCATGTGACGATTCTTGCGTATTAAGTTCGGCTGGTCTAACCTAATGAACATATTGTAACTTTAAAGATAACTAAACATAAAAATTCGTTAATATACACTTTTGTAGAAAGTTTACTTAGGTTTCACTGGATCACAATGGAGTAGTGACCCCACCTGTGCTAACGGTATACGCTGGCGGGGCACTAGTGAATAATGATGCGTGAGATGAAAAGGCTGGTCTGTTAACCCGTCGTGATGAATACACCAGGAATTCAACAAGATGGCTTCCAAGAGGGACCACGTGGAGGTCGACCTGACAGTGTATATTGTATAGCAATGTGACTGGTAGTCTACATTACTAACAAACCCTTCCCCCCAGTCTACTCAGGTTCCACTGTCCCATTCATGTCTCTGTTGTGAAGCAGTTGAATTTGCATGATGTTTCTGTTTGAAGGGTAGGATATGGCAATGAAATTATAAGGTACAAAGGTATAACATTTCAGTCTTCAGGGCTACACATGAAGGTTATCATGGACGATACAGTATACTCTGTTATGTCCGTGGAACTGTTCATATCTATTGGAGACAGTTTCTATTTTCGATCAGAAGAGCCGTCAGCTTGTTTGCTATTCTAAGTTGTATAAAAAAACTTAAATTGTTATCCAGGATCCTTGAATCTCCTAAAACTTCATCCAAATTTATGTCACTTAGGGTAAGTTGTCGCTTGTTCTATGTCTCTGTTGTGAAGGAACGTTAAGTCGTTATTTGTTTAAGGGTGACGCCTATATGGAAATAGAAATTCTTTATATCAAAGGCTCCTCATACGAGAAGTTTTAGCTGGAAAAGCTATCCTTATTAATATTATAAATGGGAAAAGGAGTTTGTTTGTTATTTCTCTTAGCACCTTAATGATTCACCCAATGAAATGTTACATACATGTAATTAAAAGGAATGGAAAATAACATATCTAGATCACGCGAACAAAGTCGCAGATAAAATTTTATATTTACATTTAAATGTAGACAAACCTGAAATTATTAACAGTGGCTATAAGATCCCCACGCTTCAAGACCTTTGTCTCGTGAGTACTGCCCGCCACCTTCTTGTGTATGTCTTTCACGGTACTATTGCTGAGGTCAATACCCAAGCGATCCGCTTCATCTAGGTACTCTTGGGCGGGTGGAATCAGATCGAAGTTGGTGGTTATGTAGATGTTTTTCTCGGGAAGGTGGAAATCGGGGTATGGTTCCACTTTCATCCACCGTTGTAGCCAGTTTTCAGGTATTTCTATAAAATTATAATTAAATCAAAATCATTAACATTCTTTTAAAGAAATGTCCTACTAGTAAACAAATCCACCAGTAAGGAATAATAGATGAGGAAGAAAGCAGCTCAGTTGGCTTATTGTGATGAATTCATCAAGAACTAACCACAATAATTTCCAGGGAGAACTAGATGGAAGTAGAACTGATTCTAGATATACCCCATATTGGGCGGAAAAGGTTTACAAGTAAAGGGGTCTAACAACCCCATTGGTATCAATATATCCTATCAGATCGACCTCGCCCATTTCCTCCTGGAAACCATCGTAGTTGAGGGCTAACTGACCTGCTTTCGTTCTCACCTATAGTCTCTCACTAATGCCTCTTTAACGTATACTAATAGCGCAGACGGAGCTACCATTACCTTTTCACCCATAAAACAGGGTATATTGTTATCAATGGGGCAATTAGACCTCATCACTATTTAATTACTTCCGCCCTGCAATAGATGCTTACCACTATCTGCAGTAAGATTTACCTTGTCGCCTGTATTCAGTACCGAACCACTGCTCCTTCGCGTCGTACTCTACTGGGTCGGAGTGCTTATTTGACAGGACCATTATATTAACCAGCTCAGGTCGCATGCAATCTAACAGTTCGCTGATACCCTGCACAAATAATATAAATATTGTTTATTAATAACCAGATTTGATTACTGTATACATACATGAATCAGATTAAGGAAAAATTAAAAAAAGTACCTCGCCATGGTATGGTAAATATTAAGAATTTGTTTTTCTTAGTACAATACAAATTTATTGTATATTGACAAGAGTCAAAAGGGCTAGTGCTCAAGGCTGTCACATCAGTATTTTTTTTAAATGAAATAAAATGGAATGGTAACCCCATCTGCGGTATCGGTATGCACTAGCCACTGCTTCACTTATTACCTATCATCATTATCAGTCTTTTAACTGCCCACTGCTGAACATAAGCCTTCCCTTGGATGATTTTGCCAAGTAGTTGCCACATTTGGTAGACGAGTTGGCAACCGCAGTTAGGCTTTGCAGATATTTTAAGAGGGACGCTGTTACCTATACCTCCTCCTTTGTTAGTCATTTTTCATAGTAGGTGATACCTGTCATATTAGGTAATAATGAAAGTAGGTCGGTTTCCAGGGAGAACCGCATGGAGGACAATCTGATAGGATATATTGCTGCATCTATTACCTTGGGGTCATACTTGTAATAAAGTCTATCGCCAGTGATGTAATGCTCCGGGGGATAGAAACGCATATTTTCCACTAACGACTCCACATAGTCCGATGGTTGTGTCTCCTCCTCAAAACGGAAACTTGTCTCCTCTATTGTCTACAAAAAAGAATGAATAGTTATTTAATTAAAAAAAAAAAAACATACTGATAGTATAAAAAATTATAAAACCTGGGGTTTTATAATACTGTTATATTTTTTCTGCATTAAAATAAAGATATATTTAAAATATAACAACCTTTATTTCTTCATATATCCGTTCCGATGGTCCCAATTGCTTAAGCATACTTATGTATGAGAATATTGCTTCTAAAACCTGAAAAATATATAAATATAGTTACTCTTATTGTACGCCCTTTTTCCTTACATTTAATTAAATTAAACATTATTAATATAAAATTAAATATGCGATATATGACTACTGGCCACATTAGATAAAAAAATAATAATAAAAAAATTCCTTACAGCTATCATGCATGTCAAATCCATACAATAATTATATTAAATTTATTCTGTTACATATTAATGTGTAGTAAACATTAATTATATTGTAATTATGTATTGTTGTGTATGTGTATGTGTGTGTGTGTGTGTGTGTGTGCTCTGATGTAGTGGGTCATATTATATTTACCTCTTCTATATTGTCGAGCCCGTCTTGCGTGAGGACGATTTGTATTGGGAACAGACTGTGCATGGTTGTGTAGTCATACCCGTTCTCCGACGTGCCTGTGTATATATCTAGCGCCCATACCCTGTACAACGCAATATAATTATAACACACATACCAATCAAATACATCATAAAATGGCACCTTATCTTTACTTAATTTTATAAACAATCAAAAATTACTTATTTGAATTCCGGTTACTTTTTTTTTATATAACATCCTAACTGTCAATCGTCATAAAATTTAGTATACAGTATAATGTAACAATATATATATATATATAACGAGTCGAACTCAAATATATAACCTCAAAAGTGATTTAAACCATACACAATACGTATCATAATGTTTTAAATGGACTTGGAAAACGAATGGTCATAAAAAATTAAAGATGATCTCATTGTTTACGTAAAATCATTTGATATTATTTTAAACTTACTTTTTCCTAAGATATGACAGTAAACTGCCTTTTCCTTCGTGGCCAAGAAGATATGAAATGTACTGGTGCGGTTTGGATTCGTACTCTGATATCAAAGACCGCATGCACCAAGTTAGATGGACCTGAAGAAATAAGATAACTGCTTTGTTATCTGAAACTGTACCAGTATTATAGTTTTAATATATGAAATAATTAATTTAACTTTACAGAAATATTAATAAAATACATATTTCTAGACTACACATATATCATAATACATATATTATGACAAATAGTAATTTAATATATTCAAAATTGAAAAAGTCCAACTGAACGAGATTGGAAATTGTTCCTCTTGCTGTGCTTGAACTCGATTAGAATCAGAATTAAACTAAACGACTAATTTATAATTCAAACTTAGCTTTATTGACATTGACTTGTAATTACAATGGCTAAAGCGATCTTTCTTTTTTTTCTTAGTGAAGCCAATTTACAAAACAAATTTTTCTAAAGTATTTCACTGACTGGATGTTCTGGGAATTTGCTTCCGATATTCGGTGTTTGACTTCTAAGTACAGAAGAACCTCGTTTGATGACCGAAAAATTAATCTGATGACTTTCATGTAAATATATATTATATATTATTATATCTAAATTCATGATCGAATCAAGTACTACGTTCACCACATAGTCGATAAATAACTAAACATCTCTGTAAATTACGATGCCCATTAATTTCTCTTTCCGTGGGTAGGCAAAGCAGATACTCTTATACTCTATAGTTAGATACTCTTTATTGTTCCAAAAGATTACAGAAGATAAAATCCTATATGTGAAATCAGATCAGAGTATGCCAGGGCCTAAGGTAAACGTTCTTAAAAAATCTAAAATAAAAAAAAAAATTACAAAACTAATACCTCTGATTCTGCTATGGATATATTTGGTACTATATTGGTGAGGATATAATGAACTAACCTCGGTGACGTCACTAACAGGCTTGATAAAATACATGCTCTTGAACTCTGGGGTGATTTTATCCAACTGAAAAGCATATGGAGTGAAGTCGTCGGAGGGTAATTTATTGTTTGGAATCCTGCCGAACGTGTTCACTACGTACTGCTCTAATGCTGAAAGTTCCATGCGCGCCTGCAAAAAAAAAATATAAAATTATGACAGCAACATATGACAGTTAGGGTATTTTGGGCTGTTACGGGCCTCTAACTTCTAAATGAAGCGACAAGACTTGAAATTCACACATAATTTCAGAATCCAAAAATGAACTTAATATAAAAATTAATAAATTTTGAGAATTTCGAAATTTATCTTGTACAACCACTATATAACTGTATACTTAAGTCACCTATGTAATTTATTAAAAATCATACAATATATATATATATATATTAAACAGAGGTTCGCTCTTGGTCTTACTAGATGGAAAGCAATAATAAGAACTAGAATATTTACCAAAGACTGAGAAATGTCCATCCAATTATTTTTAGAGATGAAAATGAAATAGTTACCTCTCTTACCTTATCGGTGTACGCTGGTGGAACACTAGTGAAGGGATTATAGGTAAGAAAGAAAGCAGATCAGTTGCCCCATTTTAACGAATTCGTCAGAAATTAACCACGATAGTAGAGAGAGGGAGAAACTACGTAAAAGACGACCTGATTATACAGTTAGCAATGGGACCACTAATCCTCGTTACTATCTAGGTTGTATTACTCTAACGATTAAGCAGATAAATGTTTCATTCCTAAGCTTGTTTGCGACTTACCTGTACCGCCACAGTCATCCTGTGCGCGCTATAATGCCTTCTGCGGAACTCATGAGCAGCTTGATATAGTTTCTCATCGTCATTGATATTATCCCGCAGACTGCGTAAGTTGCCCCATGTGAAGGTACGCATCGGATGGCCTTCGGGGAACAGGCTTGAGAGCAACTGATCCTTACGGTTTGAATCAGATGGAAATGCCAGTGAGAATTCTGGAAAATAAAAAAAAAACTCTACAGCAACTGTTACTAATGCACCCAGCTTGGGTCTCTCCTCATAAGATATTATTAGCCTACTATTGCTACGCTGGTCAGGCGGCTAGGTACATACTTATGCAATGGTTGACAATGAAATGGTAACCCCGCCTGAAATATACCCTACAAGTCGACCTCCACGTAGTGCCACTTGGAAACCATTGTGCTGAATTCCTAGTGTATTTATCACGATGGGCTAACTGACCTGTCTTTTCATTCTCACCTATCATCCCTCACACTGGTGCCCCGTCAGTGTATACCGTTAGCGCAGGCGGGATTACCATTCCATCATCATTGTCAAAGAAGATAACCCCGCTTGTAATCTATCTACGCTGGTGAAGTACAAGTGAGAATGAAAACAGGTTTATTGGCCGATCGTGACGAATTTTGTCATGATTCGAATATGATGGTTTTCATCGAATCACGTGGAAGTTAACCTGACAAAGTATGTTTAAATGAAGTTGTATTTTGTGATGTATGTGGTACTGTTCATGCCTACAGGTGGCCATCACCACTACAAGTGGTTACCACTTTCTATAGTGGACTGTCAGCTAATGTACATAAAATTTGTTGTTAACAAGATTTTTGTTTTCCACAAGACTCCAAATTCTGTTTTTAATGTCCAAAATTAACATTTTATACTAACTACATTTAAATATAATTATTATATTCTGCATCAGATATTTCGAGATTTATACTCTAATAAAGTGTATTCTCATTAAATAAGTTTTAAAAATAATAGCATCCTAAATGTTGTCACATGCTTGCAAGTATGAAAACTCCGTACATGTCTTACGGCCAACTTCCATAATAAAGTCACGGAAATCTTTATTTATGTCAATTTACGACTTGGGATATTCAGAAAATTGCTAAACGGGCAATTTTCTGAATGCCTCAGTTGTTTCCTCTATTAAGCGGTGCATGTTGTAAATTTGTGCACAACTGTATGCTATATTTAAGTGCATCCGAAACACAATAGAAACGGATGACATAACGCAGTTGTTCATACATGAATGGATTGTTTAATTAAACTATTATTACGCGTTACGAAATACTCTATTGTATCCTCACCAATAGTGTGAAAGTAAGTATGTTTGTTACATTTTGGTGCCTTAACGGATTAATCGTCATGAAACTAAGCATACACATAGTATACGGAGAACGTCTGTCAAATTCTGTGTGTTCTATATACTTACGCACATAATGTACCTTGGCGTATCTTTATGTATTAATTATTATAAAATAAAATGAGTTTTTACGCATTAAAAAAATACAAAAATTATAAAACGAAATAAATATATAAGTTATAAAGGAAACACTCATAACTATCACGCAATATTTTTCCCACCGCTTTTCTCGAAGCATTTGTATGGAGACTCTCTATCTACTCGTATGTATATAATCTAAGGCGGAGAACAACATTGGCTAATTTTTGTACTAATCAAGACAGATGAAGTTGGAGTTAAGGCTTCTTTATAAGAAGTTAATAGATTGGTTGGTTGGTAAGATAATAGTAATAAAACAAGAAAACATGAAGTTGACTATTATAAATGTAAAAGTGAGTTAGTTTGATGGTTACCTCCTAGTGCCTTAACGGTTTAACCAATCATTTTAACATTTTTTTAATGGATGATAATGTAATGCCAACTCCGCCTGCGCTAACGGTATACGCTGCGAGGCACCAGTGACAGATAATAGGTAAGAATGAAAAAGAAGATCAGTTAGTCTATCGTAATGAATACAATTGGAATTCAGCTCAATGATTTCCAGGGGGACCTCGTGGAGGTCGACCTGACAGGGTATATGTTAGCAAAAGGACTGATAGTCCGCATTACTAATAATCCCTTCCCCCCACTATAACATTTGATACTCATGTATTATATAAGATGGATTAGAACATAGGCAACTTTTTATTTGAGTCAGTAAACATATCCAGGTAACGCGAACGAAGTCGCCGATAGAAGTTAGTAAATAAATTATAAAAAGGTTATTTACCAGACTCGATGGCTTCCCGCTCGCGCTGCATCGCTTCTTTCATCATGAGCGGACTGACAAAGAACTGACTGAACATGTCCATCGCCTGGGGCAAATATTTTTCCTGTATCTCAAAGTAGAAGGTGGTCTCCTCGCTGCCGGTGAATGCGTTATCGGAACCGCCTTTTTTCTAATAATAAAAGACATCGTAATATTATTTAACGTACAATATGATATTAATTAATGTTAGTATTATTATTAGGGGCTCAGATGAAATATTTCTTTTTTTTTAGCTTTTATATTATCAAGAAAAAAAAAAATTAAAAAAAAAAGTACAACTGTATCTGTACCAACGGTACAAAGTATATTGAAATCTATTATTATGTAGCGCTGGTTGATCTTTTTTCAATAATTTTTATTTTAGGTAATATAAAAAAATTCTAGAAAATCTTTTTTGAGTCTCATAAATTAGTACTAACACTAGGTTAGGATTACGTTACGTTAACATACTTTATAAAAAGGCTGTGTTTACTTTACACATATTCCTTAATTATTAACCGACTTCAAAAAAGGAGGAGGTTCCATGTTTATTTTATTTATGTATGTACACTAATTCACTCCGTCACTTGTGAACGTCACCTTGTAGACCGATTTTACAAATTCTTTTTGTATTCGAAAAAGAGTACTCCCGAGGTGGTCCTATAGTCACCAAGTCAGGATTTGATGATGGAATCTCAGGGAAAACGAGGGCAACCTTCAATTTCTATAGGAGCATATATGATATTTCACATTTTTTAAACTTTTTCTGATATTTTCATCTGGTAGCCATCATCTCATATTGCTGAGCTGGTGATGAAAGGCACAACTCAATGCTTAGGAGTTAGATGATAATTCTTTAAATATTATATGCACGTAAAGTCTGTTAAGTTTCATTATCCTTTAGGTTATTCAGATAAACTGATGAATACAACTGTAGGCAACCGTCAAATTATACAAACAATAGTATAACGCATTAATTGATGCCGACTTCAATCATATTTTGTCTTGTAAATTAAGAGTTAGTTTATCTTTCACTTTTTGGTTTGTTTTGTTTAGTTTGTTTCATCTTATTTTGAAATAGGTTTATTTTTTTTTTAAAGTTTCTTTATACTATAAATGGGAGTTTATAATCAGACTTATTAATAATATTAAAGTTTATATTTGTTATCTTAAATGGGGTAGGCAGGCGGCCGGTCGTAAAACTAAAAGCATAATCTTTTTGTAATATGGTTAAAATCATTCCGCCGATCCCAAAATAATTAGGATAAGGGTAGGAAGATGATGATCTTAAATTTCCCTAACATAAATAAATAGCAACTTATTCATTTTAATCTGATTAAAAGTACTCAATAAGTATTAGGCTAAAATTAATTTTAAATATTTTAGACCTGCAAAAATCAAAAAGAATAAAAATATGATAATTACTTTATTACAATAGTAGTAAAAAATTAAATCTTCAAAAAGTTCATAGAAATGTAGTAATCAAAAATCTTTAACCTGCTCATAAATAAAATAAAAAAAATCTACATTTTCAGCAGATAAAATTATTAAATAGGTCGGAAAAGAAACATGTGAATTGACATTTTGAACCTTCTAAGAATTCGAGTATACAAATTTAATTGCATTGTTTTTGTTTCCTACTGTATTTTTAATCTCCTAATGTTTTTATTTCTTGTTCAACTTGTATTTATAGCAGGGTCGCGGTGATGAGTCACAGATGACGCTCGTCAGAAACCAGCTCGTCAATAACAACAAGGAAGCTCACATACTTTAATAAATGCGTCGAATTCATTCTCTTTAGGATATTTCTCGCTGCCCATGAACACCATGTGCTCTACAAAGTGAGCCAACCCCTGGATGTCTGGTGGATCGCTGAAACTTCCCACACCGACGGACAGAGCACATGCAGCCTGAAATAAAAGAATAGCTAGAGTTATGATTTCAGTCATGGCTTCACTGTATCTAAATTGATTTAAAAAAAATTTACCGACTTCAAGAAAGGAGAAGGCTCAAGTGCATTTTTAATTAATATATACGATAAGATTTTTTTTTATTAATTTAAGGCAAACAGACAGCTATAACAATATGTAATTACACACTTAAATAATAATTAAACAGCTACTCAAGTTTGCACAAATGTATAATATAAGTAAAGAAAACACAAAATTAAACAATACTATTGAAAACTACAGCAATATTGTCAATAACAAAGCTCAAATATTAACAAAGCCATCCGTAACACATTATTTAAGAATAACACCTAGATATAACTGTTAAAAAAAAAGTTAAATTAAATACATATATAAACCTATTCGAAATGAAATATATTTACCGACTACGACCTTATATTAATGATTGTTTGTCCGTCATGTTAATTTCGTCTTACGTGCTAATTCCTGTACTGTAATAAATGCCAAGATAGAAGTCGATGTCTATTTAAATACGACGAGATTTTTATTCCATATAAATTCTGTACAATAAAGATTTTACAATACAATACAGATTAAAGAGAGATTAAAGATTTCATTATTTTCATACTGACATTAAATTAAATGTAATTCGGTGACCAGTATAGTACTAAATAAAAAAAAAAAATTTACAAATTATAATGTACATATATTAATTAATCAATATATTGTGCAGTAATCGTATGCGCCTGGCAATAGGTACAAACTCAGCTTTTGCTGGACTGATGTTCGTTCAGCGCTGATTTTCAGTCATATTTATTCTATATGGAAGATAGATCCATAGATCCATAATTTACAGAACAAAGAACTAAACTCGGTAAGTTTTATTGTTTTGTTATGACAAATAACGTACATTCTTTTAATTTTTATTTCACTTCGAAAAATATAAATATTTGTATATTGCATGTGACAATTTAAAATAATTGTTTAATGTAATGTAACTTTTTTATAATATACTCAAAACATTATTTCAACACAACTGCACGAATATAATTGGGGTTTATAAGCTTATGTAAAATAATAAAACAAGCATTCTTTGAGTTTTAAACATTTTTCAATAATTTGGCTATTAATGATTATTTATAAAACTTTAGACTCTTCAGTAGCTAGAGTCATAACTAATTTGCTTATTTCCTTGCTTTAACATTACGAAGTTAAAGTAACCATTATTTTTGAACTAATGGATTGGCAATTGTGTGTTTTTTTTTATACCACTGAGATGGCCAATAAGCATACGGCCCACCTGATGCTATATGGTTACCGTAGCCTATGAACACCTGCAATACCAGAGGTATTACGTGTGCGTTGCCGATCCTGAAGAAACCTCTTTACCCCCTTTTGAAGAACCCCATGCTGTAGTCTCTTGGGAAAACTTCGGCAGGGAGCTCATTCCACAACCTGAGTGTTCGTGGGAGGAAACATCTCTGAAACCGCGCAGTACGCGACCATTGAGGCTGTAGGATATGAATTTAAACTCCCTGTCGATGTACATATTCTGACTGCATAGTAGTTTGATGTACCTACTAATAGATCCTAAATATTTGTTAATTTATTCAATAATTGGCCATTTTATATTCTGAGTATGTATAACGTTCAAATTTAGCACGGTTATTTACTTTTTATGAAAATAATATAAATTATTTATTTATATTTACGACAGAATTACACAGTTAAGACGGTATAACGACAGAATACGACTTTAGAGCAGAGGGCGCAGAGTGCTTAGCGCATACATTTGGAATGTTTATATGCGTTCTAATATACGCTGTGTTCAAATATACTATGCTGACTACTTATTACACTACTGTTTATATTATTTTCTGAAGGTTTGGATCAAACGTATCGATAACATTATGTAGGTATATTATGTCACAACTGCAAACCGGTTCGTACCGTGTCAAGTGAAAGCTCACTTGTTAGCAACTTGCATCGTTTTCTAGATATTTTCTCGCATGTGTTCTTCACGATTCTAAGTATATTGCGTCGGTAGCGAGTACCCTGCCGAAAGTGTTATTGCGTTACTTCGAGATATTACAATTTGTACTAAAATTAACCTATTACGAACAAAAACTAGTTCCGTACACTTTTAAAACCATCTCGATGTTCGTCCGTGTTGCGGGCATCACGTCATTCATAAAAGTTTTTTTTACTATTCTATGTACCTATAATTCTATTTTCTTAACTAGCTGTATCTCACGGCTTCGCCTGTGATCGTATCGTCATGTTCAATAGCATATAAACTTCCTTAAGAAATGCATTATCAAATATAAAAAGAATTTTTCAAATCCGACTGGTAATTTTAGAAATAGATAGAGCACGTTCAAACAAACACAAATTCTTTTGCTTTATTATATACTAGCTATTGCCCGCAACTTCGTCCGCGTTTCCTTCGTTTTTCGTAAAATAAGTAGTCTATGTCCTTCCTCACGATTCAGTGGTTTTGATGTAACAGACACATTTCCCTTCACTGCTCTGCTCCTATTGATCGTAGCGTAATGAAGAGTATTCTTCATACTCCTGCCCAGGAGTATGAAGAATAATTGTACCAAGTTTCGTTAAAATTTAAGACAGACAAAAATTTTACTGATTGCATTTTTGGCATCAGTATCGATCACTAATCACCCCCTGATAGTTATTTTGGAAATATATTTCATGTACAGAATTGACCTCTCTACAGATTTATTATAAGTATAGAAGATTAGCACAGATTCATACATGGTATAGTAACAATATATCCATATAATTACATTTAACTTGTTAAGGAAATATTATTTCAAATGTATTCCATTTACTTTATGGGTTATGAAACTGAAGTACGCGATTACATTTCACTACGTGATTTTATGCAATCATTCTTAAAGGGGACAGCCAACCGTGACAGTATGAATTTACACTATAGTGCGTTGTAAACTATTATTAGGAATATATCATGGTCATCGCATTGATAGCCACCGAGGAGTTTCCATTAGCAAAACGGAAATATTTCGAAAATGTCCTATTTACCCAATAATTTGAGTTTTTTTTTTTTCTATATTATTAAACCAACTTCATTCGGATCAAAATTAATGTAGGACCAACACGGGTCAAAATCTATCGATTGCAAAAAGTATTATATAACTAAAAATACTCGTAAAATACAGGTGTATTGAAAATCTCCGCTTTTTTTAAGTTAGTTAAAAATTGCATTACATGTTTGACCACGACAGGAAAACGAATAGATACTTAGGGGCACATTTGAACGCAATGATAGCTGGCTCATCCGTCATACTCGTGAACTGGTGTTGCTTGTAAGGTCTATTGTATCTACTACTACTACTGCTAATTAATTTTGTTACTTGGCTCTAATTGTAAACTTAATATTTTTATTTTTATTATTTTATGCTATATAGATTTGCATTTAAATAAAATAAAAATACTTGTAAAATTCTACTTTTATTTCAAAGGCAGGTTGCCTTGGATGGGGGGGGGGATGAGAGTGTTAGTAATGGGGTCTAACTGATCCATTGCTAGCAATACACCTTATAAGATCGACCTCCACACGGTTCCCCCTGGAAAACATCGTGGTTAATTCTAGTGGAATTCGTCATGATGGGCTAACTGACCTGCTTTCATCGTCACCCATCATCCCTCACTGGTGCCGCTCCTCCTCCGCACATATCTTCTTTTAATAAAATACCAATGCTTCTCGTTGGTACTGTTTTTTAAAACTGTTTATTGTTTGTCTATTACAAACAAAAAAATAAAATTTTTCCTCTTTATAATATTAGTTTAGAAGAGCGACAACAAGTACAATATGGTACTATGAGTATATGAACTAAGTCACGGTCGATTTCTAATAAATAAAAAATATATAGATAAATAAAATTGCATTGATTGTTATACACACAATGGGGATTCAGTTTCTTTTGTAAATTTATAAATCGATAGCATTGCCTAACCGTTAAGTGCTGAAATTGAAGGTCTGGGGTGAAGGTTACAATGAACAGATACGTGGTAACACAGACACAATTTGAAAACTCATTTTCAACGTCTATTTATTCTATTGTAATAATAAACACGGTTTTTGGTTTATAATCTTAATAGACTATGGCATTTTCTTTTTATAGAGAGCCTAATTTATTTAATAACTACCTATAGATATCTTGTGATTTTACTCGCGTGAATCAGTATAGAAAATCCTATGTATTGAGTTAGGATATAATCTATATAAAATGTTAAATTATTCAAATTATAATCCTAATTTTTGACTGATCTGCATTACCTAGATAAGATGCAATTTATTTTTTCGAAATAGGTAGAAACAGGAACGCACCGGGTTTTGCGCCGCGAATGAATCCGCAAGAATTTTTTGTGCGTAAAATAGCATAATAACTTTGTTCTTTCACATAATTTATTATTAATATGTTCTAATTATATGATATTGTAAAATAAAACGTGCTGTGTAGTTTGCATCAGTTTATGTCATGTTGGAACATTTTCTACCTACATTAGTACACTTTATTATTTAACAAAGTATAAAAGTACCCACATCAATATACATGACAATTATACATCACATAATTATATGTTAGAAGTAGATTTTATTATGCATTGTATTACAGATTTCGAATCTATATGAAATACTGTTATGTACTACATAATACTATAGGATTATATGTAACTTGGAATTCCAAATAAGCCGGCAATAACCCAGCTGCTGGAAAGTGGTCATATTTATATGTAAACAGCATGGATATCATAAAATATACAGCTATGTCACTAAAATTCCGACTAAGATATATCCTCCATACTTTGTAATTTCATTGCCATACTCAACCTTTTAAACCATTTCCAGATTATAACAGTCCAATGCCTTACCAATTTCTCTTCATCAAATTCACTTCTCCTTGTGCTACCATGATGATCACTAGCTGCTGAATGAACAGATCCTCCACCATCACTCTCTGGCTCTGTAGTTTCATCAGAGCCACTGCTCTCCTCTTCACTAGAGCTGGACTCGTCATTTACGGCAGGGCGGCTCGGATCAGATATTAATAGAGCTGTGAGACCATTTTCAAGTCTTATTGTTCTAAAAACATAAATATAATTTAAAATTTATAATCATAAATATAAATTTTTAGGTCTTGTCAAAATTTAGAAATAAATAAATAAGTGAAAATATTGCATAACATACACAAAGACATGTCAGAAAAATGAAAAACTAAATTAGTGTCATGCTTTAGACATTAAAGGATTATATTGACTTTCTTTTTATTAGTACATATAGAGGTGAATTTGATAAAAAGTAATAATTAATAAGGAAAGATGTTATATAACATTTATCAATTTATTTTCACCACTTTTACTATATTAATGCCCAAGTCTATATAATGAACTTGGTAACAGACATATATTAAATATTTCTATTTTTAACTAAATTAATTGATCCTTATCTTTACATTTCAACCTTACTGTATAGCTTAATAGATTCAGAGAAGTGTCAACTGAATCATCAATTGAGACCTCAGGTGCTGCCTTTATTCTTATGTAAATACAGACTGAAATCCCTTCTGCCAACTAGAGTTGTGTAGACACTTAAATATTATCATTTCAAGCATTTACTGAACATTACTGAATATTGGTCTTGTGCTTTAGTTTTTTCAGCGAATTTTATTTTTTTTCAATGATACCCAAAAATACACATGTAGAGATATTACAGATACAAAAGATCAGTTATATTATATGACCATTTCAGAAAGTACTTTTAATTGAGAAGGTAAAAAAAAAATTAAGTAATCAAAGAATTATTGTTATAAAAATATATTGCAATAAAATTTTAATTTAAGATGAATATAGTTATCATCAGTATAAGCAACCATATATAATTATAAGCATTGTTAGACATTATAAACATACAACAAACAATTTTGAAACCGAAATAACTAGTTAACCTTGCATTTTTTGTGAATTAGATAGGTAATAATACCTAGTTTTAAATGCAATATTTTTTGTGATAATATAAAGATTTTTGAGCAGAATTTAGCAGAAAAATTATAGGAAATGTATATATAACATCTTCATTCTCAGTAGTAGTAGTAGTAGTAGGGGCACCATGAATGCCACAGATTTACTGTGTTTTCTATGGAGTTGCATACCTTTACAGGTTACTACACTTTGATCTTAACCAAAAACGGGAGATTAATCATATACATATTATACATTTTTAAAGGATGATTCAATTACCATGGGCATCATAGTATATTTAGTAATGTCCAATGATGCTGTTCATATGTATAGGCAACATTTACCATTTTCCACTTCAAGTTTAACTTTTTCAGATAGACCATCTATTTGGTTATCATTCAGAGTAATACAAATTATTATCCTTCTTTTACATACTACTTATATGTAACACTACACAATAAGTTATATAAACATGCTATATTTTACAGCATTGGAATCAAGTTAGAATTTACAATATTATATCTATAGATATCATATTAAAAGTGTATCAAATCGGTTACAATATTTTATAATGATTAACAAACAGTCAGTCATATTTACAAACTTTCACATCAGTTTGTTTGTTACTTCTTGGTACTGTACTAGTTTAATCAATCATCATGAAAATTGATATACATATAGTAATAAAGACAAATGTTAATTTTAAGTCATTAAATTAATATAGGCATCCCGGTCACGGTAAAATCTAGGTTTATAGGAATAACAGGATTAGTACAATTCTTTTATTCCTATAAACTTTTTTCATAATTATTTGTAACTTCTTACTGCATACATAATGCGGACATTAATAGTTATAAAATTTGACATATATGCAGTATTTGGCATGAAAGATAACACTAGCAGCTTTTTATCCCGGTTAATCAATATGTCTCAACCACACAGACGAAATTACGGACTCAGCTAATATCAATACTAAATTTGTATGTGTACTGGTTTAAATTATACATAAATATTATAATAATTAATAAGTTTACTGTATGAAAACGAAATAAAGGAAAAACTCACTTATAATTTTTTTTATCTGACTCCGATTTGATGGGTTCTGGTAGAACCTCGACTTTCTCTTTTCTGCTAAACATTAACACTGACTGTTTTGACCTATTACTTAAAGTCTTCACTTCAGGTTTAAATTTTGGTGTTCTATGAAAAGCACTTCTTTTAGACATTGTGAATATTGTGTGTTTTGCTTGAAGAGAGCCAGACGTTTTTTGAATAAACACAGACAGAAATTTTGACATTTATCTCTACGCATGGTCAAGCAGGTATGAGTTTTACCACAATCAAAAAATAATTTCTACTATTCTACTAATAGTACTATCGTACACTATTAAAAACACATGTTTTAATTATACATCTAATGCAGTAATAGGAGCCTATAAAAAGACGAAAAAGGTCCACGAAGTAAGGTTCTGTAATATTTGTCTGAATGAATCGTCTATAGATTTATTTTTTTGAATCTGTAATTTCTGAATAAGCCTTTGAATATGTATAGTGTATAAAATTTTATAATTTGGTGTTGGCAACCTTGATAGAATCCGATGTCGCTGGCGGAGTTTATTTTGCTTTGTCAACTGTCGTTTTTTTGACAGTTTATTTTATTGATGTTCATTGAATTTTTGAAACTTTTGTCGTCAATTTTCTTTATAGTTTCTTTTTTTTATTACGTGAAAATTAAATGTGTAATACTCAAAGATAATTAAACTATTATTGCGATGGATGAATCTTATTCTGAAAGTGATGTTTCTTTATCACCATCACAAATTTTAAAGCGATTAGAAGTTTTACGGCAACTACAGTTGTTACAGAAAGAGAAGTTACAAAAACAACGGCTAGAATATCAAGAAACAAGTGAAAACTCTTCAAATATTACAGAAATTATTAGCCATTTCAGTAACAGTACTAGTTACAATACATTCCGTAGCTTACTGCAATCATCACAAGATGTTTCACACGACGCCGCCCCTCGTCCATTTGAATTAACCCCTAATGTAAAAGAATGTGATCTTGTAGAAGGAGTTTCAATATTAAATTTGTCTCGTGAGTCAGAATTTATTATTAATTCGTCAAATTCCACAAGAAGTAGACTATCAGATCCATTAAAAGAGAAAGAACTGGTAACAGAGAAAATCGTAAAGGATAAATCATTAACAAATCAAACAAAGAATCAAATATCACTAGATGAAATGCCTATTTTATCGCCGAAAAAAGATTTTGAAGAATTAATTTTGGAAAAATTGCAGAAAGAAAATAATATACCTAAAGTGAAAGTAGTGAAGGATAAGTTATTAACAAAACAGGCAAAGCCTTTCCTTAGAAAAGGTGAAGGAATGGCTAGATTTGGCTTAAATAAGAAAGATTTTAAAATACAAAATACAAAATCATTACCCTGGCGACAAAAAAAACCAACTCAAAATATTAATGTAAAAAAATCTGTTATAAACAATGCTCTTAAAACATCAAAAAGCATCAATAAAGAAGAGGCAGTACAAATTTTGGTGAATGAGCCAGATTCTCTTTCATTAAACTCTAGTAAAGTGCAAAATTGCAATGAAGTGCAAAATGAACAGAAAAAAACAACACCAACTTGTATGAAAACAAATATGCCAACTAATAAACAAACATTGCACATATTACATCATAATAATAAAAACTTTTCCATATTAACTGAACCAAGTAACAAGGAAGTATTAGACAAATTTAAAGAAAATTCACTAAAGTCTAAGGGGAAACATCCATTACAAATTAATAAGGGACAAACATGGGCATCAGTATTATCCAAAGAACAAAATGATTTTCTTATGCAGTTAAAGCAAAGTAATTACTATAAGAATTTTGCTTCACCAGCTAAAAGTGCTGTGTCTGATATTAGTTGTGAGGAAAGTGTAATAAGACAGGAAAAAGAAAAAGCTGAACAGAATATGTTTGATTTAATAGAAAGCAAAGTATCCCATGAAAGTTTTAATTTAGAAAATTCTTTTTTCAATAGATTTTTAAGAAAAAATAAGCTAGAATGTTCTGGAGAGAGTACACCATTAATCATGCAAAAATGTTTGGCAAATAACCCAAATTTATTACACATACCATCACACCTTAATCATGAAAGAAGTATTAATCAACATACAGAAATATGTAATAGTGAATATACAGAATGCACTAGTGATGTTTGCTCATTAGTCTCTAGTTGTTGTTCATGTAGAACTATAGAACCGTTAGATGATACATCAAAAATCAAAGAAATAAATAAACAAAAAGGTCAATTAAATATTCCAAATAAAAAGGAGGTTGAACAAATAAGTAATGAAAAATATCAAGATATCAGTTCTACTGACACTGACATAATGAAAGCTAACATGGCAGAAATGAATGCCAAATTAATTGCAACTAGTGAACTTTTAAAAGACAGACTCCAAGAACTAGAAGACGAAATAGAAACTTTTAGGAAAGAAAATGCAAATTTAACAAAACTGCGTGAGGAAATTGATCTAGAGAAACAAAAGTTTTATGAAGAAAAAACAACATTTGAACAAAAATTCAATGAAGAAAAGATATTGTCTGAATATTATTTAGCTGAAGAAAAAGAAAAACTCAATAAACAAAAGCAAATGTACGAAAGGTATATTAGGGAAATGAGAGGAAAACTAAATAAGAAAGATAAAGATGAAGTGCAAAATCTTAAAAAAGAGATACAAGATCTCAAAGAAGAAATTAGAGTAAAAGATGCAAAATCTAGCTCAATGATAGCAAGACTTCGGAATCAAATAAAAATTACAGAAAAAGAAAATAAAGATTTACAAGCTCAAGTTGAAAAATTAAAAAAAGAAAACAGGCGCATACAACACAGTAATGAGGTAACTAGAAGATTAACAAATATTAAATATCTTGAACAAATCAATAAGAAACTTTCACATATGACTTCCAAAACAACACAGTCTGAAGTAGATGTGGATAGGAACATGAAATACAAATCATTTGAAATAGAAAGGCAGAATAAGAGCAGGAAACCAATTGCTAACACTCATATTAGACCTAGAGCAAAAAGTGTACCTAATCTCAATGTAACATCCAGGTATGCAAAATATTTCAGTCAAAGAGATGTTGTCAGTCAAATAGATAAAAACAACTCCAATCTTGAGCATATTGATTATCACTCTGATAATGAAGATGTAGAATATACTTGTAACAATCCAGTCCCTTTGGATGACTCAGATTCTATTACAGATAAACAACACAGTGAAAGTGAGGATGAAAATAATTTAGAAAAATTATATATGGAAAGATTCCAAACAATATCACCGAAAAGCAATAGATCCAGTTCAGTTAATTCTAGAAGTGACAGTGATACTGGAGACAGACATAGACTTAATGGGCATATAGACCAATTCTTCATTTGTAAATCAGGTAGTGTTAGAGATCAGAAAATATCACAACACTCTGAAAGTGTAGTACACAATTCACAAAGCTCAAATTCATCAAAAACAAACAGATCTAAGTCACCTATTGTGAATACTAGTAATTTAAATTCACAAAGGCCTTTAAAGCCGGTAAATAAAACTTCTCATGAGGGTGTTGAATATTTATCAATTCCTTCTGGATTCAATGATAATTTCCATAACAGGTCAAATTCACCAGCCAGTTTTAGTAACCTCTCAAGTAGTCTGAGATCTGCAACCGTTATATCTACAAATCATTGTAGAAAAGATGAAAAAATAAGAATAAGCCCAGAACCAACTATAAGTAGAACTAGTGTTACAAAAACTCATTTAAATCCAATGGAAATAAAAAAACCAGATGGATCTAGGGAACTTCGTTTTCCAAATGGGAATATTAAATACATATCGCCTGATGGATATTATAGCAAATTTGTATATTACAATGGTGATATAAAAGAGAATTTTTATAAAGAGGGTACAGTGAAGTATTTTTATGCTGAAACAAAAACATTTCATACAACACATGCAGATGGATTAGAAGTACTAGAGTTTCCTGAGTAAGTAAATTCTAATAAATCCTTTAATTATAAATACAGCTTTTTTTCACAAGTCTTATTACAAAAAGAAACTAAGATTTAATTTATATGTTACGTTTGGTATTTTATGTTTTCATTGTTGCCAAATATGTATTCATAAAAAGAAATATTGCTTACAATTCCATACTCTTTAATATGGTAATAAATGTAATACTTGATATGTTTTGCCTACATTTAGCCGAGCATATTAGAATACAATGGAATTCAGCCGATACTCACTTTAATTTGGTTTGTTAACGATGTTTTCCATCATCGGAAAGTTAGGGACTACTCATACTTATTCAGCTCCATTTGCGTTTTGCTAAACGATTTTCGTCACATTTATACAGCTCTGCTTCTATCAGCCGCGTATGGCGTCGTAAGAATGAGAAAAACCGTTATAGAGTGCTATCTCCGCTGAACCGCTTGTCTACTGCGTACGGCGTTGAATATGCTGCATTTCGTAAAAATAAAATAATTATAATTACTATAAAATACGTCTGCACTCTTTAATCCTTGCGTATATAATGATTACGCAATAATAAATCAAATCAATGCAGAAACAATACAGGTCGCAACTTGTCGACAAGGAGTCGCGAAACATCCCTGTAAAGAGCTGTTTCGCCGCGTTCGACGATGAATGCGGCGGAACCGAGCTGAACGCGACGGAACAGCGCTGAACGCTCTCTATAGCATTCGCATGATAAATACACATTTATCCTCATTTTATACTGAGTTGCCACGAAAGCAGAATAGACACGGAAAGCTGAATGGATGCGTATACGTCTTCATACAAAATCGTTGTTTTCTATGGACAAAAGCTGAATAGAGCTGAATAAATGTGAGTAGTCCCTTAAATTGACAAAGATTTTGCTGTCTGTCAACTTCAAACTCACGACCTTTGGCGCATTATCTGGCACAGTTGGGTTTACCTGGATAGAATTTGGACAGTAAAAGTTAAAAGAATGTTAACTTATCCTTCTCGCTTAAACCATTTTGCCTCATCCACTCTTTCCTTATAAACGACGATATATTTATCACTCCTATAAGGATAGTACACATTAAGCAGATTTTCTGGTAGAATATATATCAAGTCGACCTACACGCGGTTCTCAAAATTCACTGCAACCAGTGAATTTATTATATTGGTAGCGCATATTACCGTATTGGGTGTTTTCTAATACAATTTGCCACATACAAACAGATAAATGCACAGAGTTCTCCTGTTTGTAATCTGTATGAATAGTTAATTAACAGAATACAATTATGTTTTCCAGTGGTCAAGTAGAAAAGCGGTATAAAGATGGATCATCAGAGATACGCCTACCAAATGGTAGTATACGCTACTTTGATCCTAAGAACGAGCATGTGAGAGAAGAATGGCGGTTCCCAGATGGTACAGCGATGACTATAGCGGCCAATGACGAACGACGCATAGTATTCAGCAGTGGTCAGGTCGAAGTTCACGCTAAAGATCATAAGGTAAATAATTTATACCTTTTCATACAAAAAGTAAAGCGACACATGGTTTGAATTATTAGAATTTTAGAGTTAAATTGACCAATTAACGTGAATACTACTATAATTTATTTCACGGTAGCTTACCATAAAAAAAAAAAAAACTATATAACTAAACCATTGTCTTCACCTATTCTTATCTTAATCAATTGGAAACAGGATATTTTATTCCTTCATTCCTCATATAACTAGGCAAATGAAATTCAATATAGTACCCTATCTTAACCTAATATGATTTAAATACACTAAATAGTTTATTTGCTCTGTTTTTAATATATATTACTCTAGAATCCCTGTATTTCTTGCAGAAAGAATTTCCATTCTATAGTTTTAGAACAAATTCTACACTTTGTCCCTGCTTTTATTGTGAATGTAACAATGTATATGCATATTTCATAATATTTTCATAATATATCCATTGTGTATGTAAGCCTTTACTGACCAAGACTAGTTTTGTATATTTATACCTTTTTGTCTATTGATACATTTTAAAATTTTCAGCGACGCGAATTTCCAGATGGCACAGTGAAACTTGTATATAATGACGGCACCTCAGAAACTCGATATACATCAGGGCGTGTAAGGATTAAGGACAAACATGGTAACCTTATTATGGATTCAGCACCTGGCTGACCATAATAATCTTTTATTGTAATAAATTCATTATGTGATGTAATGTGCCTTATTCACTGTTACAAATTGCATATAAAATTGTTATATAAAATGATATTAGTATGAAATATCTTTAATAAAAAATATTGTTACTGTAATTGATATTTGTTAAATTTTTGATCAATTTTGTCATAATTTAATTATTTATAGTAATTTTAAATAAGTTTTAATAATAAAATTTAATTTTATTTGATAAGGACAGTTATAATTAATAATAATATATTTATAATGTATTATTTGTTTTATTATTAAAAAGGAAATATCTATGCACATAACTACATATTACATTACTATAATATCTTAAACTACTTCAGTTTTAACTGGCCGATATTTGATGGTGACTTTGCCTTTTTGGCTTAGGCATTCCATCTATCTTGAAATTAATTGGTTTCATATGATCTTCAGTACCAAATAGTTTTTTCAGGGCCTCTCTTGCTGCCATTTCCTTTGCAATTGCTATAGATTCCCCGAATCCTAAAAAGAATTATCTTTTTAAGTTGGGTGTTTTATTCTAATGGCAAATAACCTCTATTCATACATGGCAATAGTATTGAATTACATTGCATATTTTTTTAATGAATATCATGAAATATGAAAGAAAAGACAAGAAGACTATTTCGGATGAAAAGTAGATGTGATTTAGTTATTTTTGGATAGATTTGGATTTCTCAAGGAAAAAGAGAGCTTCTAGTAATAATAATTACCAGTAGAGATCATTCTCTTCTCAATGTATAAGCCCACTCTGTAACAAGCTAGTAGCGTGCCTTTGCCAGCCTCTCCGATTAACCTAGGTTCCACTGTGGTTTGATTTTTCTCCAACAATCCAGTTAACATAGCCCATGGATCCTCTATGTGCCAATACTCATTTACATCCTTCCCTGAAAAAAAAAATACTTATTAGGCATATATTTAAACACCTGTCCTATATACCATTAACAAATCCTGATGATGTTTGATATATCACCTAAAGGTATAGATATTTTGAAGGTATCTTGAAATCTCATCAATTTGAAGGGTTAACAGACACTGAGGAAAGTTAAAATTTCAATTTGATATCACAGCATAGCTTTTATTCTATGGAACAATATTAACTAAATTTCTAATAAATTATTATAATTTATGATGATGATTCATTAAAGAGTAATTTCGCAAATTTACCAAATTATAATATTAGGTTAAAAGATTAGAAATATGACGCCTAAGAATCAACTGTAGTGTAAGCAGTCAGCTGCCTATTGATAGATACGAGGGGAGGTCAAAAAGTTCGCGGAATGAGGGGGAAGAGGGTTGAAATTAAACATGAAACTATTTTTCCCTTTCAATAAATTCTCCCTTTTCTCAATAAATTCTCCATTTTTCGTATCTCTCAAATAATTTGTTTATACCATTGGAAAAAAAGTTTTATCTTTGCTTTCAAAATAGGCCTAAGTTGCAGACTTGACTTCATCGTCGCCAATTTCTTACCACGCTTTCTTTCAATAGTTACTGGGGCCAAGTCTGGACTGTAAGGTGGGTAGTCTAATTTTTTAAAACCCGCATCGGTGAATGGCAGCCATCGCGACATGGCACTTGTGGACAAGAGCGTCATCGTGCAAAAGGCGCACACCTTTTGACAGCTTTCTTCTTTTTTTTTTCTTGTTAACTTCTTTCAATCTGTCCAGTCTTTACTGGTATGAAGCATAGTATTGTTCCATTATAGTCACACCACGGTCTTTATAATCGATCAGCAAAATACCTTTTGTATCCCAAAATATAATCGCCACGACGTTTCCGGCCGATTGTGACACTTTAAACTTCTTCGGAAGAGATGTGCCTTTTTATGCCACTGCATCGACTCTTGCTTCGACTTAGATTTATAGCGGTGAACCCAGGTTTCATCTCCACTAACAATCCCGGCCATAACTTCTTCCCTTCTCGCTGCACAAAACTCCAAAAACCGGCGAGACCACTCGACACGCTCACTTTTTTGAAGTGACGTAAGCATTATTGGAACCCATCTTGCACTGATCTTCGTCATATCAAGATGGTGATCTAGAATATTTAAAATACTTGTTTCGGATACTCCAATTATTGCTGCATGCTGCTTTTTCTTCAGTTGGATATCTTCTAATACAAGTTTTTCTACTATTGCGACGATTTCCGGTGTGAAGACCTCAATTAGCCATCTGGAGCGGAGGTCATTATAGACTCTCTTCCTTGTAAAGACCATGCCTCTTGTAAACCATGGTTTTAGCAGGGACAGAATTCACGTAAACTGCTAACAGCTCTTGAAACATCGTCTGAGAGGATTTTCCTTGCTTGGCGAGGAACTTAATAACGGCGCGGTGTTCAATTTTCTCCGTACTCGCTCATTTCTTTCAGATTCACTTGTTTGCAGGTCGATAACTCAAAAGTTTAATGACCCGATGTTCAAACTTGGTATATATATGTACTCTTAATGAGGTGCTTAACAAGTGACTATCTGGACGAGTAAATCAACCCCCACAAACTCCTCCATTCCGCGAACTTTTTGACCTCCTCACGTATGGTTAATTATTACGTGCATATTTGCTGTTATTATTTCAATACATGTATAATTAATGTATGTAAAATATAAAAAAAAAATATTAACCTTGCAATTGAGTAATAACAAAATCACGCACAAAATGAGCAGTCCTTTCATCACCTGAAGAATTCAATAATGCTCCCACAATAGCTTTGAATGTATTTGCTAAAGTAAAATTGTCCACTGGGTACTCCTGAAATATTATAAAATTATTTTAATACTAGTTTTTGCCTGCAATTTTGTATGTCCAGATTTCGGAAATAAATAACCACTTTTAGATGGTGTATAAAACATACATCAGATTTTATGCTTGACCTTCAGGAAAACAACTGTGAAAACCATACCCAATTTGGAACTGTAATTTATATGATACAAAAATAGAAACAAAAATTTAAAAAATGGTTGCATTGGCTTATACTCCTCCTTATAAAGATCCTTATATAAATATTTAAATATCTTGAGAAATACATTGGTATACAGACGTCATCATCTGTAAAATCGAGCATGATGTATGGCTATAGTTTGTTTATTTTTGTATAAAAAAATATTATATAAAACATTGACAATCTATCAAACCACACTGTTGTATTTGTAGTATATTAAGAATAATTAAATTAGTAAAAAAAATTCAAGCAATTTATACCGCAGCTAGGATTATGTCCTTAGTGCCAATGTGCAATGACACATGAGCCAGCAAGTCTTCAGAGGTGAGATATCTTCTGATTCCTACTATACCCTCTAGTGGGAACTTTGGTAAAACTGTTTCTAGGTACACTTGGATATATTCATTAAGGAATTTTTCACCTGTAATATATTTTCAATACATTAGGTTCAGATAATATAGTATAATAAAAAAAATTCATGTTCCTTATAAATTTCTACAAAAGTCTGTTACATTTAAATTAACAAAAACAGTACCATTTAGGTATTTTTTAAAGTTTTTTTAAAGGGTAATAATGGAATGGTAACCCCGCCTGCACTATCGGTATATGCTGGCAGAGCACCAGTAAGGGATAAGTGATGATGAAAGTAGGTCAAATAGCCCTTCGTGAGCAATTCCGCTAGAATGAACTAAGATGGTTTCCAGGGGGAACCGTGTAGAGGTCGACCTGATATGGGTGTATTGCTGGCAATGGGCCAGTTAGACCCCATTATTAACAATCCCTTTCCCTTTTTTTTAAAGTTTGGTATAAGAGAATGGTAGCTACATATACAGTTTTTGTACCATTAAGGGAAATAGTTAAGTAATATTTACTACTCAGTTTTCATAAATATCAATTGAATGTATCAGAAAAAAATTATTACTTAAGGTAATTATGGCGTTTATATTTGTGGTATACATAATAATACCCACCAAAGTAGATGCTCTCGAGGAACCTCATTTGATGACTGCATAAAAAGGGGGGTTATTTATTTACATTTAAACATTTTGAGAATTTTTTTTCTATGTTATGAAACATAGAAAAAAATTCTCAAAATGTTTCTAAGTCCTAACTTCTTTGTAAAAAAAGATTCTTTTTATATTTTTTTTTGTTGGTTTTCTAAAGTGCTCCCCATCCATACACCGCAACTCCAACAACCATCCCTAATACTATAACAGTATCCACTAATACACCAAACACAATATTTTGTAAGAAACTCTTTCTAGGGATTATGAACAAGTAACAGGGTTTAATAGCTCCATTACTAGCAATATACCCTATTATTATTATTTTTTTATACTACTTAGAATGGCAAACCAGCTGACGGCCCACCTGATGAAAAGTGGTAACCGTCACCTATAGACAAGCAATACCATGGACATAACAGAGTATACTGTTTCGCCCATGGTACCCCTATGGTTGCCATTCCTAAGGACTCAGGTGTTATTCCTCTGTACACTGTAAATTCACACCATATCCCACCCTTCAAACCGAAACACAGCCATGCAGACACAACTGCTATAGGTTCAAACACAAATGGGACAGAGGTATCCAAGCAATCAATTTTTGTACAAAGTCTCCCTCTGGTTATCAGGTTAACCTCCACATAGTTTCCTCTGGAAACAATCATAGTTAATTCTTGATTTCAATATGATCACCTAATTGACCTATTTTTTACTTATCATCACTCACTGACTAATGAGTATCCCTCATCAGCATATACCAATAACATTAGGGGAGGCTACCATAAAAAGTTTCTTTTTCTAGTAAGTGTATGATAAATTGTTTAAAAATAATACTGACCCTGTTCTGCTAATTCTCGATTATCCTTCATTTTTATTTCAATTTCCATTTCTTTCTGCTTCATTTCCTCCTTTATAACATATGACCTATCAGTGAAAGCTTGTAACAATAAATTTGAATCAAAATCTTCATTCAGACGTTTCCCAAATGCATATAATTCTGCTTCTAAGTTCCATTCCAGAAATGTGTTGCGTGGGTTTGTTTTCTTTCCTCCAAGTTTATTTTCACGTCTTTTAAACTCCATCAGGGTAGGTGCTACCCATCGGTGAATGTTTTTAACTAAAATTATCAAAATTGTTATTTTAATAATTTATTTGCTAAAAAAACACAGTATACAGATGCTAGTAATATGTTATGAATTAGTTTATGTAGATAGAGTATAAAGTCTCAAAAACAGGGCAACTTTTTGTCAGCTAATAACTATTTATCAGGCAAAATTGTATGAAAAATTTGACCCATTTTTCTCGAAACATTTCTATGGAGACACTATCTATATAATCTAAGGTTATAAACATGCATATTTTGCCAAAACAATGGCATGCAAAATTTAGGTAAATAATGTCAGTAAACAATTGACATTAGTTAATGATAATAATTATAAAATAAAATAATAAATATAATTGAGTACTCTGCGCCAGTTACTATTTGAGAAATTCTTTAACATTATAAAACTCTTCTTTGCTTAACAAGTCACATAATTTTTTATTTATATTTTTATAATTTTTTTTTCAACGTTTTTGGAATTTTATTACGAATTTTAATGCAAATACTTTGACAGTTTTTATATACTGCGTCAATACAGTTGCTTGTAGAATCCTAGATCCTAGAAATAATAGAAATCCTGAATAGTGCAATCAGGAGTTCTATTATTTCTAGGATATACGTCACAGGCTTTATACATTTAACATTTAGAAAAAATGTAGTTATATTTTACTTTAAACCAAAAATTAAATTATTACCTGGTGTTGAAGTAGGAACATTTTTTAATGATTTTATATATAGAGGGACAAATCTTCTAAACAGAGACATTGGTTTGTATTTTTCAATTGCAATATTACAGTTAATACAGAAATGTTACGAACTAATCATATTTTCATTATGAATATAACTTAAGACTGAATTACTAACAAAATCAAATTTAAAAATAAATGAAGAAAATATTTAAGGTTAGAATTTTCTTTTTAATATCCACAGATTACGGAAACTATGCCTAAAGTTTAATATCTTTGTGGCTTTGGATACTTACTTTAAGGTTATCTTTAATTTTATATACTTTTTTTAAGATCTTTTTATGGCTTCAGATGTTTCCTTTTAAATTATCTTTAATATCTATTACTCTTATTGTAGTGATAAAAATTGAAGTTGGTTTTTAATCTTTACACACATCTTATTACATTAATAGAGAACAACTTATTTGAACTATAGTTGTGTTTTACAAAAATTTCATATCATCATTTCACATCATCATCATTTCATATAACAAGTACATCAGACCAGAGACTATGTTATACTTTACACTATTGTGTATTTTTATCCGGCTCTAAGGACTACAAGGACTAGAAGAGCTTGGACATTTAATAAAAGATTGATAATAATTTACATTTTTAATACAACATAAAGAAATAAAAAATACGTGCCACATAAAAAACAGAACAAAAAAAATAAAGGGTTTTTTATTGTTACATTTTAACTTTTACGATTTGTAAGGAACCCTCGCACGGAGCTTAAAAAGCTGCGCTTCCTTTTGTTATTAATTGGAAATATGCTGTGATTAGTGTAGAAAGAGGCTGAAGTATCGTATATAGATGAATTTATTTCTATTGCCTGAAACAGATAATACTGGTATTCAGAATAGATGGTTCTAACACGGTTCTAGCTTAAATGTAAGAGTAGGTAAATCTTTCTAATATCTACACAGTTTGATATTAAGTTTACAGTTTTAGAGATGATATACTTTACAAATAGCCACATAATCTATCTTCGAACTTTATAACCATACTGTCTATAAATTTTTATCATCATCCAGAGCTATTTAATATTAGGCCTACCTTATATATTAAAAAATATGCAAAATTTGTTGAATCAATTCTAGATTATTAATAATATTTATTAGAGAGTAATAAATTTATACAATGTGTCACATCACAAAACAAAAGTAATAGAAAAGTACCTACCTAGCTATTATATATAGCCAGTGGGAGATGTGTGGATGAAACAGGTCAGTTACTTTAAGACAAATTCATGAAGAGAGTGACTGTGAGAGAAGAAAGGAACTGTGCTCGCACACCATTGGTAGCGATATACCTTGTCAGGTACGACCCCCCTCCCGCGGTCACACATCGTGCTGAATTCCAAGTTTATTCATCACTGTGGGCTAATTTACATGCCTTTTTATTGTCACTTCACTGGTATCACGCCACCATATACCGTTAGTGCGGTACCATTCTATAAACATTCATACAGTGGCTAATAATCCTCTCTAACAGTCTGTCCTCCCCCCGCCGCCCACAAATATATTACAAATATATTATTTGATTTTAGGTTAAGTATTGTTACGTTACGTTATGTTACGTTAAATAGTCACAGCAGTGGAAAGTGTAAAATGTAATCATCGAAGTACGAAATATCCAGAACACTTACAGCAAACGATGTGCTAATATGATACGAATCAATGGCACTACTAAGGCTAGAAGCCCTAGGTACTGGTGGACAAATAATTTCCGCTTCAGATGCTTTGTTCGTCCGTAGAACAAGGCAAGACATCAGTCTCCTTAGTAATGTCTTTTTCTGTTTTGTATCACCTTCTATTCCATTTTTTACAGATTTTTGTTCTAAATATTGCTCAGCGACATCTGAATATAGTGAGCAGGCAGATGTTCCTAGATTAGGCGTAGGAGATTTCCTGTGTCCTGAAATTTTTTCTACATTCAAATATTCTAAAATAAAATGAAAATAACAATACAACTGAAACTTGGAAAATAAATGCTCTGGAGGATATTTTACTCAGAAAGGATTTCCAAATATTGGGGTCGGAGCTTATTTCTAAAATTAAAATTTCTATTTGTAATCACAACGAATTCTTTGTTTTAAGGACCAATTTGAAATAAGTTTATAGAAAATGCACCTCAGAATCGAGTCCATTATATAGTAGCTCTTACAGGAAACTTTGTCCGCATGACCGGGAAATGTCAATTGACTGGGTCAATTAGAAAGCACATATAAAGATATGTGCTAGATGGTATGGAGGTCACTCCATATAGTACGTGTAGGTATATCTATTAAATTTCATAATGCAATCATTATCGAGCCGTTAAGGTGTCAAGACTTAATTAACAAATAAACAAACAAATATTTTCACCCTTACCTAATATTAGTAAGAAAGTAAGTACAATATAAGTTTTTAATATTTATAATTATAGTTAATTATTGTAAACACTAATATAACCTTTTGTTTATTATTAAGTATTTAAATCCTTAATACATATCATAAAAAGAATAGTACAACTAGCTAACCCGGTAAATGTTGTTTTGCTCTTTACTGAGTCCATTTTATTTTATTGGGATAAAACTATGCTACTCTTAAATACAAATTTACAAAATTCCATTGAATGGTTTCGGGAATTAGTGTAAACGAACGGACATCGTTATACTAAAATTTTATGCCTTAAGGTGTAATGTGAGTATTTCGTAGATACCTAACTGAATGTGGAAAATAATATATCGTAAATTACCTTGGAATATTGTAAGCAAAGAACGAGACTTCCTTTCAGAAAGTGATACGGGTGTAGACCTAACAGTAATATTACTAGAAGAACATGCAACTTCCTTCACGTACGCCATGCTTGCATACCGTATTTCCACACTAGAAAGAACATGCTTCGTCGAAGCATTTTCAGAAATGTCAGTTGCCTTAGTTTCTTTTGAAAATAAAACTAATGTATTCTTATTTTCATCTTTTGTCTTTAAAATGTTTCTACTTTTAACATTATCTATAAGCATTTTTCTTTCGTTACCTACACTCTTTGCTTTTCTTCTTAAATTTTCGGTTCTTGCTTTAATATTTTCTTTTTTTGATGATTCGATTTTAGTTACCTTTTTATTATTTACATGTTTCGTTTGTGTTTCTTTGGCATTAAGTAATCCATTTTTATGCTTGAATTTTTTTCTTACATCCCCAACTGATACAAAACTAAATTTACAAATGCATTGCTTACGATGACTTATCTTTTTAGATATTGTATGCTCTATTGTCTTTTTTACTTTATCATATTGTTTCCGCGAAAGTGTAATAGGTTTCTTTTTCGTAAATTGTTCTACTTGCAGGAAGACTTGTATGTTGCGATTTAGAATCATCTGCTGATAAATAGAAGGCTGTTCTATGATCGACTTCTTGATTCGAATAGGTATTTTTACTAAGTCTTTCTTATTTTCTGTATATGGTCCATTTGGTTTAATCTTATTCGTTGGATTTGTTTCATTACTTTCGTTAGATTCAACATTAATGTTCGGGTTTCCTTGTTCTGTTTGTTTTTTATAGTTTGTCTTTTGTTTTTCTTGCATATGTTCTATTTCATTTAAATATTTCTGATCACAGCATGCACATGAAGTTACATCGACTAAGCTAAGTCCCGTCAGTAAACTTTTTTCGCTAAAATATTTCAATATTATTTAGCATTTTAATATAAATAGTTTGCAGTTGTCATTAAATAAATATCTATTTATGAGTGAAATGCAAAACTATTAATGAATAGTAACACGTATATGGTACGAATATCTACAATACACACAGTGCAAATTTTACATATTTTCTTAACATTTGATATTTAACCTTTGGTAAACAGATACCTACTATTAGATTACTTATTTTAGAAAAAAAGCAACAACTGCAAATCTACAAACAATTCAGAATATCGTCTTAGAAATTTAAGTGTTATTGTATTTATGGTATAATAACTAATATATCCACTTAGCAATATAAAAAAAAATAATGTAAACTATAAACCATTGTCTTCGATAGAAAATTTGGAATGGAACTTCCACACCACTTGGCGGTGCCTAAAATAAACAAAAAATAAAATATAAAAAAAAAATGTATTTAAAATACGAACAAAAGTTCTAATTCACCAAAAAAAAATTTCTTTGATCACGATGGTAATGTTTTGTCTTCAATAATATTTTTTTGTTTGTAATGTACTCTTAATCAGATAATTTTACAGCAAGGAAATAAAACAAATAGGTAGGTTATAAATAAAAAAATAAATATGATGTTGATACAAACCGGAGGCGATACGGATTGTGTATATTTGTCTATACCAAGGAGTTTCCTAATCTCCTTATCTCTTTTTATAGGGTCGGAGATACAACAATTATCTCCTTTGTAATGTTTAGTAGATGCTGAAATAAAACATTACAATTTGACTATTTGTTCTATAAATAATATTTATAAGTAATTAGATTTTGACCACAACTTCGCTCGTGTGACTGGTGTATATTGACTTGCCGGGATAAATATTACTGGGAAAAATTTAGGCGTCAAGAAGTATCAAGCAAACAAACTCTCTTTCACATTTATAACATTTGATATTAAATTTTAATACTGTAAAAAGTATTCACCGAATCGCTCCTTAGTATTATTTTTTCGGTGGCGAGTCATAGGAGATTTAAGGCCTTGGCTGGTCCGATCCTCACGTCTGAAATTATAATTAAAAAATATGTATATCTTCACATGTTAATCCCAGATCTTTTACGGGATCAGCAGAGAACAATGCTGATTTTTTAATGGGTGAAAATGAAATGGCGGGGCACCAGTGATAGATAATTGGTGAGGATAAAGGCAGGTCAGTTGGCCCATCGTGAAGAATTCAACAAAAATTAACCACGATGGTTCCCAAGAGGCACCGCGTGGAGGTCGACCTGATAGGGTATATTGCTAGCAATGGGGTTATTAGAACCCATTACAAACAATCCCTTTCCCCCCACAATGCTGATTTGCACAAGGGCAAACATCGTGATGTAAATTAACATAAATAATATAAAAATTAATTATTAATCAATAATTTTTGTGCTTATTTATAGTACAGGAATTAATGAATATACTTATTTGCTATTTTTTCGAATACGTAGTAATGTGCAATTAGTAATACAATTTTCGCAATGTTATAGATTATATCAATATAAAATAATTACTACCTACATACGCATTAAAAGTAATTGGATATTCTATATTTTATACAAGTACAACATGATAACACCTTTGTAATATTCATATCGTTTCTTCCATAATAAGTACTTTAATTAATAAACATAAAAAAGAAGGAGGTCATTACAATTTGACGGTGTTTTTTAGATACGCAAGTCTTTAATAATTTTTAAAGCCATTATAATTATTTATTTTTCGTAAAAAAGGTATAAGTGAAATGAAAACATTCTCCTAAGTAGGTAAGATAATATTACAACACAGGAAGTTTATCATGACCATTATAAAGTATTGTTCTGTGACCATCATGTTGCTGTTTATCTCTTAAACTTTGGCCATTAATTTCCATCAGCTGTCGTTTTAAATTATTCGGCTCTACTAATGCCTTATCATAAAGTAACCAACAATTATATACAAGGACCATATGCCAAATAAAAAAATTAGATAGCTGCAAATCCTATTTTCGTTATTAGAAATTACTTACATTGACAAGCATTTATGCATACGAAATAGCTACATTCCTAAAGAGGAATGCGCATTAACTATGGCCGAGGAAAGTTATTTTGAGTGATATTTTAGATAATTATGGAAATCCAAAATAAACACCGTCTAAGTATATTTAATTCGAAATATAATTTCTTCAAATATTTATCTGTAGTCAGGACATATTTTTTATTTATTTTGACATTATAACTAAGAATACTACAACCACACTGTCCATGAACACTGTACATGACCACTTTATCTACAGAATGTCGTAAGATAATAAAAGAATTAAATACACCATACCAAGAAAGGGAAAACTAAAAATAAAATCCTTATCCTTTTCCTTATGCCTATATTCTTGTTCTTTAGTCTTTACTAAACCATCTGAGACCCGAGTACAGCAATGGGTTAATAATTATTTATTATGGTGTGTTAGTTACTACATATGATTAAATAGTATTTTTAATGATTAAAATTGGAATAGTAGCAACGCCTGTGCTATCAGTATACGCTGGCGGGCCATAAATGAGAGATGATAGGCGAGGATGAAATCAGGTTAGTTAGCCCATTGTGACGAATTCCACAAGAATTAACAACAATGGTTTCCAGGAGGAATTGCGTGGAGGTCGACCTGATTGATAGAAATGGACTGTTAAACCCCATTACTAACAACCCCTTTACCCCTTAACTAAATAGTTGTACCTGTGACAAATTTCCAAACTGTCTCTTATGTTTAAAACAGATGTAGTTTTGTCCAACGTTGGAATGTCATCTACCTGTCGAAAAAAATAATCCTTATTACTGGTATTAACATAATAAAACATGGTAAAATTAATACTAAATATTACATATTTAGTATTAAACTATTGGCTACTTAGTTTTTCGTTGTACTTACTTTCATTTTATAAGAATTGTATTATTTAGTTGACATTTTAATTTACTATAAAGATACTTAAAATTTATTCAGAAACATTAAAAATGGCTAAATTGCTTTTAAAAATGTGTAAGTAAGGTTAGATATAACCTGACTTCTATATGAATGCACTTAATTGTGTTTACTTACGTCATCTCCATATAAAGTTCGAGAAAGTGATCTTTTCCTGGGTTCTTTTTCGCTTTGCGTTAAAAATAAATTCTCCATAGAATTCAAAAGTACATCATTGTCGTAGCTTTGTGTACCTACTCCTTTTAATGTTTTCTTTACTCGCAAGTCGGTAGTGAAAGTTCCTTGTTGAAATAATACATCGTAATACTCATTTTCTGCATCTATATTCACGGCTACTCTTGATTCATTATTATTTAAATTGTCATTCCTTGTTTTCTTTTCATTAGCTTTAATTATCTGTCTCGTATATGACTCTATTAATGCTTTTTTAGTTAATATATGTTCTGTATTAGTCTCTTTTGTTTTCGTCGAATTTAATCGTAATATTTTTTTACTATTTCCGATTTTATTTCTAAATTTGTCTATTGTATTGATTTGTGTCATTTTAGAAGGAGTTGTTGTTTTATTTAATCTTCCTTGCCGTTTAACTCTATTGGTTTTGCTATTCGCATTTTCATCAAATTCTTGGCGTTTTACATTCATAAAACCCAGTTTTGTTTCAAAAGTTTTATTTTCTTTTCTTTGCAACCTAGAGTTCGCAGGCGGCGAAGGCGTTCTACTTCGGCCGACAATACTGTTTATTTTTTTACTTTCAAGTTTTGGACTTCGAACGAACCAACTTTGTTTAGTACTTTCATTATTCATAATCACTGTTTGTGGTGAAGACTTTACATTATTTCCGTTCAACGGATTTTTTATAATCAGGACATTATCAGGCGATTCTTGATTAGGATAAACTGATATTATAACAACAGGACTTTGACATTTCTTAAGATTATTATCAAATTCATTATTACCATCAACTAAATTAGATTCAGCATTAGTACTTTTGCATTGGATTTTTTTATCCATTGTATTTATTTTTGAATTATTCGTATCTATATTTAACAGACCTTTATCAAAATTTACTTGAGTACCATAGGACTGTTTACTGAAATATTTAAGTACAATTACCTATGTATTATAAGTAATTATAAGTGTACTTACAGCAAACTATAATTAGAATTTAAACATTCTAGATAGGTAAGATATTGAGATAAGAAAAAAAAACTTTTAATTTTTTTTTACTATTGTAATGAAATTGTAACTAGACTATGAATGTACATGCAATATTTAGGAAAAAATAATATGAGGGATATTAATAACACTAATAGATGTTAAAACAATATTTTTAGAATTTTTGTCTGTTTGTCTGTCTGTCTGTATATTTATTCCGGCATCACACGAAAACTGCTGCACTTAATTAGATGCCGTTTTGACAGTTATATTTCTGAAGATCTAACTTAAAATCTGGTGTATGTTTCAACTTGATACACCGTCTAGAAGTGACCTATTTAATATGTTTATCTACTTTTGAAATCTACGCATACAAAAAAATGTAGCGGACAAAAAGCTAATGACAATATATAGACAGAAAAATGCAAGTAAAGTGAAATGATTATATAAACTTTACCTTGGTGAAGTATTTCTTTTAACTGGTACATTATATCCATCATATGTCTGCATATCAGTCTTAATATTAAAATCCCGTTGGTTTCTAAAATAAAATTTTCGATTAGGTACTTACACGTCAAAAATATAGTTTTATAAAATATCCCCTTAACTATTTTTCTCGCTTTATAATCGTTACTTTAACGTTATCTCAATAATCCATTCACTTCCCACTACTGGATACGGGCCTCTGTCCATAAAAAAAGATATAGTTTACTATGCCACGCTGGCCAGGCAACCACCGTATTTTTTTTCTCTATTACAAATGTGTTGTGCTTTATTCTATTAATGGCCTTTTTTTTAAGCGATAAAAATGAATAAATTATTTGTATAATGTTTTTGCATAAATAAATTCACTGGATCGATTCCCAATTGAATCAATTTAGGAAACGAAATTTTCAAAATTAATTCAGCTTGGCATGTAAGTACTACATAATGTTGTACACTATAGTAGCTGTAGTGGCATTACTCAATTACATCTCTAAAGTATTTACCTACTTACTTAAACCAATTACGAGTACTTACTGTGTATTAGTTTGTTGGATAGGTAAATAAGTGGGTGATGCACTGTATTTTGTTGCATAATAGTTTGTTGCAACTGGAAAAATAAGCAAAGTTGTCAAAACTGTATAGATTATTATATATATATATTCTCTAAATATATTTACAATTGCTTACCTGGTCGATCATTGACTGTGGCTGCGCACCTAAGTACATATCTATCATCATCAGCTAGCCCCAGTCGACCAGTAATTCTGATATGACTCTTTTGAGGACTAACATCAACCGTGTCACCTTTAACGAAATTCGAACACTCACAGCTGCGAAACAATTTGTCTTCTTTTTTAATATTATTCCGAGATATTTCTAATTTGTTAGTTACCGTTTCTTTAATTTTTCTTTTACCTTTTTTCATTTTTTTATCCATATTCAAAGAGCATAAAACTTGATTAAGATAGTTTATTTGTTCTAAAGATACGTTATTATTTGAATTATCATTTGAATTATCTGTGAAATTATTGTTAAAGTAACTTGCACTCCCTGTGATTTTGATTTCGTAAACTTTTTCTCTGTTTCTACCAGCGACGACTAAATAAACATTTCGTGTTTGTACAGAACTTTCTTGATTAGATAACGTCGCGTGAATCTTTTTTGTACTATCCCTTTGTCTTTTAAAAACATTTAGACTCTGTATTTGTGCAGTTCTCGGTGTTACTGATACTTTTATAAGTGGTCTTTCTTTGGCAATTTTTGTTTGTTGAAAGTTTTTCAGTATGATAAAATTGTAAGGCCCCAACTGGCTTGTGTGATTGAGGACTGCGTAATGTTTAAATATCTGAAAAACAGAAAATACACAGTATGAAATAAAATATTAGTGTTCTTTCACATGACGAGCGGCGGAGCGTCAAATTTGTTTATCGTTTGTCGATTAAACGGACTCCTATTTAAATTTAATCCTGTATATTGTATATGAAATAAGATTTTAATATTCATTATGCCCAAAAAATGAAAAAATACGTATTATTCATATTACCTTACCTCTCTTTCAGAAGTTTTCTTTAAAATCAGAGACCTAGACGTCTTATTATTAGTATTATTCAGTTGCAAAAATTCTGTTTCTTGTGATGTCTTTACAACATTAAACGAACCAATAGTATTTATTTGCTGTTGAATATTCTCGTTTAGGACTAAATTCCTACATGGCCTTTTCGCTGGCGGTTTTAAGAAATCCAGCGATTCTAAATAAAAACAGAATAAAAATAAAATACGATAGGATACAAAAAAAAAAAACAAGATATATAAAATAAATCAAAATAATTTATAACTGACCTATTATTTCAGAATAGACACCGCTGTAATCCATTTCAATAATTTTGAAAATACAATATTTATTTAAAATATCACGATAAAAACGTTTTATTAAAATAATTATTTTAAGACATTATTCTGACATTTATTTGACTTTTACGCCACTTTAAATGTGTATTATGTAGGATAATTAAAAAATAAGCACTAACAATAAAAAAAATACAATAAAAAAATAACATCATTTAAATTTATTTACATCTAATGATGTGCCTAAAAATTTAGTTAATATCCATAACCAACATATTTAGGACTTTCTTAGAAAACCTACGGAAGAACAGATAAACATAAATAAGGATTTACGAATAAAAACTTTTTACAAAGTGACGTTTAGTAAAGTTTATAGAGTGTTTTTATATATTTCACTAAATTCTTGCAAAATACCATGGATTAAAAATAAATCTAAAATAAAAAACACATTTTGATGAAATTTGAAGTGTACAATGATTAAACAAAATACACATACAATAAAATAATGGCATTAGTTTTAGAAGATCGTCTAAGAACTGAAATGGTGATCCCAGTTTCTAAGGAGACATTCTTCAATACTAATTGGCAGCCGACTAAGCCACCGTTATGCGCCTACGATATGCTCTACCATCCACCAGACTACAATCCTAAGTCCGCTAGATCTGACCGTCAGGAACCGAAGATCATTAGAAGAAACATTTGGAACCAAGTACTAAAATAAATAGTCGTCAAATTTTGAAAATAGTAGTTATAATCATTCATGCGTTATTATAATTGTTATCAATTGACGTAAATTTAAACACGTATTGATGTTTTTAAAAAAAAATATGTGCAATGTAAAGAAACATTTGAAAAGGTATTGAAAAGAGAGATAGTCAGGTGTTTATGATAACAAACTGTGGACAAGTACAAGTATAGTGTTTTGTAATAATATAAATCAAATAATCCATATATCTATACCCACATAAAACCGTTTATTTTGACTGACTATTAATCATCATCATCATCATTTCAGCCATTATTCGTCCACTGCTGGACATAAGCTTCCCCCTTAGACTGCCATAAAGAACGGTCCTGAGCCACTTGCATTCACTGACTATTAATGCACATCTAAAATTGCAAAGTTTAGATAGCTGAAATTTGTAAAAATTATTTTTTAACATAGGAATTAGTGGATTCCTATGTTAGAAAGAATTTTTCAAAATTCTAATATAAAAGAGAAAAGGACATCACGCGGGAAAAGCCGCAGGTAACTGCTAGTAGGTGTATAAAATAATTCTAAAATAGAAATTCTTTATTTTAGTGATTCTTAGAGTCTAAAAAGTGCTACTGTAATACAGTAAATTTCATCAGATAATGCATTCATATTTGTCATTATTTGTTGTGTTTTACAACGAATAATAACATGTCTAAATATTCAATATGGTTAACTAATGTCATTATGTGAAAGTGAGTTTGTTTATTTATTTGTTTATCTTAACGGCTCTGCGTACCGATCATTATGACTCGTAACACGGATTATGATTCGTGAAAATAATTTCGAGATTTTATAATAGAGAATAGAGAAAGGATTCGAAACACTATCTCTATTTAGAGCTTATTTCGAAAGAACCGAGAACTGTCGTCCAGGTAGTAAATATAAAAATACTAACCCTCTACCACCACCTACCTTTTTTTCTTATCAGAATAAGAAAAAAACTATTATTTTACGTTACCTCTTAAATTGCAGCAAATAATATAGATTTTTCTAAGAGACTACAACACGGGGTTCTTCAAAATAGATATATAGAGGTTTCTTTAGAGTCGGCAACACTGCTATAAGATTTTTATATATTAATATAATGTACAAAATATTAGTTTCATATTTTCAGTAAAAATTCAGTTTCATTTAAACCTCATAGGAAACTAGGTAGGTAGGGGGAAAGGGATTGTTAGCAATAGAGTTTGATAGCCCCATTGTTAACAATTTTAGCCCTATTAGGTCGACCTCCACGTGGTTCCCCCTGGAAACCATCGTGAATAATTCTTATTGAATTCGTCACGATGGGCTAACTGACCTGCTTCATCCTCACCTATCATCCTTCACTGGTGCCCCGCCGGTGTATACCGATAGCGCGGTGGGGTTACCATTCCATTATTACTCATTAAAAACTAGGTAGGTATCTACGATAAGTTATTTTTCTAAATTTTTATAAGAGCACTTGTGTAAATGTTAACGTACCTACACTTAGTTTTGTGAACATTGCAAACAGAGAAATTTTATGTAAAAATGCAAATTAACATTTTCATTGATAGTAAATTAGAGAATTTTCTATCTAAAAGACGACTGTTTACTGTATCTGTTCGACTTTTGTCATATAAAATATGCCACTCGAAATTATTATTGGTGAGTTGTGTTACTGTGGGAGTGAAATTTTCAAGGATCTATTAAGGGTCTGACTTTCATTGCTTGGCTGATAGTAATTACCATAACTGCTATGGGAACCGATTAACATTAATAATGCTGTGTTTGTTTCCTTCATAGCCAACTCTTAATATAAGCATAGTTAAAATCTTAGGGCGCAGCAAAGGATTTTCAACGGGTTTTCAAAGTTTTGTTAGTTACAAAATTATCTTGTGTGTGATAGATATCACACTATTTAGTAGTTCTGTAATAAATCATTGAATTAAAACAGAAGTAACTACTTCTGTTCTAATTCAATGAAATAAACTTATTTCATCAAAAATTAAAACCTATAACTTTTATACTATTATTAACTTACAAGTAGGTAACGGTATTTGTAATGTTATCATTAAAGCGAAACTAAATTAGGTATATACTCGTATGTATGTATGTAAATTCTTTCGCGTGAAATAATTATATATAATTTGCATATATTAAGTGATAGGAATAACACAAAACATTTCTATATCATCTTATATAATTATATATAGATGGCCATGTGGTCCCGGTATAGAATAGGCCACGCCTTCCTATCCCGTAGGTGTTGTAAGTGCCGACTAAGGGAGAGCGAGGCATGGGCTGTAGCATCACTCTTAAAACATCTCTAAAGCCTGACTGCGGTTGCTAATCCACCTGCCAAGCGTGGCAACTACTGATGCCAACAGCTGATATGATGATGATAAATATGATATATAGATTATACTAGCAGTTATGTTACAAAAATTAAGAGGAGAAATCTCGAAAATAAAACCGTGTGCTAAACCGCCTAGTCAGGATTGTCATAGCAAGCTAATATCCTTTTTATTGGTGGATCGCTATGGTTTTTATTATATATTCTTATATTATTATTTAATCTTATATATTTTTATTTTTATTTATCTATATAGGCGAGAAAGAGTTTGTTAATACTGGGAACTAGCGACTTCTACTATGCTATGCTATCAATATACCCAGTTAGGTCGACCTCCACGCAGTCCCTCGGCAAACTATCGTGGTTAATTCTTGATAAATTCGTCAGCATGGGCTACCTTACCTGCCTTTATCCTTACCTATCATCCCACATTGATGCCTGGCCAGCATATATCGATAGAATAGGCAAGGTTATTCTATTATATAATAAATTAAGAATGAATAATGTGTATCCCATACAGACGAATTATGTTTACAAATGGATTGTGCTTTTTTTGTGAAATTCTCCATGGTACCTACAGTTTATTTTTATAGGCGACTGTTACCACTTTCCATCAGGTGGGCCGTCAACTTGTTTGCCATTCTGATTTGCATAAAAAAAAACAATTCACAAAAGAAGTATATATAGTGTATCTAATAAACTTATTATTTAAATCCAAACATACTGCATTCATTGATTAAGGTATTTCCAGTAAAAAAAGGAAAAACATATATTTTCTAGCATCCAATGGGTATTAAAAAATCAGGAAAATAGCTAAGTATTATTATAACAATTAAACAGCACTAGTGTAACATACGATTGAATATCTAATATGAGGAAGTATGTAAGTAGCACCAGTAATTGATAATGAATAGAGAGAGGGTAACATGGTATATCGAAGCGAAACTTTTATATATAAAATACATTCGGAATTATGGAAATATTACGTATATTATATATATATACAAATGCAGGCATTGTAGACAAAAATTAAAAATACATATTTTACCATAGGTAAGTGTTTTTTGTAGAAATTTGTGGAAGTCCATATTACTAGTTGATGGTTAGAATTTCAATTTTAGGCTTTGAACAGTTAACATTAGGCTTCAAGCAACTATTTATTAATTTGCTCGAAGATGCCTCGTTTATAGGTGAATGGACGGAATGGCGGTCAGAGATTGATGGCTAATACGGAAGGTTTTAGAATTTCTGGTAATAATAATGGTAGTCAAACTTCGAGTATTGGCAGTCGCACGCATACTAATGGCAGGGGAATTAAACAAAATAATTCTAATCAACATACCTGCAGTTAGATTAAGAATTACCTCCTTTTTGAAGTCGATTGTAAATAGATGGATCATAAATAAATGAAAAGTAAAATAGATGTATAGACCATATGATTTCAGCCAAAGGTACACTTTTAAATTTGTAACAAATCCAAATGAATAATAGGTTAATCGATTTTTTATTTTTACTAATGTTAGACATCAACTGCCTGTCTTATCGTCGGTTCAATTGTTCGTTTGTTTCTATTAAAATGAAATATGACCGTACGGTCTATTGTAACAAAAATAAGCAATAAGTATCTTTTTTTATTTATTTAAATTTATTTTAATTTTAAGGAATTACATAAAGGAATATCCTCGACAACTCACTTTCGCCTTGGAAGACCTAAACGGAAGCCCTTTGATTTGCCAACAAAGGAATTTGTACGGACACAAGGTAATTTATAAATATACATACTTGATACCAAAGAGACACTATACAAAAATCGTCTGCTTGAGTGAGTCAATGAAATAACAAGGTTCGTACCTTACTTCCGTAGGCATGACTCGTTATCCTCGAGAAAAACAAACGCATGAGGACATCAAAGTGTATTCTGTAATGGCAATGGTGCTATCTATGTCTATAGACGACTATTACCACTTCCCATCAAATGGGCTGTCAGCGTGTTTCCTATTCTATCTTAAAAAAAGCTAGTCAATTCATATTAATATATTATTTAATTAAAATACCTAGACATACATTAATAATAATAAAAAAAATCATCATCACCTCTGACAACCATAGACCTCTTCCTTGGAGGGTTGAGGGTGGCCAGTGGTTGCCATGTTTGGCAGACGTGTTGGCAACCCCAGGATTTTGATAATGTTTTAAGAAGGACGCTGCTGCTTATCCCTCAACTATTAAATTTCCTCAGTTGTCTCTTCCGACACCCACGAGAAAAGCTGTGACCCATTTTATTCAGGGATCACATAGCAAAAAAATATGCTTAAACTAATTAATACCTAATCAAAAACATTTCCACAGAACACTCGTCTATGTTTCGGTGAGCAATTTTTTTAAACAATGTCAATAGGTAAATGCCGATGTTACCGCAGTCTCTTGAGTAAACATCGGAAAATTAATAGATTTAAATTCACATATGAAGTCTTTGGTGTCACCCAATTAGAACGCAATTATTGGATATCCCCTTATGTAATAGCATAGTATAAGTAGTAATACTATAATAGTAATAGTATGTGTTTGTAACACTTATCATGTTAACTATTTGTTTAACTGCTGTTTTAATTGATATACATATTTAAGTCACTATATTACAATATAACAGCTATAACTATTGTTAGATATTAAATAATTATACATTATAATTATGTATGAAAAGATAAGGGCATGCACAAACGAACGACTTTTATACATAATTATGCACTTGCTACAGAATGCAAAGTTTTACATTTTGAGTTTTACATTACAAAGTTTAACTGGCATCAAAGTCGGTACTGAAAACAGATTAGCACAGTTTTTTTTCGAACGATCTTAGTAAGAACCATCTAGTAAGATGGACGAGCTTACCATCTAGTATTGAGATCGTTCGAACGTTCATTAACTTCATCATTGCATCGCCTATATATATCCTTATCCGCTATCTAATGTTGCCAGTTTGGGTATTTCTCGTAATTGTGGGTAAACGCACAATTATGGGGAATTGTAATTGATGGAGTAACTTTTGTAGAAAAATAAAATGGGTGTGTAGAAATGCGTGGTGACTTTGTTATTTTGTTGTTTTTTGTATAGTATTAATTATTATAAATTTCGTATAATAAAATAAGATGAATATAGTAACACGAGGTAAAGAAATCAATACAAAGAAAGCAATTTTTTGTAGTACTTGTGGTGCTTTTACGGTGAAACGTAGCGAAAATCGACACATGTTTATCATTATCATATCAGCCTTTACCTGTCCACTGCTGAAAAAGTCTCCCCCTTGGGGAGGGGGGGAGGTTAGCCAATAGTTGCCACTCTTAGCAGGCGGATTGGCAACCGCAGTTAGGCTTTGGAGATGTTTTAAGAAGGACACTGCTACCCATCCCTCGCCCTCCCTTAGTCGTCTCTTACAACACCCAGGGGAAAGGAAATGGCGGCCTATTCTATGCACACCTTACCATTACCACAGGGTAAATATTTTATATAAAAAAAAAACATTTTATATTATGATGATTTAAGCTTTTTTGTTTCCAGTTAAAAATGAAAACCCTCATATGCGCATATACAATGTTCTGGAATGGGCCGTACTTCTCAGTGATGGAAAACCAAGTTTGTGCGATTGAGGCTCACGCTTTATTCAAGAAGACTTCCATCAATCAAGAGCCATAATATGGAAAAATACGTTCCCAACATTTGTGTCAATATTTTACTTACATACAAAACATATTGTTAAAGTGAAATTATTTTCATATTAGCTATTATTCTAATACCATTTATTCTTCCAAATACAATATTTTATAACTTGACTGCATATGACTTCGTCTGCTTGATCAGCTTTCTTCATCCCATACTATATATATACACTATATACTACATACTACTATATACTACTATATTTGTACTACTACTATACTACGTGTAACTATATCAAATTAAATGATGATTTTATCATTTAAATGAAATTAGCAGTACCGTTAAGGTGTTATGGATAACAAACAAGCACACTTTTAAGGATTTAATAGCAATAGAAATAAGTAGTTAGGAGGTACCTATAATTAACAGGAATACGTTTCCTTTTTGATCTCAAAATAAATGAAGTTCATCACTATTACATGCACAAAAATAATCAAAACAATTGGTACTAAATCTTCTTCCAAAGAACTCTATGTAAAGCATAATGCGGTTTCACAGGAGGTTTAGTTCTCGCTTATCTTACTAATATAATAAAATTGTAACTAGACAATGTCTATACATGGGAAATATTTAAGAAACAATTATATAAGAAATCTTAATAGTAGCAATAGAAATCAATACAATATTTTTTAGGAATTTTGTGTTTGTTTATATCTCTATAGCACGATGCCCGCAAAAACTACTGCACCATTTCGAATGCGATATTCATTGTTGTGTTCTGGAGATGCATGTATAAGATATGCACCATACTTGATACTTTGTCTAGAATTGATTAATTTCATTGTTTTTCACTTTAAAAATCGTACACAGTAACAGCTAAAAAACTTGGAAATAATATAATTTCTAAAATGAGTTTCTTATGGGCAGTATGATTTTTAATAAGACACAAAGACGTATAATGTATATCGCGGAATTGTGTGTTAAGTAAATACAGTAGTTCTTAATCTATAGCTAGCATTATTTTGTTTCGTAAACCCTATTGATTGCAAAAAAATAGTAAACAATTGGCAAATATATCGCATAGACAAAAAGAAACAAATACAAAGTAAAAATACCTTCTCCTTTTCGAAAAACATTGTCTTATTTATTTATTTATTTATTTAAGGAACACCAACAGCATATTGCATTAAACATATGTATCACAACATTAAATACAATTATTATTTTTTAACCAAGTAATTATAGTAAGAAATTTTAAATAACAAAAATAAACATGTAATCTTTTGAGCAAAATCAGAAAATAAGATTATGAGTAAATTAAATTAAAAAAATATTAAAAAAATATATATTATGACAATTAGAGTTAATGTTCATAAGATTGTCTTATATTTTTTAACCAAGAAATAGGTTTGCAAATTTTTTACGTATGTGGAATAATTACTCAATGAGTCATCTAAATTGGATGTATAACAATTACAATGCCAAAGTATAACTATCATAACGTACAATTGAACTTGACTGATTTTTTTTTTGTTGCACTAATTACAATTCAGACTTGTATGTATGTAATTGATGCTTATCACAATATGTTAATTAAAACATAGGTACTAGTGAACGTCAGTACCACGAACGAGCGAATTGCAATCAGTTATATTTTGTTTATTTTGATTAACCTTAATAAAATATATCAGTTACATTAAATATAGTATCTATATTATGGTTTTATACTTTTAATTTTTTTCTATAAATGAAAACAATAGTGCGTCCTAAAGTGTATTAAAATGACTAATTTACGTTTATTTTTTCAAATTTTGCAAATATCTAACAAGGTAGGTACCGACATTATTATTTCTTATATGGATATATAAAATTTGAGACAATATACAGTTTAAGATTTTTATTCCTTAAAAGAATACTTGTAAGACTCATTTTTTTGGAAATTCCTTCTCATTTCGTGCTGCCCAACTGTGGAATAGGATACCTGCTAACATACAGGATAATTCCTCCATTAGTTCCTTCAAGAAAATATTGAAATCTCACCTTTTAACTAATAATGCATGATAATACTATACACTTACTACTATATGTGTTATACATATGTATATGTATATTTACTTGTTTACTTATTTATTTATTTATTAATAATTATAATTTGTGTATGATGTATATATATCTAACTGCCATTTTGTCAGCGATAGGATATTGAAACTATACAATATTCTTCAAGAAATCTACGATCTATGGTTTTCTAAAAGAATATATAATTTACACCTAAATCATTTCATCGAAGTACAATGTCTTAATTGTCCGTATTAAATATGTAGGTAATAAAATATATAAATAGGTAAAAGGTATAAATATGTATATTCTATAACTTGTGTAATTTGGAATTTGTATTAATAAAAACAAGGCGGAATTTTTGGCATAGCCTTTGTTTAAAATGTATATATTTGACTATGTAATTAATAAGTCCCGTACTAACAAAAATTACTTATTTTGATGGGAATATTTACTTATTTCTATAAAAATCTTCATTGAGTATTAAAATACAATATGAATATTTTTTTACAGTAATTATAATTACATGTATCGATTTTATATTTTTATACCGCGTTCCAAAATAAAAATTCGACTTGAATTATGACAAACTTAATTATTTTGATTTCACATCTAAACGACTGAACCGATTTTATTAAAATTTCTGTGAGATTAATCTGTATCTCCTTCCTTTCCCGTGGATGTCGTAAGAGGAAACTAAGGGAATTTAATAATCGGGGGATGGGCAGCAGCGTCCCTCTTAAAACATCACCAAAACTTAACTGCGGATGCCAACTCGCCTACCAAACGTGGCACCTACTGGCAAAAATACCATAAGAAAAACCCCCTAAAGAGAGTAGCGTATGATTAATAGTGAATAGTTAACGGTAAATATGATGATGAATCTATAAATGATAAAAAAAATAATATAAAAAAATAATTTTTCAAATTATTTTATAACTGACAGAGTTATGAGTTAACAAACATTGAAAAAATTACAATCGAATTGAAAGCCTCCTTTTATTTGAAAACAGTTGAAAAATAAACAGTTACTATCTGTGTTGATATGCGTACTATCACTATTTGTAGTATTAATATACGGTTCGTCGTAAAGAGAAATGACAGTAATAAGGAAATCAAACTATTCTTTATTGTACACAGAAAGTAATTTTGACACAAAAAGTAGTTTTTAGCTGTGCTTTGATGAACTTTACATTTACATATAGACATATTTACATTTACAGATAGACTTTACATTTTTACATCAGCTTGTTGCGTCGAGTTTGAATTAAATGACATATGCAATCGTAGATTTTTTGTAGATCTATAAAACATATGGTTTTATTATGATAAACAGCCCCAAAAAACATATTGTTTTATTGTATTTCAAACGAATTAGGTAGTGTTCACTATCAAATTTCAGTCGACTTAATTTCTTCCGATGTCTTAAACAATTATCGTTACTTTTTAACAAATGGGCACAAAAAAAATATACTACACGTTACCTTCCCTTTGAATATATCTATTGATTAAAACAGTATTAAAATCCATTGCGTAGACTTTTCTATAGGTATATATAAGATACACAATTCCATTATACATTGATACACTACCTAAACATTCGGATCCACTTAGACAGCTTATTTTTTTCCGACACCTCCAACAAATATCATTATATTTTACCCAATGTACACAAAAATTTAACAAGTTATATACAAAAACCTTTCTTGAAAACCACTCTATCCGTTGGTGATAATAGCATACAAATCGGTGCAGTAGTTTATGAGTTTATTGCAAATAAACAGACAGACGCGGCGGAGGTCTTGGTTTTATATATGTGGCAATAGTGATTTTAATACATTCTTTTATTAATTATTTTAATGATGAAAATGGAATTGTGAGGGATGATAGATGAGACTAAAGATAAGTCAATTACCCATCGTGATAAATTTACTAAAAATTAACCACGATGATTTGTAAAAGAGTAAAGTTTGACCTGATAAGGTATGTTGTTAGACAATAGTCCCATAGACCGCATTACTAACAGTCTTTTCTCCTCCCTTTACCCATTAGTTATAAATATCAACGATATCGTATCTGAGATATGATTTTATTTTGTCACGAAATTCGCATTTGTAGATACCTAATCTACCTTTTCTTGTTTACAAGTCTTAAAATAGCGTAACTGGGTAAATTCTCTAAAATGTGATAGTAATACATGTATTATCTATCTCTAATATACCTTTTGACGTCTAATTACACAGCTGTAAATAAATATCTTCGTTATTATTCTCTATTAGTATAATAGTTAATAAAATAACAATGAGGGCTATTGCGTAGTGGCTGGAGATATACATGAAGTACTTTCGTAACCTGTAATTTCACTGTATGTTAGATACTACTAAACATTTTACTGAACTATGTGTTAACTTGTGAAAGTCCATATCGCTGGTAATTTTAATAGAATTATTTTATTATTACTGTTAATAGCGGCGGTCGATCTTCTAGTGTTGGCAATCACACATTACTAATGGTAGTGGAATTAAACAAAATAATTCTATTCAAATAACCAGGTCCTTTTCATTCCAGATTCGTTGTGTGGTCCCAGTATAGAATAGGTCATTGTAAATATTCATCTCATAGCCACTTGTCAACATCACAACTTTCTTTTCCATCAAGTAGGTTAATTTAATTGTACATAGATATTTCACTTCTTTCTATCTTTCGGACTGGACGTACAGACATGACAGCGACGTTTACTTTCTACATTCAATTCTGCTGTCATTCTCTCATTATATGTGAATGTCACCCTTTCATGTCCTGTGGGTGTCGTAAGAGGTGACTAAGGGCTAACTGACCTACTTCGTCCTCACCTATCATCCCTCACTGGTGCCCTGCCGGTGTATACCGATAGCGCGGGTGGGGCTACCATTCCATTATCACCCATTAAAAAAAAAAAACTGCGGTTGCCAATCCGCACGCCAAGCGTGGCAACTACTGGTAAAACCCCCCACGACGAGGAGACTTATATTCAGCAGTGGACAGTTAAAGGCTCATATGATGATGATGACGATGAACCAGATCCTATTGATGTCGTAATTGTTGACACTTTGTGTTTGAATTTGGAATGTATATATAACAGAATGTATATAAATATACAACACAAACACTTACAGCTTAAATAAACTTTTGAAATTATTTGTGAGGCGAAACCGACAAATATTTATTGTGACGAATTATGGAAAAGTACGAATGTTTTTGTAATAATATCAACATATTTAGATATATTCTGTTTACGGGCGTATTCAAGAGATGGGCTAAGTGAGCCGTGCCCATCTCAAAATTGTCTTAAATATATAGTATAATATCCAGGAATTGAGCGAAGTTTGTTAAAAGCATCTCTGCATATACACTTTTTTTAAGTGGCCAGGTGCCCCTAGAAACTCTATTCCTAAATACGTCAGTAATTCTCTATTTTTGTTTGTACTAATCTATGCTGTTAGCCGCAGGCGGCTTTTACAGCATCACCATATGAATTATGAGATGAATGTAGATGGTACTCCGAACCCGCGGAAGGACTTACGGGGTGGCATTTCACCGTCTTCTGCCCACCAGATACGACATACATGGTTTGAGGGCACCGCGAGATGGTTCGAACCTCAGCTTGGACCGTTGTATCTCGACCCCCACCTGAAGGGATAAGGAGATCGTTTCGAACCAGCTGAAATGCCGGAACTGAACGCCCAGAGGCTGAACTGTGGTTAGAATCTTCGGCCTCGCTAGCGAGGATGGTGGCAACGTGGGAGTGTGTTTGAGGGCTTTTATTTAAATGGATAATAATGGAATGGTAACCCCGCCTGCGCTAACGGTATACGCTGGCCAGTAAGGGATAATAGGTGACAATGAAAAGGCAGGTTAGTTAGTCTATCGTGATGAATTCACTTGGAATAGAACACGATAGTTTCCAGGGGGCACCGCGAAGAGATCGACCTGACAGGATGTATTACTAACAATGGGGCTACTAATATCCATTTTTAACAATCCATTATCCCCCTGATTGATTACTTATTGTTAAGTAAGTTGGCTATCTAGAGCGACGCCTAGATATTTGACTTGGGGAACCCATGGGATTGCTTGACGCTTAAACGAATCAACAGATTTAAATATTTACTACATAGATAAACATTTCTAGACGAATACATGTTGCCTCACTGGTACTCGCTAGCATAAACCGATAGCGCCATGGAGTTGCCATTTCATTTTCATGCAAATGCCGGTATGCGTCCAGTCAGGTTCCAAAAATGAGACATCTTGAAGTATCACCAGAGGGAGACTTTGTACAAAAGTCAATTGCTTGGGTACCTCTGTCCCATTCGTGTTTCTACCGTAAAGCAGTTGTGTTTGCATGCCTGTGTTTCGGTTTGAAGGGTGGGATATGGCGTGAATTTACTGGGTACGGAGAAATAACACCTGAGTCCTCAGGAATGGCAACGCATGGGGGGTATCATGGGTGAAACAGTATACTCTGTTATGTCCATGGCACTGCTCATGTCTATAGGCGACGGTTACCACTTTCCATCAGGTGGACCGTCAGCTTGTTTGCCATTCTAAATTGAATAAAAAAAATCAGCAACCAGTATATCTATATTCCAAATTTCATTTTAGTTCATTCCATGACAGTTATTGTACTAAGCCCACGCATTACTTATTAGCAGGTCGCTCTTATAGAACTTTTGCGTTTGAGGAAAGTTTCCGCTACCACGCGACGAAATCCTGGAATAATATACCACCA